TGGGGAAGAAAGAAACGACATCGTTTCTGCAAAAAGGGAAACGACTTCGTTTTTGGGTAGCTTCGCCATTCTAATATATTCCGGTTCACGGATTCGGTTTCATCCGCTTTGGTTTTGCATGGGCTTATGCTCGTTGGTCTTCTAAACTTGTTGCTTTTTGTAATGCCCTTTACGTCATTTGTCTCTCTCTATTCTCTGATTTTCCGAGTACATATGTACAGTCTTTCAAACTAGTAGCCATGCATCTGCTGCAGATGGAGTATAACAAGTTCGAGTTTTTCATATGATTTTAAGAAGAAAATATTATTGTTGAAAGTTTGAAAAACTTTGGTCAAACTCTTGAACGTTTGATACCAATAGCACAACCAGAGACGGCTTTGGAGTGTTGATAAGAACACAACTAGTTAAATTCCATATAGTCACTGTCTTGACAACATTGTTTAAGACTTAGTTATACTCAAACTAAGTCTATTCCAGAGAGTTTCTTGTCTGTTTCCCAAATCAGACAGCTCCAATATGATGATTTTCCTATTTGCTTCAACTACAACATTACAAGACACAACAAAGACGGAAACAAGTGCAGCTTTAACTTCCTTCAACGAGCAGATACATAGTCTTTCAAACTAGTAGCCTTGCATCTGCTGCAGATGAAGTATAACAAGTTCGAGTTTTTCATATAATTTTAAGAAGAAAATACCATTATTGAAAAATTTGAAGAACTTTGGTCAAACTCATGAACGTTTGATACCAAGAGCACAACCAGAGAGAGCTTTGGAGTGTTGATAAGACAACTAGTTAAATTCCATATAGTCACTGTCTTGACAAGACTGTTAAAAACTTAGTTATATTAAAACTAGAATACCATGTGATCTTGCTTTCATCATATCACCCGAACATCATAGATCACGAAATCTTTACCTAAAATCATAATTTTTTTTTTTTTTTTTGAGTATCCAAAGTAAGATATATGGCTTAGTGCTCAACCCGGAGAGCCACCACTGGAGATGTGCTGAGGACTTTCACACGACTCTCTCTAGAGGGTCTCCAACCTTTGCGGCCGTCTTCCCCTCTCCCTGTATCTACTCCATATTTATAGGAGTATGTTCCACCGACATAATCGGTGAACACAATTGAGTTCCCGCTCACACCACAACCATCGGGAAGCTCTTTAGCCGAGCAGCATACATTTCCCAAAACACCTCCACTAATAAACAAAACACGGTCTCCTACCTCGGAGATCTCGACCCATTTACCAGCCTCCTCGTCTAGCCTACTCACTCTATATGTTGAGTGGCTAGCGAATCTATGAACCAGGAAAAGGTCATCATTGCCAGATGGAACCAGATAGTGTGATATCTCTCGATTCTGCGAGTGCATCAAGAGAGTCACGTCCAGGGAATAAGGATCGATAACCACACTTGTTCCGTTACGAAAGGATGCATAGAATCTGCCTCTAAAAGTGACTACATCCCGACATATTTCACTTTTTGGAACGTTCTTCAGCCGCTTCCACTTCATTTCGGCACTTGTTTGCACATACAAAACATAACCGTAGTGGAGAAGCACAACAAATTCTCTTCCTCCCTCCTTCTTTAGCGGAAGGAAAGCCACGCCTCTGTAATAACTAGGATTGCAACCGATCAGTCTGTACTGATGGCCCAGAGGGAGGATCTCGCAGTCGAGCATGTTCATCAACCTTGGATCAGATTCTCCTATCTTCACTTTCACTGAACACTGAATAGGAGATGGAAGCTCTGTTTGATCCTCTGCCTCATCTCTACAGCCTATTCCTCCCAGAAAATACTCAGAAGACGACGCAGAAAGAGTAGGGACTCTAAAGAGAAACAAAGGGATCTTCTTGAGGGTGCCAAGCCTTTGTAAGAAAGATCCGGAACGAGGGAAGAGAGTAACTCGGGCGCACTAGGCTACAAGGAAAGGGTATTGTGGATCGCCACGAGCTGCAAACAGAGCGAGCATGAACTACGTCGAAACAGTTGTCCAGTTTCTCCGAGATAACTTGAAGCAGCTCTTCAGGGAGCTGAGTCCAGTCTGGCACATGCATATCGATGATGATGTCTTCTTTTTCGTTGTAGGTCTGCTAATAGCGATGGAAACCACTGCAATTTCGAGATGATCTGAAAGAAAAAAGTTAAGCTTCTAGGGTTTAGGAAATTGTAAAAGACAAAACATGAAGAGAGAAGATTAATCGCATAACAATCTTACTATCTAAAACTAATCCGAATTGACGACACTGGATGCATAATCACAGACTTACAATAGCAGGATTTGTCAACAAAGACTGATTGAGAGACCGTGGCTGTGGTACCAAAACCCTAAAGTCACAGAAAACGGCTGGTATGTAATGTAAACGATCCTTTTAATTAAGAAAGGAAACTAGAAGACGGGTCCGGTTATGTAACTCTATATATTCGGGTTTAAGTTGTTGTTTCTGGTTTGATTTCACATGTCTCATTTTTTTGTTAGATGTGTTGTTACGTATATATAAGTTTACGCCCTAATTCAACACGGTTTTTAAAGAATTTTAAGTTTTAACTAATTAACTAATATACTTTGTTTGTACAAGCTTGGACGAAAATCTTGTACGTACGTACATATATATGGATGTGTGATACCAAGAGCACGACCAACTGACCAAGAGTAGACAACTTTGTTGACATGCAAGATAAGTTGTAGTATTAAAACTAGAATCACACATATCACCAATGTCAAGGATCCCAAAATGTTAACGTAAAATCAGAAGGAATATTTTTGAATATAATTTGTTTAATGAAAAACAAAAACCAAAATATGTCGCAAGCGCAAGTATCCAAAACAAGATTTATGGCATAGTAGCGCGCTCAACCTGGAGAGCCCTCCACCGGAAATGTGCTGAGGGTTTTCACATGATTCTCTCTTGAGTATCTCCAAAATTTAAAGTTATCATCTCCTCCATATTTATAGAAGCAAGTTATTACACCGCTTAGCTCATTGGTGAACAAAATTGAGTCCCCACTCACACCACAACCATATGGAAGATCCTTAGCCGAGCAGCAGACATTTCCCAAATCTCCATTAATGAACAACACACGGTCTCCTAATTCGGTGACCACAACCCATTTACCAGCCTCCTCATCTAGCCTACTCACTCTTAATGCGAACGGACTCAAAATTGACACGCCAGTATAATAGAGGAATTTCTCAACCAGGAAAAGTTCATCATTGCCTGATGGAACTAGATACTCGCATGAAACAGAGGCAAGAAGCTCCGAGGGCGGCAACAGGGTAGTAGCTTCCAGTGAATAAGGATCGATAACGAATATGTCCCCGTTCATAAATGTTGCGTAAAACCTACCTCTAAAAGTGACTAAATCTTTGCATGAAGCAACTGAGAATCTCTTAAGCCGCATCCATCTCATTTCAGCACTTGTTAGCACAAACAGCCGTTTAGCGTAGTTGAGGAGCACAATGAATTCTCCTCTTCTTCTCTCCTTGTTTAACGGAAGAAAAGTCATGCCTCTATAATCTTGTCTCCAGTTTCCAGGATCCCAACCTATCATTTTGTACTGATGGCCCAAAGGGAAGATATGGCGGTCGAGCATGTTCATCAAGGTTGGATCGATCTTCACTTTCACTGAGCACTGAATAGGAGGAGATGGAAGCTCAACACCATCCTCTGACTTGTCCCGGCCTATTTCTCCCAGGAAAAACTCACAAAGCAACTCAGAAGCTGCAGGAGAAGTTTGGACCATAAAAAGGAACAAAGGGATCTTCTGGATGCACAAGTCTTTGCTTACGCAAGGGAACTCGGCGAACGAGGGAAGACAGTAACTTGGGCGTAATAGGCAAGCAGGAAAGGCAAATGTGGATCGCCACGAGCTGCAAACAGATCGAGCTTGAACAATATCAAAAAAGTTCTCTAGATGTGTCGAGACAACGTGAAGAAGATCTTCAGGGAGAAGAGTCCAGTCTGGCATGGACAATGTCTCTTCTTTCGTTGCACGTTGTGCCATTTTTGTTGATGGAGACAGAGATACTTTTGCAGAAAATTTACAAAATTGTTTCTTAGGACAGCAATCCTCACCATCCACATAACATATACTGTATAAGGCAACTAGTATAAATGATAACTACATAATTTAGGTTAAGAAAATATTTAAATCCATGGTATTCAACATATTTGCAAAGTTCTAACAAATTTAAATTCATTTGACATTTGTGGGGAAATATATACTATATAATGAGAGTTATTTTTTCTTAATGCTATAGAAATATACAACATTATTTAAATGTAGTTAATTCAGAATCTGAAATTTAAAAGTGAATATATGAAATTTTAATATTAAGAGTTAATTAAGAAAGTAAATTCTAAAAGTGTTATCATCAACATAAAAGAATACAGTACTTTATTTCCAATAAAATCAGAATATCAAAATAAATAGAAGATAAGAAGTGATCAGTTAACAATAAAATAAGAGTTGAAAATGAAGAGAATACTCTAGATATATTACTATAGTTTATGTTTACTTAATTAATCATTTCTGAATGTAACACGAATTGCCAAGAAATACTCGACAACATAATCCAATTCCACGAAATTACATTGCTATTGGGTTATAAGAAAGAGATATGATGTTATCTCTCATGTCAAAGATCATTTATGCAAAGTACAACAACGAAGAACAATGCGGACAAACATTAAAAGGATGTCAAATTAGATATATAGCTTCTCAATCACAACCGATGAGAAGAAATTTTATAACAAGATATCACGGTAACTTAAAAAATATGAAAACATCGGAGAACAAGCTTTTGGTCAGACACATAATAAATATGAAAACAAGAGTATCACGGTAACTTAAAAGATGACAAAAAAACTAACAAGAACAGAGACAACAAATGTATCAGGTCTCCAAAGTTACCGTGAAACAGAGACAGTAATGAATATCACAGTAACTTAAAAGATGACAAAAAAACTAACAAGAACAGAGACAACAAATGTATCAGGTCTCCAAAGTTAGATTTTGCTCAACCCTGAGATGATAGGCCATCGGAGAGCTGCTGATGTTCCTCACACAAGTATCTCTTGAGGATCTCCAAAAACTGAGGTCGTCTTCTGCGTTTCCTGTATCTACTCCATATTTATACAAGAAAGATTCACCACGTGGCTCATCAGTGATCAAAATTGAGTTCCTGCTCAAACCACAACCATCAGGAAGCTCTTTAGCCGAGAAGAATACATTTTCAATCTCTCCATGAATAAGCAACACCCGGTCACCTATATCTGTGACCACGACCCATTTACCAGCCTCCTCATCTAGCTTACTCACTCTTAATATTGCCTGACCAAGATAAACTTCACCAGTAGGAGAGGCAATTACTTTAACCTGGAAAAGTTCATCATTTCCAGATGGGACAAGACAGCTTACTATCTCCAGAGGCAGCGACGACGGAATCGTGAGAGTCACGTCCAAAGAATAAGGATCGATAACCAGAACTTCCCCTGGCAAAGATGCATAAAATTTTCCTCTAAAAGCGACTAAATGCCACATAGATGAACCATTTAGGACGTTCTCAAGCCGCTTCCACTTCATTTCAGCACTTGTTAATACCAACAAAACATGAGAGTAGTAGAGAAGCACAACGAATTCATCCTTGTTTAGTGGAAGGACAGCCATGCGTATGTATCCTTCAGGTTCCCATTCGAACATTCTGTAGTCATAGCCCAGAGAGAGAATCTGACAGTCGAGCATGTTCACCAAGGTTGGCTCAGAATCAGATGATCCTGGGATCTTCACTGAACACTGAAGAGGAGGTGGAAGCTCTGTATGATCCTCTGACTCATCTCTACGGTCTATTGCTCCCACGAAAAACTCAGAACCCGACGCAGCATCATCAAGAGTACGGACTCTGAAGAGGAACAAAGGGATCTTCTCGAGGGTGCACAAGTCTTCGCTTTCGTAAGGCAACTCGGCGAAAGAGGGAAGAGAGTAACTTGGTCGTAATAGGCAAGCGGGAAATGGAAATGTGGATCGCCACGCGCTGCAAACAGAGCGAGCATGAACTACATCGAAACAGTTCTCCAGTTTCTCGGAGATCACTTGAAGCAGATCATCAGGGAGAAGAGACCAGTCTGGCATGGACAATGTGTGCTCTTTTGTTGCCATTTTTGCTGACGGAGACGGAGACAGCTGCAGTTTCGAAACCTAAAGAAAAATTACCATTTTCTAGGGTTAACTTAACGAAATAATACAAGAAACAGAGAAATCAAATCATATTTCTGCACTCAAAGTCTTACAAAATCCTCGAGAAGAGAGCAGTCTAGCACCACGGATGATGTCTTCTTCTCCGTTTCAGGTTCTGCCATTTTTGCCGATTGCTGCGATTTCCGAAAAATCTGAAAGTTAATATTAAGCTTCTAGGGTTTAGGAAACTGTAAACAAACATGATCCGAGAAATATTTTCTCATAAAAATCCATTTCCAGAAGTATATAAAAGAAATAGGTTTTTCAAATTCGTATCGGAAGGGAGAGACTTTTGAGTTCCGTAACAGTGAAGAAAAGATGTCAAACAACTTCGTCGTCTCCTTTTATTTTTTTTCTTGTCTGTTCAAAAAAACTGAAAACCTAACCGCCTGTCCGATGTTAAAAAGTGGATTTTGGGAGTGCTTCTGTCTAAAACGGAGGAGGGTTTTGTTTAATCTCAAAGTTGTTATGTGGTGGTTTTTGTGAGATTTTAAGATTTCTTGCAACTAGAGAATCTCAAACTAAAGTTACTTCAACATTCACAAGTCTCACAACATAGGACAATAATACATTTGAGACTTCACTAGTTAAGCCAACTGTTAAATCTTTAGCAAAACAATCATAGATTCATTTTAATTCGTTTTTGGCACTTGCATTACACTTAGACACAGATTCAATTGGTCTCTGATTTCACCTTAGAGCAGAACTTAAGGACACACATTTAAATTCAATTGACATTTGTGGGGAAATATCTATACTATCTAATGAAAGTTTTATTTTTTATTTTTTTTTTTATATTTTTTTTAAGGCTAGAGAAATATACAACATTATTTAAATGCAGTTAATTCAGAATCTGCAATTTAAAAGTGAATATATGAAATTTTAATAGTAAGAGTTTAAGATTTAATTAAGAGAGTAAATTCTAAAAATGTTATCAACATAAAGGAATAATGTACTTTATTTCCAATAAAATCAGAATATTAAAATAAATGGAAAATAAGAAGTGATCAGTTAACAATAAAATAAGAGTTGAAAAGAATACTCTAGATATATTATAGGTCATGTTTACTTAATTAATAATTTCTGAATATATAAAACACAGAATACAAGAACACGAATTGCCAAGAAATATTGGAGAACAGAATCCAATTACATTGCTGTTGGGTTAAAAGACAGAGATATGATGTTATCTCTCATGCCAAAGATCATTTATGCAAAGCTCAAGATACGAAGAACAATGCTGATCCAAACATAAGAAGGATGTCAAATTAGATAGCTTCTCAATCACACAACCACATAACCAAGTGGTCTTGGCCCAGTGATAACTTCCAAATGGAAGAGTCCTGGATTCAAGTCCCATTGGGCCCTTGGCCACTTAGCAGCGTATTAAATATGGAACATTTCCAAACGCATATACGGATGCAAAGGGCTCGTGGGATTAGTCTTTGGATCTATAAAGTCTTTGGTATCCCCACGGTTATAAAGACAAAAAGAAAAGAAAAAGAAAGTTATTGACGTGCATCAAACCTTTGCTGTTACAGCGAGTCAGCGATACACTTGAGAACAAATCTTGATATTAATGTAAACTGGTTTGAAAATTTACACTAGCGTGTCTAAAGTTGTGACTTTTAATCGGAAAGGACGATGTCCTCGTGGCTTTAGTAGCCTCAATCTGGTTTGGAAGAAACGGTCTCAAACATGGCCAATGTCGGGATCAGTGGTTTTCAATATCATCAAATCAAAAGTTTTTTCACTTAATAAACAAAGTTTCTCAGGTTCACCGTTCACATCGTCATGGGATATTCGAATAATTTCTAGTTATATTTATTTATCTAAATTACACAACACAATGAAGAAAAGAATCATAAAAATGAATAGGCCACTGAAGTACCAAAAAGTATATTAAAAATTAAGAAAAACAATAAAAAGAGCAGCAAGAAATCAGTTGCTTATATATTTTGGTTGGATTTGAACCAAACTTGGAACATAACTGAAAAAAAACGGCCGCCAGGCTCTTTCATCCTCCCCGTGACACAACAACCATTGTTTTTCTATATAAGGGATTTCTGTGTAATATTCATCATCGTCCTCTCCCATAGTGTATACCACGTTCAAGTTACTACTACAGAGGCCACTTAAATTACAACACAAGGCCACTTTCTTCTCCTCGTCGATCAAAAGACTCGTGTAACAATCAATACCATTAACACGAATACGGTTTTTGCCCACTGCAAAGGATTTTCTCCATGACAACTCTTCTTCTTCTTCTGCTTTTGTATCAATTTCATTGGTCACCCACATCTCCACCTCCCACATCTCCACCACGTCGTGACCACTTTTCTTATAACTTAACACCGAGAGTTGCTTTTCTCTAACAACAGATAGAGCCATATAACGACGACTCGGAGATTGGGGAAGACAAAAACTTGTAAACCTCTCTCTTGTAAAATCAAAACGGAGGAAGTGGTAATCTGCGTTATCATCAACATGAAGCCAGTAGGCATTTCCTCTCAAACACACGCCATGATATTTTGCTCTGATGAAGCCGCTTGGAGCATTAACAACTCTCCATGTATTAGTGGTGAACTCATAGATTTCAAATTCATCTGGTTTTCCTCTAAAAAACATCAAGATTTTGTAGCTGCGGATGTCGAATCGGTTGCTTTCGTATCCAAGAGCAAACCTACACGATACCTTGTAACCGTTCTTGTGTTGTATCCACCTGGTTTCCCCCAAACACGGATTCCACACCACAAGTCCACTGTCCCTGGTGATGCACAACAACAAACCGTCGCAATGATAAACTTCGGCTATACGGACTTGTTTTGATGGCTTATTAGAATGGGGATCCTTTAGGCTTAGTGCATCTTTAAGCTCTATAGACGGAGGAACAACGTTGACATCAACCCTTGTTGGAAAAAACCTATATTCCTTCAACATTAGAATTTGAGGCTGCTTTGGAGCTCTACGTAGTTGCTTCTCTGTGAATCTTTGGTCTTTGAGTAAAGCGTTCCATTGTTTGCAAGTAGATAGTAATTTTACCAGAGATGTGGCCGGAACCCAAGAGAGTATTTCCTCCACCAATTCTGACGGAAGATAGGGCATCACCATTGTTTCCCTCTTTGTGATCTGGTCGTAGACGACTCGATGTGGCTCTCTCCAGGGTTTTGGTTTTGATTTAATTTTATACGTTTCAATTGACATTTGTGGGGGAATATGTACTATATAATGATTTTTTTTTTAAATGTTAGAGAAATATACAACATTATTTAAATGCAGTTAATTCAGAATCTGAATTTTAAAAGTGAATCTATGAAATTTTAATAGTAAGAGTTAAAGATTTAATTAATAAAGTAAATTCTAAAAATGTTATCAATATACCCCAATGAATACTGTAATTTATTTCCAACAAAATTAAAATAATAAAATAAATAGAAAATAAGAAGTGATCAGTTAACAATAAAATAAGAGTTGAAAAGAATACTCTAGATATACTATAGGTCATGTTTACTTAATTAATCATTTCTAAATGTATAAAACACAGAATACAAGAACACGAAATTGCCAAGAAATATTGGAGAACAGAATCCAATTACATTGCTGTTGGGTTAAAAAGACAGAGATATGATGTTGTCTCTCATGTCAAAGATCATTTATGCAAAGCACAACAGACGAAGAACAATGCTGATCCAAACATAAAAAGGATGTCAAATTAGATAGCTTCTCAATCACAACCGAATAATAGTGTAGTTGACAAGTAAAACGAATTCTCTTCCTCCTTTTGACTCTTTGCTTGGCGCGGAAGAAATGCCACGACTGTAATATTTTGTAAAGTTTGAAGAGCTTTTTGGTCAAACACATAACAAATATTAAAACAAGAATATCACGGTAACCTAAAAGATGACAAAAAAATCTTGACCTAAAATATAACAAGAACAGAGACAACAGATGTCTTAGGTCTCCAAAGTTACCCTGAGATGATAATACATGGGAGATCTGCTGATGGTCCTCACACAAGTATCTCTTGGGGATCTCCAAAAACTGAGGTCGTCTTCTGCGTTTCCTGTATCTACTCCATATTTATATAAGTAAGTTACACGGCCTGGCTCATCCGTGATCACAATTGAGTTCCCGGTCACACCACAACCATCAGGAAGCTCTTTAGCCGAGCAGCATACATTTCCCATGTCTCCATAATGAATAAACAAGACACGGTCTCCTACATGGGCGACCACGACCCATTTACCAGCCTCCTCATCTAGCCTACTCACTCTGCATGGTAACTGACTAAAATCTTCGAATTCAAAAGTAGGAGGGCCAATTATTTCAACCAGGAAAAGTTCATCATTGCCACATGGGACAAGCCAGTTTATTAGCACCGAAGGCAGCGACGACGGAATCGTGAGAGTCACGTCCAAAGAAAAAGGATCGATAACCACAATTGATCCGTTACAAAAGGATGCATAAAATTGGCCTCTAAAAGTGACTAAATCCCAGCATGATTCCACTGGGACGTTCTCAAGCAGCTTCCACTTCATTTCATCACTGGTGAACACAAACAAAATAAAAGTGCAGTTGAGAAGCACAACAAATTTTCCTCCACCTTCCTTGTTTAGTGGAAGTTAAGCCGCACTCTTGTAGTGATTAGGTTTCCAGCCGATCATTCTGTACTCATGGCCGAGAGGGAGGATCTGGCAGTCGAGCATCTTCATCAAGGTTGGCTCAGATGATCCTGGGATCTTCACTGAACATTGAAGAGGAGGTGGAGGAAGCTCTATATGATCCTCTGACTCATCTCTACGGCTTATTCCTCCCACGAAAAATTCAGAAGCCGACTTAGCAGCAGCAGGAGTACGGACTCTGAAGAGGAACAAAGGGATCTTCTCGAGGGTGCACAAGTCTTCGTGGTGCTTGGGAGAGATCTCCCTGAACGAGGGAAAAGAGTAACTTGTGCGTATTAGACAAGAAGGAAAGGGGATTGTTGATCGCCACGAGATGCAAACAGAGCGAGCATGAACAACTTCGAAACAGTTGTCCAGTTTCTCGGAGATAACTTGAAGCAGCTCATCAGGGAGAAGAGACCAGTCTGGCATGGACAATGTGTGCTCTTTTGTTACCATTTTTGCTGACGGAGACGGAGACAGCTGCAGTTTCGAAACCTGAAAGAAAAAATTACAATTTCTAGGGTTAACGAAATAATACAATACAGAGAAACCAAATCATATTTCTACACTCAAAGTCTTACAAAATCCTCGAGAAGAGAGCAGTCTAGCATCACGGATGATGTCTTCTTCTCCGTTTCAGGGTTCTGCCTTGTCTGCTGATTGCTGCGATTTCCGAAAAATCTGAAAGTACAAATTTAAGCTTCTAGGGTTTTAGGAAACTGTAAACAAACGTGATCAGAGAAGATTAATTCTCATAAAAATCAATTTCCAGAAGTATATATAAGAACTAGGTTTTTCAATTTCGTACCAAAAGGGATAGACTTTTCGATTCCGTAGGCGTGAAGAAAAGATGGTCTTTTATATTTTTCTTGTCTGATAAACAAAGAAACTGAAAACCTAACCGCCTGTCCGATTTTAAAAAGTGGATTTTGAGAATGATTCTGTCTTAAACGGAGGGTTTTGTTTACAAAGTAACAAAAGGTTTGTTAATCTCAAAGTTGTTATGATAAATGTTTCTTTATCCCTCTCTCTGTGGTGGTTTTTGTGAAATCTTAAGTTTTCTTGCAACTAAAGTTACTCCAACATTCACAGCTAAAGTTACTTCTTCAAGCTAGGTATTGGTTTTGGGTTGTTGATTTCACATTTCAACAAAACCTCTGCATGCCCAATGTCGGGATAAGTGGTTTTCAATATCATCAAATCAAAAGTTTTTTCACTTAATAATCAAATCTTAATATTTACGGAATAAAAAATTCAAATCTTAACATTTTGTAATTATTATTTAAATTTCATTTTTATTAAATTATAGTTGATAATTTTAAATAAGGGTAATTAAGTCTTTTTACATATTAAAAAGTGTACTTTTCAAAACAAAAAAAAACAAAGGTAGTTTTCAAATTAAAAACTGATTTTGGGGTATATATCCAAATTTTCTCTATATTTATTTATCTAAAGTACACAACACAATAAAGAAAAGAATCATAAAAATGAATAGGCCACTAAATACCAAAAAGTATAATTAAAAGTTAAGAAAAACAATAAAAAGAGCAGCAAGAAATCAATTGCTTATATATTTTGGTTGGATTTGAACCAAACTTGGAACATAACTGAAAAAAAACGGTCGCCAGGCTCTTTCATCCTCCCCGTAATACAACGACCTTGGTTTTTCTATATAAGGGATTTCTTTGTAATATTCATCATCGTCTTCTCCCATAATGTATACCACGTTCAAGTTACTACTACCACTACCGAGATATAAATTACAACACAAGGCCACTTTCTTCTCCTCGTCGATCAAAAGACTCGTCTGAACATAGAGACAATCAACACGAATACGGTTTAAGCCCACTGCAAAGGATTTGCTCCATGACAACTCTTGTTCTTCTGCTTCTGTATCAATTTCATTGGTCACCCACATCTCCACCTCCCACTTCTCCACCACGTCGTGACCACTGTCCTTATAACTTAACACTGAGAGTTGCTTTTCTCTAACAACAGATAGAGCCATATAACGACGACTCGGAGATTGGGGAAGACAAAAACTTTCAAACTTCTCTCTTGTAAAATCAAAACGGAGGAAGTGGTAATCTGCGTTATCATCAATATGAAGCCAGTAGGCATTTCCTCTCAAACACACGCCACAATATTTTGTTCTGAAGTCGTTGGGAGCATTCACAACTCTCCATGTATTAGTGGTGAACTCATAGATTTCAAATACGTCTGTTTTTGTTAAAAAAAACATCAAGATTTTGTAGCTGCGGATGCCGAATCGGTTGCTTTCGTATCCAAGAGCAAACATACAGAATCGGTCGTAACCGTTCTTGTGTTGTATCCACCTGTAGAGAAACCAGCACCGATAGTGCTTAGCACTAGCCCAAGACCGTAATACCCGAGAAACCCGAAAGAAACAATAAACCCTCTAAGTATGAAGAGAAATATGGAAGAACACAAGAGAATACTTGAAAGACTTTTAAGAAGAACAAGAGAGAACTTAGCTTTAGAACACTCTTTATTAACTTGTTCAATTTCTTGTGCATTTACAAATGAGGGGGTGAGGAGGTATTTATAGCCTCCCAAATCTACTTACAAAGTTTCTACACTCTTCTATAACCTCCTTAGGTCCTAGATATTTCTTCTTCTTCTTCTACAACTTTCTACAAATTATCTTACAAGTTTATCCTAATCTCTAGAACTCTCTAACATAATATCTAGATTTCTTGTCTTACAAGAACTAGAAAGTTCTACATAAATATCTAGAGAGTTATCTAGTAGAATTCTCTAGAAAATTTGAGGAAGTGATGACCTCTTATGATGTTTCTAGAGAGTTCTAGAACTTGGGCCTAATTTTGGGTTTAATAATAATTTGTTTATGGACCCAAAATTAAACCTTGATCAAAATCAAGTTTAATTTCAATACTCCCCCTTAAACTTGATTTTATCAACCATCCCGAGTTTCGAGCGAAGTAACTCGAACTGACCTTTTGGTAGTGACTTGGTGAAGATATCTGCAACATTATCCTCACTTCGAACCTCCAAAGCTTCAATTGTTCCATCAAGCACCTTCTCCCGTATGAAGTGATGTTCCAACTCAATATGCTTCGTCCTTGCATGGAACACCGGATTGTTAGCCAGCTTGATAGCACTTTGGTTATCTCCATATATGGCAACCGGCTTGTTGATTGGCTCAAACAAATCTTCAAGAAGCCTTCGAAGCCAAATACACTCTTGGGCTGCGAGCGTCGAAGCTTTATACTCCGCTTCAGTGGTAGACAGCGACACCGTTGCTTGTTTCTTGCTGCACCATGAAACGCTTGTGTCTCCACACAAGAACACAAAGCCCGAAGTTGATTTTCGACCATCTAGATCTCCACCAAAGTCAGCATCCGTGAAGCCATAGAGAGAGACCTTGGCATTGTACTTGTACATTAGACCCATGCCAAGAGTTGTCTTCACATACTTCAAGATCTTCTTTGCCGCTTCTAGATGTGGCTTCCTTGGTGACTGCATAAACCGACTTACAAGACCAACCGCGAAGGAAATGTCAGGTCTTGTAATGGTTAAGTATAGAAGACTTCCCACAAGAGAACGATAAGGCCGAGGATCGGGTAGCAAGGATCCTTCATCGCGCTTCAGCTTGATGTTCGCATCCATCGGAGTAGTACGTGTCTTTCCTTCGTGTACCCCGAACTTCTCTACAATCCTTCTTGCGTAGCTATGTTGGCCGATGAATATTCCATCCTTCATCCTTTCAACCTCCAAACCAAGAAAGTTGTTCAGCTCACCCAACATCTTCATCTCAAACCTTATCGACATATCCTCTTGCAGACGAGCAATTTCCGCTTCATCATTCCCGGTAATTATCAAGTCATCCACATAAAGAAGGACTACCACGTGGACTCCTCCATTCTTCTTGAAGAACAGACTCGGATCAGAGTTCGACGGAGAGTAACCGCAAAACTGAAGAAACTGAGCAAGCTTTCCATACCAGGCCCTTGGAGCTTGTTTTAACCCATACAAAGCCTTCTTTAGCTTGCAAACATAATCGGGATGCTCTTGTGATATGTAACCAAGTGGTTGCTCCATATAGATTTCTTTATCAAGTTCTCCGTATAGAAAAGCGTTCTTCACATCTAACTGCCATAACTTCCAGCCAAAGCTTGCAGCTAAAGATAAGAGTGTACGTACCGTAGTCATCTTCGCCACTGGACTGAAAGTCTCATCATAGTCTTCTCCATACTTCTGAGAAAATCCCCGAGCAACCAATCTTGCTTTGTGTCTATCAATGTTTCCATCCCTCTTACGCTTGATCCGGTACACCCATTTGCATGAGACGGGTTGGACATCCTTGGGTTTTGGAACCAAATCCCAAGTTTCATTTTTCTTTAGAGCATCCATCTCCTCCTTCATTGCGGTCTCCCACTCTTTAACTCCTTTTGCTTCATCATAAGATGATGGTTCTTCTTCATCAAAAGGAGATGCAAAGTAGCATGAGTAAGTAGTAACAAACCTTTCATCTCTGTACCGAGCAGGTTTAACGATGTCCCGTTTTGGTCGTTGATTAGCCAAGGAACCATGATCTTCCTCCTCCTCTTCCTCTTGGTTAGTGCTCCCCCTTTCACCTTGCATCTCTGGTTCAGAAATTCCACCATCACTTGGTATCTGAGCAGCTGGTTCATCGTCTTTAAGTGAGCCCGCACCATCTTGCTCAACCAAGACTTGAGGAGATCCGTAATATGAAGACACTTCATCAAAGACAACATCACGAGATACAGTGTATCTGTGTGTCTCTGGATCCATACACCTCCACCCCTTCCTTTGTTCATCATAGCCGACAAAGATGCACTTTTTCGCCTTTGCCTCCAGCTTGGTTCTTTGAGAGTCGAACACATGGACATAGCAGATAGATCCAAATATCCTGAGATGTTTCACTGTTGGCTTCTTCCCATGAACCATCTCATAAGGAGACTTCATATTATTTGGACTAAGCGGCATCCGATTGATGACATAGGCTGCACATCTCATCCCTTCTGCCCATAGAGCCTTAGGCAAATTCTTCGCATGTAGCCAGCTTCTACACGTCTCACTTAGATGCCTTATCTTCCTTTCTGCTACTCCATTTTGTTGAGGTGTGTATGGACATGAAAATTCTCTCTTGATACCATGCTTTCGGCAGAAAGAGAGAAACTCGTTTGACATAAACTCCCCTCCATTATCCGTCCTTAAGGTCTTGATTTTCCGACCCAACTCTCCTTCCACGGTAACCTTGAATTCTTGAAACTTGGAGAATACTTCTGACTTTTCCTTCACAAAGTATACCCAGGTGTACCGTGAGTAATCATCAACGAACAACAGCATGTAGCGGAACCCGGAATAGGAGGATGTTCTCGTCGGACCCATCAAATCACTATGGATCCTCTCCAACGGAGCATTGCATCGTGAAGTAGAATTGTCAAATGGAAGTCTATGTGATTTTCCATATTGACAACCTTCACAAAGCTTTCCTTCATCTTGAATCTTCAACTTTGGGAGCCCATTAACCAGATCTTTATTCACCATAGCCTTCAGCTTAGTCATATTTATATGGCCAAGCCTAGCATGCCAAATAAAAGCATTATCATTCGTACTCATCTTCTCAATGTACGAATTTGAGGCCGATAAGACATAAAGATCTTTAACCCGTGCTCCGGTGTGAACTACGTCCGCCTTTAACTCTTGAATATTCTTCAAGAATTTAACGTCTTTTGGTCCAAATAAAACGTAGTTACCTGAGTCCACCGCATTCACCACGGAAAGAAGATTCTTCTTAACTCCAGGGACATGGTATACGTTCTTGAGAGTGATTGGGCCTCCTTCTTCTCCTTCAATAACAATAGTCCCTTCCTTCTCAACCCGGTGGATTGAATTATCCGCAGTGATAATAGCTTCTTTCCCGTCATGACGTTGAAGACTAGAAAATAACTTCTCGTTTCCGGTAATATGATGGCTACAACCCGAATCCACAATCCAATCATTTCCAAGATTTTTAGTTGTGGATGTACCTGAAGATGCAGCCTCCACCGTGAAACATTTCCCCCAATCTTCGTCTTCAGTATGACTTTTTGATTCCGCCATATTGGTTTCCTTCAGCTTGACCCGACAGTCCTTTTTGAAATGCCCAAGCTTTCCACACCGGTAACACTTGAACTGCTTCTTGTCTCCCGTAGAAGATCTTTCCCGTCCATCATTATTCTTTACACCATCATTCTTGGTTTTTCCTTTGTAGCTCTGTTGCCTCCGAGCTACAAAAGCGCTCCCCGAGTCATCATGGATTTTGACTCCCGCCATTTGCGTGGCTAAGGATTCTTGCGAAGCTAGCAGATTTTCAAACTCCTCCAAGGAAGGTTGTGTAGCCCATCCTTGAACGGAAGTCACAAACGGTGTATATTCGGGTCGTAAACCACGAATAATAGACCGCTTTAACCGAGCTTCCGAAATAGACTCCTCCGGATTAAGAGTGTTAATCTCAGAGCAAAGGTTCTTTACCTTGATGAAGAACTCTGAGATTGAAGACTCCCCCTGCTTCGCATTCGCCAACTCGTTCTCTAACAGTTGTAGACGAGCCTCATTCTTCTTGTTGAACAGTTGGTCCAACGCTTGCCAAATGGAACTAGCGGATGTGCACCTTGAGACATGCTCAAATACTCCCGAGGATATTGACCTCTTCAATGCAAACTCCGCCTTGGCATTCTTCCGTGTCCATTCCTTTGTCGCTTCCGCTGTCGCAGCAGCTCCCATTGGTGGTGTGGTGCTACTGCCGCCGACGACATCCCATAAGTCCTCACTCACCAAGTATGACTCCATACATGACTTCCATAACCGGTAGTTAGATTGGTTTAAGATCTCCATTCCCAATCCAACAACACGACCCATTGATTCCATACTTAGAGTAAACCCGAGTTCTCCTAAATCCCGATCTTGATGAGCACAAGATTAGAATGGCTCTGATACCATGTAGAGAAACCAGCACCGATAGTGCTTAGCACTAGCCCAAGACCGTAATACCCGAGAAACCCGAAAGAAACAATAAACCCTCTAAGTATGAAGAGAAATATGGAAGAACACAAGAGAATACTTGAAAGACTTTTAAGAAGAACAAGAGAGAACTTAGCTTTAGAACACTCTTTATTAACTTGTTCAATTTCTTGTGCATTTACAAATGAGGGGGTGAGGAGGTATTTATAGCCTCCCAAATCTACTTACAAAGTTTCTACACTCTTCTATAACCTCCTTAGGTCCTAGATATTTCTTCTTCTTCTTCTACAACTTTCTACAAATTATCTTACAAGTTTATCCTAATCTCTAGAACTCTCTAACATAATATCTAGATTTCTTGTCTTACAAGAACTAGAAAGTTCTACATAAATATCTAGAGAGTTATCTAGTAGAATTCTCTAGAAAATTTGAGGAAGTGATGACCTCTTATGATGTTTCTAGAGAGTTCTAGAACTTGGGCCTAATTTTGGGTTTAATAATAATTTGTTTATGGACCCAAAATTAAACCTTGATCAAAATCAAGTTTAATTTCAATACCACCTGGTTTCCCCTAAACACGGATTCCACAGCACAACTCTACTGTCCCTGGTGATGCACAACAACAAACCGTCGCAGTGATAAACTTCGGCTATACGGACTTGTTTTGATGGCTTATTAGAATCGGGATCCTTTAGGCTTAGTGCATCTTTAAGCTCTAAAGACGGAGGAACAACGTTGACATCAACGCTTGTTGGAAAAAGCCTATATTCCTTCAACATGAGAATTTGAGGCTGCTTTGGAGCTCTACGTAGTTGCTTTGCTGTGAATCTTTGGTCTTTGAGTAAAGCGTTCCATTGTTTGCAAGTAGATAGTAATTTTGTAAGAGATGTGGCCGGAACCCAAGAGAGTATTTCCTCTACCAATTCTGACGGAAGATACGGCATCACCATTGTTTCCCTCTTGGTGATCTGGTCGTAGACGACTCGATGGAACTCTCTCTAGGGTTTTGGTTTTGATTTAATTTTATACGTTTCAATTGACATTTTTGGGGAAATATATACTATATAATGATTTTTTTTTTAAATGTTAGAGAAATATACACATTATTTAAATGCAGTTAATTCAGAATCTGAAATTTAAAAGTGAATATATGAAATTTTAGTAGTAAAAGTTTAAGATTTAATTAAGAAAGTAAATTCTAAAAATGTTCTCAACATAGAGGAATACATTACTTTATTTCCAATAAAATCAGAATATTAAAATAAATGGAAGATAGGAAGTGATCAGTTATCAATAAAATAAGAGTTGAAGAGAATACTCTAGATATATTACTATAGTTTATGTTTAGTTAATTAATCAATTCTGAATGTAACACGTATTGCCAGGAAATACTCGAGAACATAATCCAATTCCACGAAATTACATTTGCTATTGGGTTAAAAGAAAGATATATGATGTTATCTCTCATGTCAAATAACATTTATGCATAGCACAACAGACGAAGAACAATGCTGATCCAAACATAAGAAGGATGTCAAATTATAGAGCTTCTCAATCACAGCCGAATAGTGTATGAACACAGGATATATAGTGTAGTTGACAAGTAAAACGAATTATCTTCCTCCTTTTGTCTCTTTGCTTGGCGCGGAAGAAATGCCACGCCTCTGTAATATTTTAAAATCTGAAGAACTTTTTGGTCAAACACGTTACACATATTCATAAATAAATATTAAAACAAGAATACCACGGTAACCTAAAAGATGACAAAAAAATCTTGACCTAGAATCTAACAAGAAGAGAGACAAGAGAAGTCTCAGGCCTCCAAAGATAGATTTTGCTCAACCCTGAAATGATAGTACATGGGAGATCTGCTGATGGTCCTCACACAAGTATCTCTTGGGGATCTCCAAAAACTGAGGTCGTCTTCTGCGTTTCCTGTATCTACTCCATATTTATATAAGTAAGTTACACGGCCTGGCTCATCCGTGATCACAATTGAGTTCCCGGGCACACCACAACCATCAGGAAGCTCCTTACCCGAGCAAGAGAGATTTCCCAAGAATCCCATAATAAAAAACACGGTCTCCTAATCGGTGACCACGACCCATTTACCAGCCTCCTCATCTAGCCTTCTCACTCTTAATATTAACTGACTAAAATCTCTCACCAGTAGTAGGAGGGACAATTACTTTAACCAGGAAAAGTTCATCATTGCCAGATGGGACAAGACAGTTTACTATCTCCAGAGGCAGCGACGACGGAATCGTGAGAGTCACGTCCAAAGAATAAGGATCGATAACCAGAATTTCCCCTGGAAAAGATGCATAAAATTGCCTCTAAAAGTGACTAAATCCCAGCATGAACCATTTAGGACGTTCTCAAGCCGCTTCCACTTCATTTCAGCACTTGTTAACACAAACAAATACTAGTGCAGTTGAGAAGCACAACGAATTCCTCCACCTTCCTTGTTAAGTGGAAGGACAGCCATGCATATGTAGTCTTTTAGGTTCCCACCGAACATTCTGTACTCATAGCCTAGAGAGAGAATCTGGCAGTCGAGCATGTTCACCAAGGTTGGCTCAGATGATCCTGGGATCTTCACTGAACATTGAAGAGGAGGTGGAAGCTCTATATGATCCTCTGACTCATCTCTACGGCTATTCCTCCCACGAAAAACTCAGAAGCCGACTTAGCAGCAGCAGAGTACGGACTCTGAAGAGGAACAAAGGGATCTTCTCGAGGGTGCACAAGTCTTGTGGTGCTTCGGGAGAGGCTCCTGAACGAGGGAAGAGAGTAACTTGGCGTAATAGGCACAAGGAAAGGGGATTGTGGATCGCCACGAGCTGCAAACAGAGCGAGCATGAACTACATCGAAACAGTTCTCCAGTTTCTCGGAGATACTTGAAGCAGCTCATCAGGGAGAAGAGACCAGTCTGGCATGGACAATGTGTGCTCTTTTGTTGCCATTTTTGCTGACGGAGACGGAGACAGCTGCAGTTTCGAAACCTGAAAGAAAAATTACAATTTCTAGGGTTAACAAAATAATACAATAAACAGAGAAATCAAATCATATTTCTGCACTCAAAGTCTTACAAAATCCTCGAGAAGAGAGCAGTCTAGCATCACGGATGATGTCTTCTTCTCCGTTTCAGGTTCTGCCATGTTTGCTGATTGCTGCGATTTCCGAAAAATCTGAAAGTTAAAATTAAGCTTCTAGGGTTTTAGGAAACTGTAAACAAACATGATCCGAGAAGATATTATCCATAAAAATATTTCCAGAAGTATATATAAGAACTAGGTTTTTCAATTTCGTACCAAAAGGGAGAGACTTTTGAGTTCCGTAACAGTGAAGAAAAGATGTCAAACAACTTCGTCGTCTCCTTTTATATTTTCTTGTCTGTTCAAAAAAAAAAACTGAAAACCTAACCGCCTGTCCGATGTTAAAAAGTGGATTTTGGGAGTGCTGCTGTTAAAACGGAGGGTTTTGTTTAATCTCAAAGTTGTTAAAACGGAGGGTTTTCTTTATCCTTGTCTCTGTGGTGGTTTATGTGAGATTTTAAGATTTCCTGCAAACTAAAGTTACTCCAACATTCACAAATCTCACAACATACGACAATGATACAATTGAGGCTTCACTAGTTAAGCCAACTGTTAAATCATTAGCAAAACAAAACATAGATTCATTACAATACGTTTTGGGTACTTGCACAGTTGCATTACACTCAGATGCAGACTCATCTGGTCTCTTGCTTCACCTTAGAGCAGAACTTAAGGACACATCTTCTGTCTTCTTCCCAAATCAGCTTCAACATGATTGAATCACCTATTTTCACACAGTTAGCTTTGAAGAACTCTTTCCAGCCTCCAACCAATCTTTTTCTATCATATCCCTTCTCAGACCGAACATTCGTAGACCACTTCACACCGTCTTTATCCAACAGAGTCATTTTAGTTTCCTCATTGATGCCATTCATTCTCGTGAAGGGTACCGGAAGAAACTACAACAAAGTTTCAAATAAAGGATTCAAAGACTGGATAGACCTTTTGAGATCATAGAATGCAAAAAGACAAATGGCTTAGAGTGATGAAACTAACCAGTCTAGACCTTTCTAGAGCAAGAGCTGTAAGATTTAATGTCAAAAATCGGTTTTGGTTTAGATTAAGAGCTGAAGATGAAGCTTTCCCTGTCAGTCTAGGCTTCTCGAAGCTTTTCTCATCTTGGTTGATCTCTTCTTCATCATCGCTGTCGGATTCTGTGGAGAGAGACTCCATGTCATCACCTTCTGACGAGCAGTCTTCTTCTTCTTCGGATCCTGTGGGTGAAGGAGACTTGCGCAGAACCAGAGTCCCTCCTCTTTTGATCAGTTTGAAAGTGAAGAAGTCTCCAGCTTTTATTCCATTGGCATGACAGAAACTTCTCCACCCTCCTCTGATATACATAGTCCCACATGATTTCTTGCGTCTCAAGTTTAACGTCCATGATCTACCCTTTTCGTTCATCAGAACAATCTCTCCACATCTTGTGTGTAGACCATTTGCCCTCACAAAACTCATTGGAAGACGCTGGAAAATTCATGACAATACAACATGCTTTTGATCAAATTCAAACCATAGTATTATAATATTTTTAATTGTTCAAAATTAAGAGTTAAGAGTAGATTACCAGCGTATCATAGCGTAGTGCCGCAGGCGAGACTTTAGCCACAAAACAAGAAAGATCTAGTGAAGAAGACTCTGTTTCTCTCTCTGGATCTTTCTTCACTTTCTTCTTTCTCTGAATCTCTTCTGAAAGATAAGAAAATGATTCTCTCTACTTACTGATCCACATTCCAAAATTAGCTTAGACATTACAGTTTACACTTTGTTACATGAGCCTCATTTTATTAAATGTCTTAAGAGTTGGAGAGACACAGAACACAACTCACCGGGATTGCTCTCTTGATCGCTTTCAGAGTCTATTTGATCACCTTCTGAGCTCTCTCCTTCTTCTTCTTCTTTGGACTCTGTGGTGGACAAAAGTAGAACAAGAGTTCTTCCTCCTTGGATGAGTTTGAAAGTGAAGGAATCTCCAGCCTCAAGTCTATTGGCACGACAGAAACTTCTCCATCCTCTTGTGATAAAAATAGTTCCACATAGTTTTTGTCTCAAAGCTAAAGTCCATGATGATCCCTTTTCATTCTTCAGAATAATCTCTCCACATCCTGTCTCTATACCATTTTCCCTCACAAACCTCGTTGGTAAATACTGAAAATTCATTGCATGATTTTGATGTAATTCAGATCCTAGTATAAGAGTCTTTTTTTATTGTTCCAAATTAAGAGTTAAAAGTGGATTTACCAGTGTGTCATAACGTAGTGTCGAAGGTGCGACATTCCACACTAAAAAAGGGGGATCTAGTGAGGAAGACTTTGTTTCTTTTCTTGGATTCTTCTTCACTTTCTTCTTCTGTGGAGTCTTCCCTGAAAAAGAAAAGAATAAACCTCAGTAGCAAAGACATCAGCTAAACATTACAAGTCTAGTCTCAGAAAATCAGAGTCACAGGAAGAGTTAAAGGGAGACAGAACACAGAGCTCACCGAGGTTGTTCTCGTCTAGACACGACTCATATTGAATCTCACAGCAACTGGGTCCCAAGAGTGTTACATGGAAAGCCATGTCTTTCTCTTGTCTGAAAACGACAATGTCACCGATTCGAAGATCGTGTGCAAGAGCGAACTCTTTCCAACCATCAGTGAGTTTCTGGCCGTCTTCTACCTTCACTCCCCATGTTATCTTCGATGCGTCTGATCTCAGATTCGCCATCTTCTGTTCAGTTCTTCCTTCTATGCATTTCAAGAAGAATGCTGTAGGAATCGTCTAAAGAACATGCATGTACAAAAAAAGACCCATCTTTCTCAATGAGATTCTTAGAGAGACAAGAACAAATAGAGAAGTAGAGAGAAAGAGAGTGATAGAGAGTACCAAGTGGTTGAGGAAGCCGGGAAGCAGAGGCTTGAAGAAATGTTTTTTCACCATTCTCAAAATCTTTAGAAGCCCTAAATCATTTTATAGAGCATATGATTCCAGCACAACGTGGCTATGGGAGGAGAAAAAAACATAAACAGAATGAAGAGAAAACCTGAAATGAAGATCCTTTTTCTTCAATGATCCTACACAGCAATTTCCTGGAGAAAAGAGTGTAATAAAACCACCAGACCGAAGACGTTTCACTGTCCTCGGAACTAGAGGCTTAAAAGTTAAAACCATTTTATGACGATATTAAATATGGATATTTATTGTGGAGCTCTTGTTATCTGTGAAACAATTATTGAAGCCTTGGTTTCTACACTTTAACTTGCTTTCTTATTTCTAATTAACATTTATTTTTGTAATCATTAGTCTCCCAAGAACAGAACTTAAGTAGAGGAGTTGTGTTGTCTTGTTCATTAACGAACTCTAAAGCGAAGGAATCTCCTAACTTTACGCCATTAGCTTCACAAAACTCATCCCAACCATCCTCCAAAGCAACAATTCCGTCTCTTGACAATAGATAACCACACAACTCCATTCCGTTTTCACCCAAAATAGTCATCTTCCCAAGTTTGTTGATGCCATTATCCCTCATAAATCGATTTGGAAGATGCTGCAACACATTTCATTACCAATTACAGTTCAAGACACAAACAGGTTCAGATTCACTTCTTAAACAAGAGCTGTTTGATGAACTTACCAGTTTACAAACTTTGACATCTTCATGTGTGAGCGTTAATGTCACAAATCGGTTTTGGATTGCTGAGGACGAATCTCTTCTATTAGGTTCTGTGGAAACTGACTCGTTAGCTTTTGAAACACTAGACTCTGTGGGGAACAATCTGACAATAGGAGTTGAATCTCTCTCCTCTTTGATGACTTTTTCACAGCTGATAGGTTCTCCGTTGACCTGCTCTCCTTCTTCTCCTCCTCTGTCAATGCTACTTTCTGCAGGGCACAACCTGAGCACAGGTTTTGTGTCTTCCCAAATCAACTCGAGCGTGAAGGAGTCGCCCGTATTGAAGCCATTTGCTTTCGCAAAATCTTTCCAGCCACTTCCCAAATACATTAATCCATTTCCTTTGTCTAATAACAAACTTGTCTTCTGCTTTATACCATCGCTTCCCAACAGAGTAATCATCCCAGGCTTGGTAATGTCATTCTCTCTCGTGAATTTCTTAGGAAGAACCTGTGGAAAATTTGAATAATAAGCAAAAAATAAGTGTCAAAACCGTTACAAGAACAATAAAATAACACTGTAAGGTTTTATAGACTTACCAGTCTACACTGTGCGACGCTGTAAGGTTTAATTGTTAATGTCACAAATTGGTTTTGGCTAGATGGAGTTCTCCCTCTCAGATGATTCTTCTCTCTCTCCTCTTTGTTATTCTCAACTTTGCTGATCTTGTCACTGTTGGTAGGATTCATGAAAAGAGACGGTCTCTTGATAGCTTTTGAAAACTCTTCTTGCTCTCTGTCCTTTGTAGATTCTGCACAGCACAAACTGAGGACAGGAGTTGTGTCTTCCCACATCAACTTGAGTGTGAAGCCCGTCTCTACACCGATTGATTTAGCGAAATCTCTCCAACCTTTACCCAAACTCATTGTACCTTTCTTGTCCAAGTTAAGGTTTGTCGGCCACTTTGTACCAACGCTATCCGATAGATATATCTTCCCTGGCTTGTTGATGCCATTCTCTCTCAGGAATGCTGATGGAAGAGTCTGTAGACATTTTGAACAGAGGAGGAATGAAGATGCGTACGTCAAATCAAATCAGTAGCAGCATCAAGAGGTGTGTTTTCGATGAAACTTACCAGTTTACAAACTCTGGCATAATCAGGTGGAAGTGTAAATGTTACGAGTCGCTTATGAGACGGTGAATATGATGAATATGATTTAACTCTTTGTTTCGGACTATACTTCTTTCTTTCTGTCTCCATCATTGAGCTGCGCTCGTCTTCACTGGTCTCCTCCCCTTCTGTGTCATCTTCCTCGCTGCTAAGTTCTGCGGAATAAGATTCCATCCCACTAACTTTGCTGATCTTGTCTCTGTTGCTAGCATCTGTGGAAAGAGACTGTTTTGGAAACTCTTCTTGCTCTCTGTCACTGGTAGATTCTGCACAGCACAAACTAAGGACAGGAGTTGTGTCTTCCCATATCAACTTGAATGTGAAGCCTGTCTCTACGCCGTTTGATTTAACAAAATCTCTCCAACCCTTTCCCAAGCGCATTGATCCATTCCTGTCCGAGAGAAGCTTTGTCGGCCACTTTACACCATCTTTACCCAATAGATATATCTCCCCTGGCTTGTTGATGCCATTCTCCCTCAGGAATAGTGATGGAAGAGTCTGTAGATATTTGAACAGAGGAGGAATGAACAAACATGCGTACGTCAAAACAAAATAAGGGCAGAATCAAGAGGTGTTTTCGATGAAACTTACCAGTTTACTAACTCTGGCAAAATCAGGTGGAAATGTATATGTTATGGATTGCTTATGACATGGCGAATATGATGAATATTTGCAAACTCCTCCTTTCCGACTATACTTCTTATTCTCTGTCTTTATCATTGAGCTGCACTCGTCTTTGCTGCTAAGGTTATCAGAGGAATCACTGTTCTCATCATCTATTTTCTCTTCCTCGCTGCTAAGGTTATCAGAGGAATCACTGTTCTCATCTTCTATGTTCTCTTCCTCGCTGCTAAGTTCTGCGGAAAGAGATTCTCTCCTGCTGGCTCTTGAGAAGTCTCTTTGCCTTTTATCATTGATAGTCTCTGTAGGGGAGAAACTGAGCACAAGCGTTTCCCCGTTTCCCACTAGCTTAAACATGAAGAAGCCTCCTGCTTGTTGACCGTTTTCTTCACAGAACTCTCTCCAGCCTCCGCTTATGTAGAAAGTATTCAATGATTTGTTGAACCTTAGATCAAACTCCCATGAATTTACCCTCCATCTAAGAAAACAGCTTTGCGGCAGTTTCTTGTAATACCATTTGAACTCGTGAAATGTTGTGGAAGATACTGGTCACAAATTAACACAAAGGTCACATTAATTTACATAGAGGCAGCTTTGTATATCACTTGGACCAGAAAAAGGGTTCAGGCATTTTCACATGACTAACCAACTTAACAATAATATAGCAAAAAACTTGAACAAACTCTTTCTTCAGTGACATGATTATATATGAAATTCGGTTTTACTTCGGAAACTTTTCTCCCACACCTAAGTAAACAAAGATGAGCCAAATCCAACTTGAAGCTACAATACATAGAGTTACCTAAGCCATTTTCTTAACTTAACTTTTGATTTTACTTCAACAAATGTTCTCCCAAACCGGACAAGACTAGACTACACTACACCAAAAAATGTCCACAACTAGAAGCATCCGTTTATTTAGTGAGTGATTAAACCACAAATACCACTGTAATTTTGATGAATGAATGTAAGAGTAAAGTAAACAAAACACCAGCTTATCTGTGCGTAGACTCGAAGCCGTGACAACAGCCACGAAACATAAGTTGTCTGGTGAAGTAGAAGAAACTGCTTCAGCTTCAGGACTATTCTTCTTCACTTTCTTCTTCCTTGGATACTCTGAAACAGAAACATCTCCCACGTTAAACCTCACATACTCTTATTTTAAAAGGCCACTTGGAGTATTATAATATAACAGAAGTGAAATTACCCATGTCATTATCATTATCATCATCATCATCATCACCACCATCTCCATCATTTAACGGTAAATCTTCTTGTGTTCTTGGATGCAGACGCTTTTTCAACAAATTTTTACCTGAATTAGTAAAAAATAAAAAATAAAACCGCTCAAATTGCTTCTCCACCCTCACAAAGTTAAACTTCTTTCCCTACCAAATACATACCAATGTTAAAACAAGACTTACCAATGTCGTTGTCACCAACATTGTTGTTTCTCGGAGGCGGTAAGTCTCGGATCTCACAGCAGCTGGATCCTAAATCCGAAACATGGAACACCAAATTTCCTTCATATCTAACAAGAACGACCTCGCCGATTTTGAAATTGTTAGCTACGGCGAACTCTTCCCATCCGCTAGTGAGTCTCCGGCGAGTCATTTTAACTTTCCAGCGTATGGCCGAGGTGTCTGATTTCAGCTCCGCCGTCGTCTTCTCCGAGCTCTTTCCTTCAACATACTTGGAGAAGAAGTCCACAGGAATCGTCTACAACAAAGAGCAACACAAAATCAAGGGTTAAAAACAGAAGAAAAAAGCTGCTCGGAGGAGAGATAGAGAGAAGGAGAGATAGTTAGTTACGAGGTGAGTGTGAAAGCCAGGAACAAGCGTGTGGACGAATTGCGGGTGGAGAAGCGTTGATTTCGACATTTGCTCTCTTGAGTACAACGAATTTCTTATTTTCTGGGCAGTTTCTTCTCAGTGGCACAAAATGGTAAATAAAGGGAAATGTACAATCCGAGTTTGGAGAGGAAATTAAACAAAAATAAAACTGGGGGGAAGAAAATCAAAATGAAAACTGAAACCAACAGAGAGAGATTTTCACTGTTTGAGGTGAAAGAAGCTCCGAACTAAATCCATCTCTGTCTCGCTCAGTGTTCTTCGTTTCCGACTAATTCGTAAAAGTAGAAGATTTTTGACTTCCCCATTTTTCACAACAGATTAGCTCTGGGCTTAGAGAAATAGAGACTGGGCTCAATTTGGGCCTGTAACAGCCTAAATAAATGAAACTCTCATAAAAATTATAATTTGAGTATTTAGACAATAGTCCCAATATTTTAAGTATTAACATATTTAGACAAGCACATACGACCCATTCACTTCGTCCTCGTACTATGTCCGAAAGTAACGATGTGGGACAATTTCAGCAGTGTGTGTCAAAGTTTTTATTTTTTTGGGGTCATTTTCCATGGCTTGAAGACGACGTTTCACTGGTGAACTCTCTTTGAGCCTTAAAACCACTAGGTTTAGTTTTAAACATACTATCCATTCTAATTAGCATACTTGTATTTACAGTTTTAGTCTACCGAGAACAGAACTTAAGTCTTGTTCATTAACGAACTCTAAAGCGAAAGACTCCTAACTTCACAGCATTAGCTTCACAAAACTCATCCCAACAATTCTTCCAAAGCAACAGTTCCATCTCTGGACAAGAGATATGCAGACAACTCCATTTTGTTTTCACCCAAAATTATCATCTTCCCAGGTTGTTGATGCCATTAGCCTTCTTTTTGTTGTTGTCTATGGGAAGAGACTTTTCCTGGTTTGTTTCTGAACACTCTCCTCCTTCTGCTCCTTTGTCAATGCTACTTTCTGCGGGCCACAAGCTTAGCACAGGAGTTGTGCCTTCCCAACTCAACTTGAGTGTGAAGGAATCTCCGGTCTTTAAGCCGTTTGCTTTAGCAAAACATCTCCACCCGTTTCCCAAAGTCATGATGTCCGTTACTTTGTTTAAATACAATTTCGTCTGCTGCTTCATACCGTCTTTGCCCAACAAAGTCACCATCCCAGGCGTGTTGATCTCATTCTCCTTCGTGAACTTCCTTGGAAGACGCTGTAGAAGATTTTCAGTGACGAGCACACACAAACATATGTCAAAAGCCATTAAAAATTACTGTATAAACTTAAAAAAGTTGTTTGATAAACTTACCAGTATATTCTTTTCGACACTATAAGGTGTAATTGTTAATGTCACAAATTCTTTTTGGCTTGATGGAGTTGAGACTCTCTGTCTCCTATGCTTCTTCTCTCTTTCAACTGACCTATTCTTCTCTTTGTTATTCTCATTTTTACTCATCTTTTGTTTCTTGGAAGGATCTATGACAAGTGACTTTTTCTCTACAGCTTTTGAAAACTCTTCTTGCCCGCTGTCACAGCATAAACTAAGCACAGGTGTTTTGTCTTCCCAAATCAACTTGAACGTGAAGGAGTTGCCTATCTTTAAGCCGTTTGCTTCAACGAAACATCGCCATCCGTCTCCCAAATTCATACTTCCCGTTACTTTGTTTAAATGCAACTTCGTCTGCTGCTTTATACCGTCTCTGCCCAACAGAGTAATCATTCCAGGCTCATTAATGTCATTTGTCCTTGTGAATTTCCTTGGAAGACTCTGTGGATGTTACAGTGACAAGCAAGAAAAAACAAAAACAGCGTCAAAACCATTAAGAAGTACTATAAAATAACAACACCTGAAACTAAAGTTGTTTGATAAACTTACGCGTAAACACTTTTCGACACTATAAGGTGTAACTGTTAAGGTCACGAATTGTTTTTGGCTCGATGGAGTTGAATCTCTCCCTCTCAGATTGTTCTTCTCCCTCTCCCATGACCTTCTCTCCTCTTTGCTGACCATGTAACATGTTACAATGTCACGGATTTTTGTTGGCTCCATGTAACCGTCAATGTCTTCGTTGCTAAGTTCTGTGGAAAGAGATTCTCTCCCGCTAGCTTCAGTACACTCTCTCTGACTCTGCCTTATAGTATCAATGGATTCTTCAGGGCAGAAACTGAGCACAGGAGTTTCCCCGTTTCCCACTAGTTTAAACCTGAAGAAGCCTCCTGCTTTTTGACTGTTTTCCTCACAGAAACTTCTCCAACGTTGGCTAATGTAAAAAGTATCAGATGATTCGTCGAACCTCAGATCCAATAGCCATGATCTTTCCTCTCCATCTATTATAACAATCTTGCGGCAGTTTCTTGTAAGACCATTTAAGTTTGTGAAATGTTGTGGGAGATACTGCAAAACACCAGATTAACACTAGAGTCAGCTGTTTTGCATATCACTTGACCAAGAATGGATTCAGGCAATTTCAGCATTTCGTCATGACTAACCAACTTAACGATGTTATAGGAAACATAAACGAACACTTTCTTTTGTTACATGACTGTGTATCAGGCAAATAATGAAAGTTTAATCAATCCACATGAAACCTAACAAGATTTAAGAGAATCAAAATGAAATTCGGTTTTACTTACACCAAAGATGAACCAAGCTAAATTACAGTTAGTTACCTAAGCCATTTTATCAAACCGAAATAAGATAAAAGTTTAAAATAACTTTTGATTCTTCTCCCAAACATAACTACACTCAGACTACACCTAAATGACCACCACCACCACTAGAAGCAGCCATTGATTTAGTAAGTGATTAAACCACAATACGCAAAAAAAAAGAAAAAAAAATAGTATGTAGTTTTGCAAGAGTAGAGTAAACACCAGTTTATCTGAGAGTAGATTCGAAGCCGTGACAATGGCCACAAAACAGGACTTGTCTGATGAAGAAGACGAAACTGCTTCTGCTTCAGCTTCAGGACTGTTCTTCTTCACTTTCTTCTTTCTTGGAAGCAGCTCTGTATCAGAAACATCATCGTTTGAGGAAAAGTCTACTTGTGTTGTTGGATACAGACGCTTCTTCAACAAACTTCTACCTGATTTGGCAAACACAAAAATCACTCAAATTGCCTGATTTTTTTGCAGTAACCGTTTCTTACTGATCTCCAAACGCAGAAATCACTTACCAATGTCGTCCTGACCATCATTGTCGTTGCTTGGAAGCTCACACCAATTGGGTCCTAAATCCGAAACATGGAAGACCATATCTCCTTCATATCTGACAAGGACGACGTCGCCGATTTGAAGCTCATGAGCAACGGCGAACTCTTCCCAGCCTTCACCGAGTCTCCGATCAGTCATCTTCACTTTCCAGTTTATATCCGACCCGTCCGATTTCACCTCCGCCGTTGTCTTCTCCAAGCTCTTTCCTTCAACATACTTTGAGAAGAAGTCTGCAGGAATCGTCTACAAACAACAACAGCAAACTAAAAGAGGATGAATTGTCTCTGGAGAGGCTGCTCGGAAGAGGAAACAGAGAGAAGGAGAGATAATTACGAGGTGAGTTTGAAAGCCATTAACAAGTGTGTGGAAGAATTGCGGGTGAAGACGCCTTGATTTCGACATTGTCGAAGAAACTTCAAGAAAAAAGCCCTAGAAAATCATTTGCTCTAAGTTCTACACATTTCTTATATCTGGGCAGAGAAAAGAAAAGAAAATAACGGATTTTTTTGGCAGTGGCACAAATTGGTAAATATAAACATGTTTGTGGTTCACAAAATCCTTGTTTGAGGAGGAAATAAAACAGTGACGACAATACAGAGACACTTCCACTGTTTGAGCTGAAGAACAGTTAGATTTGGGGCTTAGAGTAACAGAGTGTAGGTTGGATCTGGATTTAAACATACTTTCTATTACTGATTAACACTTTTGTATTTATTACAAGTCTACCGAGAACAGAACCTAAGCACAGGAGTTGTGTTGTCTTGTTGATTAACTAACTCTAAAGTGAAAGAATCTCCTAACTTGACACCATTAGCTTCACAAAAGTCATCCCAACCATCTTCCAAAGCAGCAGTTCCATCTCTAGACAACAGAAACGCAGACAATTCCATTCCGTTTTCACCCAAAATAGTCATCTTCCCAAGTTTGTTGATGCCATTATCCTTCAAGAACTGATTTGGAAGTTGCTGCAACACATTTCATTTACCAATTAGAGAATTCAAGGCACAAACTAATTCACTTCTGAAACAAGACTTGTTTGATAAAATGAACTTACCAGTTTACAGGCTCTGACGTCTTCATGCGTTAGTGTTAATGTGACAGATCGGTTTTCCATCTCTGGAGATGGATCTCTCTTTCTAAGTTCAGCGTCTTCCGTGGAAATCATCGACTCTTTCTTGTAAGCTTTTGAACTGTTAGACTAAGTACGTAAGAACTTGAGCATAGGAGTTTCATCTTCCCAGATTGACTCCAATGTAAAGCATTCCCCTAGCTTTAACTCGTTTGCTTCAGCAAAAACTTTCCAGCCATTTCCCAAATTCCTTCTTCCATCACTTTCCCATACAAGATTTGATGCCCACTTTTTACCATCTTTTCCCAACAGATATATCATTCCAGGCTTGATCATGTTATTCTCCATGACGAATTGCCTTGGAAGATGCTGAAAAATATTTTGTAAGGAGAATAAGATAAAGAGAGTACCAGAGATAAACTAATCCTCTGAAACAAGAGTTGGTTGTATGAACTTACCATTCTTTTCTCTTGAAGAATCTCAGGTGTGATTGTCAACGTCAAGAATCGGTTTTGGCTCCGTGAAGCTGAGTCCATACATCTCAGGTGATTATTATCTGTCTCCCATAAACTGCTCTCCTCTTTAATGGTTTCCTCTTTACAGTTTTGCTCTTTACTGTTGTCTATGGGAAGAGACTTGTTCTGGTTTGTCTCTGAACAGTCTCCTTCTCCTCCTCTGTCAATGCTACTTTCTGCGGGGCACAAGCTGAGCACAGGAGTTGTGCCTTCCCATTTCAACTTGAGTGTGAAGGAATCGCCCATCTTCAAGCCGTTTGCTCTAACTAAATCTTTCCACCCTTTTCCCAAATACATCCTTTTCTGTGATTTGTCTAGTAGCAGTTTCGTCTGGTGCTCTATACCATCTTTGCCTAACATAGTCACTATCCCAGGCTTGTTGAGGTGATTCTCCCTTGTGAATTCTATAGGAAGACGCTGTGGAGGATTTCAATGATAAGCAAGAAAATGCATCAAAACCATTAAAAAGTACAATTAACTAAGGGAAACAACTGCCGAAACAAAAGTCGTTTGATAAACTTACCAGTATACCCCTTTCGACACAGTAAGGTGTTATTGTTAACGTCACAAAATGTTTTGTGCTCAATGGAGTTGAATCTCTCCATCTCAGATTCTTCTCCCTCTCCGGTGACCTTGTCTCCTCTTTGTTGCTAGGATATATGAAAAGAGACTGCTTGTCACTTCTAGATTTTTCACAGCATAAACTAAACACAGGAGTTGTGCCTTCCCATTTCAACTTGAGCGTGAACGAATCGCCAGTATTGAAGCCGTTTGCTTTAACAAAATATTTCCAGCCGTATCCCAATAACATTGCTCCAGCTGGTTTTTCTTTTAGCAATCTCGCATGCTGCTTTTTACCGTCTTTGCCCAACAGAGCAATCATCCCAGGCTTGTTGATGTGATTCTCCCTTGTGAATTTTCTTGGAAGACGCTGTGGAAGATTTCAGTGATAAGCCAAATGCATCAAAACCCATTAAAAAAGTACAATTAACTAACAATAGCTGCAACAAAAGTTGTTTGATAAACTTACCAGCACACAACTTTTCACACTAGAAGGTGTAATTGTTAAGGTCACAAATTCTTTTTGGCTCGATGGAGTTGAATCTCTTCCTCTCAGTTGGTTCTTCTCCCTCTCCCATGACCTTCTCTCCAGTTTTTTATTCTCATCTTTGCGAAGTTCTGTGGAAAGAGATTCTCTCTGGCTTGCTTCAGAACAGTCTCTTTGCATTCTATCATTGATAGATTCTTCAGGGAAGAAACTGAGCACAGGAGTTTCCCCGTTTCCCACCAGCTTAAACATAAAAAAACCTCCTGCTTTTTTACTGTTTTCATCACAGAAACTTCTCCAGCCTGTGCTTATGTAAGAAGTACCAGGTGATTCATCGAACCTCAGATCCAATACCCATGATCTTTCCCCTCCATCCATTACAAGAATCTTGCGGCAGTTTCTTGCAAGACCATTTGAGCTCGTGAAATGTTGTGGAAGATACTGCAAAACACCAGTGTAACACAAGAGTCAGTTTTCGGAATCACTAGACCAAAAAAAGGATTCAGGCAATTTCAGCATTTCATCATGACTAATCAACTTAACAATAATATAGGATACGTAAAGGAGCCAAAGATGAACCAAGCCAAAGTTGAAGCTAAATAGTTACCTAAGCCATTTTAACAAATCTTGATTAAATTATATTTTGATTTTACTTCCAACAAATCTTCTCCCAAAGATGATTAGACTCAATCTACACCTAAATGACCACCACCACCACTAGAAGCAGCTATTCATTTACTGAGTGACTAAACCACAATATGAAAACAATATTAGTATGTAGCTTCGCAAGAGTAGAGTAAACACCAGTTTATCTGAGAGTAGATTCGAAGCCGTGACAAGGGCCACAAAACATGACTTGTCTGATGAAGAAGAAGAAACTGCTTGTGGTTCTGCTTCTGCTTCAGGACTGTTCTTCTTCACTTTCTTCTTTCTTGGAAGCTCTGTTTACCATATGTTAAAGCCTCAGATACTATTCATATAACAAAAAAATAATATACAAGATAAGTGAAATTATTACCCATGTTATCATCATCGTTTGATGAAAAGTCTACTTGTGTTGTTGGATACAGACGCTTCTTCAACAAACTTCTACCTGATTTGGCAAACACAAAAATCACTCAAATTGCCTGATTTTGCAGTAATCGTTTCTCACTGATCTCCAAACGCAGAAGTCACTTACCAATGTCGTCCTGACCATCATTGTCCTTGCTTGGAATCTCAGAGCAGTTGGGTCCTAAATCCGAGACATGGAAGACCATATCTCCTTCGTACCTGACAAGTACCATGTCGCCGATTTGAAGATCGTGAGCGAGCGCAAACACTTCCCAGCCATCACTGAGACTCCGGCCAGTCATCTTCACACTCCAGGCTCTATCCGAGGCGTCCGATTTCAGCTCGGCCGTCTCCTTTACGCTACTTCCTTCAACATACTTGGAGAAGAAGTCTACAGGAATCGTCTACAAACAGAAACAGCAAAACAAACAAAAAGATGAATGTCTCTGGATAGGCTGGCTGCTCGGAAGAGAGAAAAAGAGGGAAGGAGACATAATTACGAGGTGAGTTTGAAAGCCATTAACAAGTGTGGAGAAGAATTGCGGGTGAAGACGCTTTGATTTCGCTATTGTCGGAGAAACTTGAAGAGAAACAAAAGAAAACAAAACCTAGAAATCTTTTGCTCTAAAAGTACTGGACATTTCTTATTTTCTGGGCAGAGAAAAGAACGGATTTTTTTGGCAGTGGCACAAAATGGTAAATAAATACATGTTTGTGGTCAACAAAATTCGAATTTTGAGGAGGAAATAAAACAGTGACAACACAGTGTCCCGACAACATAGTACACTTTTCACTGTTTGAGCTGAAGAACAGTTAGATTGGGCCTTAGAGCAAGAGAGTTTAGGTTATATTTGGGCCTGAAACCGCCACAAAATTATAACGAGAAATCTGAGATGATAGTGAATCCAACGCAGGACTGAAAGAAGATGGTCTTTCACCATACGGTCACTAGTAACTCGAATGGAGGATATATGGTGTTGTGGAGACAGAACACACTTTGTGGAAGGTTTGGTTTAAACATGTTTGTATTTATTACAACTTTACAAGTCTAACAAGAACAGAACCTAAGTAGAGGAGTTGTGTTGTCTTGTTCAGCAACGAACTCTAAAGTGAAAGACTCTCCTAACTTCACACCATTAGCTTCACAAAACTCACCCCAACCATCTTCCAAAGCAGCAGTTCCATCTCTCGACAATAGATACGCAGACAATTCCATTCCGTTTTCACCCAAAATAGTAATTTTCCCAAGTTTGTTGATACCATTATCCTTCAAGAACTGATTTGGAAGATTCTGCAACACAATTCATTTACCAATTAGAACTCCAGGCACAAAACTAATTCACCTCTGAAACAAGAAATGGTTTGATGAACTTACCAGCTTACAGGCTCTGGCATCTTCATGAGTTAGTGTTAATGTGACAGATCGGTTTCCGATTGCTGGAGATAAATCTCTCTTTCTAGGCTCAGTCTCTTCCTTGGAAATCATCGGCTCTTGATTGTTAGCTTTTAAACTACTAGACTCTGTGCTGAGAAACCTCAGGATAGGAGTTTCATCTTCCCATATTAACTCCAATGTAAACGTCTCGCCTGGCTTAAACTCGTTTCCTTCAGCAAAAACTACCCATCCATTTCCCAAACTCCATCTTCCGTCTTTTTCCTCTGCAAGATTTGTCGCCCACTTTTTACCATCTTTCCCCAACAGATAAATCATTCCAGCCTTGTTCATGCCATTCTCCATTACGAATTTCGTTGGAAGACGCTGGAAAAGATTTGAAGGAGACTAATAAGATTACAAGAGAAAAAAAAAACTAAACCCGCTAAAACAAGAGTTGGTTCTCTGAACTTACCAAACTTTTATCTTGGAGAATCTTAGGTGTGATTGTTATTGTCAAGAATCGGTTTTGGCTTGGTGAAGTTGAGTCCATACATCTCTGGAGCTTATACTCTCTCAGCCCTACGCTGCTTTCTTCTTTGCTTCTTTCCTCTTTGTTGTTGTCTATGGGAAGACAAGTTTTCTGGTTTGTTTCTGCATGGCCCAAGCTGAGCACAGGAGTGTTGCCTTCCCAAATCAACTTGAGTGTGAAGGAATCGCCAGTATTGAAGCCATTGGCTTTAACGAAATCTTTCCATCCTTTTCCCAAATACATGACTCCTGTTCTTTGGTTTAAATTCAATTTCGTCTGCCGCTTTATACCGTCTTTTCCCAACAGAATGATCATCCTAGGCTTGTTGATATCATTCTCCCTCGTGAATCTCAATGGAAGATTCTGTGAAAGATTTCAGTGATAAGCAAAACAACGGTCAAATTCATTAAAAAGAAACTAACAACCCTTGAAGCAAAAGTTGTTTGATAAACTTACCAGCATACCCTTTTCGGCACTGTAAGGTGTAATTGTCAATGTCACAAATTGTTTTTGGCTCGATGGAGTTGAGACTCTCTGTCTCCTATAGCCGCTTGCATTTACACTTTCTTCTTTGCTTCTTACCTCTTTGTTGTTGTCTATGGGAAGAAAAGTTTTCTTGTTTGTTTCTGCAGGGCACAAGCTGAGCACAGGAGTGTTGCCTTCCCAAATCAACTTGAGTGTGAAGGAATCGCCAGTCTTAAAGCCATTTGCTTTAACGAAATCTTTCCATCCTTTTCCCAAAGACATGATTCCTGTTCTTTGGTTTAAATTCAATTTCGTCTGCTGCTTTATACCGTCTTTTCCCAACAGAATGATCATCCCATGCTTGTTGATATCATTCTCCCTCGTGAATCTCAAAGGAATATGCTGTGAAAGATTTCAGTGATAAGCAAAAAAAAAACAACGGTTCAATTCACTAAAAAGAAACTAACAACCTCTGAAGCAAAAGTTGTCTGATAAACTTACCAGCACACAATTTTTGAGAGTACACGGTGTAATTGTTAAGGTCACAAAATGTTTTGGGCTCAATGGAGTTGGATCTCTCCCTCTCAGATTGTTCTTCTCCCTCACCCTTGACCTTCTCTCCACTTCGTAATCCTCATCTTCGCTATCATTGTCTTTGTTGCTAAGTTCTGTGGAAAGAGATTCTCTCCCGCTAGCTCCAGAACAGTCTCTCTGACTTCTATTATTTCTTCCACCACGACCGCGGTTGTTGTAGCCTATGCCTTGTTGTTGATGAGGCTTTAGGATAGATTCTTTAGGGCAGAAACTGAGCACAGGAGTTTCCCCATTTCCCACTAGTTTAAACATGAAAAAGCCTCCTGCTTTTTTACTGTTTTCATCACAGAAGCTTCTCCAACCTCTGCTAATGTAAAAAGTATCAGATGATTCGTCGAATCTCAGATCCAATACCCATGATCTTTCCCCTCCATCCATTACAAGAATCTTGCGGCAATCTCTGGCAAGACCATTTGAGCTCGTGAAATGTTGTGGGAGATACTGCAAAACACCAATATTAACACAAGAGTCAGATTTGCATATCACTTGACCAAAAAATGTATATGTAATTTCGGCATTTCGTCATGACTCCTTTGTTATCAGTTTCATGACTAACCAACTTAACAATGTTATAGGAAACATAAACGAACACTTTCTTTTGTTACATGATTGTGCAGCAGGCAAATAAGGGAAATGAAATCAATCCACATGAAACCAAACCAGATCAAACAGAGTCAAAACGAAATTCGGTTTTACTTACACCACAGATGAACCAAGCCCAAAGTTGAAGCTAAATTAGATTTAGTCACCTAAGCTATTTTAACAAATTGAAATTAACTTTTGATTTTACAACCAACAAATCTTTTCCCTAACATGATGACTAGACTTAGACTACACCTAGATGTCCACCACCATCACCACATCAGCCATTTATTTAACGAGTGATTAAACAACAATATGCAAAAACTATTACAATGTAATTTTGGTGAATGCAAGAGTAGAGGTAAACACCAGTTTATCTGAGAGTAGATTCGAGTCCGTGACAAGGGCCACAAAACATGACTTGTCTGATGAAGAAGAAGAAACTGCTTCTGCTTCTGCTTCAGGACAGTTCTTCTTCAGGTTCTTCTTCCTTGGAAGCTCTGCATCCATAAACAATCCCACATTTTAAAACCTCAAATACAATTTCATATAAATACAGAAGAATACAAGAGAAGTGAAACTACCAATGCTATCATCATCATCGTTTGATGAAAACTCTACTTGTGCTTTTGGATACAAACGCTTCTTCAACAAACTTCTACCTGATTTGGCAAAACCAAAACCGCTCAAATCACCTGACTTTTGCAGTTATTGATTTTCAAAAACGCAGAAATCAGAATAAGGCTTTACCAATGTTGTATTGAACGTCTTGAATCTCACAGCAACTGGATCCTAAATCCGAAACATGGAAGATCATATCTCCTTCGTATCTGACAACGATTACATTGCCGATTTGAAGATGATGATCAACGGCGAATCTTTCCCAGCCATCATCGAGACTCCGGCCAGTCATCTCCACTCTCCAAGTTATATCAAACCTGTCGGATTTGACCTCCGCCGTCTGCATCTCCAAGCTTCTTCCTTCAATGTACTTGGAGAAGAAGTCTACAGGAATCGTCTACAGTAGCAACAAAAACACAAAAAGATGAAATTTTTGTGAAAAAGCTGCTCGGAGAGAAAAAAACAAAAAAAGTAAAAGAGAGAGGGAGAAGGAGAGATAGTTACGAGTTGAGTGTGGAAGCCATTATCAAGCGTGTGGAAGAATTGCGGGCAAAGACGTGTTGATTTCGCCGTCGTCGCCATCGTTGGAAGAATCTCAAGAGAAACAAAAGAATCGGATTTTGGGCGGTGACACAAATTGATAAAGGTTTGTGCTTTGCTTAACAAAATCCGAAGTTTGAGGAGGAAATGAGATAAAAACAGTGACAACACAGAGACGATGTCACTGCTTGAACTGAAGAACAGTTAGATTGGGCCTCAAAGTTTAAGGTGTAGATTGGATTTGGGCCTGACGTCATAAATATATAGATTTTCTCTAATGTTTTTCATATAGTGAAATCGTTGGGAATTTTTCTTTTCAAATAGTTGGACTATTATTAGCAGCGGCATATCTAGGAGTAGACAGACTAAAAGTTAAAACACACCTGATAAACAAAAAAATGAATACTAAAACCTTTTTTTGTTCAAAACTCGAAGATATATGATCATGATTTTTAAATTAGTCCTTAGAGGGTAACTTATACTACACTCTCAAGGAAAGTAAAAACTCCGTACAACGCTAGTTTCGATTAACACTTCCTATAAACGACTCTTATTAACAAATTTTCTACTTAATTAGTCTTAACGAGAACAGAACCTAAGTACAGGAGTTGTTTTGTCTTGTTCATTAACGAACTCTAAAGTGAAAGACTCTCCTAACTTCACGCCATTAGCTTCACAAAAGTCATCCCAACCATCTTCCAAAGCAGCAGTTCCATCTCTTGACAAGAGAAACGCAGATAATTCCATTCCGTTTTCACCCAAAATAGTCATCTTTCCAAGTTTGTTGATGCCATTATCCTTCAAGAACTGACTTGGAAGATTCTGCGACGCATTTCATTTACCAATTAGAACTCAAGGCACAAAATTAATTCACCTCTGAAACAAGAGGATTTTGATGAATGAACTTACCAGCTTACAGGCTCTGACATCTTCAGGAGTTAGTGTTAATGTCACTGATCTGTTTTCGATCGCTGGAGATGGATCTCTCTTTCTCGGATCAGTGTCTTCCGTGGATATCATCGACTCTGTGCTGAGTAACCTGAGCATAGGAGTTTCATCTTCCCATAAACTGCTCTCCTCTTTGATGGTTTCCTCTTTACAGTTTTCCTCTTTACTGTTGTCTATGGGAAGAGACTTTTTCTTGTTTGTTTCTGAACATTCTCCTTCTCCTCCTCTCTCAATGCTACTCTCTGCGGGGCACAAGCTGAGCACAGGAGTTGTGCCTTCCCAAATCAACTTGAGTGTGAAGGAATCGCCGGTTTTTAAGCTGTTTGCTTTAGCGAAATCTCTCCATCCTCTTCCCAAAGTCATGATTCCCCGTTTTTTGTTTAAGAGCAATTTTGTCTGCTGCTTGATACCGTCTTTCCCCATTAGAGTAATCATCCCAGGCTTGTTGATATCATTCTCCCTCGTGAATCTCATTGGAAGATGCTGTGAAAGATATCAGCGATAACCAAAAAAAAAAACACACGTCAAAATCATTACAAAGTACAATAAACTAACAACCGCTGAAACAAAAGTTGTTTGATAACCTTACCAGTATACACTTTTCGACGCTATAAGGTGTGATTGTTAATGTCACAAATTCTTTTTGGCTTGGTGAAGTTGAGACTCTCCGTCTCCTATGATTCCTCTCTCTCTCAACTGTCCTTCTCTCTTCTTTGCTGATCTTCCCTTTGTTGGTAGAATCTATGAAAAGAGACGGTTTCTCTACAGCTTTTGAAACCTCTTCTTGCCCTCTATCAATCCTACATTCTGCGGGGCACAAGCTGAGCACAGGATTTGTGCCTTCCCATTTCAGCTTGAGCGTGCAGGAATCTCCCGTTTTTAAGCCGTTTGCTTTAACAAAATCTCTCCAACCGGTTCCCAAATTCACCATTCCCGATAATTTGTTTGAATGCAGTTTCGTCTGCTGCTTTATACCGTGTTTTCCCAACAAAGTTATCATCCCACGCTTGTTGATATCATTCTCCCTCGCGAATTTTATTGGAAGACTCTGTGGAAGATTTGGGTGATAAGCAAAAAAAGAACTACGTCAACACCATTAAGAAGTATCACAAATAAAACAACCCTGAAACAAAAGTTGTTAGACAAACTTACGCGTAAAGACTTTTGGACACTATAAGGTGTAACTGGTAATGTCACATATTCTTTTCGGCTTGTTGGAGTTGAGAGACTCCATCTCCTACGCTTCTTCTCTCTCTCAACTGACCTTCTCTTCTTTATGTTATTCTCATCTTTGTTGCAAGGATCTACGAAAAGAGACGGTGTCTCTACAGCTTTTGAAAACTCTTCTTGCCCTCCGTCACAGCATAAACTAAGCACAGGTGTTTTTTCTTCCCAAGTTAACTTGAATGTGAAGGAGTTGCCTATCTTTAATCCGTTTGCTTCAACAAAATCCTTCCATCCGCTTCCCAAATTCATACTTCCCGATACTTTGTTTGAATGCAACTTCGTCTGCTGCTTCACACCGTCTCTGCCCAACAGAGCAATCATTCCAGCCTCGTTGATGTCATTCTCCCTAGTGAATTTCCTTGGAAGACCCTGTGGAAGATTTCAGTGATAAGCAAGAAAGAAAAACCATTAAGAAACACTATAAAGTAAAAACCCCTGAAACTAAAGATGTTTGATAAACTTACGCGTAAGCACTTTTCGACACTATAAGGTGTAACTGTTAAGGTCACGAATTGTTTTTGGCTCGATGGAGTTGAATCTCTCCCTCTCAGATTGTTCTTCTCCCTCTCCCATGACTCTCTCCTCACTTTGTTATTCTCATCTTTGCGAAGTTCTGTGGAAAGAGATTCTCTCTGGCTAGCTTCAGTACACTTTCTTTGCCTTCTATTATCAATAGTCTCTGTAGGGCAGAAACTAAGTACTGGAGTTTCCCCGTTTCCCACTAGCTTAAACCTGAAGAAGCCTCCTGCTTTTCTACTGTTTTCGTCACAGAAGCTTCTCCAACGTTGACTAATGTAAAAAGTATCAGATGATTCGTCGAGCCTCAGATCCAATAGCCATGATCTTTCAACTCCATCTATTATAACAATCTTGCGGCAGTTTCTCGTAAGACCATTTGAGCTTGTGAAATGTTGCGGGAGATACTGCGAAACACCAATATTAACAAAAGAGTCAGCTTTGTAAACCACTTGGCCAAAACAGGTTTCGGAAATTTTCAGCATTTCGTCATGACTCCTCGTTTAGTTTCATGCCAAACCAACTTAGCAGTAAACACCTTCTTTTGTTACATGATTGTGTAGCAGGCAAATAAGGAATTTTTTTTTATCAATCCACATGAAACCAAACCAGATCAAACAGAATCAAAATGAAATTCGGTTTTACTTACACCAAAGTAAAACAAAGATGAACCATGCCCCAACTTGAAGCTAAATTACATACACTTACCTAAGCCGTTTCATCAAACCCAACAAAGACCATACTGAATTTAACTTTAACAAATCTTCTCCCAAACAACTAGTAGCCGTTCATTTAGTGAGTTACTAAACCACAATAGGAAAACAAAAAAAACTAGTAGCATGTAATTTTGGTGAATGCAAGAGTAAAGTAAACACCAGTTTATCTGTGCGTAGACTCGAAGCCGTGACAGTGGCCTCAAAACATGACTTGTCTGATGAGGAAGAAGAAACTGCTCCTGCTTCTGCTTCATTCTTCTTCAGTTTCTTCTTCCTCGGAAGCTCTGCATCCATAAACAATCCCACATTTTAAAAACCTCAGATACAATTTCATATTTTCATATAAATACAACAGAATAATCATACAAGAGAAGTGAAATTACCAATGCTATCATCATCATCGTTTGATGAAAACTCTACTTGAGTTCTTGGATACAAACGCTTCTTCAACAAACTTCCACCTGATTTGGCAAAAAGCAAAATCGCTCAAACCACCTGATTTTTTAATTTGTTTCTTTCTAAATACATGTTTGATTATTGATCTCCAAAAACGCAGAAGCCGGGATCAAGGCCTTACCAATGTCGTCTTTAACGTTTTCAACCTCACAGCAACTGGATCCTAAATCCGAAACATGGAAGATCATATCTCCTTCGTATCTGACAACGATTACATTGCCGATTTGAAGATGTTGAGCGACGGCGAATCCTTCCCAGCCATCACTGAGTCTACGGCCAGTTAGCTTCACTCTCCAGGTTTTATCCGACCCGTCCGATTTTAACTCAGCCGCCTTCTTCTCCGAGCTTCTTCCTTCAATGTACTTGGAGAAGAAGTATACAGGAATCGTCTAAAGCAGCAGCAACAAAAAAAAAAAAAAAAAAAAAAAAAAAAGAGAAATCAATCAGAAGAATATCTGTGAATAAGCTGGAAAAAGAGAGAGAAAGAAGGAGAGATAGTTACGAGGTGAGTGTGAAAGCCATTATCAAGCGTGTGGAAGAATTGCGGGAGAAGACGGTTTGATTTCGCTGTCGTCGTCATTGTTCGAAGAACCTTCAAGAGAAACAAAGGGAAAAAAAAAAACCTAGAAAGCTTTTTCTCTAAGTTCTAGTGGACATTTCTTCTTTCTGGGCAGAGAAATTAACGGATTTTGGGCAGTGACACAAATTGATAAAGGTTTGTGCTTTGCTAATAAAATCCGAAGTTTGAGGAGGAAATGAGATAAAAACAGTGACAACACAGAGAGACACTTAGATTGGGCCTCAGAGTTTAAGGTGTATATTTGATTTGGGCCTGAAACAGTTCACATGAAACCCACCACAACAAACTAACGTCATATATAGGAGTATTAATTTTCTCTAACGTTTTTCATATAATGAAATCGCCGGGAATTTTTCTTTTCAAATAGTTGGACTAATATTAGCAGCATATTTAGGAGTAGAAAACACACCTGATGAACCAAAAAAATAATGAATACTAAAAGCTTTTTTTTGTTCAAAACTCGAAGAAGATGTGATCATGATTTTCAAATTGGTCGTTAATAGAGGAAATAAACACATAACAAGAATTACAAAATCGAAAAGCCATATGGCATAATATCGAGAACCTATTGAATTCACCCATTGTCCTTCGAGGGTAACATGTAACACTCTCAAGGTAGTTTGCAACTTTGCATTATAACACTTCCTATAAATGACTCTAGTTAACAAAATTTGTATTTAGTCTAACAAGAACAAAACCTAAGAACAGGAGTTGCTTTGTCTTGTTCATTAATGAACTCTAAAGTGAAAGATTCTCCTAACTTGACACCATGAGCTTCACAAAACTCATCCCAACCATCCTCCAAAGCAACAGTTCCACCATCTCTTGACAATAGATAACCACACAACTCCATTTTGTTTCCACCCAAAATAATTAGTTTTCCAAGTTTGTTGATGCCATTAGCCTTCATGAATTCACTTGGAAGATGCTGCAAAAATATTCAAACAAAAAAATTACCGTTACCACCAAAAAGAATTCAAACTCAACTCCGAAACAAAATTGTTATGAACTTACCAGTTTACAAGCCTTGAGATCTTCAAGAGTTAGTGCTAATGTCGCGAATCGGTTATCGACTTCTGAGTATGAATCTCTGCTTCTAGGTTCTATTGAAATAGACTCTTTCTCTTTAGCTTTTGAGCTACTAGACTCTTTGGGAAACAATCTGAGCATAGGAGTTTCATCTTCCCATATCAACTCCAACGTGAAGGATTCTCCTAACTTCAAGTCGTTTGCTTTCACAAAATCCATGAAACCCTTTCCCAAACTCATTGTTCCTTTCTTGTCAAGTAAACGGTTTACAAGCCACTTTGTGCCATCTTTACCCACCAGGTTTATCTCCCCGGGCTTGTTGATGCAATTTTCCCTTAAAAACTTTGCTGGAAGACGCTGCAAAAGAGATACAAACGTCAAGAACAGTAATTATTATAAAACCCTTAATTTCGTTATGCGATATAAACTAAACAAGAGTTGTTTGATGAACATACCAGTCTTCTCTTTCGGAAACTATCAGGTGTCATTGTTAATGTCACAAATTTGTTTTGGCTCGATGGAACAGAATCTTGCTCTATGTCACCGATAGATTCTGCACCACACAAACTAAGCACAGGAGTTGTGCTTGTGTCTTCCCATGTTAACTTGAGCGTGAAACTCGTCGTCAAGTTGTTTGCTATAACGAAACTTTTCCAACCTTTTCCCAGTCTTATAAATCCTTTCGTGTCTCGTAGAAGTGTTGTCGGCCATATTGTCCCATCTTCATCCGTTAGATATATCTCTCCAGGCTTGTTGATGCCATTTTCCCTCGCGAATGGCTTTGGAAGACTCTGTAGATATTTTGAAACAGAGGAAGCATAAACAAACATGCGTACGTCAAAACCAATAAGTAGCAGATTTCAAGAGGTGTGTTTTTGATGAAATTTACCAGTTTATCAATTTTGGCATAATCAGGTGGAAGTGTAAATGTTACGAATCGCTTATGAGACGGTGCGTATGATAAATACGACAATGCTCTTCGTTTCTGACCATTCTTCTCCATGGATGGTACAAAACATGACTTGTCTGATGAAGAAGAAGAGGAAACTGCTTCTGCTTCTGGATTGTTCTTCTTCACCCTCTTCTTCATAGAAGTAAAATTACCTTCATCATCATCAACATCTGTTCTTGGATGCTTTTTCAACAATTTTTTACCTATTTTAAGCAAAAAAAGAAAAATTCAAATAAGTGCATCTTTGAAATATTGATTCTTCTCCAAAACGCAGAAGAAGAAATAAGAACAAGATCTACCTATGTCGTCTTGATCATCACTGTTGTTTCTTGGAGGCTCATTGTCTTGATGATCATCACTAAAATTAGGTCCTAAATCTGAAACATGGAAGATCATGTCTCCTTCATATTTAACAAGGACGACGTCACCGATTTGAAGATCATGAGCGACGGCGAAGTTTTCCCAGCCTTGACTAAGTCTCCGGCCTGTCATCTTCGCTTTCCAGATTATGTCCGACGAGTCAGATTTCAGCTCCGCCGTTGTCTTCTTCACCACGCTTTTTCCTTTAATATACTTGGAGAAGAAGTCTACAGGAATCATCTACAAAAAAAAAAAAAAAATTAATCTATGAATATGCTGCACGGAGAAGAGAAAGAGAGAAGGATAGATAGATAGTTACGAGATTATCGTGAAAGCCAGGAACAAGTTTGTGGAAGAATTGTGGTTGACGTTGATTCGCCATTGTTGAAGCAACTTCAAGAGAATAAAACTAAACCCTAGAAATTTATTATTCTCGCAGGTAAACGGATATTTTTATATCAAGTAACAACAAATATTTCCTTTTTGTTTCTTCTGAGCAGAGGACAATAACGGATTTTGGCGGTCGGTACAAAACCCAAATCCTCAACAGAAATAGAAATCAAAACCAACACAAAGAGATGAAATCAAAACGTATCTTATTGAGGAAGCTTGACCTACAAGATTAGTTTGGGCCTGACAGTCATAAGAGATGGGCTGGAATTAGGCATGTAGATTCTTTCTGCGTTTCATTGCAGCTTGTAGACTTGCGTGCCGTTTAGTTGCAAAGCATGTATGCTGTTTGTAACGCCGCCATGAGCAAAGTGAAGCGTTTTCTTCCAAAAATAAAAAAAATTGTCAAAATATTAATTTTCCGCTGCCGGGATTCGAACCCGGAATTTTCAGCTAGAGAAGATTTAACCTGTGTGCTACAGCGGAACTTTTGATAGTTCTTACACATGTACCTATATATAGACATACATATACACTGCGTTTTTTGCAAAAAGAAAAAATATGATCAATACGCTGCGTTTCCATAAAAAATAATTTTCCGCTGCCGGGCTTCGAACCCGGAATATTCAGTTGAGAAGATTTAACCTGTGTGCTACAGCGGAACTTTTGATAATCTTGACACATGTATCTATATTACTAAAACAGAAAACCAAACAGGTGTATTCCCCAAACCAAACAGACCAATACACCCAACCAAGTCGATTCCATATACATTTAGTCATATATACCCTGAGCTGATAATGCAGACTTGTCATGTGATATCCAGAGAAAACATTTGAAAAGATTTACTCATTAACAACATTTACAGCATGTATTTGGTTTGGTCTCCGAAGTAGGAGCAAAACTTGAGTACAAGATTTGTGTCTTCTCTGTGAATGAATTCCAAAATGAAAGACTCTCCTACCATCACGCCATTAGCCTCACAGAAACCTTTCCAACCATTTCCCAAAGCCACAGTTCCATCTTTTGACAGCATATATGCAAACCACTTCATACCGCTTCTACCCAACAGAGTTACCTTTCCGGGCTTAATGATGCCATTAGTCCTCATGAATTGACTCGGAAGATGCTGCGAGATATTTCGAATAAACACATCTCATTACCAACTAGAACTCAAGAAAGAAACTAACCTACCTCTAAGGCAAGAGTCGTGATGAGCTTACTAGTTTGCAGTCTCTGATATCTTCAGGAGTTAGTGTTAGTATCACGATTCGGTTTGGGATTGCTGAAGATGAATCTCTTCTTGTAGGAAGATGTTTTTTCTCCACCTCCATTGAGATACTCCCTTCTCTGTTGTTCTCTGCTTTCTTGGTCTTGTTTCCGATGCAAGGTTCTGTGGAAAGAGAGTCTTTCGATGATCTATTACTGGTTGACCTTATACGGAGCAAACTGAGAACAGGAGTAGCGGCTTCCCAAATTGACTCCAACGTGATGGAATCGCCTGTCTTTAGGCCGTTTGATTTAGCAAAATCTTTCCATCCCTTTCCCAAACTCATTCTTCCTCTTCTTTCCAGTAGAAGACTTACCAGCCACTTTGTACCATCTTTACCCGATAGAGTGATCTCCCCAGGCTTGTTCATTCCATTCTCCCTCATGAATTGCAATGGAAGACGCTAGAACAGACATGAACAGAGAGTTAAGACATATCATATTGTTATTCGATAAAACGAACAAGAGTTTATTGATGAGCTTACCAGTCTACCATGTCTGAGACTGTCAGGTGTGATGGTTAATGTCAGAAACCGGTTTTGGCTTGGTGAAGTTGGCTCTCTCCATATCAGATGATTCGCCTCTCTCTCCTCACTAATGTTTTCATCTTTGCTGATCTCTTTTCCGCTGCTAACTTCTATGGGAAGAAGCTCTCTCTCGCTTGCTTCTGAACACTCTTCTCCTTCTCTACTGTCATTGTCAATGCTATACTCTGCAGGTAACAAACTGAGCACTGGAGTTGTGCCTTCCCAATTCAACTTGAGTGCGAAGGATTCACCCGTCTTTAAGCCGTTTGCTGTAACAAAACTTTTCCAGCCATCTCCTAATGTCATTCTTCCTCTTCTTTCCAGGAGAAGATTTGCAAGCCACTTTGAACCACTTTTACCTAACAGATATATCTTGCCAGGCTTAGTGATTCCATTCTCCCTCGTGAATTGCATTGGAAGACGCTGTAGAGATTTGAACAGGCGTCAAAACCAACAAAAGTAGATTAAAGAAAACTACTCAGAATCAGAAGTTGCTATGAAGATCTTACCAGTCTACAGTTTCTGACATCAACAGGTGCAAGTGTAAATGTTGCTAATTGTTTCTCACTTGGCGAATATGATGAAATTATCTGTGTCGGACTATCCTTCTTGCAACATTTCCTTTTAAGAACATCTGAGCTTGTGAAATCTTGTGGAAGATACTGCATAGTGACATAGGCTACAGAACAAGATTGGTCTGGTGAAGAATCTGCTTTTGTTCCTCGGTTGTTCTTCTTCACTTTCTTCCTTCTCGGAAGCTCTGTATCAGAAACACTCAACAAGGTAAAAATGTAGCCGTTTTTTTTAACTAACTGATCCCAAAGTTTAATAAAAGCAACCTTCGATCTTACCAATGTTGTTCTGATCAATGTTGCTGCTTGGAGCCAGTACGTCTAAATTCTCAGAGCAGCTGGGTCCTAAATCTGAGACCTGGAACATCAAATCTCCTCCATCTCTGAAAACAGAGATCTCGCCAATATCATGAGAAAGACGGCAAACTAATTCAGGTGAAGGTGTTGATGTCAACGCCAATCGGTTTTGGATTATTAAAGATGAATCTCTCTTCGTAAGAGGATAATCTCTGCTCTCTCCTCTGTGTCTCCCTGCTTTCCTGGTCTTGTTTCCACTGCTAGGTTCTGTGACATTAGACTTTTCCTCTCTTGCTTTTGAGCACTCACCTTGCTGCCTTCTGTCTTTGCTGGACTCTAGCAACCTGAGCACAGGAGTGTCGTCTTCCCATATTGACTCCAAAGTGATGGAATCGCCTGTCTTTAAGCTGTTTGCTTTAGCAAATTCTTTCCAGCCTTTCCCCAAACTCATTCTTCCTCTTTTTTCCAATAGAAGACTAACCAGCCACTTTGCACCATCTTTACCCAACAGAGTTATATCCCCAGGCGTGTTCATGCTATTCTCCCTCATAAATTGCAACGGAATACGCTAGAAAATATATAAACGGAGAGTTATGAGAAGAAGAAAAAAACTCTTGTTATGTGAAAAAATGAACAAGTTGAGTGTTGAACTTACCAGTCTACCATGTTTGAGACTGTCAGGTGTAATAGTTAAATTCAGGAATCGGTTTATGCATGATGAAGTTGAATCTCTCCATCTCACATTATTCTTTTCTCTTCCCAATGAACTGCTCTCCTCTTTCTTGTTTTCATCTATGTTTTCGTTGTTCCTGTTTTCATCGTTGGTAATGTTGTTTCCACTGGTAGTTTCTAATATGGGAATAGGCTCTTTCTCGCTTGCTTCTGAACACTCTCCTCCTTCTCTTCTCTTAATGCTATCATCCGCAGGGCACAAACTGAGCACAGGAGTTGTGTCTTCCCATTTCAACTCAAGTGTGTAGGATTCACCGATCTGCAATTCATTTGCTTTAACAAATGATTTCCAGCCATCTCCCAAAGTCATTCTTCCTCTGCTTTCCAGGAGAAGGTTTGCTAGCCACTTTGAACCATCATAACCCAACAAATGTATCTTGCCAGGCTTAGTGATCCCATTCTCCCTCGAGAATTGCATTGGAAGACGCTGTAAATATTTAAACATTCGTCAAAACCAACTAAGAGTAAAATATAGAAAACTAACTCTCTCAATCAACAATTGGTATGACGATCTTACCAGTCTACAATGTCTCACATCAACAGGTGCAAGTGTAAATGTTACGAATCGTTTCTCCCTTGACGAAACTGATGATATTATCCGTTTCGGACTATGCTTCTTGTGACATTTTTTTTTAGTACTATCTAAGCTTGTGAAATCTTGTGGAAGATACTGAAAACACAAGTGTCAAATCAAATGAACTGGTGAAGGTAAGGGTCATGAGACAAAGTTAAAAACTAGATATACCAAATGAAAAGCATTTCCTTATGAGACCAAGCTGCAGAACATTTTTCTAATGAGTATGCAAAAACTTTGGTATGAGATTTCAGTTGTTGCAAGAGCAAAGTAAATTGAACTATACAAAACGCACCACTGCATCTGTGTGTAGACTCGAAGCTGCGACATGGGCGTCAAGACAAGAGCGGGCTGATGAAGAATATGCTACAGTCACTGCATTGTTATTCTTCGGTTTCTTCTTTCTCGGAAGCTCTGTATCAGAAACACCACTACCTCAGAATGATACTATTTTGAAACAATCCCACCAAAAGCAAATAATCTCGGACACATCTATACAACAAAACAGAAAAGAGTTGAATATACCAATCTTGTCCTCATCATCACCGTCATTTGATGAAAAGTCTGCTTCTTGTCTTGAGTGTGGATGCTTTTTCTTCGAAATGTTACCTTTATCAGAAAAAATCAAAATCCCTCAAATTGCTTTCTAATTACAGCATCAACTTTCAGTTCTTGTATTGATTTCATATTCGAACTAAATCAGCTCTCTAGAATCGATCTTACCGATGTTGACCTGATCATTGTTGCTGCTTGGAGCAACTACGTCTCGAATCTCACAGTAACTGGGTCCTAAATCTGAGACCCGGAGCATCATGTTTGAAAACGACGACCTCGCGACGCCGAACTATTTGCAGCCGCCAGTGATTTCAGCTCCGCCGTCTCCTCCACACTTGGAAAAGAAAAGTGATCGAAGAATTGTGATTGATCGGTGAGCGAAGCGTTGAATTCGATGCCTAGAAATTTCTAAAAATCAACAGAATTTTTATTCTACTGCGCCAAAGATTTGATCTTATGAGAGAATGAGCGAATTCGCCATTGTAGAAACAAATCAAAATTCCTTCATTCGAATTTCTGAATGACTAAAAGGTGGAAACTTTTGAGACGGAATGAAGAACAGTTAAATCTTAGCTGTGAGTTTCATTTTTTTTTATATATAAATCCAACTTTTTTTACTGATTAATTGACTTCAGTTGTTGAAAACGTTGTGTTGTATTAGACTGAACTTCATATTCAACTAAACATTCATTCATCAACCATAAGTACAAGAGTCTTTTCAGTTACATCTAATCTAAGTTTTCATTTGCAAAACAGAGCCTTTTAGTCTTAAAAGATCAAACCTTTTTTCTCTTCTTAAACACTTTTTACCATGGACCTGATGCAGTTGTTTGAAACTGAAGCTCCACATCTTCAAGCTCTTGGTCAATCGTCTCCACACTTGACTTCATCTGAGCTATCTCCTTCTCCGCCTCTTCATTCAGTCTTTGCAGCTCGAGAATCTTGCGTCTGTTCTCAACCATTTCGCCGTATTTCTCTGAAATCCCTTTCTCAGCACCTATCAGTTCCTCCATTTTCTTTGCTTGCCTATCTTTCAGAGACAAGAGCTTCTGGATCCGCGAAAGAGGCTCTTTTACATCAGACCCGTGCTTCTCTAACACGGCAAAGGATTCAATGTGGCCTTTAAATGTGCTTATGGGATTGAAGAATCGAAGACCTTTGACTTCTTCTAGTAAGTCTGAATAGGTAAACATCATACCAACCGCAGACATTTCACGGATGTCTTCTTGAGTCTCTACCAATGGCCTGAAATGTGGAGTTTGTGGGACTGTTTTGAATACCTCCATTGATTCAACTGTTTTCCAAATCCGTAGCTTCTTCTCAAAAGGCAAATCCATTGTTGTACTTGTATCATTTGCTTCGTTTTCCTCAACACTAGCAACTCTTTTCCTCTTTCGATTGTCATCTTCGTTATTTTCCTGCATAAACATTTAGAATCCCAAAGCCAACCATTTAACAAATCATGAGGTTTGAGATAACAAAGCACCAGCTACTAAAATACCAAGAGAGTGAGATAAACGTGAAGAATCGACTTTACATTCTCATTTGTTAAATCGTATCCGAAGCCAATCTGATTTAACACTTGCAGAAGTCTCCTCTTGCGTGACTTTTCTTGAGTTTCAGCCTCTGCTTGTTTCAACGGTTGCGGAGTTATGCCCGGAGATGGGGTTACAGGTGGACCAGGTTCTTTTGCTGTAAAACAGTGACATTATAAGATCAGTTTTCATGACACAGAAACTGAAAAGGGATTTAAAGACTTCGTTTAGATTTTTGAAGGCAAACTAGATCACACTTACTTAGTGATGGAGTATTACCATCCATCTTATTTCCTGATGCTTGACTTAACGGCGTGTCCTTTGCCTGCAACATCAAACAGAGATAAAAAAAATCACAACGTGAAGATCAAAAATATACTAAGAGTCCCAATGCAAACCATCATTACACACTCAAGAAAATGCAGCCAAAGGAGCAAATTTCTTGCTCAAGTTCTAAATCTAAAAGTGGCAGTTAGTTTCATTATTTAAGAGTAGTCTTGCAAATGATTCACACAGATTAATCATTATCAAACACTCTCTGGTGTTGACTGAAACCAGTGGAAAAAGAAAAAACATTCAAATACCTTCCAAACACCATCTTCCCACACCTTAAAAGGCCTGAGATCCGAGTGGTCGAACACGAATTCCTCATTTTTAGCCTTTAAAAGAACCGTATACCGTCTCTGAGAGAGAATCTCTGTCACTTGCCCTTGATACCATCCTGTACCAAGAAACGCCTCTACACTTGCCATGCACTGAAACTCTCCAACCGAAAAAGGAGGCGGTGTAGGCCGAACACTACGCAAACCAACGGTTTTGTTAAGTCTCGTCTCATCAGTATCGCTACCTTCGCAGCTCAATGACTTGTCACAAAACTTAACAATATACTTCTTCCCATCCTCATTCTCCTCCTCAATCTCTTCATCATCATCCTCAATCTCTTCTTTATCATCACCATCATCCTCACTCTTTTCATCATCATCCTCCTCACTCTCTTCATCATCCTTGTCAATCTCCTCAATTTCTCTAATAATCATTGCAGGAACCCATATGACTTCTACTTTATTAAGCTTGGATCTCACTTCCACCATTGTACCCGAACTAAACATGGACTCCTCAGTCAAACGTTTGAAGAGCTAAACAGGTAAGGGGAAAAAAATTAAGCTTTCACTACCAAATCATGCAAAAACATTGAAAAATCAAAACTTCAGTATAATTGAGAACACAATTTCATACCCCAAATTGGGAAACCAAGCAATTTTAGATTTTTACCTGTAATTTAGGTTTAGGTACGACCCACCATTTCTTATCGACCCAGTCAAGATGAGGTCTCAAATCCTTTCTCTCAAACTGAAAAATATCATCCGCTGAATCGAAGAACACCAAGAACTTGTTATCCTCAATCTCCTTGACCACAAGACCAGTCCACCACCCATCGTTACGAGACGCGTCAACGACGCAGCCTTCCTCGATACTGATGCGAGCTTGCACATGGACAGGAGGAACAGGTCGAATCAAGCAATTTTTGGAGTGTGCAGTAAGAGGAGTCACATGTAATCCAGATTTGGGTTTCGTTGGAGTTGCTGGCTTGATAGTGGTTTTGTACCAAATGCCATCAAAGCCATCGTCTTTGTAACAGACTTCGACTTGACCACCTACGCGCATAGTTAGCCTTTCTTCCATGGCGACCCTCATGCTTACCCACAATTCTGAAGAATAAAAATCCAACCTTTTTTCCTCTCGAAACCCTGGAGAAGAAAGAGAGAAGGGAACGAGCTCGACGATGAGTGTCTCTGCTCTTCCACTAAAGTTTTGTATGTCAAGGAATTTGATTAGTGTAAAGAGTTGTTTACATCTGATTAATAATGTGCAACAAATGTTCTATTCCTATGATTTAGTGGCCAAATGATGACTGTACTATTATTAGTACTAAATGAGTCTTTAGAAGTTAGACCAGTCTTGACGGTGTTAAGACTCAAAAAGAGACTTGGAAATCACCAATGAAAGATTGATTCTTGGGACAATTCAAGAACTTGTAACATTGCAGTGTCTGTGATTATAGATGAGATGCTTTCCGGGCCACTTACGAGCTGGTGAAGTAAGTGTCTTTTATTGACAATCTGAGTAGTGTATGTGTAGATTTTGGAGGAATGCGTTTTGCACATATCTGTTAGCTCCTTTTAACATGCACAAATGCCTAGTTTTAGAGGAAGACTTACATTTTCACATGCTTTTTAGTTTAACATTTTTCAGTCTCTACTCTCTACTCTCCACAGATGGAACAAAACTTCAATGCTGGAGTTGTGTCTTGTTCATGAACGAACTCTAAAGTGAAAGAATCTCCCAACTTCACACCATTAGCTTCACAAAACTCATCCCAACCATCCTCCAAAGCAACAATTCCATCTCTTGACAATAGACAACCAGACATTTCCATTTTGTTTTCACCCAAAATAGTCATCTTTCCAAGTTTGTTGATGCTATTATCCTTCATGAATTGACTAGGCAGATGCTGCAACAAACACCTCTAGTTACCAACTATAATGCAAAACAAGAAACTAACCAACCATTAAAACAAGAGTTGTTTGATGAACTTTTTACCAGTTTACATGCTTTGACATCTTCATGTACTAGTGTCAATGTCACAAATCTGTTTTGGATTGGTGAGAATGAATCTCTCTTATTAGGAACACTGTAACACCCGTATTCCTCATTTTCCAAACACATTATCTTAAAAACCATTCTTATTAAAGATCTTAAAATCATTCAACAAAATCTCATGAAAACCAACTGATAAAATGAAAACATTTGTTGCATAAAATAAATAAAACCCGGTTCCAAAATAACACCAAGAAACAAGACAAGTTTGAGCAACTATTCGAGGTCTCCATCCACACCTGAAAAAGGGAAAAAAGAAAGGGGGGGAATGAGTAATTAATTACTCAATGAGGAGATCATTTCTGCCCACCGAAACATACTAAACATTTCTACCATTATACCACAATCAACAAAACATATAAACCTAGACACTAGCAATCATATACCCCTGATATAATGCAAGGTAACATTCATCCTTAGGTTCAATCATCCTCGTGATAACTCATAACCTCATGCTTGGAGGCAGCCGTAGCTCATACACTCCCATTCATGACCTGCATGTAACCCGTCGGCCCATCACAGTCCAGTTTCGAGGGAAGACCACGGCCCATAGCTCGATTCTTCCTCTCTTATTCATACATATTTCATATCATATCATACCATAACATTTCATCATATCATCACATTATATCATATCATATCATTCCATAAACATCAAACATAACATCACAGAACCTATATCTAGCAATCAGATCTAAAGCCTATATGCCATGCATCTTGCAATATAATAGAAGGAATATAATCATGTTTCCACAGATCACACCCTCACCTGAATTTGGCTGAAAAACGGATTGATACTGAATTGGCAACTGAACCTGAAACTTGCAGAACACGGAAACAGATTCAGGTTTGGAACAGAAACAGAGAATTTCCGTAAAGTTTAGAGCTGATTTGCGGATGCAGTATACCTCTGATTCGACAACTGAAAGAAGTTCTGGAAACTTGGGTTCGAGATCTACAAAACCGTATGTATATCGACTCCTGGTGACTTACGGATCGTCGGGAAATCGATTCAAAAAACCTCAACTAGAATCTGGAAAAATAACTCTGAAACCTTAGAACAGATCCGAAGTCCAAAACGAAATAACCATAACTCTCTGAATATAACTCGTATTACCGTGATTTAGGATGATTTAGAAAGCTGAGAAGACGATCTTTCCGATGATACCAAAATCAGCTTCTGAGACCTCACGAAACGTCTGGAAATCGCCCCGTAAGTTCCGTTTCTGATTCTGCTTTTTCACCCTTCTCCTTCCTCACTTCTCCACAGTTTCGTATCTCCTCCTCCAATATCAATCAAACACTAGCACGATTTTGATGTATTAAACTGAGACTTTTCTGCTGTTTTAGGGTTCTCAAAACTCTCTCACGTTTCTTTCTAAAGCGGCTATGGAGAGGGAGATACTTACATATATACATATGTACAAATTTAGGTTTGGGTCTTTATTGGGCTTTTGCTGACCCAAAACGGGTCTCACAAACACACTTGTTTCGCACCTCTCTATTGTTGCTTCCACTGATAGGTTCTGAACGGTAATCTTCTTGTTGCCTTCTATCACTGCTAGGAACTGTATGAAGAAAACTGAGCATAGGAGTTTTGTACTTCCATATTATCTCCAATGCAAAGGATTCACCAGTCTTTAAGCTGTTTGCTTTAGCAAAAGATTTCCAGGCCCTTCCCAAACTCATTCTTCCTATGGCTTCCCGTCGAAGATTAGCCAGAAACATTTCACCATCTTTACACAACAGAGTTATCATCTCAAAGTTGTCCAAACCATTTTCTCTCATGAATGGCAGTGGAAGATGCTGGAAAAAAAGATCCAAACGGAGAATATAAACAAAAAGAGAGAGCAAGTCATTAAAACTAACTAATTAATGACTTGATTAATGAACTCACAAGTCGACCTTTTCTGAGGCTGTCATGTGTAATTGTTAACGTCACAAATCGGTTTTGGCATTGTGATGCTGAATCTTTACATTTCAGATGATTCTTCTTTCTCTCTTCTTTGCTGATCTGTTTACCACTACTAGGCTCTACAGGAAGAGACCCTTTCTTGATTTCTTTTTCTCCTCTACTCTCTGCAGGGCAGAAACTAAGCGAAGGTGTTTTCCTGTTTTCCATTAGTGTGAAGATAAAGATACCTTCCTGCTTTTTTGCCGTTTTCATCACAGAAATCTCTCCAGCCTGGGGTTATGCAAAATGTATCAGAAGATTTGTCGTAGCTCAGATCCAATGCCCATGATCTTTCTCCTCCGTATGTTAAAACAATCTTGCGGCATATTCTTTTCAGACCATTTGAGCTTATGACATCTTTTGGAAGATACTGCAGTAGAAAAAAAGGCTCAAACATTTGATCAAACTAACCATAACCATACTGAATGTATATTTATTAGGTCAACAAGTTTTCTCCTATGCCAAACCCAAAATGCCCAATTCTAGAAACAACACTTCATTTCATGAGTATGGAAAGACATTAGTCTGAGATTTTGGTTTAGGGAGTGATTAAACCCCAGAATGCACAAGCAATTTAAGTAAAATGTTATATGTATAATCACCAGAGCATCATTTTGTAGATTTGAAGCTGTAACACGGGCCACAAAGCAAGAATCAGCTTCTGCTTCTGAAATGTTCTTCTTCACTTTCTTCTCTCTCGAAAGCTCTGTATATAGAAACATCCAACATTTTTAAACTGTCCTTGAAACAACTTCACCAAACCAAAGTAATATTGGAAAAGACAACAAGACAGAACAAAACTGAAGTTACCTGTGGTGTCCTGTTCATCACCACCCTTGTCTTCATTTGATGACAAGGATTCTCCTGTTCTTTGGAGCAGATGTTTCTTCATCGATATTTAAGCTGAACATTTAGGAATTTTTATCATTCATATAGTATAAAACATTTACAAAGACGAAGTATTTGATATAAGCCTATTTTACACTATTTTTTTCCAGACAATATTTCTTCTGCGGTTAGTTTATCGTCCTAAATCCTCATATCCAAATAAGGTTTATAAATTATAATTCCAAAACCTAGCTAAAAAAAATCCCTAAAGTTTCCTTTCAGTGACAGTTTTCTCTCACATAAAAGCTTCATTTTTGTTGTTCTCTGTCACGATCCATACAGATCTGACTACATATTGTAGAGAGAAAAACAGAACCAGCTTACCGATCTTGTCCTGATAATTGTGCTGCTTTGAGCTGGTAACAGGTGAAAAGGAAGGATAAAAATGTAGTGTCTGTTTAAAGAAGAAAGCCAAAAAAAGGAAGAGGGACACTCTTAGTAAGCTGCTCGGAGAAAAAGAGAGATGGAGATGACTGGGTTGATTGGTGAGTGGAGATTTGGACTCGCCATTCTTGAAGCACTTAAAAGAAACCCTAGGAATTTCTCAAGTGTGAAAAGACTTTTCGTTTTCTGGACAGAGAAAAAAAAAACACAGAACCTTTTGGAAATTCGAAATATCGGCGCGTATCTTACATAATGAACAGTTGAATTTAATTGATGATTTGTTACATGGGAATTTGACAAGACGAATCAATGTTTTTAAATTCGGATAATCAAGCTACTGTACTGGGGTTATTTTGTTAAAAATAGTTAGTTTCTAAAGTTAAGTTGCTGAAAAAAAAAATTCCTTACCGTAATTCAAAAACGAAAATCTAAAGTTTATTGTTAATTCTTGATTCTTGTCATATTGATTCATGGCTTATGTTTAATGTTTAGGTTTATGTTTTAAATTTTGAAGTTTGGGGATTGGATTTTGCATTTAGAACTTAGGGTTTAAATTACTTGATTAGGTCAGTAAACGGACAAAGGCTTTAAAAGTGTCACTCACATGTAAAATATGAGAAACTGTGTATGCCATAAAACAAAGAAAAAAAACGATAAAGCAAATACATTTGGTTATAAACTTCATAGAATGCTTCATAAATTTCAAAATAATCAATAAGATGAAAGCTAACCAATAAGGACAGAAAAAGCTATGTAGCAGACAAACTTAAGCAATACGAAATATATATATAATCATATGACCAGTTCACCACGGTCCACATGGCCATTTCAATGTATTACGAACTCAACAACATTCAATCCACTCAAAGATACATGATGACACATAAGTTCTTTAACTCAACAAAACAAAAAGCTTAGTTTTAGAGGACTTGTGCACAAAACTTAAGCGTGTCTTGTGCATCGGTGGCTTCCAAAAGGAAAGAATCTCCTATCTTCACCCCATTAAACTCACAAAAATTCTGCCAACCATATCCCACAGCCACCAGTCCTTTGCTTAACTTATACGCAGGCCACTCCAGGTTGTTTCTACCTACAAATATTATCTTCCCGGACTCTTTGATGCCATTGGCACTCGTGAATTGATATGGAAGAACCTGCAAAAGGATTTAAACACCACTAGTAAGAATCAAGACACAAACTAATCTATCTTTGAAAGAAGAGATACTTGATATCTACTTACTAGTTTGCACTCTTTCACATCCTCATACGTGAGTTTTAAACTCACGAGTCTATTCTTCTTCTTCTTCTTTGTGGAAGAAGATGATTCTCCCCTCTCCACTACACGTTTCCTGGCTCCCTTGAACAAACTTAGCATAGGAGTTTTGTCTTCCCACACTAACTCGAACGTGAAAAAGTCACCAGTCTTCAAACCATTTGCTATTGCAAACGGCTTCCAGCCCTTGCCCAAACACATTCTTCCTCTGTGTGGCGCTCGAAGGCTAGCCCAGCACTTGCTACCATCTTTCCCCACCAGAATGATTTTCGTAGGACCCTTTATCCCATTTTTTTTCATGACCATTGCTTTGAGATACTGAAAATTTAAAACATATAACATAGTAAAAAAACACTACAAAAATCAACAAAAATTTGAATGCGTGGACTCACCTGTCTATTACGGTTGAGGCTGTCAGGTACAACCTTCAATGTCATGAACTGATATTTGTTCTCTCTCTCCAACTCCATAGGCTTATCTTTCATGTTACTATCTCCTTGTGCTCCATCATTCACAGGTTCTGTGGGGCCGAAACTGAGCAAAAGAGTTTCCCCGTTTTCCACTAGTGTGAAGGTAAAGGAGTCTCCTGCCCTTTTGCCGTTTTCCTCACAGAAAGCTTTCCAACCTGGGCTCATGTGAAAAATATCCGTATATATGTTAAACATGAGATCAAATGTCCATGATCTTCTCTCTCCATGGTTTACAACAATCTTGCGGCATTCTCTATTAAGACCAACTGAGCTTGTGAAACCTTTCGGAAGATACTGCAAAAAAGGGTGCAAACATATTTTCAGCATTCTTCATGACACTATAGCTGTAGTACATTTTGTTTAGTGTCCTGAAGACTCATGATAGACCAACTTAATTATCAATAATTTAATGTAGCAAACTTGTAAGAACCATATTAAGATGTTCTAACAAATCGGACAAAACCATATTGATCAAGTTAACTTGTTGAATTTATTTCAATAAGTTTTCTCACAAACAAAACCACGATAGGATTGAAACCAAAGTGCCAAACATTAGAAACATATGTTCATTGAGTGAGTGATTAGAATGTAATATGCAATAAGTATTCGCATGTTTTGGTTTAGTGAAATGACTATGCCTAATTTTAAACAAATTTACGAAATTTCATACAGTTAACTTTTGAATTTATTTCAACTAGTTTCCTCCCAAACAACAACAATACGATCGAAACCAAAGTGACAAACATTATTAAACATCAGTTCATTGAGTGAGTGATTAAAATGTAGTATGCAACAACTGTTAGCATGTGTTGGTTTAGCTAGTGAAATGACTAATCCAAATAGTATGCAAAAAGAGTGTAAGTATACCAGAGTATCTTCCTGTAGATTCCTAGCAGTGACAAAGGCCACAAAACAAGTCTGCGCTGATGAAGAAGAAGGAAGAATCAGCCTCTTTTTCTGAATTGATGATCATCTTACCTTTCATCTTTCTCGCAAGTTCTGTATAATTAAAACATATCAAAACATGTTAAAACCAAGTTCTGTATCAAGATGTAACCTGCGTTAAACTTATACAAAGATTCACACACACAAGATCCCAATTTACGTATCTAGGAGATCACAAAATATCATTCATTTCCAGACCAAGATTTGTAGTTTTAAAACCTGAATTCAGCAAAAATGAAAATCCTAACCCATAATTGAAAGAAAAAAATTGATTTCCAAGGACAGATTCTTCTCGCATAAAAAACATCATCGCATACTCTCAAAAACGACAGAACATCTCTCCAGATTTGACTACTGATCGTAGAAAAAGAAAAAAGAAAAACATAACCAAGCTTACCCATCTGTTCCCGATCATTGACGCTGCTTGGAGCCGGTATGTCTTGAATCTGGAGGCAACTGGGACCCAAACCTAAGAAATCAAACGCCATCTCTCAAACCGCTAGTCTCTTCTTCACTACGTACGCTTCTACCAAGAAATATCTCTCAGTAGAGGCAGAAATGAATATCAACCAGAAAGTAAAAAGAAAAAACCCTAAATGAGAAACCTTATCGTTTACCTCCTAGATTGCATGCACTTTTGGTAAATTGAAACCTGGGCGCGTCTACACCTTTGAATATCTCAGATTTGTACATTCCACTTTTCTTAAAACTTTTTTTCTATATATAAAGAAGGGAAAAAGTTCATTACTTTACTACCAAAGTTTTACTATTGGTAACGTAAATATTAGTTTATTACCAAAGAAAATTAGTCAAATAGTAAAACTATTTCCTTACCGTCTGTAAGTAAGTCAACAAACGAAAAACTAAAGTTTGGTCTTAATTCTTGTCATCTTAATTAATTTATTGCCACGTAGAAGAGTGCAAGTTTAATTTCTTTTCTTTATTATTTTTTTATAGTTGGAGTTTAATTTCCTAACATCACACCACTATTCCAAGCATTTCTTGCCAGTAAAATCTTGGAGTGTTTCGCAGCAAAACACTCATCGACTGTTGATTACATACATGATACATCCCAGAGACTAAACATGGTCATCAAACCATAAGTACATAAGGGCCAACGAAAGTCTTTTCAGTTACATCTAATCTAAGTTTACATATGCAAAACAGAGCTTATTCTTAGAGCTCAAACACTTTGAAACTGGATCTCCACATTATCAAGCTCTTGGTCAATCGTTTCTAGGCTTGACTTCATCTGAGCTATCTCTTTATCAGCCTCCTCATTCATCCATTGCAGCTCAAAAATCTTGCGTTTGGCCTGCCTATCTCTCAAAGACAACAGCTTTTGGATCCGCGACTGAGGCGCTTTTGCATCAAACCCGTCTCTCTAGCACGGCAAAGGAAGCAATGTGAACAGATAATAAACAATCATTAGCCACCAGCTAACAAACTACCAAGAAAGTGAGGTTAAAGAGAAGAATTGACTTTACATTCTCATGTGTTGAATCGTTCCCCAAGCCATTATGATTTTAACATTTGCAGAAAGTGTCCTCTAGGGTGTCTTTTCTTGAGTTCCAGCGTCTGCTTTTTGTTTCAAGAGTTAAACAGCAAAGGAAAAAGAAGTTTCAAGTCACTCATTAAGCTTGTTCACTACTAAATCATGCAAAACATAAAATCAAACACAATTTCAGACCAATAACACATAAAAGAAAACCACCAATCTTTTCGATTTACCTGTAATTTGCTGGCATTCTGGCTCAGACTTCTTACTCTTCTTTTTACGAGGCTCTCTGGTCTCTGGAGTACCACACACATCATTAACAGCTTTCTTCTTCCCTCTCAACGCCGTAGAGTAGGACACTTGCACACCAAGTCTTTCTTGAACAATACTGATGAGGTTTTTCGGAGCTACTGTATCGAATTTACCTTGATATTCTTCATGCAAGATAGACGCAACTAATCGTGGTGTGTTATTCTTTTTGTTACTGCTTGCACTCGCAACAACTCGAGAGCACGTATGCATCTTCCTGTACACTCTAACACTGAAATTATCAGACTTCTTAACTTTTGCAACTCTCACATACCATTTACAACCTTCTTTCGCTTGACTGCACTGTAGCACGATCCGCTGCGTATCCGACTTCACTGTAGTGAACCCAAAACAGTTTAGAAGTGAAGCCCTCGCAACCAAATCTTGCAATGCCTCCTTGGTACTAAACTCTTGACCTATTTCAAGACCCGTACCATCTTCCCACTCTTCAATAAACTGGCTTTCCTCTACAGGATGTGGAAACTCAGTGTATTCATGCATAACAGAGCTATCCACAGCCGCAAACTCATCATGCGGCACATTCACATTCTCACCATCTTCAATACCAACAACGTTCCCCATCGGCTCTTCAATAACAACAACATTCTCCATCGGCTCGTCAATGGCAAAGATACCAGCATGATTAGCTCTATTACTTGAAAGCAGCTCCCCATAATTCACACCAAATGAACTTTCTCGCTGATCTATTTCCAAGTCTTTGATTAGCTCCACATGCAAAACACCTCTAAGCAGCTCTTTATCCAATGTCGTGAGGAAAACGTAAACGTCCTCATCATCGATAATGTATGACTGTCTCTGAGGTTTCACCACCAATGGAATGTAGCTCAGTTTCAGCTTCGTAGTGGTTTCATCTATGGCAATCTTTCTGCATATCCTATCTACTAACAAAGAGTAAGTTATCTCATCCATGGATGATGTCCTAAACGATAAAGCGTAGATGGGACTTCTTGTAATCCATTTACACTCCTCTTCGGTGTGTGAATAGTATCCTCCGTAATCAAAATGTATGTTTGTGGATGGGTTGATACTCATCGTCTCCTGTAAAAAGAATTACAAAAACCAGTTATAGCATTTCATCGAACAGATTGTGTGCGTCAACTAAAAGAATCAATTTTGCAAATCCAATCCCTAAATTGTAAAATCCCAAATAACAAGCTTCTACACCATAATAGATTTAACAGATTAAGAAGAATTCACCTTAGTTTTGAAGCTTCAGAATCAATCGCGAAGGAGAGAGAAGTTGTCGCCACCAGAAAGAAAACAATGGAGGAGGAGGACGAAGAGGAATTTGTCTAGTAGGTCAACGTTGTTAAACCAAATTAAAAACGAAATCGAATTTCAAATGGTTTTTATAAAGTTGTAGAACCGGAAATAACCAAGACGAATTACCAATTTTACTAAACCAATTTGGCCATTTCATTTTCTCTCTTAGAACAACATACACATACACTCACTCCATTAAAAGATCCTTGACGAAACATATTTTATTGGTTAGCTAATTTAACTTGAACAAACAAAAAAAGCTTTGGTTCTAGAGTAAGACTTTGAACATTTTCAGGTCTAAATCAGATTTGGACTAGTGAAGATGAATTACTCCTCTCCTCTAACGTTGTTCTCTTCTTCCTTGGTTTCGTATCCATTGCTCGGTTCTTTGGAAACAGACTCTTTCTCGCTAGCATTTGAACAATCCTCTCCTTGTTGTCTTCTATCGCTTTTGGACTGTGTACTGGACAAACTCAGCATAGGAGTTGCATCTTCCCAAATCGACTCCAGCGTGAATGAGTCACCAATCTCTAACCCGTTTGCTTTAGCAAAACATTTCCAACCTTTTCCCAGACTCATTCTTCCGTGGCTCTCTCGTAGGAGATTCGCTGTCCACTTTGTACCATCTTTTCCCAACAGAGCTATCGTTCCAGGCTCGTTCATGCGGTTCTCTCTCATGAACGGCAATGGTAGACCCTGGAAAAGATTCCAACAGAGAATATAACCAATGAGAGTGCGATCGATAGACCTATCTAAAACAAGAGTTGATTGATGAACTCACCAGTCGACTGTTTTTGTAGCTGTCCTGTGTAAGGGTTAACGTCACAAACCGGTTCTGGCTTCTTAGTTCCGTACTGAGCAAACTGAGCACAGGAGTTGTGTTTTCCCAGATTAACTCCAACGTGAAGGATTCGCCCATCTTTAATCCGTTTGCTCTGGTGAAATCTTTCAAGCCTTTTCCCAAACTCATTCTTCCTGAGCTCTCACGTAAGAGATTCGCTAGCCTCCTTGTACCGTCTTTTCCCAACAGAGTGACCATCCCCGGTTCGTCCATTCCATTTTCTTTCAAGAATGACAATGGAAGATACTGGAAACATATAGGAATGGAGAAATATATTTTAAAAAATACTCGTTTAGCGGTAATAACCAACAAGAGTTTTTTGTTTGATGAACTCACCAGTCTACTGTTTTTGAGGCTGTCATTTGTGAGTGTTAAAGTCACAAACCGGTTCTGGTTTGGTGAAGTTGATTCTCTGCATCTCTGACGAGTGTTCTTTTCTCCTTGTGTTCCATCATTGACAGATTCTTCTTCGGGGCAGACACTGAGAGAAGGTGTTTCCCCGTTTATCATTAGTTTGAACTTAAAGAAGCTTCCTGCTGCTTTGCCGTTCTCGTCACAGAAATTTTTCCAGCCTCGGGTTATGTAAAAAGTTTCAGATGTTTTGTTGAACCTCAGATCCAGTGCCCATGATCTTTCCCCTTCATCCGTTAAAACAATCTTGCGGCATTTTCTTTTAAGACCATTTGAGCTTGTGAAATCTTTTGAAAGACACTGCCAAAAAAAATAGTCACACATTTTCAGCATTTCCTCATGACACCAAATTGTACAAACCGTTGTTAAGTTTCATGACTAACTAACTTAACGATACTATAAGTGAATAAACCGAAGTATGCAAAAAATAGTTGAAATATGCTGTTATGTAATTACCAGAGAATCTTCTTCTAGATTCGAAGCCGTAACAGAGGCAACAAAACAAGAGTTGTCTGGCGAAGGAGAATCAGCTTCTGCTTCTAAATTGTCCTCCCTCATCTTTTTCTCTCTCGCAAGCACTGTATCAGAAACACTCCACATGGTAAAACCTCAGATTCTTTAATACTAAACTGTTCTTGTAACAACCTCAGCAAACCAAGAACATTAGTGAAGTTACCTGTGTTGTCCTGATCATCACCTTCTTCTGTTTTTAGATGTGGACGCTTCTCCCCCGAAACGTAACCTGTGTAGAACATGTAAGAAGACTAATTACATGATCACAAAATCTCTCTTCAAACAGCTAATTGATTCACAGTTTACTGTCACATAAAAGCTTCATTTTGCAATTCTCAAAACGCAGAACATCCCTTAAGATCTGATTCATCTAACTACAGGCCGTAGATTGAACAAAACAGAACAGAACCAAACTTACCGATCATGGTCTGATCATTGTTGCTGGGTATGTCTTGAATGTCACAGCAATTGGGTCCTAAACCTGAGCTATGAAACACCATCTCTCTAGCCTCTAATATCTTCTTCTCCACGCTTCTTCCTTGTTGATGATGCTTCGAGAATAAATCTACAGGAACCGGCTACAATGGGAAAAAGGTTTCTCTCAATAAGCTGCTCGGAGAGAAAAAAAGAGAGACAGGAATGAATGTCGGCTAGTTCCAACCACAAATGAAACAAAAGTAAAACCCTACAAATTTCCCGAATGAGAAAACTTAATCCTTTACCTCTTAGAGAGCGAGTGTAAGCATGCATTTTTGGAAAAATTCGAAATCTCAGCTCGTAGTCTAAACCAATCAAAGTGTTAATTTTGATTGGTAATCAGATGCAAATTTCGGTTCTCTGTCTTACTTCTATAGAGTGGAAATCTCGCCCGGCCTCTCGGGTTATTGCTTCGCCGCCGGGCACTATCTCGGAAAGTTCTGAAGGTTTCGCTGGAGCCGATCCGATGAGGAAATTGAATCTTCTAATTCTTATAGAAATTGATTTCGGAAAAAAAGGTAAGAAATTTGGCTGATTGAGCAATGACCTTTCTACACAGATCGCTTCTTCGCAAATCGATAAGAGGAGAGAAGCTTCCTTCCTTCCCGGCGAAGATCCGGACAGAGCAAAACTTCCGATTGCAGGCCAAACGATGGCGTTTCTTCAAAGGAAGTACACGTGTGAGTGGAGAAGATGAATGTAGCCAGTAAATGGCACGTGTTAACTGAGATGACGAGAAAAATGTTGTTGGGCTTGTAATTCTTTTTCAAAGCCCAAACATAAAAGAAATTTCAAAGCCCTGTTAGAGTTGTAGGTTGGTTTTTACAAACTAAACCGGTTCTAATCAGATCTTTCGATTGGATTGGTTTTGCCGGAGATATGTGATACATTTCGTGTAGTTCATAATTTTGGATAATTGTGATCGAATATACTGACATTGTTCAACATAAGTTTCTTTGGGACCGAAATCTACAAAGGGAAATAAAAAAGATGGTCCTAACTTCGACATACAATAAATCTTACAAAGTTTCTTAATATGGTTCTCAAATTTTGGAACAAAACTTAAGAATCGGAACTGTGTCTTCCCAAACCAACTTCAAGACAAAAGACTCATCCATTTTAACACCATTAACCTCACAGAAACCTTTCCAGTTTTTTCCTAAACTCATTGATCCTCCTTTGTTCTTCTTATCCATCAGTAGTGACGTCGACCATTTTGCACCGTATCGGTCAATCATTATTATCTTCCCTGCTTTGTTGATTCCATTCCCCTCCGTGAATTCCAATGGAAGATTCTGTAGATTCCATATATAGAGATTAAATGTGAAAAAGAAGAAGAAAGAAAAACAGAGTTTTTTTGTGGAACTTACAAGTCTACGAGTTCCAAAACTTTTAGGAGTAAGTGTTAATGTCACAAATCGGTTTTGGCTTCTTGAGTTAGTTTCTTCGCCAAGAAACTCTTTTTCAGTGTCAAATCGGTTTTGGCTTCTTGTGTTAGTTTCTTCTCCAAGAAACTCTTTTTCAGTGTCATTGATAGGCTCTACATAGTAAAACAAACCAGTTTCTGTTATGATTTTTTTCTTTCTTGAAAAAATAAAAAGAGAACATAACTTAGTAACTTACCAAGTTCTTGCAGATTCAAAGGGAACAATTGAAGCACAGGTACTTCCTCATTTTTGACCAATTTGAAATTGAGCAAGTCTCTAGGTTTCTTCTCATTAGCGACACAGAAACTTCTCCAGCCTCCTCTCATATAAAACCTCCCTGAATATGCCTCATGTCTCAGGTATATAGTCCATGATTCTCTCTTTTCATTCACTAAATCAATCTGAAACTTCTTTATCAGACCATTTGACACTGCGAACGCTTTCGGAAGATACTGGAAATGTTTCACAAGATTCAGTCTCACTCAAATCAAAGTTAGTAAAGATAAAGTGAGGAGTGTTATGGAAGTAACCTAACCACTGTATCACGCTTTAGATTCGAAGCTGTGACAGTGGTCACAAAGCAAGATTGGTCTGATGAAGATTCTGCTTCTGTCTCTTTCTCTGTGTCACAAAGCTCCTCTTCATCATGGCTATCTTCTCCATATTGAATCTCACAACAGCTTGGTCCAAAAGCTGTGACATGGAACACTAACTCTCCTTCGTGTCTGAAAACGACAAGATCACCGATTCGGAGATCATGTGCCAAGGCGAAATCTTCCCAACCGTCAGAGAGTCTCTGACAGTCAATCTTCACTTTAAATGTGACCTCCGATGCGTCTGATCTCAGCTCAGCGGTTTTTCCATCGTTACTTCCTTCTAAGTGATTCAACAAGAAAGCCTCAGGAATGTCCTGAAACAGCATGCAAGAGGTTTAAAAACAGCACAAGCTTGGAAACAGAGAGATTGAGTAGAGACAGAGGAAATACGAGGTAGTTGGTGAATCCGGGAAGAAGCGGTTGGAAGAAATGTGGGTTCATAGGAGAATAGAGAGGTGAATTCGCCATTTTCAAACATAAAGAAATTTTAGTTTAAAACATAAAGAGTTGAAGACAATGTCTCTTTAAACCACCAACACAAATCACGAGAAGAAAGTGTGTTGTTAATTTGTTGCAGTTTCACGTGCATCTAGTTTTATAACAAACAACAAAATGTTGTAAGTTGTAACAGTATAAAGCACAAAAATCTATTGCAAAAAAAAAGCAAATGAATCAAAACAAATCACTACAAACCAAAAAAAATGAATCCAAACAACTCATTTCCTTCTGAGACAATGCTGCAGAACACTTTTTCCAGTTTCACGAGTCTAATGACTAACCAAACCTCTAGAAGCAACAGTTCAATTATATAATGAAAATGCAAAGGTCGTATCTCTGAATCTCTGTCATATCTTCAGTGCTTACTTCTGTGAGACACATATTTAATGGTTAGCTTCTATAACTTAACTACCACAAAAGGCTTAGGTTCAGAGGAAGACTTGAGCACGTTACATGCTTTTATTTACACCTTTTTTTTGTTGTCGTCTTCAGTCTCCGGAGTTGGAACTGAACCTGAGTACCGGAGTTGTCTCTTGTTTATCAACCAACTCCAATGTGAAGGAATCTCCTGTCTCAACACCATGAGCTTCACAAAAGCCTATCCAATCATCTCCCAGAGCCAAGACTCCATCTCTTGACAATAGAAAACCCGAACACACCTTCCTATTTATACCCAACATAGTTACTTTCCCAAGCCTGTTGATGCCATTAGCCTCCATGAAGTGACTTGGAAGAATCTGCAAGATATTTTGAATAGACACATCATCTCTTTACCAATTATATAACAAGGACAGAAACTGTCTTACTTTTCCGAATAAGAGTTATTTGATGAACTTACTAGTTTAACATCTTCATGTGTGCGTGTTAATGTCACAAATCGATTGTCGATTGCTGAAGATGGATCTCTGCTCTCCTCTATGTTGTTCTTGTCTTTTGTGGCCATGGTTTCACTGCTAGGTTCTGTGGAGATAGACTCTTTCTCGCTAGTTTCTGAATAGTGTTCCCCTTGTTGCCTTCCATCACTTGGGGACTCTTCACTGAACAAACGGAGCATAGGAGTTTCATCTTCCCAGATTGACTCCAACGTGATGGATTCACCACTCTCCAAGCCATTTGCTTTAGCAAAACTTTTCCAGCCTTTTCCCAGTTTCATTCTTCCACCTTTCCTTTCCAGTCCAAGATTTGCCACCCATTTTGTACCATCTTTTCCCAACAGAGTTATCCACCGAAGTTTGTCCAAGCCATTTTTTGTCGTGAATGAAAATGGAAGACCCTGAAATATTTGAAGGAATAACATAACTAACAAGTATACCTTTTATGAACTGAAAATAAACCTTTTCTTGAGATTAAAAAAAAAAACTAAAAAACTAAAAACTAAAAACCTTTAAGACAAGAGCTGAAACACTTGAATGTATGAAACTCACCAGTCTTCCCGTTGTGAGGCTGTCATGTGTAAGAGTCAATGTCGCGAATCGGCTTTCGTTAGGTGACAATGAAGCTCTCCTGCAAGGAGGAAACTTGTTTCGCACCAGCTCCTTTGAACTTCTCTCTTCTCTATTACTCTTGGCTTTAATTGTCTTGTTTCCACTGTTAGGTTCTGTGTAAACAGGCTCTCTCTCACTGGCTTTTGAGCAATACTCTCCTTGTTCCCTTCTATTACTACTAGAATCTGTATGGAACAAACTGAGCATAGGAGCTGCATCTTTCCAGATAAGCTCCAACGTGATGGATTCACCAAGCTTTAAGCCATTTGCCTTGGCAAATGTTTTCCATCCCTTTCCCAAACTCATTCTTCCACCTGTGCTTTCCCGGCGAAGATTTGCCACCCATTTTGTACCATCTTTTCCCAACAGAGTTATCAATCGAGGTTTGTCCAAGCCATTTTCTCTCATGAATGGCATTGGAAGACACTGGGAAAAATATTTGGACGGAAAACATATCAAGTAAGTATACAAGAGATAAAACTTAAAAAACCCTTTGAGACAGGAGTTGAACACTTGAATGTAAAAAACTCACCAGTCTACTTTTTCTGAAGCTGTCATGTGCAAGAGTCACTGTCACGAATCGGTTTTCTTTTGGTGATAATGAAGCTCTACTGGAAGGAAGACACTTGTTTCGCACCAGCTCTTTTGAACTTCTCTCGTCTCTATTACTCTTGGCTTTTCTTGTCTTGTTTCCATTGCTTGGTTCTGCGGAAACAGACTCTTTCTCACTGGCTTTTGAACAATGCTCTCCTTGTTGCCTTTTATCACTACTAGAATCTGTATGGAACAAGCTGAGCATAGGAGTTGTCTCTTGCCAAATTAATTCCAACGTAAAGGATACACCAATCTTTAAGCCATTTGCTATAGCAAACTTTCTCCATCCCTTTCCCAAAGTCATTCTTCCTGTGCAATCCCGTTTACGACGCACCAGCCACTTTGTACCATCTTTACCCAACAGAATGATCATCCCTGGTTTGTCCAAGCCATTTTCTCTCATGAATGGCAATGGAAGACACTAGGAAAAATAACAAATAAGTATACAAGAGATAAAACTAAAAAAAAAAACCTTTTGAAACCGGAGTTGAACACTTTAATGTATGAAACTCACCAGTCTGCTTCTTATCAATTATAACAAGGACAGAAACTATTTTTTACTTTTCCGAGTAAGAGTTATTTGATGAACTTACAAGTTTAACATCTTCATGTGTGCGTGTTAATGTCACAAATCGATTGTGGATTGCTGAAGATGGATCTCTGCTCTCCTCTATGTTGTTCTTGGCTTTTGTTGCCATGGTTTCACTGCTAGGTTCTGTGGAAATAGACCTTTTCTTGCTAGTTTCTGAATAGAGTTGCCCTTGTTGCTTTCTATCACTTGGGGACTCCTCACTGAGCTTGAGCATAGGAGTTGCATCTTTCCAGATGAGCTCCAACGTGAAGGATTCACCAAGCTTTAAGCCATTTGCTTCAGCAAAAAAATTCCAGCCTTTTGTCAATTGCATTGGTCCAACCTTGCTATGCCAGCGAAGATTTGCCCCCCATTCTGCACCATATTTTCCCAATAGAGTTATCATCCAAGGTTCGTCTAAGCCGTTTTCTCTCGTGAATAGCAATGGAAGACGCTGGAATATTTGAACGGATAACATAACCAATAAGCTTTTATGACTTAAAAAAGATACCTTTTCTTGAGATAAAAAAACTATAAAAAAAAAACCCTTTGAGACAAGAATGTATGAAACTCACCAGTCTACTATATCTGAGGCTGTCATGTGTAAGAGTCGATGTCACGAATCGGTTTTCGTTTGGAAGACACTTGTTTCGCACCACCGGCTCTTTCTCACTGGCTTTCGAACAATACTCTCCTTGTTCCCTTCTATCACTGCTAGAATCTGTATGGAACAAACTGAGCATAGGAGTTGTGTCTTGCCAGATTGACTCCAACGTGAAGGATCCACCCGCCTTTAAGCCATTTGCTATAGCAAACTCTTTCCAGCCCTTTCCCAAACTCATTCTTCCTGTGCCTTGTTCCTGTAAACGATTCACCAGCCACTTTGCACCATCTTTACCCAACAGAGTGATCACCCCAGGTTTGTCCAAGCCATTTTCTCTCATGAATGGCGATGGAAGATGCTGAAAAAAAGATTCAAAACCAAATTAGTAAAAGTGAAAAGTAATAAAACTAACTAACCATTTCAAACAAGAATTGGTTGATGAAACCCTCACCAGTCTACCATATGTGAAAGTACCATCAGTAAGTGTTAATGTCACATATCGGTTCTGGCTTAGACGATTCTTCTCTTTCTCAAGCTCTATACAATATTCTTTGTTGTTCTTCTTGTTGCTGTCTCCTCTTGTTCCATCATTGGTAGATTCTGTTGAGCAGAAACTGAGCACAGGCGTTTCCCCATTTCCCACTAGCTTAAACATAAAGAAGCCTCCTGCTTTTTTACCATTCTCTTCACAGATTTTTCTCCAACCTCGGCTTATGTAGAAAGTAGCAGATGATTTGTTGAAGCTCAGATCCAATGCCCATGATCTTTCCCCTCCATCGATTATAACAATCTTGCTGCATTTTCTTTTAAGACCATCTGAGGTTATGACATCTTTTGGAAGATCCTGCCAAAATGAAAAAGAAAAAAAAATCAAACATTTTCAGTATTGCCTCATGATATAAAGTTGCACAGCACTTGAAAGATAATATAGCAAAACGTGAAAGAACACTTAATCAGTTAATCTCATGACTAACCAAACAAGGATTCTCTATTTACACTAAATATATAGGCAAATAGGCTAAATCAAACCAATCTGAGTTAAAATGAAGTTTGGTTTTGCTTCAGAGTTTACACACCAAAAGTAAACCAAACTAAAATTAAATTTTTTTCTGAGAAAATACAAAACAGCATTACAGCTACCTAATATGTCTTAACAAATCGAACCAAAACCATATTAAACCAAAGTGACCAACTTTAGAAACAGTAGCCATGAGTGAGTGATTAAGCCCCAATATGCAATGACTCTTATTCTTAGCATGTTTTGTTTAGTGAGTGACTAAACCACAGAGTGCGAAAACAGAAAGTATGTGTAAGCACCAGAGCATCATTTTGTAGATTCGAAGCCTTGACAAGAGCTACAAAACAAGAGCGGTGTGATGAAAAAGAACCAGCTTCTGTTTCTGGACTGCTCTTCTTCGCTTTCTTGCTCGGAAACTCTGTAGCAGCAGAAAAATCTCACATTTTCAAAATGTACTTGGAAAACAACCTCACCAAACTAAAGTAATCTTGGACAATACAACAAAGCAGAACAGAACTGAAGTTACCAGTGTTGTCCTGATCATCACCACCATCTTCTTCTGTTCTTGGGTGCTGATGCTTCTTCATCGAAATGTGACCTGCGTTAAACAAGTAGGAGTATTTGTATAGATACACACAAAACTAATTCAAAGCCTAATTACACATTCAGAAAGATCACAAAATATTTCTTCAATTGTTTGTTGAATGTCTTAATATCACTCATTTCCAAATAAGGTTTGTATATCTAAAATTCCTGAAATTTGTTTAGACACAGTTTCCTCGCACATAGAAGCATCGTTTTTGCAGTTTCTCTGTCACGAAATAGCTTGTTCTCCTAACGCAGACAGAACATCCGACCAGATCAAGTCATAAAAATTATAAAAAAAAAAACAGAACCAAAATTACCGGTCTTGTCTTGATCATTGTTGCTGCGTTGCGTCGGTAAGTCTCGATTCTCAGAGCAACGAGGTCCTAAATCAGACAAACCTAACACCATCTCTCAAGCAGCTAAATGTCTTCACTTTCCAGGTGGGTCCGGTTAAAGTGCCTTCTTCGACTTCAAGCTTCTTCCTTTCTGAAAGCTTCGACTACAGGAATCGGAAATGTCGAAGAACTTCAAACCAAAAACAGAAACCCTAGAAATTTCTCCGGTGAAAAGACTTCTTTTTCAGGACAGAGAGAAAAAAGACCCAACTTTGTTCTTTCTCAGTGACCGAGAGTTCGTTTTAACATTTCATTTTGAGTCGTTTCAGTTTCTAGAAATTTCGAAATCTCGGCGCGTTATCTTACATAATGAACAGTGAATGTTGATTGATGATTCCGTTACTATTGTCACAGGGGGAATTCGAATCGAGCATATCAAATATTTTAATATTCCGATGAGAAGTTCAACCGGATCAAGTTGTAGTTTAATTTGGTTTGGTCTGGCTTTATGTTTTTTTTTTCTTCCCTTTCATTCATTGTTTTCTTACAACAAAGCTTTGCACTTTAGCAAAAAAAAAAAAAAAAAAAAAAAAAAAAAAAACTTTGCCAATTTGCATTTGAAGAGGTATATATCTTGAATCCAAGAAATATAATTTTCTTACTCTCATGTATATATAAAGAAAAATATATTGGGCTAATTACCTCAGTACTAACCACAAATGGTAAACTTAAGAGACTTGCAAATGCGAATCAAATTTTCATGTTTTAGTAAACAAAGATGGATAAAAAGATAACATGCTACTAACAAATGAGATGAATCGAACGAACATATCACCAAACAAACATATCAACAAGTATTGTTTCTGTTGACAAATCCGACATAATTTGGAAACTATAAACGTATCCGGGCCAATTATCTCCAACGAAATAAATGAACTTAGGCAATCTCAAAGACATTCTCAGACCAATCCATTTGAAACTGTGCCTGCAAACAACACACAAAAACAACAGCTTAATCTATCTATAATCTTGCGAGTCTTGCAAAAAAAGACTAACAAAGAACCAATGACCCTTGGCTAGAGCTTCTCAGGTTTCATCGTAAAGCTTCCACCTCGAAAAAGAAGACACCATGACAATGAAACAACAGACCCTATTACATTATGAACAAGCAAGGATTCAATCACCCTTCTTATCCTTTTACATGAAGAGAGTCAAGTGTGACTCTGTGAGGTTGTTTAACATTAACACCGGTAAATGTAAGAAAATGAATCTAAACAAATCATTTCCTCATAAGACAATGCTGCAGAACACTTTATCTAGTTTCATGAGTCTCATGACTAACCAAACCTCTGGAAGCAACAGTTCAATAATTAGCTAATGAAAATGCAAAGCTAATGAAGAACAGTTGCATATCTCTGAATCTCTATCGTATCTCCAGTGCTTACTTCCTAAGCTCTCTAAGGTGTTTTGGATTTTCAAACCGAATTTTCTGTTACCTAATTAGGCGGTTGGTGTTTGCAGTCAGTATCATTGGGCGTACCGTTAATGATATAACATATGTTGATGGCAAAAACAAATGAGATCACATAATCGTACCTCTCTGATAACCGAACTACATACACTCCATCAAAAGATACATGTGAGACACATATTTAATGGTTAGCTTCTTTAACTTAACTACCACACAAAAAAAGGCTTAGGTTCAGAGGAAGACTTGAGCACTTTACATGCTTTTATTTACACCTTTTTTTGTTGTTGTCTTCAGTCTCGGGAGTTGGAACTGAACCTGAGTACCGGAGTTGTCTCTTGCTTATAAACGAACTCCAATGTGAAGGAATCTCCTGTCTTAACACCATGAGCTTCACAAAAGCCTATCCAATCATCTCCCAGAGCCAAGACTCCATCTCTTGACAATAGAAAACCCGAACACACCTTCCTATTTTTACCCAACATAGTTACTTTCCCAAGCCTGTTGATGCCATTAGCCTCCATGAAGTGACTCGGAAGAATCTGCAAGAGATTTTGAATAGACACATCTCTTTACCAATTATAACAAGGACAGAAACTGTCTTACTTTTCCGAATAAGAGTTATTTGATGAACTTACAAGTTTAACATCTTCATGTGTGCGTGTTAATGTCACAAATCGATTGTCGATTGCTGAAGATGGAACTCTGTTCTCCTCTATGTTGTTCTTGTCTTTTGTGGCCATGGTTTCACTGCTAGGTTCTGTGGAAATAGACTCTTTCTGGCTAGTTTCTGAATAGTGTTCCCCTTGTTGCCTTCCATCACTTGGGGACTCTTCACTAAAAAACCTGAGCATAGGAGTTGCATCTTTCCAGATAAACTCCAACATGAAGGATTCACCAATCTTTAAGCCATTTGCTTTAGTAAAACTTTTCCAGCCTTTTCTCAATTGCATTCTCCTTCCACCTTTCTTTTCCAGTCCAAGTTTTGCTACCCATTTTGTACCATCTTTTCCCAACAGAGTTATCAACCGATGTTTGTCCAAGCCATTTTTTGTCGTGAATGACAATGGAAGACCCTGAAATATTTGAAGGAATAACATAACCAATAAGTATACCTTTTATGAACTGAAAAGAAACCTTTTCTTGAGATAAAACAAAACTAAAAACAAAAACCTTTAAGACAAGAGCTGACCACTTGAATGTATGAAACTCACTTGTCTTCCCTTTGTGAGGCTGTCATGTGTAAGAGTCAATGTCACGAATCGGTTTTCTTTAGGTGACAATGAAGCTCTCCTGCAAGGAAGAAACTTGTTTCGCACCAGCTCCTTTGAACTTCTCTCTTCTCTATTACTCTTGGCTTTAATTGTCTTGGTTCCACTGTTAGGTTCTGTGTAAACAGGCTCTTTCTCACTGGCTTTTGAGCGATACTCTCCTTGTTGCCTTTTATCACTACTAGAATCCGTATGGAACAAACTGAGCATAGGAGTTGTGTCTTGCCAGATTGACTCCAACGTAAAGGATCCACCAATCTTTAAGCCATTTGCTATAGCAAAGTCTCTCCAAACCTTTCCCAAAGTCATTCTTCCTGTGCGATCCCGTTTACGATTCACCAGCCACTTTGCACCATCTTTACCCAACAGAGTGATAATCCCAGGTTTGTCCAAGCCATTTTCTCTCATGAATGGCAATGGAAGACACTGGGAAAAATATTTGGACGGACAACATAACAAATAAGTATACAAGAGATAAAACTAGAAAAAAAAAAAAACTTTTGAGATAGGAGTTGAACACTTGAATGTATGAAACTCACCAGTCTGCTTTTTACCAATTATAACAAGGACAAACTATTTTACTTTTCCGAATAAGAGTTATTTGATGAACTTACTAGTTTAAAATCTTCATGTGTGAGTGTTAATGTCAGAAATCGATTGTGGACTGCTGAAGATGGATCTCTGTTCTCCTCTATGTTGCTCTTGGCTTTTGTGGCCATGGTTTCACTGCTAGGTTCTGTGGAAATAGACTCTTTCTCGCTAGTTTTTGAATAGCGCTCCTCTTGTTGCTTTCTATCACTTGGGGACTCCTCACTGAGCAAACTGAGCATAGGAGTTGCATATTTCCAGATGAACTCCAACGTGAAGGATTCACCAAGCTTTAAGCCATTTGCTTCAGCAAAAAATTTCCAGCCTTTTGTCAATTGCATTGGTCCACCCTTGCTATGCCAGCAAAGATATGCCAGCCACTCTGCACCATCTTTCCCCAGTAGAGTTATCAACCGAGGTTTGTCTAAGCCGTTTTCTCTCGTGAATAGCAATGGAAGACGCTGAAATATTTGAACGGATAACATAACCAATAAGCTTTTATGAACGCTTGAGATGGAAAAACTATAAAAAAAAAAACTTTTGAGACAAGAGCTGAACACTTGGATGTATAAAACTCACCAGTCTACTATATCTGAGGTTGTTATGTGTAAGAGTCAATGTCGCGAATCGGTTTTCGTTTGGTGACAATGAAGCTCTCCTGTAAGGAAGACACTTGTTTCGCACCAGCTCCTTTGAACTTCTCTCGTCTCTATTACTCTCGGCTATTCTTGTCTTGTTTCCACTGTTAGGTTCTGTGTAAACCGGCTCTTTCTCACTGACTTTTGAACAATACTCTCCTTGTTCCCTTCTATCTTTACTAGAATCTGTATGGAACAAACTGAGCATAGGAGTTGTGTCTTGCCAGATTAACTCCAACGTGATGGATTCGCCCATCTTTAAGCCATTTGCCTTAGCAAATTCTTTCCAACCTTTGCCCAAACTCATTCTTCCACCTGTGCTTTCCCGGCGACGATTTGCCACCGATTTTGTACCATCTTTTCCCAACAGAGTGATAATCCCAGGTTTGTCCATGCCATTTTCTCTCATAAATGGCAATGGAAGACACTGGGAAAAATATTTGGACGAAAAGCATAACAAATAAGTATACAAGAGATAAAACTGAAAAAAAAAATCTTTGAGGCAGAAGTTGAACACTTGAATGTATAAACTCACCAGTCCAGCTTTTGTGAAGCTGCGATGTCCGAGAGTCAATGTCAGGAATCGATTTTCGTTTGGTGATAATGAAGCTCTCCTGGAAGGAAGCTCTTCACTAAACAAACGGAGCATAGGAGTTGCATCTTTCCAGATTGACTCCAACGTGATGGATTCACCAATCTTTAAGCCATTCGCTCTAGCAAAACTTTTCCAGCCTTTTCCCAGTTTCATTCTCCCACCTTTCTTTTCCAGTCCAAGATTCGCCACCCATTTTGTACCATCTTTTCCCAACAGAGTTATCAATTGAGGTTTGTCCAAGCCATTTTTTGTCGTGAATGACGATGGAAGACCCTGAAATATTTGAAGGAATAACATAACTAATAAAGAAACCTTTTCTTGAGATAAAAACTAAAAAACTAGAAACAGAAACCTTTAAGACAAGAGCTGAACACTTGAATGTATGAAACTCACCAGTCTTCCCGTTCTGAGGCTGTCATGTGTAAGAGTCAATGTCGCGAATCGGCTTTCGTTAGGTGACAATGAAGCTCTCCTGCAAGGAGGAAACTTGTTTCGCACCAGCTCCTTTGAACTTCTCTCTTCTCTATTACTCTTGGCTTTGATTGTCTTGTTTCCACTGTTAGGTTCTGTGTAAACAGGCTCTCTCTCACTGGCTTTTGAACAATGCTCTCCTTGTTGCCTTTTATCACTACGAGAATCTGTATGCAACAAACTGAGCATAGGAGTTGTGTCTTGCCAAATTAATTCCAACGTAAAGGATCCACCAATCTTTAAGCCATTTCCTATAGCAAACTCTCTCAATCCCTTTCCTAAACTCATTCTTCCTGTGCATCCCTGTTTAAGACTCACCAGCCACTTTGTACCATCTTTACCCAACAGAGTGATGATCCCAGGTTTGTCCAAGCCATTTTCTCTCATGAATGGCAATGAAAGACACTGGGAAAAAGATTCAAACCAAATTAATAAAAGTGAAAAGTAATAAAACCAACTAACCATTTGAAACAAGAATTGGTAGAAGAAACTCTCACCAGTTTACCATATGTGAAACTACTCTCTGAAAGTGTTAATGTCATATATCGGTTTTGGCTTAGACGACTCTTCTCTTTCTCAAGCTCTATACAATATTCTTTGTTGTGCTTGTTGTTGTTGTCTCCTGTTGTTCCATCATTGGTAGATTCTGTTGAGCAGAAACTGAGCACAGGCGTTTCCCCATTTCCCACTAGCTTAAACATAAAGAAGCCTCCTGCTTCTTGACCATTTTCTTCACAGAACTTTCTCCAACCACGGCTTATGTAGAAAGTACCAGATGATTCATCGAACGTCAGATCCAATACCCATGATCTTTCCCCTCCATCCATTACAAGAATCTTGCGGCAATTTCTTGTAATATCATTTGAGCTCGTGAAATGTTGTGGAAGATACTGCCAAAGAAAAAAGGGTTCAAATATTTTCAGAATTGCCTCATGATACCAAGTTGTAAAGAAGTTTCATGACTAACTAACGTAAAGATAACATAGCAAAACGTGAAAGAACACTTACTATAACCAACTAAGGATTCTCTATATGCACTAAATAAGCAGGTGTTCAAACATATATATGCAAATAGGCCAAATCAAACCAATCTAAATAAAATCAAAACAGACCAAACTGAATTAAAATGAAACTTGGTTTTACTTCAGTTTACACACCAAAGTAAACAAAAGATAAATTGAGAAATTTCATACAGCTACCTAAGATGTCTTATAACAAATCGAACCAAAAACCATATCAAACCACAGTGACCAACTTTAGAAACAGTAGCACAGAAGTGAGTGATTAAACCCCAATAAGCAATAACTCTTAGCATGTTTTGTTTAGTGAGTGACTAAAACCACAATGAGCACACACAAAAAAGAAGTATGTATAAGCACCAGAGCATCATTTTGTAGATTCGAAGCCTTGACAAGAGCTACAAAACAAGAGTGGTCTGATGAAAAAGAACCAGCTTCTGTTTCTGGACTGCTCTTCTTCGCTTTCTTCTTGCTCGGAAACTCTGTAGCAGCAGAAAAATCTCACATTTTCAAAATGTACTTGAAAAACAACCTCACCAAACCAAAGTAATCTTGGACAATACAACAAAGTAGAACAGAACTGAAGTTACCGGTGTTGTCCTGATCATCACCACCACCATCTTCTTCTGTTCTTGGGTGCTGATGCTTCTTCATCGAAATGTGACCTGCGTTAAACAAGTAGGAGTATTTGTATAGATACACGCAAAACTAATTCAAAGGCTAAGTACACATTCAGAAAGATCACAAAAGATTTCTTCAATTGTTTGTTGAATGTCTTAATATCACTCATTTCCAAGTTAGGTTTGTATATTCAAAATTCCTGAAATAGCTTTTCAGACACAGTTTCCTCGCACACAAAAGCATCGATTTTGCAGTTCTCCGTCTCGAAACAGCTTGTTCTCTAAACGCAGACAGAACATCCGACCAGATCAAGTCATAAAAACAAAAAACAGAACCAAAATTACCGGTCTTGTCTTGATCATTGTTGCTGCGTTGCGTCGGAAAGTCTCGATTCTCAGAGTCAGAGCAACGAGGTCCTAAATCAGACAAACCTAAAACCATCTCTCAAGCAGCTAAATGTCTTCACTTTCCAGGTGGGTCCGGTTAAAGCGCCTTCTTCGACTTCAAGCTTCTTCCTTTCTGGAAGATTCGAGAAGAAATCTACAGGAATCGGAAATGTCGAAGCACTGCAAACCAAAAACAGAAACCCTAGAAATTTCTCCGGTGAAAAGACTTTTCTTTTTCAGGACAGAGAGAAAAAAGACCCAACTTTCTTCTTTCTCAGTGACGGAGAGTTTGTTTTGGCATTTCATTTTGAGTCTTTTCATTTTTTAGAAATTTCGAAATCTCGGCGCGTTATCTTACATAATGAACAGTGAAATTTTAATTGATTATTCGTTATATTGTCACAGGTGAATTCGAATTGAACATATCAATATTTTTAATATATCCGATGAGAAGTTGAACCGGCTTAAGTTTTTTAATTTTTTTTTTCCTTTTCATCCACTGTTTTTTTACCTCACAAAGCTTTGCACTTTAGCAAAAAAAAATCTTGAATCCAAGAAAATATAATTTTCTTACTCTCATTTAAATATTGAGAAAGATATATTGGGCTAATTACCTCAGTACAAACGACAAATGGTAAACTTCAGAGACTTGCAAATGTGAATCAAATTTTCATGTTCGTAGTAAACAAAGATGGATAAAAAGATAACATGCTTATTCAATTCAACTCAACTACTAACAAGTGAGATGAATCGAACGAACATATCACCAAACAAACATATCAACAAGTATTGTTTTGTTGACAAATCCGACATAATTTGGAAATTTTAAACGAATTCTGGCCAGTTATCTCCAACGAAATAAATGAACATAATGAATTAAAGTCATTTATACGGAAAAGGTTGAGATGGTGGTATGCGTTTTCTTGGCCAAATAAAATCCACAACATTATGGAACACAATAATCTTAAGATCATCAGTGATGATTGATCAGTTTCTCAAAGGCAGAGCATTAAGTTTCTGAAGTAACTCCAAAAGTTTAGCTCGACATATGCTACTATGACAGAATGTAATAAATAACTTTTCTTTGTTCTTTCTGATAATCGTTATGGACATCGTTTAAGAACAATTAGAGCTTAAGTACGTATACACAACGAGATATAACAACAATTTTTGTCAGTCTTGGCCATGAATCTTGAAAAATTCAAACATATGGGTTTGTTATTTTTTGTCCGCCGGGTTTGTTGCTTGACTGCTGTCTTGAGGCTTGGGTAGAGATGGCGTACAAGGACATTTCTCTACTTTGATGTACGAACTTTCTTCTGTTTCTCTAAACTTTTTCCACAAATTTGCTTCCCCTTTACTCTTCCATAGGAAACGTAAAATGAAACTTCCGAGGGTTAGAGCGCATATAACAAACACACCCAAAAACAGAACCTTGAAACTGTCCACACCAAGCTGCCTAGAGGTAACAGATGGATTAGGATCTGGATTGGTGACTGGGTCTGGACAACTTGCTTCTTTCTTCTTGAACCATGCACGCTCAAGCTCCATCGCCTTTGGTGACTCTGCTACCTTTAAGATAGCCCTTGAAACGTCAGCGACCAAAGGTGATGCGATTGGAAAAACCTGAGATAAAAAAGGACTTAATTATTATCTTCTCACCATTTTCAAAGAAGTAATTTCTTAGCAACTTACAAAGCCGAATCCATCAACGTTGAAGGGTTCTTCAACCATTTTATAGTCTTGGCAATACTGTCCAAGAAATATCTTCAAGTACGGTACTTCCAAGAAAGCTGCCGAGAAACCTCCCTTTTTTGTTCCATTACTCAGTAGCCCATCGCATTCTTCTGCTGTATCAAAGGGTACAAGGTGGGATTCAGGGAAACCGACTTCTCTAAGCTTTCCGTGGATGAAGGATGTTCTCTGATAACCAACTGTTTCTCCTCTCTCAAGCAAGCTCCTCATGCTTGTTATGGTTGGATTAAGTTGCTGTGTTGTTAAAAGCGAAGCCAAACTGGCTGTGTAACTTTGAGTCAACACTAGAACGATGAAATACCATGCGATAACCAAGAACCTCGCTCCAAAGCTCAACACTCTTTCTCCTGAAAACAGCGACTCGCTAGTAAGCATTTTAGTATATAGAAACATGAACATCAATATATACTTGCATGTAGAGATGAGGGATTAATACTTGGTGCAAAAACCATTGTAGAGAAAGCAAACCAGAGGATGGTACTAGCTTGGTATCTCCCCGTTCCTTGAAAGTCCGGATTAAACCTATGCTCAAGAACCCAAACAGTAATGCCAACAACGAAGAAGGAAGCCAAGGAAGTCAACCATAGTCTCCAGGACAAAGGTTTGAAGAAATCGAATAGGTCTCTCTTCACTGTTTCACCCATTGGAACAACCAGTCCCACACCTGATTTAATGAAAGGGAATGTGAAATCGACGTAGGAGGACCTGTTCGCCAGTATAGTTGTATCTCCCACAACAGCGTCATATCTCTGCGGTAGGAAGTAGAAAACAAGAGTTCAACAAAAGTTCTTTTGTATAATGGGAGGATTAGTTAGTACTGCTCTTACTCACCCCAAGGTACACCTGGTGGACCAAGTCATTGTAAGTACCAGCTGGTTCACCGTTGCTTTTCTCGAAAGAAAGGAGCTCATAGGAGATGTCATAAGGCATTTCTTCAATCACAGCCTTAAAGAAGTCAATGCAGAAACCTGTGACTATAGTTGCATTGGTGATAGGATCCCTTGTGACATTTACTAGACCGGGAAACCGGTTCTCTTTGGGACTCCGATACGCAACTTCTTCCCATTGGTCGGGATCTCCCATCCTGGGGGAACAGAATCTGCCTCTCCAGGCCATGTAATGTGCTTGAGATGATCTTTCCAGTTGGATAAAGCATTCATGCTATGTGGTTTCTGGCCTAGTGTCTTGACAAGACCATTCTCCTCTGTCCAGAACCCTAATGATTTTTCTCCTGTTCCGATGATATTAACAATCTCAAACACCGATGGTTGCAGCTGCCTGTTGAAAAAACGAAAATCTCCCGCGAGTCCTCTAAAACGAACTCTTGAGAGTGTTGGAAGAAGCATTGGGCCATATTGAGATACACCAAGGGTTTCAAGGTCAGAAACATTTCTCCTAGGATCCGCGTTACTAAAAGTAAGGTTGTTTGTTCCAGCTTCTTCAACTGCCATCGCCAGTGTGGTGATAGCATCATAAGTCCACAGTCCATAGACACTCATATCCAGTCGTGGGAATAGCTTACTCCATCGAGCTTTAAAGTTGTCGAGATCTTCGGATTTCTGAATATAAGTCTTTACACCCAAGACACCCTCCATACCATCGATGCCCGTCTTATTTATGGAGCTTAAGTCATCCATGACTCCATTGGTTAGGATCCAGACATATCCTGGTTTCATCAAACCAATCTCCTTAGCTTTGATGAAGAATCTTGAGGCAAGAGCAGTGTACATGTGTACAATAAAGACTCTTGTTGGCATGTTCATCATCTTTAGAAGCTCCACAGAGATCTCAGTATCGGTGGCGTTTAGAGAGATCACGGTTCTATACGGTATTCGTACGTTGATCTCTTGTAACGCATCGGTAAGACGAGGCATTATACCTTCTCCAAAGGTGTTGTCGATGTAAACAGGCACAACTTCTCTCCACCCGAACAACTTGACGATAGCTTTTATGGCATGCACTTGAGATGAGTCATCGTACGTAGCACGAAAGAAGTATGGACTGCGAAGAGAAGTAAGAGATGGACTTGTTGCAGAATATGAAATAATCGGAACCCGGGATTTTTGGCCAATTTCGATCAAGAAATGAGCTTGCATAGATGTCCAGGGCCCCACTATCGCTTTCACTTGCTTGTTCTTTATAAGATCAAGAGCTGTGAGATTGCCAAAACCAAGAAAATTTCAGGTTATGTGAAATTGTGAATAACTGAATGAGGGAATGAATATACAGATTATCGGAAACGTGACCAAGAGTATTATGCTTTGCATGCTTAGATAACTGAAAATTGCTTATTTGTTGTAATTGGCCAATCTCTAAAAACAATGATATGGAATGATAATTCATAGCACATGTGTCACTGTGACATGATATTATTTAATTTATAGATTAAATAAACCTTTTTATTAAATAAAAAAACTATTTTGCATCCAAAAATGAGTTTTGAATTACGGATTCATTTCTTTTCCATATCAGCAATTCAGCATCACCGAAAAACTTTTCATATCCATTTTTTCACGTAAAAGTTTTGGCATGCACATTTATAGATTCAAGTTTTTGGCGCCAAATTTCCGGAATCAGACTTTTGACAAAAAATTTGGAATCACATCTTACTATCTTAGTGTAGAAAATTTTATGGGAAATTTACGGATTCAAGTTTCTGGCGAGAAATATATGGAACAACATTTGAGGTGGAAAATTTGCTACATTGGGTTTTTGTCATCAAATTTTTGACATAATGTTTTTGCAAAAAAATTACTGCTTCCCTTTTTGATTAAAATTATATCATCATCATCAACAAAAAACATTCGAAATCTTATTTTCATCATATCAACGTAAAAAGTTTGGCATGGAATTTACGAATTATGGTTTTTTATTTTTGAAAAGTTTCTAAATTATATTTTCGGTGTAAAATAATGTTTTGGCGTAAATTATATTCTACCGGTGGACTTCTGGAACGGTATCGCAATAGATGTTGTTGACAAAATAAAATAATGTTTTGGCAAAACGTTTTTGTAATCAATTTTATGTTTTGAAGAACTGTAAAATATGTAAAATAATTCTGTTTTGAAAATAATTTCAAAATATTTTACACTAGGATATGTCATATGTGGATCAGTCAAATTCCTAATATCTTTCAAAACATAAATTTTGTTGCGTTAATAGTTTACTTTTAACACCTTTAATTAATCAAAGCAAACAATATAGTTTAAGCTTATGAGATGAAATGTCAAACTGTTTTTGAAAATTAAAACTTGTGAGTTACTATTGAGGAAAGTTTTAAGAAGATACCTGCAGCTGCGGCACCGATGACGTCTTTTCTGGAGTCACCGATGTTGACGACAAGCCTTGTCTTGAGTTGGGGATGAGAAGAATAGAAGTCAACGAGAGACATGTTGATGCAGAGCATGGAAACGTCCGAGTATGAAGTCCCCACATCTGTAACAACACCAACATTAACTTCGGTTAGTCTGTTGTTTTGTCCTCTGGTGAGTTCCACAAAGAAGAAGAAGAAGAAGAAGAAGAAGAAGAAGAAGAAGAAGAAGAATGAAAGCCCCATGTTTTTCATTTTTGGTTTTGTTTAAGTTAAAAATGTGTTTTCGAGAAGCGATGAATTGTTATTAAAGTGTTCTTACTGATCTGTGTTCTGTAGCGTATATATAGTAAAATTTTGATAACCTTCAGACTTTTTTTTTTCTTTCAGATTCGTCACCTAGACTAAATCCGAACACGAAACACGCATCAGATATGATGAGTATATGATAGAGATAAGAATCAAATACACTTTCAAAGTTTATGGCTATTTTTAATCCATTTTTTTTTAAGTAGACTTAACATTCAATTATTGTACAAAAATAAATTTCTATTTGAATTCGACAAAGATTTGAACTAGCAGTAATATAAATATAGTAAATTTTGCGGGCTAGTTGATTGAAAGCAACACAGAACTGGACATAACTATCGTATACTCCCTTATTATATTATATAGTTGTGTGAAAATAATTGTACTAGATGTTTTAAGCAAGAAAAAACAATTGTTTCATTTTATTTGATTTTTTCTTTAGAAGTTTTATGCAAAAGTCATTATTTTTTTTATTTTTTTTGGTAGATAAATGTAGAGTCCAAGAGGTTAACTCTCCACCCCTAACTCTTAAGATATTAGCCATAACAAAGGGGCATAACAAATCATTCTAAAGACATTTCTTGAAAAAAAATATGGACTGCAAAACTATTTAAGCGTTTTCTGAAAAATTATGGGGCGAGCATGCCTACAAACCTTCAACCATTCTTATGGATCCAAGTTATAAATTTGTGTCAAGACAGTGAAAAATAATGTATTTGACGATCACTCGTCATGACATTACATATTTTGTGAGTAGCCTTTGTTAGTATACATCTTCTCTTGAAGAATTCTCATCTTCAAGCCGCTTACAAAGTATTACATTACATACTTGAAATGTACAATTGGCAAAAGTTTTTCTGTTCAGCAGACTGTGATATGCTTTTCAAAGGCTTCACAGATAATAGACATCATGCAGAGATATATGATGGTCTACTTCTAGTTATTACATGTTTCTTGGAAATTCTCTCGTTTTTTTGGGAAATCAAAGAAACAGAACACAATATCTCATTCATCTATGAGTACTCAGCTCTAAGTAGATCCATGAAATTTGATGTTCTAGAGATATTAATAAAGTGAAAGTTGATTTATGATTAACCCGTGTAATTTTGTTCGCTTATCTCTATGGCAAACCAGAAAACCCTTCGTATATTCGAAGAGCTATGTAACAAACTGACAGTTAATGTTGAATAATTTCGTCATTAATTCTTTTTTGTTCAATTCAACATCCAACAAGAACAGAAATAGAACTCCACAGTTCACAAGATGCAAAACTCATTTACAACAGATTCAGATTTTTCTCTAACAAGTTCATTGCATATGTCGCCACCTCATTTTACAACTCTTCTCTTGAGCCACCTCATCTTCCACTTCCTCTCTCTTCTCTTTAGACTCCTTCTTCCTCCGTATATATGGGCTCCAGAGCTTATCATAGTACTAACTTGGTAATTAGCCAGTCCACAGTAGTCTTGGTTAACACTATGTTCAACAATCCAAACCGTAACGCCCGTAAAGAAGAAACAGACAAAGGAAGTCAACCATAGTTTCCATGACAAAGGACGTTTTAAAATATAGATTAACTCTCTCTTCACTAAGTCTTCCGTTGAGACGATCAGTTCCACGCCTGATTCAATGAATGGAAATGTGAAATATACATCAGAGGACCTGTTCGCCAGTATGGTTGTATCTCCCACAACCACGTCATATCTCTGCAACAGATCACAGAAGAGAAGAAAGAACATATCAAAAATATGGTTTTTTTTTTTTTTTTTTGTAAATGCTATTTTGAGGGATGATTAGTGTGGGATCGTACTCACCCCGATGTATACTTGGTGATCCAAGTCGTTTGTGGAATCACCGACGTTGACGACAAGCCTTTTCTGAAATTGAGGACGACAAGAATAGAAGTCAACCAGAGACATGTTGATGCAGAGCATGGCAACGTCGGAGTATGAAGTCCCGACATCTGTTACAACACCAACATTGACTACGATTGATCTTCTGTTTTTCTGTCCTCTGCCAAGTTTCACAAAGAAGACCGAGAAGAAGAAGAGCAAGACGAAGAAGAAAATTATCTTGTTTCTCATTTTGAGGGTTTCTATAAGTTGAAAATGTGTTTTGGATAATTTTTAATTTGTATGCAGATATTCATGATTGGTTTTGATAAGCTGCTGAAATTTAATATTTCATAATGTTCGTCATCTAGACTAATCCTAACAAGCATCAAATATAATAGTGATAAGAACCAACACAATTTCAATGTTTATGGCTATTTAATCCAAATATTGCTTTTTGAAGTAGATAATAGATTTGTGGGTGACGACTTAGCAATCAGCATTCGATAAGTTTATGTATAAGATTAGCTGAAAAATTAAGCAAGTCGTCTAGAAGAAAAAATATAGTAAAACTCTGTTGACAACTTGATTAAAAGTAGCCAAGAAAATAAAACTTCATTGTCTTATGGTTTACTTGTATTGCAAAAAAAAGTATGATCTGTTCAATAAATTCAGTTCTACGAAAGTCAAGCACTAAATTATATAAAAGGGAGAGTTGTGTTAGAACTTAGAAGTAATCAAAATGTCATATTTTTACATCACCGAAATCATCACAACTTCCTAGAAAGTGTTCACTGGAGGCAGTTATCATGGCCTCAAAAGCTCCACAGCTTGATCTGTTCTTCAAGCCAGCTTTTTCTGACAATTTCTCTCTGAACTCTTTAGTCTTTCAGAGAGCAACCACACAACGTATAAAATAGCTTAACAAACTTATGCTTTCTAATATTTTGTACCGTTGGTAAGTAACTGTGTATCGGAATGGGTACGGTCTACCGTAGAAATTGATAAGGTGTGTATACGTTATAACTGAATGGAATGCATCTTTGTTGAGGGAAAAGAAGTTGCAATAAACTCCAATAGTTTTGTTTGACAAAAAACACACATATTATTTGTTAAATTAAAGACAACAACCATGGTTATAAATCTTGAGAGATTCAAACATAATGGAATGTCTGTCTAGTTTGGTCACGGAGGAGGAGTCATCTGTACCTCGCTCATGTGTGGTCCCGGTGGAGGCGTACCAGGACAAATCGCTACCTCGTTGATGATTGGTTCCGGTGGAGGCGGACAAGGACACATCTTTACCTCGTCGATGTACGAACCATTCCCATAGGCTGCGAATTTCCCGAGTATAAGAACGCACATCACGGCCGCAATAACAAACAGAACCCAGAAACTGTCTAGCCCAAGCTGCCTAGAGGTAGAAAATGGATTAGGATCTGGATTGGTGCTAGGGTCTGGACAAGTTTCGTCTTTCTTCTTGAACCATGCGCGATCAAGCTCCATCGCCTTTGGTGACTCTGCTACTTTTAAGATAGCCCTTGAAACATCACCAACCAAAGGTGACCCGATCGGAAACACCTGCAAAATTCAGAAAGGTGCTGATGATCTCTCCGTTCAATGAAAGTTTCACATAAATTATGTCTTGGAAACTTACAAAGCCATATCCATCGACAGTGAAGGACTCTTCAACCATTTTGTAAGTGTTGCAATATTGTCCAAAAAAGAGTCTCATGTAAGGTATACTCAAGAAAGCTGCAGAGACACCTCCTTTTTCTGGTCCTTTTCTCAGTAGCCCATCGCATTCTTCTGCGGTGTCAAAGGGTACAAGACGGGATTCAGTGAAACCGGCTTCTACAAGCTTTCCGAGGATGAAGGACGTTCTCTGGTAACCCACTGCTTCCCCCTTCTCAAGCAAGCTTCTCATGTTGGTTACGGTTGGATGAAGTTCTTGTGATGTTAAAAGCGACGCCAAACTGGCTGTGTAACTCTGAGTCAGCACGAGAACGATGAAGTACCATGTGATAACCAGGATCCTTGCTCCAAAGCTGAACACTCTTTCTCCTGAAAACCGCAGTTGAAGAGATTAAGAACTAAGGAAAGTGATATATAGAACAATATCACTATGTGTTGAGATAAAAAGCAGAGAGATTGAAAGTACTTGGAGCAAAAACCATGGTAGAGAAGGCAAACCAGAAGATGGTACTCGCTTGGTATTGACGCGGTCCTTGGAAGTCTGGATTAACCCTATGTTCAACAGCCCAAACAGTAAGGCCAATAATGAAGAAGGAAATAAAGGAAACCAACCATAGTTTCCATGACAACGGTTTCAAGAAACTGTATTTATCTCTTTTCACTGCGTCTTTTACTGGGACGATCAGTCCCACGCCTGATCTCATGAATGGTAATGTGAAATCGACGTAAGAGGACCTGTTCGCCAGTATGGTTGTATCTCCCACAACCGCGTCATATCTCTGTGACAGAGAGAAGAAAAGAAGTGAGATCACTAACATGGTTTGTTTCTTTTGACAGAACTTTTAAAGAAAAGAAGAGTTCACTATGATTAGCGAATGATCTTACTCACCCCGAGGTATACTTGGTGGACCAAATCGTTGTGATCACCTGCAGGTTTACCATCGGGTGTCTCGAAAGGGACGAACTCATAGGAGATGTCATAAGGCATTTTCTCAATCACAGCCTTGAAGAAGTCTATGCAGAAACCTGTGACTATTGTTGAATTGGTGATAGGATCCCTTGTGACATCCAAGAGATCGGTGAAACCGGTTTTCTTTGGAACTCCGATGCGCAACTTCTTCCCATTAGTTGGGATCTCCCATCCTTTTGGAATAGAATCACCCTCTCCAGGCCATATAATGTGTTTAAGATGATCTTTCCAAGTAGATAAAGCGCTCTCGCTCTGCGGTTGCTGGTCCAGTGTCTTGACAAGACCATTCTCCTCTGTCCAGAATCCTATTGACTTTTCTCCGGTTCCGACCACGTTAACAATCTCAAACACCGATGGTTGCAGTTGTCCGTTGACAAAACGGAAATCTCCTGCAAGTCCTTCGAATTGAACACTTGAGAGTGTCTGGAGAAGCTTTGGACCGTATTGAGATACACCAAGAGCTTCAAGTTCAGATACATTTCTCCCAGCATCCGCATTACTGAAAGTCATGTTACTTGTTCCAGCTTCTTCAATGGCTATCGCCAGCGCGGTGATAGCATCATACGCCCATAGTCCATAGACACTCAGCTCCGGTTGTGGGAATAGCTTACTCCATCGAGCTCTAAACTTGTCGAGATCTTCGGAATTGCGAATATAAGTCTTAACACCCAATACCCCCTCCATCGCCTCGATTCCCTTCCTATCTATCGAACTTAAGCTATGGGTAACTGCATTGGTAAGGATCCAGACATATCCTGGTTTCATCAAACCAATCTCCTTAGCTTTAGTGAAGACTCTTGAGGCAAGAGTATAATTCGTGTGGACAATAAACACTCTTGTGGGCATGGTCATCATCTTAAGAAGCTCCACAGAGATATCAGCATCAGTTGCATTTAGAGCGATAGCAGATCTATAAGGTATCCGGACGTTGATCTCTTGTAGTGCATCGGTGAGACGAGGCATTACACCTTCTCCAAAGGTGTTGTCGATGTAAAGAGGCACAACTTCTCTCCACCCAAACAACTTGATGATAGCTTTTATGGCGTTTACTTGAGAAGAGTCCTCATATGTTGCTCGAAAGAAGTATGGACTACGGAGAGAAGTAAGAAATGGGCTTGTCGCAGAGTAGGAAACAAGCGGAACCTGTGATTCTTTGCTAATTTCGATCATGAAATGCGCTTGCATAGATGTCCATGGCCCCACAATCGCTTTCACTTGCTTGTTCTTTATCAGCTCAAGAGCTGTGACAATGTCAAAACCAAGAAAATGCAGGTTGAGTATGTAAAGAATTGAATGAGAAACGATCTATTTCCGTAAGCAGATCAATGATCTCCAACAGTAAGTATCAGTACCATGTACACATGCGGATGTATCAGTAACATATATATATATATTTATGTGAGAGAGAGAGAGAGAGAGATAGAGACGATGATTACAAATAGTAACAGTAACATATATACATGCGGATGTATGAAAATCATATATATTAAAGAGAAAGAGACTGATCTCAAACAGTAACAGTAACATATATACATGCGGATGTATTTAAACATATATATGTATAAGTGAGAGAGAGAGAGAGAGAGGAGGTGAGAATGTACCTGCAGCTGTGGCACCAATGACGGTGTTTCTGGAGTCACCGACGTTGACGACAAGCCTTGTCTGAAATTGAGGACGAGAAGAATAGAAATCAACGAGAGACATGTTGATGCAGAGCATTGCCCTGTCCGTAAGCATTTTCCCAACATCTGTTACAACACCAACATTGACCTCGGTCTTCCTGTCGTTCTGTCCTATGCTTAGTTCAACCATGAAGGAGAGCAAGAACAAGACCAAGCAGAAAAACTTCTTGTTTCTCATTTTGGTGTTTCTTTTTAAGTTGAAAATGTGTTGAAGTATGAGAAGTGATGTATAACCATATAAATAGTACAGTTCTGATAAGCTGATAATATTATTTATTATTTCAAATTCTCATCAAGACCAAGTCCGAACAAGCATCAAGTATGACAGAATCAAACACAATTTCAAAGCTAGTGGCCATTTCTAATCCAAATAGTTCTTTTAAAAGTAAGTTTATAGCTTTGTAGTAGACGACTTAGCCATATTGTATTAATAAAATATAGAACTTTTTGTATAAAATCAACAAAAACTTTCGCACGTTGTATAGAACTCAAAAATATAGCAAAATTTATGGACTACTTGATTCAAAGTAACATAAAAATGAGCATTGTTTAAATTTACTTGTATTAAATTAAAAAAAAGTACGAGCTGTTCAATAATTTTAAATCAATGAAAGTCTAGTAACAAGATTTAAAATGACACTAAGAAAGTTGTGTTAGAAGTAATCTAACACCGCGTAGATTAATAAAAGATTTTTAAATGACAATTTGTCATGTTAAACCACAAGTACGTGACTAACATAGAACTCAAGGACCCGAGACTAGTTAAGCAAAAAGGAAATAAACAAGAAGAAAGTAAAACCTTTGTTTATTTCCAAGGGTAAGGCAGCTTGGTCTCATTTCAACCAGAGTCTAGCACCTTCAAGTCTTATTATGCCTCTCACCTCCACCTTAAACTGGATCATGGAGCTCCAGCCTTTTAGATGCAGCCAATCTCAGAAGGTGGTTCTTTGGAAGTTAAATCCGGCCAAAATCTCCGGGGCCTGATGGATTTACATCTGCCTTCTTCAAAGCTGTATGGACAATTGCAGGAAGTGAGTTAGTGGAAGCAATGGAAGAAAAAAATTGCAACAGAATCTCTCCCTACATCTACAAATGCTACCATTTTAACTGTGGTCCCTAAGAAACCAGGAGCGACAACAATCTCAAATTATAGACCAATTTCTTGCTGCAATACAAGATCATTTCCAAGTTGTTGGTAAAGAGGTTAAAGTTATTCTACCTTAGGTGATCCTCCCTAACCAAACTGCCTTTCTCCAGCGGATACTTCTGACTGAAACCACCCTCCTTGCATCTGAAATAGTACATTCTGCAAGATAAACATGCAAAAAAAAAAGTCACTTTAAAGATAGACACTGCAAACACCCTCCTTTGATATTTTGGAAGTGTTAAAGGACGGACTTTGACTGTTAGTGTGCAGAAAAAAAACTTCATTCTTCTCAGCAGGTCTAAAAACCCATGAAATTGATCAGATTAAAAGAGATACTAACCTGCAGAGTGGTTCATGTTCCTCTTTGTACTATAAGAAGCTCTCTATGCTGCGATGCGCTTCTCTAATCCAATCGAATAAAGTCAAGACTTCTATCGAGGACGGTGAAACTGAAATCACTCTCCTTTTGCTGGTCGTCTCCAATTGTTATCCTCGGAAACGAGTTCGCACCTTCTCTTTGATTGCAACTTTTCCTGGAATCCCACCTCACGTCGTCGTCGATTCCAGTGCAGAGCAGGAACATTTGATGCAATAGCTGACAATCCAATGGGAATTATCCAATCGAAGGAAGCTCTTACGGAACTTCAAATATTTCCAATTTGATGCAGATTACACACTTTCCCTTTCCTTGGCTGCTGCTGTATTGAGCTTCATTTCTGCAGTGGTTTGTCTTCTCCGTCTGATTTTAACTCTTCACCAAATGGTTCTCTCAAACTGAATCGATCGCAAAGCCGATTGTGATTAGCTATCTGACTCCATGCCATCTCCGATCGTTTCGTCTCCTTCTCTCCGTCTCATTTACTGGATTCTTCTCTCTCGGCCTCGACTTCCGTTTCGTTCTTATTTTGTTGTGTGTAAAACTCGGCTATTTACCTTTTTACCTTTTTTTAGTTCTCGTGCTTTCTAATATTTTGTACCATGGTAAATAAACTGTGTACTGGAATGGTTACGGTCTATCATAATCGTAGAAAACTGGTAATGGTGTCACAACTCACAAAGTGGTGTGTATACGTTAACAATTCTTTAATTTACAACAAACTATAACAAAAAAAGTGAAAACACACATTTTCTTTGTTCAATTAAAGAAGAAAGACAGTCATATGGTCTTGAGAGATTCAAACATAATGGTTGTTTGTCCAGTTTTCTCTTGGAGGAGGCGAACAAGGACATCTCTCTCTACCTCATTGTTGTACGAATAATTCTGGTTGATGAAACGCTTCCCAAAAACCATTCATCCTGAACCTCCATAGGAGAGTTACTGTGAATTTGCCGAGTGTAAAAACGCACATAAGGAACATAATAAGAAACAGAAGCCAGAAACTGTCTACTCCGAGCTGCCTAGCGGTAGAATATGGATTAGGATCTGGACTGGTGCTTGGGTCTGGACAACTTTCGTCTCTCTTTTTGAACCATGCGCGATCAAGCTCCATCGCCTTTGGTGACTCTGCTACTTTCAAGATTGCCCTTGAAACATCAGCAACCAAAGGTGACCCGATCGGAAAAACCTGCAACAAAATGGATTTGATGATTTCTCTGTTTAATGAAACCTTCACAAAACTTCCATCTTATGGACACTTACAAAGCCAAATCCATCGACAGTAAAGGACTCTTCAACCATTTTGTAAGTGTTGCAATATTGTCCAAGAAAGAGTCTCATGTAAGGTAATTCCAAGAAAGCTGCAGATACACCTCCATTTTTAGGTCCTTTTCTCAGAAGCTCGTCACATTCTTCTGGGGTATCAAAGGCTACAAGGCTGGATTGCGAGAAACCGGTTTCTTTAAGCTTTCCATGGATGAAGGACGTTCTCTGATAACCCACTGATTCCCCTTTCTCAAGCAAGCTTCTCATGCTGGTTACACTTGGATGAAGTTGCTGCGACGTCAAAAGCGACGCCAGACTGGCTGTGTAGCTCTGCGTCAACACGAGAACGATGAAGTACCATGAGATAACCAGAAGCCTGGCTCCAAAGCTGAACACTCTTTCTTCTGCAAACCACAACTCGAAAGTGTAAGCATTAAGCAAAATGATGTATATAGAACAATAAGTATGTGTGGAGATGTAAAAAAGGGAGATGGAATGTACTTGGAGCAAAAACCATGGTAGAGAAGGCAAACCACAAGACGGTACTCGCTTGGTAATTAGGAGGTCCACGGAAGTCCGGATTAACCCTATGTTCGAGTGCCCAAACAGTTGCCCCAACAATGAAAAAGAAGGCAAAGGACATCAACCATAGATTCCATGTCAAAGGTTTCAAGAAAGTGACACTGTCTCTTTTCACTTGGTCTTTAATGGGGGCAATTAATCCTACTCCTGATTTAATGAATGGGAATGTGAAGTCAACGTAGGAGGACCTGTTCGCCAGTATGGTTGTATCTCCCACAATAGCGTCATATCTCTGTGACAGAGAGAGAGAGAGAAGAAAAGATAAGTTCACTAAGGTGGCTGCTGTAACATCTCTTTAAACTTTTAAGGGCATGATTAGTGAATGATCTTACTCACCCCGAGGTATACTTGGTGGACCAAGTCGTTATGATCCCCTGCTGGTTTACCATCGGGTGTCTCGAAAGGAACGAGCTCATAGGAGATGTCATAAGGCATTTCTTCAATCACAGCCTTAAAGAAATCTATGCAGAAACCTGTGACTATCGTTGAATTGGTGATAGGATCCCTTGTGACCTTCACAAGATCGGTGTAACCTATTCTCTTTGGAACTCCAATGCGCAAACTCTTCCCATTTGTTGGGATCTCCCATCCTTTGGGAACAGAATCAGCCTCTCCGGGCCATATAATTTGTTTCAGATGATCTTTCCAAGTTGATAAAGCGCTCATGCTCTGTGGTTGCTGGTCTAGTTTCTTCACAAGACCATTTTCCTCTGTCCAGAATCCTATTGACCTTTCTCCGGTTCCGACCACATTAACAATCTCATACACCGATGGCTGTAGTTGCCCTTTGACAAAACCGAAATCTCCTGCAAGTCCTCTGAACTGAACTCGTGAGAGTGCCTGGAGAAGCTTTGGACCGTATTGAGATAAGCCAAGAGCTTCAAGCTCAGACACATTTATCCCAGCATCTGCCTTACTGAAAGTCAAGTCAACTGTTCCAGCCTCTTCAATGGCTGTCGCCAATGCGGTGATAGCATCATAAGCCCACAGTCCATAAACACTCAGCTCCATCCGCGGGAATCTTCTCCTCCATCGAGATCTGAACTTGTCGAGATCTTTTGATTTCCGAATATAAGTCTTAACCCCCAATACCCCCTCCATAGCATCGACGCCTGTCTCATCGATCAAACTCAAGTCATCGGTAACTGCATTGGTAAGGATCCAGACATATCCTGGTTTCATCAAACCAATCTCCTTAGCTTTGATGAAGACTCTTGAGGCAAGAGAAGGGGACGCGTGGACAATAAAGACTCTTGTGGGCATGGTCATCATCTTAAGAAGCTCAACAGAGATTTCATCATGCGTTGCATTGAGAGCGATAACAGATCTATAAGGTATTCGGTCGTTGATCTCTTGTAACGCATCGGTAAGACGAGGCATTATACCTTCTCCAAAGGTGTTGTCGATGTAAACAGGCACGACTTCTCTCCACCCAAATATCTTGATGATAGCTTTTATGGCGTTTACTTGAGAAGAGTCTTCATAAGTAGCTCGAAAGAAGTATGGACTACGGAGAGAAGTAAGAAATGGGCTTGTCGCAGAGTAGGAAACAAGCGGTACCCATGATTTTTTGCTGATTTCGATCATGAAATGCGCTTGCATAGATGTCCATGGCCCCACAATCGCTTTCACTTGCTTGTTCTTTATCAGCTCAAGAGCTATGACAATGTCAAAAACCATGAAATTCCAGGTTGAGTATGTGAAGAATTATATAAGAAACGATCCATTTCGTAAGCACACCAATGATCGCAAACAGTAACATATATACATGAGGATGTATCGAAACCATATATATACACACAGAGAGAAAGATAGAGCAAGGATGTGAGAAGGTACCTGCAGCTGCAGCCCCAACGACGTCATTTTTGGAATCAGCGATGTTGAGGACAAGCCTTGTCTGGAATTGGGGACGAGAAGCATAGAAATCAGAGAGAGACATGTTGATGCAAAGCATTTCGATGTCCGAATGCATTTTCCCAACATCTGTTACAACACCAACATTGACTTCGGTCTTCCTGTTGTTCTGTCCTCTGCTGAGTTCCACTTTGAAGGAGAAGAAGAACAAGACGAAGAAGAAAAGCTTCTTGTTTCTCATTTGGGTGTTTCTTTGTATGTTGAAAATGTGTTTGAAGTATGAGAAGTGATGAACATAGTATCTATAGGACTGTTTTGGTGTGTACTAACAAGCAACAAATGTGACAGAAGATACGAATCAAATACAATTTCAAAGCTAGTGTCCCTTTCTAATCCAAATATTCCCTGTTTAAGCAAGTTCCTAGCTTTGTACGAGAGGACTTTAGCATTGTATATGTATTAAAAATCATATATATAACTTTTGGTTAAATTCGACAAAATCTTACACACGTCGTTCAGAACTAAAATATAGTAAAATTTGTGGACTAACTGAATCAAAGTAACAAAACATTGAGCATGAGCATGGTTTATCTCTTAGTTTACGTGTATTGTATTTAAATATATTACCTGTTCAATAATTTCAAATCAACGAAAGTCAGAGCAACAAGATTATTAAATGAGAGAGCTGTGCCAGAAGTAATCTAAAACTGGGCAAATTGATAATAGATTTAACATGACAATTAGTCATGGCAAAACACAAGTACGAGCGTAACAAAAATCTTAAGTAACCCAAATTAGTAAGGCAAAAAGGAAAACACAAAGGATGAAGTAAATCCTTGTTTATGATTTCAAGTTAAAATCTCAGAAACAAAGGCAAAAACCAAAAAAAAAATGTCTAAGGTTTGCAGATTTTACTGATTGACACCGAGCCACTTGGTGAAGTTATCAAACTCAGTGTAGTCACTATCCGATATCATGGTCTGGTACCACGCTTTTCCTGCTGCTTTGATCTTGGCTGATTCCTCCTGCAAGAAACAAGAATTAAGAACAAGATCAATCACACAAGCCACATCAGAAACATCACAGATTCTAAGCTCATCAAGCCAGTGAACCAACATGCATTCTCAAGAAGATTTAATCAGAAAGAAATCTAAGAGAAGAAGATAAAAGTTAATACCTTTGAGATGGGTTTTCTCTTCCTCTCAAGCTTCTCGGTTTTGGACTTCACTCTCTCAACTTCAGACAACAGAGACATTCTTCTCGCAGTCTTAGCGTAAGGGTTAAGCTTCAACATCACATTCAAGTTCTTCAACGGATTCTTCTTCAACACAGCTCTCTTCCCATCCTTCTTAATCGGCCTAACCACACTCTGAACCTCATCAGAATTGATAATCCTAGCAAGATCAGCATTCACCATCTTCGGACGAGGCAAAACATATCCTTTCTTCATCTCCGACGGCTTCTCAAACGATCCATAAACCGATTCCAACTTCTCAAAAGCCGATTTAGTCCACACAACGAATCTCCCCAAATGACCACCAGGAGCAAGTTTAAGCAAATTCAACCTCTCCACATGACACAAATCAACCCCAGGAATGTTCCTAAACGCTTTCACCAAATTAGCTCCTTCATTTCCATAAACAATCAACGGACCTTTACGAGAAATGTATCTCCGATTCCTCATTTTCCCAACACCAGATCGAATTCCGATACTATCTTTCGCCTTCTCAGCATCAGCGTAAGCTCCGATCTGCTCCAGAACCTTGATCGCGTCGCTCGTCTTCTCCACAGACTCGATTGAGTCGCTTATCACAAGAGGCATCTCCGGAACACCTTCGATTTTGTGCCCACGGGCAGTGACGAGAGCAGGCACAGCAGTCGCAGCGATCGCGGAAACAATCGCGTGCCGTTTCAAATTAACATTGACGCGACGGTGCCAGAGACGGTAGATCTTCGTCGGAGCGAACATACGACCACCACGGCACATGTTTCCGAAAGCCGCTTGACCGGCGCGATGAGTACCGCCTCCTGGAACACGAGGGATACGCGACACAGCTCTTCCTGTACCCCAAGACTCGGCGGAGGTCTGATGACCGGCGAGCTTGGATACGGCGTAAGGCTGACGACTGTTGTTTGAGATCTGGGCGTGGACGTGGTTTACGACGTCGGGTCGAACCGGAGCTTTCATTACATCGGGAAGAGGTAATGTGATGGAATGATCAGTGCTCATATCGCCGTCGAGAGAATGGACGGTAACTAGAGGGCGAACGGCAGCGGCGGCCATTTTCGCGGTGTAGGATTTTTTAGTGATTTGCCGGCGAGCAAGCGGGAATGTTGAAGTTTACGCTTTATATAGGTGTGAGAAGTCTACGTAGGGTTTTCTCAAAGGTGTTACTATGGTGTCAAAATGGGCCACTCTAGGCCCAGCCGAATGACCAAAAATAAACAAACAATGAAGAAATAGCTGCATTGATAAAAGCCCAATAGCAAATGAAAGAAGAGACGTTAAATTATTTCTTTGTAGGACAACTTCTTCGGTTAACTACAAAGGTACGCCAAAGATTTAAAATGAGGCACGTGAGGCCCTCTATTTCAGACAGAACAGAAGCTGTCCCCCACTAAAGTCAGTCACTTCGAGAGCTTTAAGAAATTCTATTTAGGGTTCGTTTTGACAAAAGAGAAGACGGTTTTGTAGGATTATCTGTTCCCTGACATTTAGGATTTGGGTACGAAACTGAGAAATCTGTTTCTTAATTGCAAATAGAGGAATTAGATTGGATTCGCTCTCTGTTTCGAATTGTCTGTTGTCATTTCTTGTTCTTGTTAGTCTGTGTTTATGCATTCAGAACAAAAGATTGTGTTCAGTTTTAGATTGATAGTAAAATTGTTCATCGGGACTGTTATGTGGTTAAATTTACAGTTTACAGTTTGTTTAAATTGTCCATCGGAACTGTTATGTGGTTTTAGATCTTCTATGTTTCATGTTTGTTTACAGTTTAGAAGAAGAAGCTTAAATTTTGCTAACAGATTTTGGAAAATCAGCAAAAATGGGACCGAGAAAGAAAACACCAACCATGAAATGGGTACGAACTTATTGAAAGATCTAATCTTTTATATCGGAAATGGATTTGATCCCTGTTTCAGTAGCAGATTGTTTATCAGGGGACTGTTATGCGATTAATTAACCTTATCTGCTCATGCTTCCTAAAACCACAAGAAGCTTAATACTTTTTCTTTCAGGTTGTGAAATCGCAGCAATCAACTAAAATGACAGAACCTGCTACGGAAAAGAAGAAGACATCATCATCAACCATCATGCCAGATTCGTCTCTTCACCCTGATTTCGTAAGAACTATTTATTCCCCCGTTTTTGAGTTCCGACATTTGATTTGATTTCTCTGTTTTCATGCTTTTGTTGGATGTACTTTGGTGTATGTATGTTGAAAAGAGGATTTGAGACAATCTAGATGTAGCTTTTACATGTAAACTTATGTCTTAGTATTGGTTTCCTAAATTGTAATTTTTCTGTTCTCAGGTTTTAAAACTGCATCTGTCTTCGTCGACTCCATCAGCAAAAACGGCACAACAAACTGCAACGAAACAGCACACATCGTCTGTCCCTGACTGGTCTCATCTCCCTGAAGAGCTACTGCAGATTATCTCCCTGAAGGTAGAGGACTGTTTCGATGCTATTCATGCTCGCTCTGTTTGCCGCCCGTGGAGATCCATCTTTCCCTTTCCTTCGTATCTATCATCCACAAGGTATTCTCTTCCGTCATTTGCCAAGTTCCCTCGCAAAAGCAGAGGCTTCTGCACCCTCGAGAAGTTCCCTATGTTCCTCTTCAGAGTCCGGACTCCTCCTGATGCTGCTGATGCGTTGCCTTCTGAGTTTTATGTGGGAGGGATAAACCAAGACAAGTCAGAGGATCATATTGAGCTTCCGTCTCCTATTCAGTGCTCAGTGAAAGTGAAGATGGGAGAATCTGATCCAACCTTGTTGAACATGGTCGACTGTCAGATTCTCCCTCTTGGCTATCAATACAGAATGATTGGTTATGATCCTAACTCATTGGCAACAAGTTTCAGAGGCGTGGCTTTTCTTCCACTTAACAAGGAGGGAGGAGGAGAGTTCGTAGTGCTTATCGGCTACGCTCATGATTTGTTAGCGTTGAGAAGTTCTGAAATGAAGTGGATGCGTGTTGAGAAACCCTCAAGAGCTGATTGCAAGGATATAGTAACCTTCAGAGGCAAGTTTTATGCAGATTTTATCAACGGGGATGTTTGCGTTATCGATCCTTATTCGCTGGAAGCGACTCCATTGATGCCCGCGGAGCGTCTGACCTCACACAACTATCTTGTTCCATCTGGTGATGATGAACTTTTCGTGGTTGAGAGAATCTATGTTCGTTATAGTACACTATATTTGAACAAGTTAGCATGTAGAGTGAGTAGGCTAGATGAAGAGGCTGGCGAATGGGTCGTGGTCAGCGATTTGGGAGACCGTGTGTTGTTTATTGGACAACCGGGAAATAGGTCTTGCTCAGCTAAGGAGCTTCCTGATGGTTGTGGTGTGAGTGGGGACTCAATGTTGTTCATCAATGATCTATTTGGTGTAACTTTCTCTTATAAATATGGAGTAGATACTGGAAACCCGGAAGATGACCTTAGTTTTTGGAGATCCTATAGAGAGACTCGTGTGACGATTGTCAGCAAATCTCCGATGGCTGCTCATCTCCGGGTTGACCGCTTCTCAAGCTCATCTCCGGGTTTGGGGGAAGCTAATATCCGGCTTGTGTACTAAGCTGTAATGATCTAACTTTGGTGACCTGAAACATATGCTGATTGGCTTGTTGTTTTAGTTAGATCATAAACAAGATTTTCTTTGTGATTTTAGGTAATGATGTTGTGTGATGTATGATGTTTTAATATTTTGTAGTTCTTAACTATCTTGTTGTCCCTGTTGAAATAGTTGTCTCATGAACTCTCAAACCTGTGGCTTATTATGCTCTTGGTTTTATAACACGGTCATGTGTGTCTCTGACCCAAAGTTCTTCAAATTTCCGTAAGGGTCTTCTTCCCAAACTCATATGAAAACTCCAAATTGTTATACTGCAGCAGAAGCATTAGTTTTTTCAAACCATCTTTCAAGACTGCAAGCTTGAGAAAATCGTGATTATTCAGCTAAAGACACTAATAGGTCAACTCCTAAATAGAACATATGTTTGTGTTCCATCTGTTCTTGAGAAACAAAACCTAAAAGTTTCAAAATCTTATGACAAAGCAAAACACTACGCAATGGTTTGTGTTTATGCCGCTTAGACCAACCTCATGTATACTTGAATCTCCTGATTGTGATCCTTCTATTCCCATGCTAGCCGCTGTCTTTCTAGCATCTGATCTTCAATGCCTGCCTCATTAGTATCTTCTATATATTGTACTACAATTCAAAATGTCAACTAATTGAAAAGAATCATGTAACTTTATTTTGTTTATTCATGGTTTCGGTCTCTGTATGGAGGAGTCAAGATGATTACGAGGGCTTCCCCGTACGTTCATTTATTTTTGTTAATCATGTGTTCCTTGTTGTACAAGAAATCTCAGTTACAATTATTTTTCCATTGGTTATAAGTGAAGACGTATAAACTAAATTAAAAACCAAAACCCTATTTTTTACTTAGAGAGAGCCCCATCGAGAGTCGTAAGAGAGAAATAATGGTGTTGCCCTATCTTCCGTCAGAATTGGTAGAGGAAATACTCTCTTGGGTTCCGGCCACATCTCTGAAAATTTTACTATCTACTTGCAAACAATGGAACGCTTTACTCAAAGACCAAAGATTCACAGAGAAGCAATTACGTAGAGCTCCAAAGCAGCCTCAAATTCTCATGTCGAAGGAATATAGGCTTTTTCCAACAAGCGTTGATGTCAACATTGTTCCTCCGTATATAGAGCTTAAAGATGCACTAAGCCTAAAGGATCCCCATTCTAATAAGACATCAAAAGAAGTCCGTATAGCCGAAGTTTATCACTGCGACGGTTTGCTGTTGTGCATCACCAGGGACACTAGAGTTGTGGTGTGGAATCCGTGTTTAGGGGAAACCAGGTGGATCCAACACAAGAACGGTTACAACGTATCGTGTATGTTTGCTCTTGGATACGAAAGCAACCGATTCGGCATCCGCAGCTACAAAATCTTGATGTTTTTTGGAGGAAAACCAGATGTATTTGAAATCTATGAGTTCACCACTAATACATGGAGAGTTGTTAATACTCCAAGCGACTTCAGAGCAAAATATCATGGCGTGTGTTTGAGAGGAAATGCCTATTGGCTTCATATTGATGATACCGCAGACTACCACTTCCTCCGTTTTGATTTTACAAGAGAGAGGTTTACAAGTTCTTGTCTTCCCCAATCTCCGAGTCGTCGTTATATGGCTCTATCTGTTGTTAGAGAAAAGCAACTCTCAGTGTTAAGTTATAAGGACAGTGGTCACGACGTGGTGGAGAAGTGGGAGGTGGAGATGTGGGTGACCAATGAAATTGATACAGAAGCAGAAGAACAAGAGTTGTCATGGAGCAAATCCTTTGCAGTGGGCTTAAACCGTATTCGTGTTGATTGTCTCTATGTTCAGACGAGTCTTTTGATCGACGAGGAGAAGAAAGTGGCCTTGTGTTGTAATTTATATCTCGGTAGTGGTAGTAGTAACTTGAACGTGGTATACACTATGGGAGAGGACGATGATGAATACTACACAGAAATCCCTTATATAGAAAAACAATGGTTGTTGTGTCACGGGGATGATGAAAGAGCGTGGCGGCCGTTTTTATTCAGTTATGTTCCAAGCTTGGTTCAAATCCAACAAAAATAAGCTAGTGATTTCTTGCTGCTCTTCTTATTGTTTTTCTTTATTTTTAATATACTTCTTGGTACTTCAGTAACCTATTCCTTTTTATGCTTCTTTTCTTCATTTTGTTGTGTAGTTTAGATACCCCAATAAATATAACTAGAAAGTATTTGATCCCATGACGATGTGAACCTGAGAAAACTTTTGATTTGATGATATTGAAAACCACTGATCCCGACATTGGCCATGTTTGAGACCGTTTCTTCCAAACAAGATTTTCTTTATATTTTTTTAGGTAGTGATTTTGTGTGATGTATGATGTTTCAATGTTTTGTAGTTCTGAACAATCTAGTTGTCTCTGTTGAAATAGTTTTATGCTCTTGGTATAATAGCACGGTCGTGTGTGTGTCTGACCAAAGTTCTTCAAATTTCCGTAAGGGACTTCTTCCCAAACTCATATGAAAACTCCAACTTGTTATACTGCAGCGGAAGCATACGTTTTTTTCCAAACCATCTTTCATGGCTACAATCTTGAGAAAATCGTGATTATTCAGCTAAAGACACTAATAGGTCAAATCCTAAACCGAACATATGGTTTGTGTTCCATCAGTTCTTGAGAAACAAAAGCTAAAAGTTTCAGAATCTTATGACAAAGCAAAACACTAAGCAATGGTTTGTGTTTATGCCGCTTAGACTAACCTCGTGTATACTTGAATCTATTGATCTTGATCCTTCTATTTCCCGTGCTAGTCGCTGTCTTTCTAGCATGATCAATGCCGGCCTCATTAGTATCTTCTATATATGATTGATACCTACAATTCAAAATGTCAACTAATTGAAAACATGTAACTCTATTTTGTTTATTCATGGTTTTGGTTTCTGTATGGAGTAAGTTGATTACGAGGGCTTCCCCGTACGTTCATTTATTTTTGTTAATGATGTGTTGCTTGTTGTACACGAAATCTTAGTTACAATTATTTTTCCATTGGTTATAAGTGAAAACGTATAAACTAAATTAAAAACCAAAACCCTAATTTTTACATAGAGAGAGCCCCATCGAGAGTCGTCTACGGGATCAGAAAGAGAGAAACAATGGTGATGCCCTATCTTCCGTCAGAACTGGTAGAGGAAATACTCTCTTGGGTTCCGGCCACATCTCTGAAAAAATTACTATCTACTTGCAAACAATGGAACGCTTTACTTAAAGACCAAAGATTCACAGAGAAGCAACTACGTAGAGCTCCAAAGCAGCCTCAAATTCTCATGTTGAAGGAATATAGGCTTTGTCCAACAAGCGTTGATGTCAACGTTGTTCCTCCGTCTTTAGAGTTTAAAGATGCACTAAGCCTAAAGGATCCCCATTCTAATAAGACATCAAAACAAGTCCGTATAGCCGAAGTTTATCACTGCGACGGTTTGCTGTTGTGCATCACCAGGGACACTAGAGTTGTGGTGTGGAATCCGTGTTTAGGGGAAACCAGGTGGATCCAACACAAGAACGGTTACAACGTATCGTGTATGTTTGCTCTTGGATACGAAAGCAACCGATTCGGCATCCGCAGCTACAAAATCTTGATGTTTTTTGGAGGAAAACCAGATGTATTTGAAATCTATGAGTTCACCACTAATACTTGGAGAGTTGTTAATGCTCCAAGCGGCTTCAGAACAAAATATCGTGGCGTGTGTTTGAGAGGAAATGCCTACTGGATTTATCTTCTTGAAGATAGCACAGGTTACCAGTTACTCCATTTTGATTTTACAAGAGAGAGATTTAGAAGTTTTTGTCTTCCCCAATCTCCGAGTCGTCATCATATGGCTCTATCTGTTGTTAGAGAAAAGCAACTCTCAGTGTTGACTTCTAAGAAAAGTGGTCACGACGTGGTGGAGAAGTGGGAGGTGGAGATGTGGGTGACCAATGAAATTGATACAAAAGCAGAAGAAGAAGAGTTGTCATGGAGCAAATCCTTTGCAGTGGGCAAAAACCGTATTCTTGTTAATGGTATTGATTGTTACACGAGTCTTTTGATCGACGAGGAGAAGAAAGTGGCCTTGTGTTGTAATTTAAGTGGGCTCTGTAGTAGTAACTTGAACGTGGTATACACTATGGGAGAGGACGATGATGAATATTACAAAGAAATCCCTTATATAGAAAAACCATGGTTGTTGTGTCACTGGGATGATGAAAGAGCGTGGCGGCCGTTTTTTTTAAGTTATGTTCCAAGTTTGGTTCAAATCGTCCAACCAAAATATATAAGCAAGCGATTTCTTGCTGCTCTTCTTATTGTTTTCTTTATTTTTAATATACTTTTTGGTACTGAAGAAATCAAGTTACTGTTCGTTGAATAACAAGTTTCTTTTAAATTTGGTCGTTTTAGAAGAATAAGTCTCCGATGAATACGGAGCTAGAGTAGTTCGAGTTTGTTTCAGTATTTTTAGGAATCAGTTTCTCCTTCTTGTTGTACTCAGGGTCTATTTAAAAGACCGATCTCTTTTATTAATCTTAAGCCGAACAATTAAGTTCAAAACTCTCTTCTTGTTCTGCATCTGAAACACATTCACAAACCAAGAATTGGTATCAGAGCTCCCAACGAGCATGGTACGTTAAGATTCCAAAGTTTGATGGAGATTATGAGCATTGGGCAATGCTCATGGAGAATACCTCAGGTCAAAAGAATGGTGGGGATTGATTGAGACGGGCTACACCAGGCCAGAGAGAGGAGTGATTCTCCAATGAGCATTGCCCAATACTCATAGTCTCCATCAAACTTTGGAAGAGTTAACTGGTACTTCAGTAACCTCATTTTTATGATTCTACTTTAGATAAATAAAACTAGAAATTATTTGATCACATGACGATGTGAACCTGAGAAACTTCGATTAATTAATATTATAAAGTGAAAAAACTTTTGATTTGATGATACTAAAAACCACTGATCCCGACATTGGCCATGTTTGAGACCGTTTCTTCCAAACCAGATTGAGGCTAGTACTAAAGCCACGACGACATCGTCCTCTCCGATTAAAGTCATACTTGTTAGACACGCTAGTTTAATTTATCTAACCAGTTCACATCCATATCAAGATTTGTTCTCAAGTATATCGCTGTACCAGCAAAGGTTTCATGCACGTCAATTACAAATCGGAAAAATGTCATTTATTCACTCCCATTTTTTTTGCTTAACATCTAACATGGCAGGTCAAAGTCTTGACTGGGAGATGGGTGATGTATATGGAATTCAAGATATAAACACTCTGATCGACATTTTCCTCGAAGCTTGAACATAAAAGTATGCTAGTTAGTCTTAGTCCCAAACTTATCTCTTGTGGTAATTAGTAATTTAGTACCTTATCTCTTGATCTAAATGGAGTTTAACTTTCCCCTAACTGCTCCGTGTGACTTAATGGGTGAATATGGTCATACAATTCTTATCTCCATCTCTGAGTCAGAACAGATTTTCCAACTAGTTGATACTGCATATTCGATCCAACAAACTATTCATGTTTGATAATCTAAGCCCATGCAAAGGTTTTGTTGAAATGTGAAATCAACAAACCAAAACCAATACCTTGAACACCTCTCGGTATTCTATAAATTATGATCATACAGAGAACTAAACCGACTAACAATTTCGGTCAACTAACAACGGTACACTTAATTTAATTGAAGCCGTGAGCTGCACGTGACTTCTAAAGAAAACCCTTTTAATACGACGACATCTTCTTTTCGTTTTGGCAGAAGAGAAAAAGTAGACGACGACATCTTCTTTTCTTTTCTCTGTGATGATTTTATATTTCTAAATTTCTACTCTAGGCACTCTTTGTTCCCCCCTTTAGATAGTAAGATTCTTTTTTTCGGGAGTGTTTTGAGATTAATCTTCTCTGTTCACGTTTGCTTAGAGTTACTTAAACCCTAGAAGCTTAAAATTTTTTCTTAAAGAGATTTTCAGAAATAGCAGCAATCAGGAAACATGGCACCGAGAAAGAAGGCACCAACCATGAAGTGGGTACGGTCTCTTTCTTCCCCACTAAATTGAAAAAATCTCATTTTTATGGATTTGATCCTCTGTTTTCAATAGCAGAATGTTTATAGGACTGTTATGCGAGTAGTCTTCTCTCTTCATGTTTCCTCTAAACCTAGAAGCTTTGATTTTTCTTTCAGGTTGTGAAATCGCAGCAATCAGCAAAAAATGGCACAGCCTGCAACGAAAGAGGAGACAATATTGTCCATGGCAGACTGGTCTCTTCTCCCTGAAGATCTACTTCACGTTATCTCGAGGCATCTAGAAAACTGTTTCGATGCTATTCATGCTCGCTCTGTTTGCAGCTCATGGCGATCCGTCTTTCCTTTTCCTTCGTGTCTATTAACCTCAAGTTACTCTCTTCCGTCGCCGTTCTCCTATTTACTTGGCAAGAGCATAGGCTTGTGCACCCTCGAGAAGTGTCCTATATTCCTCTTTAGAGTCCGGTCTCCTACTGCATCACCTTGTGAGATTTTCCTGGGAGGGATACACCGAGAGGAGTATCATATGGAGGAGCTTCCATCTCCTATTCAGTGCTCAGTGAAAGTGAGGTTCAAAGAATCTGATCCAACCTTGATGAACATGCTCGACTGCCAGATTTTCCCTCTTGGTCACCACTACAGAATCATCGGTTGGAATCCCGGAGACGGGAGTACAGAGTACAGAGGCGTTGCTTTTCTTCCGCTAAGAGGAGGAGAATTCGCTGTGCTTATCTGCTACTACCCTTTTGATTTTCATGTGTTAACAAGTAGTGAAATGAAGTGGACGCGCCTTGGCTTTATCTCAATTGCTGCATGCAAGGATGTAGTCTCTTTTAGAGGCAGGTTTTATGCAGTCTTTAGGAATGGGGACACATCCGTTATCGATCCTTATTCACTGGAAGCGACTCCTCTGTTGTGCTCTCCGTGTGATACAAAAGATCTGGTTCTATCTGGGAATGATGCACTTTTCCTGGTTGAGAGATTTTTAGACTTCTCTTTTCTTAAAGGAACCGGACGTCTTTTTGGTCCGTATGAGTGTAGAGTGAGTAGGCTAGATGAGGAGGCTGGTAAATGGGTCGAGGTCAGCCATTTGGGAGACCGTGTTTTGTTTATCAATGGGCCACATTTGGGAAACGTCTGCTGCTCGGCTAAAGAGCTTCCTGATGGTTGTGGTGTGAGTGGGAACTCGATTGTGTTTACTGATGAGCCAGGCAATGTAACTTACTCCTATAAGTCTGGACTAGATACAAGGAGAGCGGAAGAAGATCTCAATTGTTGGAGAGCTTCAGGAGAGAATCGTGTGACTATCCTCGAGACATCTCCACTGGTTGCTCTCCGGGTTGAATGCGCTTCACCATAAAATATCAATGATCATACCAATGATAACCTCCAGTCCTATCGGTTACTGTCTTATTTAATTATACTAGTTTTTTCTTCATCACAATCTCTTATGAATGTGACACACAGCTAAAAATATGTTTTTAGAGCTCTTCTTCTTTCGGCTATAAGCTCCACAATGCCTTCTCAATACTACTCCACTTTTTGAAGACAGCTTGTCCTGTGACTTGTAGCTGATGTAGCTAAAATGAAACACAAATACAGGGTTGAAGCTAGATTAGATCAGAACACACATATTTCCTATGATGTTAAGTCAAGATTTAGTCTTATTCCCAACTTTATACTTCTTGTTGTAGTTAATACCTTATCTCTTGATCTAAATAGAGTTTAACGTTCCCCTAACTGTTCCGTGTGACTTAATGGGTGAGTATGGTCGAACACTTCTTCTCTCCGTCTCTTTACTCTTAAAAGTCACCATGAGAGTTTTGTTCAAAACATTTGCAGCAGAAATATGTCACCATCTTTGAGTCAGAACAGATTTTCCAACTACAGTAAGATGATACTACAGACTCGATTCAACAAAATATTCATGTTTGATAATCTAAGCCCAAGTAAAGGTTTTGTTGAGATGTGAAATCAATAAACCAAAACAATTACCTTCAACACCTCTCGGTATTTTCTAAATCATATGACATACAGAGAACTAAACCGACTAACAATTTCGTGAGCGGCACCCCACTTCTAAACCCTTACAAATACATTCACCGGAAGTGGTTCGTTTTGGCAGAAGAGAAAAAGTAGACGACGACAGCTTCGTTTCTTTTTCTCCATGATGATTTTAGGGCTCTAAACTTATACTCTAGGCACTCTTTGTCTCCACTAAGATTGTTTTTCGAGAGTGTTTTGAGATTAATCTTCTCTGTTCACGTTTGCTAAATTGCTAACAGTTACTTAAACCCTAGAAGCTTAAATTTTTTTCTTAAGAGATTTTCAAAAATCGCAGCAATCAGCAAACATGGCACCGAGAAAGAAGACACCAACCATGAAGTGGGTACGGTCTCTTTCTCCCTCACTAAATCGAACAATCTAATTTTGTATGGATTTGATCCTCTCTCTGTTTTCAATAGCAGAATGTTTATAGGACTTTTATGCGAGTAGTCTTCTCTGTTCATGTTTCCTTTAAACCTAGAAGCTTTTTATTTTTCTTTCAGGTTGTGAAATCGCAGCAATCAGCAAAAATAGCACAGCCTGCAACGAAAGAGCAGACAATATTGTCCACGTCAGACTGGTCTCTTCTCCCTGAAGATCTACTTCACGTTATCTCCCTGAAGGTAGAGGACAGGATCGATGCTATTCATGCTCGCTCTGTTTGCAGCTCATGGCGATCCGTCTTTCCTTTTCCTTCGTCTCTATTAAGCACAAGTTACTCTCTTCCGTCCTTCTCCGAGCTCCCTCGCAAGAGGAGAGGCTTGTGCACCCTCGAGAAGTGTCCCATGTTCCTCTTTAAAGTCCGGTCTCCTACTGCATCACCTTGTGAGATTTTCCTGGGAGGGATACGCCGAGATGAGTTAGAGGAGGAGCTTCCATCTCCTATTCAGTGCTCAGTGAAAGTGAAGATCAAAGAATCTAAGCCAACCTTGATGAACATGCTCGACTGCAAGATCTTCCCTCTAGGTCACCACTACAGAATCCTCGGCTGGAATCCTGGGAACTGGAGAACAGGCTACAGAGGCGTGGCTTTTCTTCCGCTAAACAAGGACGGAAGAGGAGGAGGAGGAGGAGGAGAGTTCGCTGTGCTTATCAGCTACTCTCATGACTTGTTTGTGTTAAGAAGTAGTGAAATGAAGTGGGCGCGGCTTGAGAAACCCTCAGTTGCTTCATGCAAGAATGTACTCTCTTTTCGAGGCAGGTTTTATGCAGTCTTTAGGAATGGGGACATATTCATTATCGATCCTTATTCATTGGAAGCCACTCCTCTGTTGCTCCCTCGGGGCTCAAGAAATAATCTTGTTCCATCAGGGAATGATGAACTTTTCCTGGTTGAGAAACTTGTCGTCTCTTTAATGAGTGTATCAGGTTTTTTAAGCTCGTATGCGTGTAGAGTGAGAAGGCTAGACGAGGAGGCTGGTAAATGGGTCGTGGTCACCCATTTGGGAGACCGTGTTTTGTTTATTAATGAACATTTGGGAAACGTCTGCTTCTCAGGCAAGGACCTTCCCGATGGCTGTGGTGTGACCGGGAACTCGATTGTGTTCAACGACGTTGGCATTGTAACATACTCCTTAAAATATGGAGTACATACAGGAAGAGAGGAAAACGACGACCGTTATTTATGGAATTTCTCAACAGAGGATCGTGTGACGATCCTCCACACATCTCCAGTGGTTGCTCTCCGAGTTGAACGTGCTTCACCATAAATCTTAACTTTGGAGACATTTGTTGGCCCTCTTTTTTTTATCAGATCAAAAGCACAACTTTCCTCTGATGTTAGGGTGTTATGTTGAAAGCTAGATCACTTGGTATATGTATTCTAGTTTTAATATAATCTATGGAGTTCATTAATTACTTGTCTCACGAACCACTCAAACGCCGTCTCTGGCTGTGTGTGCTCTTGGTATCATCAAACGTTCATGTGTTTGGCCAAAGTTGTTCAAAAATTCAATAAGAAGTTCGTTTTCTTCCCAAAATCATATGAAAACTGTACCTCATATGGTGTTTTATCGATAAAACAAAACATGAATGATCATACAAGAATAACCTCCTATCGGTTATTGTCTTACTTATACTAGTTTCTTCTTCATCACAATCTCTTATGAATGACACAGCTAAAAAATCTGTTTTAGAGCTCTTCTTCTTTCGCCTATAAGCTCCACATGCCTTAGCAATACTACTCCACTTTTGGAAGACAGCTTGTCCTGTGACTTGTAGCTGATGAAGCTAAAATGATACACAAATACAGGGTTGAAGCATTGTAGTTGTAGCTGATGCATGAGATGAGATGTATTTATAGGAGATAGAGAGAGGGAGATTTTTCTAATGAAGCTCGTGAGCTGCACGTGACTTCCGCTTATTATTCACTTGTAATTTCTAAATGAGACCCTCCCTCTCAGCCAGAGAAGCTCCCACACTTAGCTTCGAGCCTCAATTCATCTCTGTTCATGTTTGCTTACTGTTACTTAAACCCTAGAAGCTTCAATTTTCTTACAGATTTTTAGAGATCGGTGCAATCAGCAAACATGGCACCGAAAAAGAAGACACCAACCATGAAATGGGTACAGTCTCTTTCTTTCCCACTGAAAAGAAAAAATCTAATTTTTATTGGATTTTCTGGAATTGGATTTGATTCTCTGTTTCAATAGCAGAGTGTTTATAGGACTGTTATGCGATTACTCTGCTCTATTCATGTTTCCTCAAAATTTCAAAAGCTTAAATTTTTTCAATCAGGTTGTGAAATCGCAGCAATCAGCAAAAATGGCGGAACCTGCGACAACGGATAAGAAGCTTACATCATCAATGATGCCAGACTCGTCTCTTCTCACGGATTGTGTAACCAACTCTTTCTCTTTTGAAATTCTGGGCATAAATACGAGGTTGATTTCGGAAATTTGAGTTCTTTCTCTGTTTTTAGATTTTTGGCACATTCTGGTTATTGTTGAGTTGTGTATATATGGCGAAAAAAGCTTTTAACGCTTAGGAACTGTGATTTTTCTTTTAGGTTTCGAAACTGCATCTGTCTTCGTCGTCTCCATCAGCAAAAATGGCAACGAAAGAGCACACATCGTCTGTCCCTGATTGGTCTCTTCTCCCTCAAGAGCTACTGCACATTATCTCTCTAAAGGTAGAGGACGGTTTCGATGCGATTCATGCTCGCTCTGTTTGCCGCCCGTGGAGATCCATATTCCCCTTTCCTTCGTATCTATCCTCCACAAGGTATTCTCTTCCGTCATTTGCAAAGTCCCCTCGCAAAAGAAGAGGCTTAAGCTTATGCACCCTCGAGAAGTTCCCTACGTTTCTCTTCAGAGTCCGGTCTCCTCCTTCTGCTGCTGATGCGTTGCCTTCTGAGTTTTATGTTGGAGGGATTAACCAAGACAAGTCAGAGGATCGTGTCGAGCGTCCATCTCCTATTCAGTGCTCAGTGAAAGTGAAGATCGGAGAACCTGATCCAACCTTGATGAACATGGTCGACTCTCAGACTCTCCCTCTCGGCTATCAATACAGAATGATTGGTTATGATCCAAACTCACTGGCAACAAGTTTCAGAGGCGTGGCTTTTCTTCCGGTAAACAAGGAGGGAAGAGAAGGAGAGTTCGTAGTGCTTATCGGCTACTCTAATGCTTTGTGGGCATTAAGAAGTAGTGAAATGAGGTGGATGCGCCTTGAGAATGCCTCTGGAGCTGACTGTGACCATTTAGTCACTTTCAGAGGCAAGTTTTATGTAGTCTATCTTAACAGCGACGTTTCTGTTATCGATCCTTATTCGCTGAAAGAGACTCCACTGATGCCCGCGGAGCGTCTGACCTCACACAACTATCTGGTTCCAGCTGGAAACGATGAACTTTTCTTGATTGAGAGAATCTATACTCGTTCTAATAATGCACTGTATTTGAGCAAGTTACCATGTAGAGTGAGTAGGCTAGATGAGGAGGCTGGTGAATGGGTTGTGGTCAGCGAGTTGGGAGACCGTGTGTTGTTTATTGGACAGCCGGGGAATAGCTCCTGCTCGGCTAAGGAGCTTCCTGATGGTTGTGGTGTGAGTGGGGACTCGATTTTGTTCATCAGCGAGCTCTTTGGTGAAACATTCTCTTATAAATATGGAGTAGATACAGGAAACGCAGAAGACGATCTCAGTTTTTGGAGATCCTGTAGAGAGACTTGTGTGACGATCGTCAGCAATTCTCCGATGGCTGCTCATCTCCGAGTTGAGCACTGCTCAAGGTCATCTCCTGGTTTTGGCTCTGCTCATATCCGGGCTGTGTACTAAGCCGTAAAACCTAACCTTGGATGCTTGAGACATATGTTGGCTTTGTTTATTTGTTGTGGTGTGACTGGGAAGTCAATGTTGTTTTCGGTTGAGCAAAATCTAACTTTGTACACCTGAGATATTTGTTGGTTCTGTTTTTCAAAAACAAAAGTTCTTGTCATCTGTGAATCTGTGATGCTATATGTGTTTTAATCTTTTATGTGTTTGACCAAAAGTTCTTCAAATCAGAACCATGTGAACTTGTTATACTCCTCAATCTGCAGCAGGTAATGCGTCACCTTGGATGACTTTTCAGTTGAACTTGTTATACCCTATCATCTGTTTTCTTGTCAGTTGCGTTTGGAGTTGATCATGAGGAACATGTCCCTATTTATGGTGATAATGAAGCTGTTCATGAAAGGAAAACTCACAACGAGGTACAATTTGGCTGATTTTCTCAAGATTTTAGAAGATAATACATATTATTGGTATGTAACAAAATCAGTCCGGTCTGTCTTGGTCTGCCACGATGGAATTAGGTGTGGAATGTTACTCAAGAGTAATAATGTTGAAGAATCCCACAAGCTTAGGCCTCTCTAGTGTTTTTGAGATTCCGGTGTAATTTGCTATCATCAAAGGATTTGACATGTTTTATGTTTTCTCTATTTTCTTTTCCTAATAGGTTTATATCATAGATCCTTTGAAATATTTCCTTTTCCTATTAGAAGTATCAACTTATTTATGTTTATCCAGAACATATATATATGCATCGTTACTTTGAGGGTCAATAAACAACACATAAACATTCAGAGCAGAGTTCTAAACATCTAATCTAGGGTTTGGGTACATGCTTTTACTCCACCTTCTTTTTTACCGAATTCTGGAATTTTGTTTGATCCTCTGTTATTGTAGTCTATGTTTATGCATTCAGAAAACAGTATTACTGTAACTCGATCAGTTTTAAACCATTTAAATAGCATTGCATGTAGTCTGTTATTTGATTAGTCTTCTCTGTTCATGTTTGATTACAGTTTCCTAAACCCTAAAAGGCAGCCGTCTCGATGTCTCCATTACCAAACATGGTAAAACCTGCAACTGGACCATCATTGATGCCAGACTGGTCTCTTCTCCCTGACGAGTTACTTCAGATTATCACCGAGAAGATGGACAACTGTTTCGATGTAGTTCATGCTCGCTCTGTTTGCAGCTCTTGGCGATCCACATTTGCCTTTCCTTGTAGCCTACTATCGCCAAGTTACTCTCTTCCCACGTTCAATGAGTTCTCTCTTGAAAACGAAGGCTTGTGCACCCTCAAGAAGATCCCTTTGTTCCTCTTTAGTGTCAATACTCCTTCTTCTTCTTGTGAGTATATCTTGGGAGGGATAGGCCGTAGAGATGAGTCAGAGGGTCAAGCAGAGCTTCCATCTCTTATTCAGTGCTCAGTGAAGATCCCAGGATCATCTGAGCAAACCTTGGTGAACATGCTCGACTGCCAGATTCTCTCGCTAGGCTATCAGTACAGAATGTTGGGTTGGGAACCTGAAGACTACAAACGTGTGGCTTTTCTTCCACTAAACAAGGAAGGTGGAGGAGAATTCGTTGTGCTTCTCAACTGCACTAATGATTTGTTGGTGTTAACCAGTGGTGAAATGAGATGGAAGCGGCTTGAGAACGTCCCAAATAATTCATGCTGGGATTTAGTCACTTTTAGAGGCAGGTTTTATGCATCCTGTTTTCACGGAACGCCTGTGGTTATCGATCCTTATTCCTTGGACGTGACTCTCTTGATTCCGTCGTGTCCTCTGAGGGTAATCAACTATCTGGTTCCATCTGGCAATGATGAACTTTTCCTGGTTGAGATAATTTTCCCTCCTGTTGAACTAGAATTAGGATTTGAAGTAGATTTAAGTCAGTTAGCATGTAGAGTGAGTAGGCTAGACGATGAGGAGGATGAATGGGTCGAGGTCAATGATCTGGGAGACCGTGTGTTGTTTATTCATCATGGACACTTGGGAAATGTGTCCTGCTCGGCTAAAGAGCTTCCTCATGGTTGTGGTGTGACCAGGAACTCAATTTTGGTCACCTATGCGCCGGGCATGGGGAATAAAACGTTCTCTTATAAATCTCAACTACACTCAGAAGATGCTTGTAGAATCCCAACAGGGAATTTTGTGGTGATTGTCTCATGAGATACAAACGTAGAGATACTTGGATTTGGATCAGAGTTATTTCTTTTAATTGTTTTTTCTTGTTTGTATATTGTTTAATAATGGAGATTTGATGGACAACGAGGTTGTTTATGACATTGTACAGTTAGCTGATTTTCCTGAGATATTTGTAGATAATACATATCGGTATGTAACATAGATCCTTTGAGATCAATAACACACAACATGACAAGTCTCTTAAAACTCTTTCTAAACTTCTGATCTAGGGTTTGGGTACGGACTCTTTCTCCATTCGTTTTGTACGAAACTACAAAACCTATTTATATTTCCCTAAATCGTTCGATTCATAGGAGAATCTGGAATTTCGTTAGGTGATTAGATTGTTAGGTGATTGATCTTCTATGTTAATGTCTGATACAGTTTCCTAAACCATATAATGATAATTTTTCTCTCAGGTTTCCAAATGGAAGCTGTCTCGATGTCTCCATTACCAAACATGGTAGAACCTGAAACTGGAAAGAAGACATCATCAATCATGCCAGATTGGTCTCTTCTGCCTGGTGATCTACTGCACATTATTGCCGAGAATCTGGAGAACTGTTTCGACGTTGTTCATGCTCGTTCTGTTTGCATCTCGTGGCGATCCACAATCCCTTTTCCTTCTTGCCTAATACGCCCAAGTTACTCTCTATCCTCGTTCAGAGAGAAGGCTCCCCATCACCATAAAGACTTGTGCACCCTCGAGAAGATCCCTTTGTTCCTCTTTAGAGTCCGTACTCTTTCAACTGCTGCTGAGTATTTCATGGGAGGAATAGGCCGTAGAGATGAGTCAGAGGATCAAACAGAGCTTCCATCTCCTACTCAGTGCTCAGTGAAAGTGAAGATAGGAGAATCTGATCCAAGGTTGATGAACATGCTCGACTGCGAGATCCTCCCTCTGGGCCATCAGTACAGGATAATCGGTTGGGAATCTAATCAATACTGCAGAGGCGTTGGTTTTATTCCTCTAACCAAGAAGGGTGGAGGAGAGTTCGTTGTGCTTCTCCACTACGGTTGTGTTTTGTATGTATTAACAAGTGCCGAAATGAAGTGGAAGCGGCTGAAGAACCATCCAAATGATGCATGCTTGAATTTAGCCACTTTTAGAGGCAAATTTTATGCATCCTTCACAGAGGAAATTCTGGTTATCGATCCTTATTCCTTGGACGTGACTCCCTTGATGCTCTCGCAGCCTCTAGTTGTAATACACTATCTGGTTCCATCTGGCAATGATGAACTTTTCCTGGTTGAGAGAATCGCCAGCTGGAATTATAGAGTGAGTAAGCTAGATGAGGAGGCTGGTAAATGGGTCGTGGTCACAGATATAGGTGGCCGTGCGTTGCTTCTTAGGCCGTTTGGAAATGTCTCCTGCTCAACTAAGGAGCTTCCTGATGGTTGTGGTTTGAGTGGAAACTCATTTTTATACAGCAGAGAGACATCGAATATAGCTTACTTCTATAACTATGGACTAATAGAGGGAGGCCAACTCAAGTGTTGGAAATTATTAAGACAGAAACGTGTGACAATCCTCAGCACATCTCCGGTTGTGGCATTCCGTCTTGAGCACGCTACGTTATAAATCTTATTTTGGATAGCTGAGACATCTGTTGGTTTTTCTTTTTCTTCGTACTGTACTTTTTTTTTCTATAGATAAAAAAACATAACTTTCCTATGATTTTTTTTTGTCAAGGAATTTACTTCACTAGAAGAGCTCAAGTTAAGGATACAAATATCCACAAAATATCTGAAAGAACAGTTATAAGCAGATGATCTGCAGAGGGGAAAGGATTCAGAGTCATAAGATTTTTACTTGAGAAAGCAAGTGGCTTAGTTTGAGTGAGCATTTAGTTGAGAAAGCTGTGGCATCGATCGTAATCGTATGGCACATTTGTTATAACGCACTTCATATCATACCTTGTTGCTCACAATTGAATAGATTTCCCAAGAGGAACTTTTTGAGGATGTACCCAAAGGTATAACGCACAATTTTACTGCTCCTATGGTCTTATAAGAAGTGTTGATAGGTAGAGACAGAAATTGAAGTGTTGTACGTTCTGCATGTTGGTTGGTTTCTTAAATCATTGAAAATAGGAAGCTGAATACAAGTTTGAACTTTGATGAGACCTAGTTCTTAGTGCAAGACTACTGAAGCTACCACACATATATTTGTTGATTTTTTTTTCAGCTAGAGTTTGAAAGGAAACTAGGGGAAGATGTTTCAGTAATGATCCGAGAGATTCAGTTATGTTCTTGTACTCAAAATCGTGTATGTCCACCACTATGACATACCTGCTTCTATTTTGGCATTTAACTCTGTTCAGAGCCTCTTTCTCGTGGGAACGTTGTAGGTTACTTTTGTTTTGTGCCTGCGTCTTTCATGGTCACTCGAGAGTTTTAGGTCGTCGTATATGTAAACAAGTTTAAGACACGTTGTACTTTGACTGGTGGATATGCTTGGTAGTTGTTATCTAAATAACCGAAACTCTTGTGCAGAAACTGAAAATTCAAGAGACAATGACAAGAATATAGAATATTCACTCTTTTTTTTTGTTGATAACATAATATTAACTTTTTTATTGTACCTCTGTTTCCTTTTCCCAATAGGTTTTAGTTTTACAAAGAAGAAAACCTATACTATATTGTATATCTTTACCTTTGAAATCAATAACACAGAATATTCATTAAGAGCGATCTCCTGAATTGTGCAGGGGTTTAACCTTCTAAACTAGGGTTTTGGTACGGACTCTTTCTCCCCCTTTTGGTACGGAACCAAAAAATCAATTTTTTTTCTTAGCGGAGTTTTGGAATTATATATGATTCTTTACACTTCCAATACTGTAATTCTGTGTTTATTCGCATTCAGAAAAAAAAAACTACTGTTATTTGGATCAGTGTTACTATTAAGTAGCATTACTTATTGTAGATTGTTTATGTGATTAGACTTATCTGTTCATGCATGATTGCAGTTTCCTAAACCCTAAAGCTGTCTCGATGTCAACTGAAAACAAGAGATCATCCTCGATGGTGTTGACAGACTGGACTCAGCTCCCTGAAGAGCTACTGCAAGTGATCTCCGAGAAGATGGATAACTGTTTCGATGTAGTTCATGCTCGCTCTGTTTGCAGCTTGTGGCGATCCACCATCCCCTTTCCTTCAAGCCCAAGTTACTCTCTTCCCATGTTTAATGAGGTCTCTCTTGAAAACGAAGGCTTGTGCACCCTCAAGAAGATTCCTTTTTTCCTCTTTAGAGTACCTACTCTTGCTCCTGCTGCGTCAGCGGATGAGTATTTCATGGGAGGAATTGTCCAAGATGAGTCAGAGGAGGATCATATGGAGGAGCTTCCATCTCCAATTCAGTACTCAGTGAAAGTGAAGATCAGAGAATCTGAACCAACCTTGATGAACATGCTAAACTGTCAGATTCTCTCTCTGGGGCATCAGTACAGATTGATGAATTGGAATCCTGATGGACTGAAAAAACCGTTGAGAACTATGGCTTTTATTCCGATAAATAAGGAAGGAAGAATAGAATTTGTTTTGCTTCTAAACTACAAAGGAGTTTTGTGGGTATTAACAAGTGGTGCCAAAATGAAGTGGAAGCGGCTTGAGAACGTCCGAAATGGTTCATGTTGGAATTTAGTCACTTTCAGAGGCAGATTTTATGCATCCTTTATTTACGGAACAAGTGTGGTTATCGATCCTTATTCCCTGGACGTGACTCTCTTGATGCCCTCGCAGCCTCTGCTGGTAACCAACTATCTAGTTCCATATGGCAATGATGAGCTTTTCCTGGTTCAGAGAATCGCTAGCCACTCAACATATAGAGTGAGTAGGCTAGATGAGGAGGCTGGAAAATGGGTCGAGGTCAGCCATTTGGGAGACCGTGTTTTGTTTATCAATCATCCACTTTTGGGAAATATCTGCTGCTCGGCTAAAGAGTTTCCTAATGGTTGTGGTGTGATCGGGAACTCAGTCGTGGTCACCTATGAGGCAGTTGGTGAAACTTTCTTCTATAAATCTGTAAACAATCGTTGGATATTATCAAAAGAGATACGTGGGAAGATCCTCAGCAACTATCCGGTTGTGGCGTTCCGTGTTAAGCACGCTTCGCCATAAATGTTACGTTGGATGCATGAGACATTTGCTGGCTTTTTTTCTTTCTTCTTCTTATTATTAGATCAGAAACACAACGTTTATGATTGAGGTCAAGATTTTGTGATGATACGCTGAAAACTAGATCATTGGTATTCTCTCTTTTAATACATTTCTATTTAAAAACAAATGAATACAGTACCAACGAAACATTCATACATCTGAATGAACAGTTAAGAGTAAGATTTGAATCTCAACATTCATACTTTAGAAGACCAAGGACTTCAAGTTTCAACACCACGGAGTTTAGGCCACTTTAAAATCAAACCGGATAAAACCGAAACATTGAACCGGAAAATAGAATCGCGATGCTAATCAAAACGCAGCCGTCTCGTTTTAGTCCCAGAAACGACGACGTTTGAGTTTTCCTCATTTCCCCCAAATCGAAATTCACTGATCCCTAATTCTTCACTCCAATCGTAGTATAGCCGGAGTAATTTCTTCTCCGACTACTTGTCCATCGTTGGTTTCGTCGTCATCGTCTTTCGATTACGACAGGTACATTGCTGTATTGAGCTCCTCTGATCATTGTGGTGTTGCGTAATTGAGTTTAGGTTCTTAGAGAAATCTCCCGGGGTTCTAAATTAATTCTGCAAAAATGGAACCTTTATACTTTAGCAGTGCTCTCAATGCCTCATTTTTCCAGTGTTCTCTCAAATAAGTGGTTTCTCCAATTTCAAGAATGATTCTAATGTGCATTACGAACTTCTGATCCAAGTGTGTGGTTTGTGAATCCCTATAATTGTGAATTTCTTTCAGATTTCGAGACTACTTACATTTGTTTCAGGCTTCCATCAGCAAACATGGCAGAAGCTGCACTGGAAATGAAGACATTATCATTGATGGATATGCCAGACTGGACTAAGCTCCCTGAAGAGCTGCTTCAAGTGATCTCCGAGAATCTGGACAACTGTTTCGACGTTGTTCATGCTCGCTCTGTTTGCAGCTCATGGCGATCCACAATCCCCTTTCCCTTTAGCCTATTAACCTCAAGTTACTCTCTTCCCACGTTCACAGAGCCCTCTCTTGAAAATGAAGGCTTGGTCACCCTCAAGAAGATCCCGTTGTTCCTCTTTAGAGTCCGTACTCCTTCTGCTCTTGCTACTAAGTATTTCTTGGGAGGAATAGGCCCTAGAGATGAGGCAGAGGATCAAACAGAGCTTCCATCTCCTATTCAGTGCTCAGTGAAAGTGAAGATTGGAAAATCTGAGGCAACCTTGGTGAACATGCTTGACTGTCAGATTCTCTCTCTGGGCTATGAGTACAGAATGATCGGTTGGGAACCTAAAGACTATGAAGGCGTGGCTTTCCTTCCGCTAAACAAGGAAGGTGAAGGAGAATTCGTTGTGCTTCTCAACTATTTTAGGTTTTGTTTGGTGTTAACAAGTGCTGAAATGAAGTGGAAGCGTCTTGAGAACGTCCCAATGGAATCATGCTGGAGTTTGACGCTATTCGCGTGTGCTGAAATTAGGTGGACGGAGCTGATGAACGTTCCACATGATTCATGGAGGGATTTAGTCACTTTTAGAGGGAAATTCTATGCATCCTTCACAAGGGAAATTGTGGTCGTCGATCCTTATTCCTTGGACGTGAGTCACACGACTCTCTCGATTCCGTCTCAGCCTCTGGAGAGGATAAGATATCTGGTTCCATATGGCAATGATGAACTTTTCCTGGTTGAGCTATGTAACCCTAGCACTGATCAGTTAGCATTTAGAGTGAGTAGGCTAGATGAGGAGGCTGGTAAATGGGTCGTGGTCACAGATTTGGGAGACTGTGTGTTGTTTATTAATCGACGGCATTTGGGAAATGTCTGCTGCTCGGCTAAAGAGCTTCCTGATGGTTGTGGTTTGAGCGGGGACTCAATTGTGTTCACCAATGTTGGCAGTAAAACATACACCTTTAACTATGAAGTAGATGCCCCTTTCAATCTTTTGAGACCCTCTACAAAGAAACGTGTGACAGTCCTCAGCACATATCCGGTGGTGGCTCTCCGGGTTGAGCGCTAAGCCATTAATCTTACTCTGGATACCTGAGAGACATCTGTCTGTGTGATTCGAAAATTTCTGTAAGGTTTTAGGTAAAAATCTTGTGTTCCCTTATGTTAGAGTGATATGTTGAAAGCTTGGTATTCTAGTTTTAATATGGATCTAGTTATTAACTATCTTGTCAAGACAGTGGCTGTATGGAATTTAATTAGTTGTCTCATGAACACTCAAAAGCCGTATATGGTTGTGCTATTGGTATCAAACCGTCATGTGTTTGACCAAAGTTCTTCAATTTTTCTATAAGAGTTTCCTAAAGAAGTACCTTTTCTTACAACAATCCTGTTGATGTTTTCAGTCTTTGCTGTGCCTTTCCCAACTGTTTATGTACTCAGAAATTGCATCATTTACTCGAAAGATTTTTTGTTAAAACACTGTGTACCTGCTTAACGTTGTATCTGCATATGACCTCTTCGTAATGTTGTACTTGGAGCAAATGTTTCCATAACAAATAAATAAAAGAAGCTTCTCTAGTCCATGTGTTGTGCTTTAACATAAACCTCGTGTGAATCAGACCCTTCATCTCAGCCAGAAGATCTCCCCACACGCAGGTTCGGACTTGAAAAACCTAGTTCTCATATATACTTATGGGAACGGGTTTTTATGTGAATATTCTTCTCTGTTTCAGGTTTGCTTAAACCCTAGAAGCTCAGTTTTGACACTCATATTTTCGGAAATCGCAGCAAACAGCAGACATGCCAGAACCTGAAACGGAGAAGAAGACATCATCCGTGACGCTAGACTGCTCTCTTCTCGAGGATTGTGTACGTTTTTGATTTCCGAAATTTTGATTGCTTTCTCTGTTTTGGATGCTTTTGTTGGAAGGTGTAGTTTGGTGTGTATCTATGGTCAACAGAAGTTTTTGAATCACTCCAGAAGTAGCTTTACATATAAAATTACTTTTCATGATTGATATGAAACTTCTCTGATTAATGATTCAGGTTTCGAAGCAAACTGAAACAGAAGAGCAGACAATATTGTCCATGGCAGACTGGTCTCTTCTCCCTGAAGATCTACTTCACATCATCTCGACGCATCTGGAGAACTGTTTCGACGTAGTTCATGTTCGCTCTGTTTGCAGCTCGTGGCGATCCACAATCCCTTTTCCCTGCAGCCTATTAAGCTCAAGTTACTCTATTCCCACGTTCAATAAGGACTCTCTCGAAAACAAAGGCTTTTGCACCTTCGAGAAGATCCCTTTGTTCCTCTTTAGAGTCCGTACTCCTTCTGCTGCTGCTGCTGAGTATTTCTTGGGAGGAATTGGCCAAGGCCCTAGAGATGAGTCAGAGGATCAAACAGAGCTTTCATCTCCTATTCAGTGTTCAGTGAAACTGAAGATCCCAAGATCTGACCAAACCTTTGTGAACATGCTCGACTGTCAGATTCTCTCTCTAGGCTATCAGTACACAATGATTGGTGTGGTTTTTCTTCCTCTAGAAAAGGAAGAATTCGTTATGCTTCTCAAGCACTATGAAGCTTTGTGGGTATTAAAAAGTGCCGAAATGAAGTGGAAGCTGCTTGAGAACGTCCCAAAGAAATCATGCTGGAAAGTAGTCGCTTTTCGAGGCAAATTTTATGCATCGTATGAAGGGAAAGTTGTTGTTATTGATCCTTATTCCCTGGACGTGACTCTCTTGATACCACTGCAGCCGCTCGAGCCATTACAGTATCTGGTTCCATGTGGCAGTGATGAAGTTTTCCTTGTTGAGAAATGTATGAGATCGTTCATATTAAGAGTGAGTAGGCTAGATGAGGAGGCTGGCAAATGGGTCGAGGTCACGGATTTAGGTGACCGGGTGTTGTTTATAAGAGACTTGGGAAATGTCTGCTGCTCAGCTAAAGAACTTCCTGACGGTTGTGGTGTGAGCGGGAACTCAATTTTGTTCACCAATCTGTTAGGCAATGTAACAAACTTCTATAAGTATGGAGTGAGAGAGGAAGACGGCCTCAAGTGTTGGAGATTGTTTAGAGATCAAAGTGTGACAGTCCTCGGCAGATATCCGGTTGTAGCATTCCGTGTTGACCAAGCTTCGCCATAAATCTTACTTCGGAGACGTTTGTTGGCTTTTTTTATTACTTTTTCACTGTCAGATTAAGAAACACATCTTTGCTATGATTTTATAGGTAAGGATTTTGTGATCTCTGGTTCTGCTCTTGGTATCAAATCGTCATGTGTTTGACCAAAGTTCTTCAAATCTTTCTATTAAGGGTTTTCTAAAGAAGTACCTTTTACTCCACATAATGTTTTGTTAAAACACTATGTACCTGCTTAACCTTGTATGATCTGCATATGACCTCTTTGTTATGTTGTACTTGAAGCAACTATTTCCATAATAAATAAAAAGAAGCTTCTCGAGTCCATGTGCTGTGTTTTAACTTTTAACATAAACCTCGTAGCTCGTGAATGAGACCCTCCATCTCAGCCAGAAGATCTCCCCCACACGACAAGAAAAAATAAAATAGGAGACGAAGAAGTTGAAAAACCTAGTTCTTTCATATACTTCTGGCCTGGGAATGGATTTTTATGTGAATATTCTTCTCTGTTTCAGGTTTGCTTAAACCCTAGAACGGAGAAGAAGACGTCATCCGTGACGCTAGACTGCTCTCTTCTCGAGGATTGTGTATGTTTTTGATTTCCGAAATTTGATCGATTTCTCTGTTTTGTATGCTTTTGTTGGAAGATGTAGTTTGGTTTATCTATGGTGAAAAGAAGTTTTTGAATCAATCCAGAAGTAGCTTTACATATTAAATTACTTTTCATGATTAATATGAATCTTCTCTGATTATGTTTCATTAGTACTACACAATTTCATTACCTTGGAAAAATGTAATATTTCTTTCAGGTTTCGAAGCAAACTGAAACAGAAGAGCAGACCATATTGTCCATGCCAGACTGGTCTCTTCTCCCTGAAGATCTACTTCACATCATCTCGACGCATCTAGAGAACTGTTTCGATGTTGTTCATGCTCGCTCTGTTTGCAGCTCGTGGCGATCCGCATTGCCCTTACCTTGTATCCTATCACGCCTTAGTTACTCTCTTCCCTCGTACGCCGAGTTTCCTTACGAAAGCGAAGACTTGTTCACCCTCAAGAAGGTCCCGTGGTTCCTCTTTAGAGTCCGTACTCCTTCTGCTTTTGCTACTAAGTATTTCTTGGGAGGGATAGGCCGTAGAGATGAGTCAGAGGATCATACAGAGCTTCCATCTCCTCTTCAGTGTTCAGTGAAGATCCCAAGATCATCTGATTCTGAGCCAACCTTGATGAACATGCTCGACTTCCAGATTCTCTCTCTGGGCTATGAGTACAGAATGTTCGGTTGGAGACCTAGATACTACAGAGGTGTGGCTTTCCTTCCACTAAACAAGGAAGGTGGAGGAGAAGACTTCGTTGTGCTTATCAGCTGCAGTAATGGTTTGTTGGTGTTAACAAGTGCCGAAATGAAGTGGAAGCAGCTTGAGAACGTCCCAAAGAAAACAGGCAGGGGTGTAGTCACTTTTGGAGGCAAATTTTATGCATCGTTCTATGACGAAATTGTTGTTATTGATCCTTATTCCCTGGACGTGACTCTCCTGATGCCCTCACTGCAGCCTCTCGGGGAATTACACTATCTGGTTCCATATGGCAATGATGAACTTTTCCTTGTTGACAAATGTCAGAGACCGTTCGGATTAAGAGTGAGTAGGCTAGATGAGGTGGCTGGTAAATGGGTCGAGGTCACCGATTTAGGAAACCGCGTGATGTTTATGAGAGACTTGGAAAATTTCTGCTGCTCGGCTAAAGAACTTGGTGTGAGCGGCAACTTGATTTTGTTCACCAATCTGATAAGCGATTTAACATTCTTCTACAAGTATGAAGTAAGAGAGGAGGACGGCCTCATGTGTTGGAGTGTGACATTCCCCGGCAGATATCCGGTTGTGGCATTCCGTGTTGAGCAAGCTTCACCATAAATCTTACTTTGGAGACATTTGTTGGCTTTTTTTTTTACTATCAGATTAAAAAAATACAACTTTTTTATGATACGCTGAAAACTAGATCATTGTTATTCTCTTTTAATTTATATATCTATCTAAAATCAAATGAAAAAGATTTAACAATTGTTGGCTTAACTAGTATAAGTCTCAATTGCATTATTGTAGTATGTTATTCTAAGTATGTTGTAGGATTCGAGTCATCGAGTGTATTTGGCCTTACGGTGTGAGAGATTTGTGAATGTTGGATCAACTTTCGTTTGAGAATACTCTAGTTTCAAGAAATCATAAAATCTCACAGCACACTTAAGGTTTTGAAATGAAGGTCACAAGAAATCTCAAAACGTAACTTTGAGATGAAAGATTGTTGATTTAAACAAAGCTCTTGTCATAACTATTTGAATTCGGAAGTTTGATTTGATTTCTCTGTTTTATATGTTTGTTGGAAGATTTGAATCAATCCAGAAGTAGCTTTATGTATATAATTTACTTACTCATCAAGATCATCTCTCAACCAAAACCACTTCCATAATCTTAACATCACTCTTTTTGTCATACGTTTACATAAACCAGAAAGGTACTGTGTCGATTATTAGTCTTCATCGAAGTACTTTTCTTGAGCTTCAACGCCCATCTCTGGAAGCCAATGATCATCAAGAGACTCGTCATTGTCTATCTTTGAGTAATCCAAATGCTGCTCATCTTCCCCCGACAAGAACTTTTGCTTCATGATTGATGTAAACTCATCCATCATTTCTTGCATCTCCTCTGCCGGCAAGCCTGTTGCTTCATCATCTTCCTCCTCCTCTTCTTCTTCTTCTTCCTCTTCTTCTTCTGATTCCTCCACCTTCTCATCACCAACCCATTCACTCTCCGCAACACCTAACCTCTGCTGCTCCTCTCTAATCCGAGCAACCAAAGTAGCTTCCTCTCCACGTCTCATCAACGTCTCCGACCAACGTTCTCCAGGTCTAGCCATATTCCTACCCACCAAATCCTGATACTTCCCCACGTACTCGTGGTGTAGATACGGCTCTCTATCTCTCATAGCATCCTCTGAGAAATACTGTCCTTCCGATACAAGCTTGTTCAAGTAAGCCAGTCTCCTATTCCTCACAGCTACACGCCTTGAATCCGGATCTAACTTCTTTCGAAGATCTTTCAAGTGCCAATCAACCTCGTAGTCAAGTTTCAAAGCATCAAACACAAGCAACTCATCTAGACTCAGCTGCGATCCGTAACGCTCAAGAAAAACAGCGGGATCACGACGGAGGAGGTCGAGGAGGATGGCTTTACGTTGGCCGGAAGATCCAGCGGTTGATTGGACGGCGCGTGGGAAGTAGAGGTCTTCGAGAGAGGAAAGCCTCGTCGCAATTTCTTCGTCTTTCATTGCTCTTCTCTCTAACTTCTTCTTCTCTCAAAACCTAACTCAAGAACCGTACTGATGTGAAACCTAGCTCCACTGGAACAAGGCAAAGAAAAAGCTTTTTATTATAACTCAATCAAATTTGTCTTCAAAAGACTGTATAGAACGCGTTTATATAAGCAAAGCCTTAGAAACGAAAAGGAAATACCTAATTCTTAAATCAATTGAAAAGAGGAATTAACTGGAAACAAGAAAAAAACAGGCAAAAAGACAATCCATAGACATTGTACTAAATAAAAGGCACATAAAGAAACAAGCATAGAGATGCATAGACATTCATACGGGAATCAACAAATGTGAGATAAAAAACAAATGAAAAATGCGACTCTTCTTAAACTTTAGAAGGCCAAACGATGGTTACTCTCAAGTTTCAACCAAGGAGCTAACTTAAAACCAAAACCTTGTTTTTACTTCTTTAATTCCTCTACAACTGAGTTTATTCAATACAAAAATGATGAGAGGAGCTCAATACAGAAACACACCTGTCGTGGTTGAAAGACGATGACGAAGAAACGTACGATGGACAAGTAGTCGGAGAAGATTTACTCAGGGGCTAGCGATAATCGATTTTAGGGTTCTGTAAATTTCGATTTGGGGAGATGAGGTTCGATTTGGGGAAGATGAGGAAAGACCAAACGACATCGTTTCTACAAAAGTAAGAAACGCGTTGCTAACCAAATCGCAGCGTTTCTTGCTTTTGTGGAAACGATGTCGTTTGGTGTTTCCTCATCTTCCCCAAATCAAAATTTACTGAACCCTAAATCGATTATCGACTAGCCTGAGTAATTTCTTCACCCGACAGAAAAAAGTGTCATTTCTTCTCCGATTACTTGTCCATCGTTGGTTTTGCAGTCATTGTCTTTGGATTACGACAGGTGTGTTTCTATATCGAGCTCCTCTCATCATTGTGGTATTGGGTAATTGCGTTTGGGTTCATAGAGAAATCTTGTGGGTTCTAGATTAATTCTGAAAAAATGTCACCTTTATAGTTTAGCGATGCTTCATTTTTTTGTTCTGTGCTCTTTCAAGTAGGTGTTTTCTTCACTTTCAAGACTGATCCGAATGTTGTGCATTACGAGTTTCTGAAAGTGATATTTGTTCTTGGTTTCTACCTGAGTGTGTGGTTGCTCAATTGGAATTTTGTTTCAGATTTCTAGATTGCAGCTGTTTCCGGCTTCAGCAGCAGAAATGGCAGAATCTCCAACTAATAAGAAGACGTCGTCGTCGTCGATGATTCCAGACTGGACTCAGCTCCCTGAAGAGCTACTTGAGTTTATCTCCGAGAAACTCGACAACTGTTTCGAAGTTGTTCATGCTCGCTCTGTTTGCTGCTCGTGGCGATCCTCAATGCCATTTCCTTGTAGCTTATTGCGCCCGCGTTACTCTCTTCCCATGTTTCCTAGTAAAAAGGTAGGCTTGTGCTCCCTTGAGAAGCTCCCTTTTGTTCTCTTTAGAGTCCCAACTCCTGATGCTGATGATGCTGATATTGCGTCGGCTTCTGTTTATTTTATTGGAGGGATAAGCCGAGATGACTGCTGATTATAAGGACTTACCATCTCCTCTTCAGTGCTCAGTGAAAGTGAAGATCGAAGAATATGATCCAACCCTCATGAACATTTTAGACTGTCAGATTCTCTCTCTGGGGCATCAGTACAGATTGAAAAACTGGAATCCTGATGCAGTGGAAACAAGTATAACAAGTGTGGCTTTTGTTCCGCTAAACACGGAAGGTGGAGGAGAATTTGGTGTGCTTCTCTACTTCAAAGGAGATTTGTTGGTATTAACAACCCGTGCCGAAATGAAGTGGAAGCTGCTTGAGAACGTCCCAAGGAAATCATGCATGAGTTTAGCCACTTTTAGAGGCAGGTTTTATGCATCCTTTTTTTACGGAAGAACTGTGGTTATCGATCCTTATTCCCTGGACGTGACTCTCCTGATTCACTCGGAGCTTGAAGGGTTTTACAAACATTTGGTTCCATCTGGTAATGATGAACTTTTCCTGGTTGATGAATTACTTACTATACCGGCCGCATGTAGAGTGAGTAGGCTAGATGAAGAGAATGGGAAATGGGTCGAGGTCACGGATGTGGGAGGTCGTGTGTTGTTTATTGATCAAGAGTTGGGAAATGTCTGCTGCTCGGCGAAAGAGCTTCCTGATTGTTGTGGTCTGAGCGGGAACTCAATTGTTATCACCGGTGAGCCAGAGAATGTAGCAAACACCTTTAAATATGAAGGAATTGAGGAATACGAGCTTAAGTTTTGGACAGTATCAAGAGAGAGACGTGTGACAGTCCTCAGCACATCTCCGGCGGTGGCTCTCCGGGTTGAGCTTGGACATTGCCTGGCTTCGTTTTTAGGTAAAGACAATTGATGCAAATCTGTGGAAGAACGTTGGAGAATGAGATTGGTAGGAGGCTGGAAAGAGTTAAAGATAGGAGAACAGCTGATTTGGGAAACAGACAGAAACTCTCTGTTCTTAAGTTCTGCTCCATATGACATTGTAAGTTGCTTTTTGTATTTAAATGCAGACTGGTTATGGGCAATCGTCTTTCTTTTTAGACTTTCTTGTTAGTGTAGTGCAAGTCTACTGTAGCTTTATTGCTTTGTTTAAACTGGTCAGAAAGAGGGTAACAGTAACACTCATTCTGCTTTCGTATATTGAAGATGAAGAGTATGTTTAAGTTCTGTTGTATTCTCTCTTTTCATGATTTGTTTTTACAACTAGTATGGCCCCCGTGTATACGCACGGGCAATTTTGTGTTAAATGTAATCATAAAATTTGATTTGCATCAAACTAAAACATTTTTTATTTTACTTTTAGTTAAAAAAATAAAAATGAAGTAATGAGAACAAAATAAAATGCCCAGAAAAGCTATAGAAATGTGTTCAAGCTAAAACCCCATAAAACATAAGTTTCTATACAGTTTCAAAATTGTAAGGTTTCATTTCGGATACAATCGTAGATAAATAAATAAATAATAATAATAATAATTAATTGGATTTTTGTTCCGGTAAATTTGTGGTATTATATTTAAGATAAATTTGCACTTAAACGTAATGAACAAAAGAACATCACTGAAGATTCCGTTTATGGTTATAGTTAAAGATTATATTAGCTTCCTACACTTTGCTTTACCAAAAAAGATAAGCTTCCTATTTGTATTGCATTACTTGTAAACAACTATTTTTAACTAAAGGAAAAACAATATAAATCATTTTTGTTTGATATACTTAGTCGAATTTCTATCACAATGATTAATAACATTCATTTTACTTGGACATTATGAGATTCGTTGAGCTAGATATCAGAATAACAACAATAGTTAACTCTTGTTATATTTCTTTTACAACAATTAAGTTTGATTCTAATCACCGATGTGCCTAAATGTACATAAGCTAATATAAAAGATTATACTTATTGTAGAATTACAGAAACACTCGTGACTAATGTCCTTGAATCACTCGATCTTTAGCTCCACCATATAATGAGAAATGATATCTACTTATGCACAAATACACAACCGTGTAGCCCCATTAATACAATTCCCTCCAACGATACACACGTTTTGTCGTTCGTGTGGCAAAACTTCACTATAGGGGAAATATTTTATTTATAAAGTAAGTATCTAATTGCGCTCCAAAATATTGCTTCTAGTTGCGACGGCAAAATGTTGCAAACTTAAAATTTCGTTAGCACACAAAATGACAAATGTTAATACACAATGATAATGTCAATAATTATACGACAAAGAAGAAGGAGCTGTTTAAGCCCAAGGTCGAAGGTAAAGTTGGAATGTACATCTGTGGTGTCACTGCTTACGATCTCGAAGCCACATTGGACATGCACGCGTCTACGTCACCTTCGATGTTCCCTTGAAATATCGACTTGGCAGAAAGAAGCTTAAAAGATTTCTGGATTTACAGAAAAAAATATTTTAAGAAAAACATTCAAATGAGTATAAAATATGATGCTTTAGAGGCCTGTGAAGCAAATCTTGACTTTCTCCACCAGACGAAAAAGATAAATCAACATTAAAGTTCAGAGAAAACAAAAAAAAGATGATGAATCTGAGAAAATGTATCATGAATCGAGAAATCTGCAGGTTAATTCGAATTTGAATAGATTTTAGGGATTGAATAGATGAGAAAGAGAAAACAGAGGAAGGCGATTTAATCCAAAAACAAAAAATGAACAGAGGAAAAAGGAAGATGCTTTAAATTCAAATCGTGGCATTATTTTGAGTTGAAGATAGTGGTTATAACCGTGAGTTAGTGGTGATTATGTTGCCAAAAAATTAGGGATTGCAGATTCTACTGAATAGGTGATGCAGTTTCTCGTGATATCATGTAACCAAAAACACGTTCTAATATTTTTCGACATTTAAAATGGGCTTTAGACTTTATTGGGCTTCTTGCACTTTTTTTAGTTCACTGTCGACAAACGTTATAATGTGTTAATATTTTGTGACGTGGATACAAAGTAAGAAGGGGAAAATCGCATAAAAAACCCTTAAAGTGGCAAAAGTTAGCACTTTAAACCTCCAAACTATCATACTAACACTTTAAACACTGAAATTAATTTTACTAACACCTTTAACCATGAAACCACAAGAACTGGTCGCGCCGCCATTTGACTGACCGGAACAGTTGACTCTGCTAACGGAACAGTTAACCACCGTGAGACTCTTCACTATAAACGTCAGCACAGTGACTCTTCACTAAAGAAAGCACGACACCACCTATGAGGTTCCGTGACTAGTAAAGCATTATACGCAGAAGGATCATATGCCTTAACCAACTCCATCTTAGCTTCATACTCTCCTTCTGTGTAGCTGTAGGCAACTCCCCAAAACAAGTTTTTGTACTCTGATCTCGAGAAACCTTGTTTCTTCCAATTAGGCATAGATATGTCTTGCACACATATGATGCTCTGCTTTTGGAAGTTCAGCATCCATGGCTATCACCAAACCCTATAAGAATGACTAATGAGTAAATGATTACTAAACATAAGAAAACTTAATAGAGATTGGATTGTTACCTTCTGCTTATGGATATTATCGTGAAGTTTTCACCATTCCCTAAGCCAAGGTCGACTTTAAGCTTCTTAATAAACCATCCCCAAGTGTCTTTATTCTCACCTCTAACAACTGCCCATGCAATCGGATACATTCTGTTGTCAGCATCTCTTCCCACAGCTGAAAGCAAATCACCATTCAACTCCCATTTCAGAAAGCATCCATCCAAACCAATCACTGCCTGCAACAATTCTTCCATGTTGTTCGAAACTCATCAAAGCAAATGTAGAAACAGTCAAACATGTCCACACCCACATCATCTTTACGGATTGTGCAGAGATCAGTTCTGATATTAGGATGTGTGCGTTTGAGTTCAGCTTCATAATCCCATAGCTTAGCAAATTGTGTGGTTTGAGCTTCCATGATAGTATTCAAAGCAATACGCCTCCCTCTATAACACTTTGACATCGGAACAACAATGTTATACCGCTCCTTGATTGTGTCTTTGATCACTGCTGCTTGTAGGTTTACATTCCTTCTTATCTCTTCTCTAAATAACCCTGCGATCACTCCTTGCTTCAACATCGAAACCCTGCTGGATTTCCCGTGATTGTGACGCATATTGCAAACTTTGACCATCCACTTATTAATAGGCGGCTCAAACGAACAATACACTCTAAACTTGCAATTCTCACCACAACAGATGACAGCTATTCTGTTTGCTTCAGACCTTTCCATCTTGACATCATATTGTGTCTTCAATGAGTATCGCAGAAGCTGGTCCTTAAACTCTAAGCCACTATTAAACTTCTGAAACAACCAGATGTAGGGCTCCTTCTCCAAATCTCCATGGAACTGAGATCTTCCCTTCTTTTTCCCTTTCGTATTATCCCACTGTTCTCACTCTTCATCTGATTCTAGTGGAGTATCTGGATACTCAGCATCCTCCTCTATAACACATTCTTCCTCACTTTCCTCTGCTTTTCTTTCTGCAGCCTCTTTTTCTTCTGAATTTTGATATGCTTCCTTCACTGGTTCTGAACTTTCTCCTTCCTCGAAAACAGACCTAAACCTGTCATCATTCCGACCATCACCTGCATCCTCAACCACATCCTCTCCATCATCAACATTCGCATCTCCTTGTTCAGCCACAGTCTCATCTCCATTAGAACCTTCATCATCTCCATCATCAGCCTCTTCCTCATGAATTTCATCCTCAGATTGTTCAGGTTCTTCATCTTCCTTTGGCCTATCGATTTCTTCATCACTGTCCGAATAATTTTCATCTTCATTCTCTTGAAAATTATTAACCGTCTCATCATCACCTACTTGACGATCTTCATGCCTGCTGCTTGTGAGATATTGAGGCTCACTTCGCTCTCTACAATCGTATTCAAGAAATATCTCAGCCTCACCAGCTTCTTTCGCTAAGCATATAAGCAGGAACATATCTTCAGAGCTTTCGTCAAACAAATAGTTTACAGTCTTCATCTCCTTCTCTCTTTCTTTGTACCAAATGAACCTAATGGGTGCTTCGATCTTCTCCTCATGCTTACTGAAGTGTACGAACTTAGCCCACGATATGTCATATAGCTCCCAACTAACGGTCTTCATACCCAACTCCCCTAAATATTTGTAGTCCTCACCTTCTCTGATCATAGTTCCACCGAAGTGAAATGTTAAGTTCACCATCACATCTCCTCTGTACAAGAAGAATATGTCAAAATCAATAGCAAACCAAGAGCACTTGAAGACAATATTCAAGACAATAGCAAACAAGAGCAGACAATGTCGAAATCAGAAAGCAAAACTATGTCAACCAACTCAATTCCAAGCAAATCGAGCACTAAACAAAGAAAACTAAAAACCCAGAAAATGTCGAGCACTAAACAAAAAAAAGCCAAAATGTCGAGAGATAAAGCAATTCCAAGAAAATCGAGCAATAAATTCCAAGCAAATCGACCACTAAACAACAATCGCAGAATCCCTACACCTTTTCATTCATGGTCTCTTAAACCCAGAATTTCGAAAACCTAAAACTTTGAACAAAAATCGCAGAAACTTAAACCCACGAACTGTATTTGAAGGATTAAAACTCGTACCTCATTACGTCGTGTAAAGCATTCGACTGTCTCTTTTCAATTCTCCGTCGATTTCGTCCTATCTCGCTCGATTTGGTCTCTGCGAAATTTCTCTCTCACGAACCCTAAATCCCCAAATCGATTTGAGTTCTCTCTTTCACGATTTTCTTTTGCTTTTGTCCTGTAATAAAACGCACCGTTTTGGTTTTAACTCGACCACAGTAATGAGTTAGCAAACTAAACACGTGTTTTAAAAAGAAAACGGTGGTTAACTGTTCCGTTAGCGGAGTCAACTGTTCCGGTCAGTCAGATGGCGGCGCGACCAGTTCTTGTGGTTTCATGGTTAAAGGTGTTAGTAAAATTAGTTTCAGTGTTTAAAGTGTTAGTGTGATAGTTTGGAGGTTTAAAGTGCTAACTTTTGCTACTTTGAGGGTTTTTTATGCGATTTTCCCAAAAAAGAAGGATAACGTTTTTTTTTTCCTTAACTTGCCACATGTCGCTTTACCATTGGTGAAGTGACTTGTGTTTTAGTATATTAGGGATCTCCTATAAACGCAGCGTTTCTTACTAATCAAAGCGCAGCGTTTCTTACTTTTGTGGAAACGGTGTCGTTTGGTTTTTCCTCATCTTCCCCAAATCAAAATTTACTGAACCCTAAATCGATTATCGAGTAGCCTGAGTAATTTCTTCTCCGACTAGCTGCTTGTCCATCGTACGTTTCTTCGTCATCGTCTTTCAACTACGACAGGTATATTTCTGTATTGAGCTCCTCTCATCATTGTTGTATTGGGTAATTGTGTTTTAGGTTCTTAGAGAGATCTTCTAGGGTGTAGATTAATTCTGAAAAAATGTCACCTTTATAGTTTAGCTATGCTTCATTTTTTTGTTCTGTGCTCTTTCAAGCAAGACTGATCCAAATGTTGTGCATTACGAGTTTCTGAAAGTGATATATGTTCTTGGTTTCTCTACCTGAAACTGAGAGTGTGGTTGGTCTTAGATATGGGATAACCACTTTGAATTTTTCTTTCAGATTTCGAGATTCCAGCTGTTTCCGGCTTCAGCAGCAGAAATGGCAGAACCTGCAACTAATAACAAGACGTCGCCGTCGTCGTTGATGATTCCAGACTGGACTCAGCTCCCTGAAGAGCTACTTGAGTTTCTCACCGAGAAACTTGACAGCTGTTTCGATGTCGTTCATGCTCGCTCAGTTTGCAGGGCGTGGCGATCCACAATGCCATTTCCCTGTAGCCTGTTACGCCCAAGTTACTCTCTTCCCATGCTTCCTAATAAAAACGTAGGCTTGTGCTCCCTTGAGAAGGTCCCTTTGGTTTTCTTTAGAGTCCCAACTCGTGATGGTGATGATGGTGATACTGCGTCGGCTTCTGTTTATTTTATTGGAGGGATAAGCCGAGATGATTCTGCTGATTATAAGGACTTACCATCTCCTCTTCAGTGCTCAATGACAGTGAAGATCCCAGGAGAATCTGAACCAACCTTGATGAACATTTTAGACTGTCAGATGCTCTCTCTGGGCTATGAGTACAGATTGAAAAACTGGAGTCCTGATGGAGAGAAAACAACTTTAAGAAATTTGGCTTTTCTTCCGCTAAACAAGGAAGGTGGAGGAGAATTTGGTGTGCTTCTCTACTTCAAAGGAGATTTGTTGGTATTAACAACCCGTGCCGAAATGAAGTGGAAGCTGCTTGAGAACGTCCCAAAGAAACCATGCACGAGTTTAGCCACTTTTAGAGGCAGGTTTTATGCATCTTTTTATGACAGAACAAGTGTGGTTATCGATCCTGATTCCCTGGACGTGACTCTCCTGATTCACTCGGAGCTTGTAGGGTTTTACAAGCATCTGGTTCCATCTGGTATTGATGAACTTTTCCTGGTTGAAGAATTCCTTACTACACCGGCCGCATGTAGAGTGAGTAGGCTAGATGAAGAGACTGGTAAATGGGTCGTGGTCACAGATATAGGAGGTCGTGTGTTGTTAATTGATCAAGATTGGGAAAATGTCTGCTGCTCGGCTAAAGAGCTTCCTGATTGTTGTGGTCTAAGCGGGAACTCAATTGTGATCACCGGTGAGCCAGAGAATGTAGCAAACACCTTTAGATATGAAGGAGTTGAGGAAGACGACCTCAAGTTTTGGACAGTATCAAGAGAGAAACGTGTGACAGTCCTCAGCACATCTCCGGCGGTGGCTCTCCGGGTTGAGCTTGGACATTGCCTGGCTTCGTTTTTAGGTAAAGACAATTGATGCAAATCTGTGGAAGAACGTTGGAGAATGAGATTGGTAGGAGGCTGGAAAGAGTTAAAGATAGGACAAGAGCTGATTTGGGAAACAGACAGAAACTCTCTGTTTTTAAGTTCTGCTCCATATGACATTGTGAGTTGCTTGCAGACTGGTTATGGGCAATCCTCTTTTTTAAGTAGTGTTGATAAATGGTAATTATAACGTTTCTATTGTTTGTTCTAACTATTTTGAAAACCTTGTGACAACGCTAAAATCTTTGTGTGAATACATGAGACTTTTTTCTTTCTTTTTAGGTAACACTTTTAGGTAAAGATAATGTGAACGGTAATATGAATATGCTGAAGACAAGATCACTTCGGTGGAAACAACAATGTCATGTGTTTTGAAGAAAAATTATTTTAAGTTTGCTCAATGCTTTGTAAAGATAAAGTCTGTTTCGTCCCAAAACTCGATAATTACGTACTGTATATTGCAGAATATTAGGATGCCTTGGAGCTGACAAGTTTATAAGGCTACTAAACGATGGTTTCATCAAATTTCAAACCAAGGAGCTAACTAAAACCAAACCTTGTACCGGAATATTGAATCGCGCTGCTAATCAAAGCGCAGCGTTTCTTACTTTCGTAGAAACGATGTCGTTTGGTCTTTCCCCATCTCCCCCAAATCGAAATTTACTAAATCCCTAAATCGATTATCGACTAGCCTGACTTATTTCTTCTCCGACTAACTACTTGTCCATCGTAAGTTTCTTCTGTATTGAGCTCCTCCCATCATTGTTGTATTGGGTAATTGTGTTAAGGTTCATTGAGAAATCCTCTGGGCTCTAGTTGAATTCTGCAAAAATGTCAACTTTTTATTTTAGCTATGCTTCGTTTTTTCTTCTGTGCTCTTTCAAGCAAGTGTTATCATTCTCCACTTCTAAGACTGATCCAAATGTTGTGCATTTCGAGTTGCTGAAACCCAAAATCTGAAAGTGATATTTGTTCGTGGTTTTTACCAGAGTGTGTTGTTGATCTTTGATATGGGATAACAAATTGGAATATCATTTCAGATTGATTTCGAGATTGCAGCTGTTTCCGGTTTCCACCAGCAGACATGGCTGAGTCTGCAACGAAAAAGACATCAGCTTCGATGATGATGATGCCAGACTGGACGCAGCTCCCTGAAGAGATACTTGAGTTTATCTCCGAGAAACTGGACAACTGTTTCCAAGTTATTCATGCTCGTTCTGTTTGCAGCTTCTGGCGATCCACAATCCCCTTTCCTTGTAGCCTGTTACGCCCAAGTTACTCTCTTCCCACCTATCCTATTGAGAAGGTAGGCTTGTGCTCCCTTGAGAAGATCCCTATGTTCCTCTTTAGAGTCCGTACTCTTGATGATGCTGCGTCGGCTTCTGTGTTTTTCCTGGGACGAATAGGCCGTAGGGATCATATAGAGCTTTCATCTCCTATTCAGTGCTCAGTGAGAGTGAAGATTGGAGAATCAGATCCAACCTTGATCAACATGCTAGATTGTCAGATCCTCTCTCTGGGGCATCAGTATAGATTGATAAACTGGAGTCCTGAGGGAGTGAAAACAACTACAACAAGTGTGGCTTGTCTTCCGCTAAATAAGGAAAGAAGAATGGAATTTGTTGTGCTTGTCAACTACCAAGGAGCTTTGTTTGTATTAACAAGTGGTGCCAAAAGGAAGTGGAAGCTGCTTGAGAACGTCCCAAAGAACTCATGCATGGAGTTGGTCACTTTTAGAGGCAGATTCTATGCATCCTTTTTTAACAGAACAACTGTGGTTATCGATCCTTATTCCCTGGACGTGACTCTCCTGATTCCATTGGAGCCTCAAGGATATTTCCAACATCTGGTAATGATGAACTCCTCCTGCTTGACGATCTCCAACGTAGCCGGGCCGCATGTAGACTGAGTAGGCTAGACGAGGAGGAGGGTAAATGGGTCGAGGTCACCGATTTGGGAGACCGTGTTTTGTTTATTCATCGTGGACACTTGGGAAACGTATGCTGCTCGGCTAAAGAGTTTCCTGATGGTTGTTGCCTGACCGGGAACTCAATTCTGATCACCCGTGGGACAGGCGAAGAAGTATGGGGCACCTTGAAATGTGATGGAAGAGAGGAAGACTACCTCAGGTGAAGATGAATGTGTGACAACCCTCTGCACATCTCCAGCGGTGGCTCTCCGGGTTGAGCTTGAGTGCGATTCGCCATAAATTTTACTTTGGGTACTTGAGACATTGCCTGGCTTTGTTTTTAGGTAAAGACAATTCATACACAAATCTGTGGTTTGAGGAAGAACGTTAGAGAATGAGATTGGTAGGAGGCTGGAAATAGTTAAAGATAGGACAAGAGCTGATTTGGGAAACAGACAGAAACTCTCTCTTCTTAAGTTCTGCTCCATATGACATTGTAAGTTGCCTTTTGTATATGAATGCAGACTGGTTATGGGCAATCGTTGTTGACTTGTTGGTAAATGATAATCATAACATTTCGATTGTTTGTTCTAACTATTTTGGAAAGCTTGTGACAGCTCATATCGTAACACTTAGCTGATAAAGATTTTTACTTGGGCTAAATTGTTTTACTCAAATCGTAACACTTTTGCTTTAAAATTGTTTCCTTGGGATAGTGAAGATCATGAGAAACTTGGTACCTTTGAGTTATGTCTTTTATTCAGTTGGTGAAGAAGACACAAGTTCAATAGGTTATTTATAGTTAGCCTTCAACAATACTTTTTTTTTCTATCTCTCATTGCTTTCCTTCCATTGAGAAATCTTCAAGAGCTAGAAATCAAATTGTAATGATGATAATTAAATTCAATAAGAAATTCAATATTTTGTCAAATTTGTAATCTTTGATCAAAATAGTGACCGTTACATACAGTGAAAAATCTGATCAGAGACCAAATCGGTATCCGCTTTCCTTCTTTGCACCGTAATTGAAGGGGATTGATTATCTCTCAGATCTTATTAAATTAAGTAGCATTGTTTATCAATCGTGCTCACTGTGATTTTAGGGTTCTAAACTTCTCTAATCTAGTGCTTTGGTAAAAACCTCTTTCGAAATTGAAAAAAAATCATCTGTTTCTTATCAGGATTCAGTTCTCGATTTTTAGTCATCTTCTTCTAGTTTGTCTTTATGCAATGCAAAAATTGAGATTGTTATCATTTTCAAGAAGTCGATTGTTTATGCGATTAATCTTCTATGTGTTCATGTTTGTTTACAGTTTCCTAAGTCCTAAGAAGCTTTATTTATCTTTCTGTTTTCACAAATCGCAGCAAACATTATAGAACCTGAAACGGAACCGAAGACATCATCAATGATGATGCTAGACTCTTCTTGTCGCTCGGATTGTGTAAGAAAATCATTTTCTCTTCTCCCCGTTTTTGAATCCTACTCCTGAAATATGCTGTGATTCCTTGTTTCTTTTCTTTTTATAGGTTTCAAAATTGCACAAATCCCCATCTACATTGTCTAAACCAGACTGGACTCAGCTCCCTCAAGAGCTACTACAAGTGATCTCCGAGAAGCTGGAGAACTGTTTCGATGTAGTTCATGCTCGCTCTGTTTGCAGCGCGTGGCGATCCACATTTCCCTTTCCTTGTAGCCTTTTACGACCAAGTTACTCTCTTCCCTCGTTCGCCGAGTTTCCTTACGAAAGCGAAGACTTGTGCACCCTCAAGAAGATCCCTTTGTTCCTTCTCAGAGTCCAACCTCGTGATCCCGGTACTTCGGCTTCTCAGTATTTTATAGGAGGGATAGGCCGTAAAGATGAGCCAGAGGATCATATAGAGCTTCCACCTCCTCTTCAATGTTCAGTGAAGATCCCAGGATCATTTGAGCCAACCTTGATGAACATGCTCGACTTCCAGATCATCCTTCTTGGCCACCAGTACAGAATTACTGGTCCCAATCCTAAAGATTACAGAGGCGTAGCTTTTCTTCCGCTAAACAAAGACAGAGGAGGAGAATTCATTGTGCTTCTCAACTACACTAATGATTTGTTGGTGTTAAGAAGTCTTGAAATGAGGTGGATGTGGCTTAAAAACATCTCAGATGCTTCATGCTCGGAATTAGTCACCTTTAGAGGCAGGTTTTATGCAGTCTTTCTTGACGGGAAAATAATCGTTTTCGATCCTTATCCACTGAAAGCGACTCCCATGTTTCGGCCCTCTGAGCTACCGAACTGTGGTTCAAGTGTGTTTCTTGTTCCATCAGGGGACGATGAGCTTTTCCTGGTTGAGAAAATCATACCTCGTACCGGTGTGTTACATTTTGGCCGGTTAACGTTGAGAGTGAGTAGGCTAGATGAGGAGGCTCGTAAATGGGTTGTGGTGACCGATTTGGGAGAGCGTGTGTTGTTTATTCATTATGGACACTTGGGAAACGTCTGCTGCTCGGCTAAAGAGCTTCCTGATGGTTGTGGTTTGAGTGGGGACTCGGTTGTGTTTACTGATGAGCCAGGGAATGTAACTTACTCCTATAAGTATGGAGTAGATACAGGAAGAGCCGAAGACGACCTCAATTTTTGGAGGTACTCGAGAGAGAACCGTGTCACGATCCTTAGCTCGTATCCGGTGGTGACTCTCCGGGTTGAGCCATAAATCTTATTTTGGATACTTGCGACTTCTGTTGGTTTTGCCTGTTTTCATTAAATCAAATTCAGAATTATACTTATTATTTTAGGTCAAGATTTTGGGATCTATAATGCTACGGTGATTTGTGATTCTAGTTTCAGTTTCCCTATGATCGATCTTGGTATTACATATATTTGTGTACCAACGTTCTTCTTACGTTTACTTCATCTGCAAGGTATTTGTCTCCTACGTTTGTCTCAGTATAAAATCTCTCCACTGACATGTGAAACCAAACCGAAACCAACACCTTAAACCCAAATATATGTGAGATCAAACCGGATGAAACCGAGGTCTTGAACCGATATATACAATCTGTTATATCGTCTGGAGACCGATCTGAATATGAACAGATCATATATAAGGCCCAATTCTCTTAACTCTGGGCGAAGTCGTTTACATCTTCACCTCTCTGATTTATTTAGACAGACTTCTTCTAAACCAACTTTTTTCATACTTTTCTCTAATTTGGACAGAGAACTTTGGGAGTAGACTTCGACTCTTAAACATCTTCTAAACTAGTGATTCAGTGTTTTGGTACGGATTCTCTCTCTCTCTCTTTGTTACTACATATGTTAAAAATATATATTTCCTGCATAAGCCCTTTATCAAAAAAAAAAGAAGATATATTTCCTGCATAATATGGTATTAGATTTTATTTGATTCTCTCTTTTCACTGTGTTGTATATATACTTTGGTTGATGCATGCAGAAAATAAGATTATAGAATATAGCCATCGTTCAAAAAAATTTAGATTATGGTCAATTTGGTATAAATCTCCTCTTTTAAAATTTTCCTAAAACCCTAGAAGCTTTTTTGTTTCTAAACCCTAAAAGCTTATAATAATTTTGTTTCTTCTAGATTTCGGAATCGCAAACTTACATCATCAGCAGACAAAAGGGCAGAACCTGCAAAGGAAGAGAAAACATCATCCTGGATGATGTTGACAGACTGGACTCAGCTCCCAGAAGAGCTACTTCAAGTGATCACCGAGAAGCTTGAGAACTGTTTCGATGTAGTTCATGCTCGCTCTGTTTGCAGCTCATGGCGATCTGCATTACCTTTTCCTTGTTGCCTATTAAGCCCAATTTACTCTCTTCCCACGTTTAACAAGGACACTCTTGAAAACAAAGGCTTGTGGACCCTCAAGAAGATCCCTGTGTTCCTCTTTAGAGTCCGTACTCTTGCTCCTGCTGCGTCAGCTTCTGAGTATTTCATGGGGGGAATTGTCCAAGATGAGTCAGAGAATCAAACAGAGCTTCCTCCACGTCCTCTTCAATGTTCAGTGAAATTGAAGTTTGGAGAATCTTTTCCAACCTTAACGAACAAGAACGTGAACATGCTTATCGGTACGTGAACGTGAACGTGACTGTCAGATTCTCCCTATGGGTTATCGGTACAAAATGATTGGTAGGTTACCTAAATACCGTGTGGCTTTTCTTCCACTAAACAAGGAAGGTGGAGAAGAATTCGTTGTGCTTATCAAGTGCAGTAGGGGTTTGTTTGTGTTAACAAGTGCCGAAATGAAGTGGAAGCGGCTTGAGAACGTTCCATACAGTGGAAACTTGAATTTCGTCGCTTTTAGAGGCAAATTTTATGCAACTTGTTTTAACGGAAAAAGTGTGGTTATTGATCCTTATTCCCTGGACTGACTCTCCTGATTCACTCACAACGTTTGGAGCCAATACACTATCTGATTCCATCTGGCGATGATGAACTTTTCCTGGTTGAAGAAGGACATGTTGGACGGGCAACATGTAGAGTGAGTAGGCTAGATGAGGAGGCTGGTAAATGGGTCGAGGCCACCGATTTGGGAGACCGTGTTTGTTTCATTGGATGCTTGGGAAGTTTCTCTTGCTCGGGTAAGGAGCTTCCTGATGGTTGCGGTGTGAGTAAGAACTCAGTTTTGCAAACCCAATGGCAAGGTTCAGTTTTCTCCTACAAATATGGAAGAGCCGAAAACGGCCTCAATCGTTGGGACTTGTCAAGAGTTAATAATGTGAAGATCCTCAACAGATATCCGGTGGTGGCTCTCCGGTTCGAGCATGCACTAATCGATAAACCTTAACATTTGACTTACTTCATGAGACAACCAGCATTTGCTTAACATTCATACCAACATTAAAAACGTTTGTTGCCTTTTTTGTATTCTTTATTAGACCAAAATTCAATGTACTTTCCTTATGATTTTGGGTCAAGGTTTTGTTATCTCTGATGTTACAGTGATATGCTGAGAACTTGAGTTTTATTCTTTTACTAGGTTTGAAGCCCCGCGCAAGCGCGGGGTTGTTTGCGATAGTTTTCTGTTTAGTTTTATCTATACTTGTTGATTTGAATTATGATGGTTTTGTATTAACTTTCATGTTTTTGTTTATGTTTTGAGTTAACCCAATCACTAACATTAAAAATATGAACAATTTGTCTTTTATTTTATTTTATTAGGATGTTAACACTCCCACTTTATCTCGAGTTTTCTATTTCTAAAATTTTAGCATGTTATAAATATTATGTTTGTTTACTTCTGTTAGACTATAAACATGCATATGCATTGGACTCAACGTTAAAATTTGTAAGCATAATGTAAAATAGCATTTGGACCCGAAATAAGATGAAAAAAATAATATATATACTTTTTTACATATCTACTTTGTTGTGGTAGCATATGAGCCTCATAACCATTGATTATTTTCTATTATGTTAGTTTTGTAAATATTAATTATATTTTGAGACAAACATATCACAATCCTTAAAATTTTCATGTTTTTCACTGCAATTAAATTTACATATAAAAACTCGACTTCTATTTTTTTTTAAATAAACTCTAACTCTAATTTCTCATTGGCTTTTTATTATCTTAATTAATTTATATTCAACTTTTTAACTTGTAAACACATTATAACATTTTGAAATAGGATAAATTCTTTTAATAAAAAGGTAAATATATACCATTTCAAGTTACATATATTTTTACTTATATTCAAACTTTTTGATAAATTTTAACATCAAGTTATCACATATTTTATATTAATTAAGTAATTTAGTTGTGTATTTTTCTTAGTTTTATTTATATTTAAAATATAAATATATGCAAAGAAATATGAAAAGTCATGTATTAAATATCTTAAAAACAATTTAATGAATTTTTTGTGCTGATGTGGACACTCTATATGGAGAGAGCAACTCCCTAATTATTTATAAGATTGTTGACTTTGCTTTTGTCCACCAAATCTGGAACGAAACATTAATCCACGTTGAAATCAAATTGTGTGATGAGACCTCCAGTGACTCTTTCTCTCCTTGTTGAAGAAACATCTTTCCACTGATGAATATGGTATTGGTAACCCAATATCGACTATTATACTATTTACAATGGGGTGTTGAAAAGTGATTTCAACTGTTGAATTGCTACAATGGGTATGTTTAATTAGAATGTTGAACTGATGTGGCTAATTTGGTGTTGAAAAATTTCAACTAGTTGAAGAATGAAAAATGTGGGGACACGGAGACACGTGGACCAATCACAAGGAGAGAGAATATTGTTTTAATTTGTTTCTTTTTTCACTTATCCTAAATATTTAAAATCAATTATTTAATCGAAAATTATTTATTTTGTTACAAACTACTTATTCCAAAATTCATTATTATTTTTCTTTATAAATAGAAATTTGTTTCATCTTATTTGGACATATAAAAAAATTAAGTTCTTTTGTCTATAATATTAAAGATAAATTATTTTAATGGTGAGGTAAGGTGTTGAATTTTATTCAACAAAACCATTGTAGAGTTAAAATTTTGAATGGATGTTGAATTATTAGATGGAAGAAAGAGAAGATGATTTGGAATGTTAAAAAGTGAAAAAGAAGGTGTTAAAAAAAAAACCATTGTACATAGTCTTATACTCCTAAATAGACTAGGACTAAGCCTGCGCGATGCGCGGGTTTTGAATATTACAATTTTTTTTGTTATATATATAAGTACTATATATTAAAACTTTATATTCAAATTAATCAGAATTATTGTTTTACTCCTAATTTCAATATATAATGCCATATATTATTATAGCTCTATATAACTATTTCAGTATAACATATGATTTGTATCTGAATTTTTACATTAATTTTCAAATATTTTTATCTATTTTTTTATATTGTTCTTTATCTTATCTAAAATAAAATATTAAAAATTATATTCCCTATATCTTTTGTCCACACCTATTGTTTCTTCAATAATAAAAACTGAATTTAATAAATTAATAAAAATATTGAACTAAAAGTCATGTGTACAATAGAATTTGAAGTTGTTTCTTCATCATAATCGACGTCATTAACCGGTTTACTTAACCCCAATAATTTTAACTAAACCGAAATCCTAATTGTAAATTATACCATTAACCCTAACTAAACCGGGTCAAAAACCATCTCCGGATACATGGGATTCTACCAGTCCTCCAAGTCGCAACAACTTCAAATCCTCCGATCTTAGTCCCTCTGGTCTCTTCGCCTTCGCCTCTGGTTCCTCCGTCTCTGTCATCGACTCTCGCTCTCTCCGGCTCGTCTCCACTATCCTTCTCCCTCCTCCTCCCGGTGCCCTCTCTCCCTTCACAAACCACGTAAACTTTGGGTGTCCTTTCTGTTCGCTGAATCCGATATTTGCACTTGATCTCGTCAGCTTTTCAACGATGTCGTTTAGCAGAAGCTTTCTGTAGATTATCTGTTCTTCTAGATCAATTACACATAAGGATCCTCCGATTTCATGTATTTCGAGTAAAATTACTCTCTCTCTTTTTGGCCTTATTTTTGCTCTGATTCTGCGTCGCTAAAATTGGTCTCATTATCTTTCAGTTTTATGTTGGGTACAGTTGCGGACACGGCATTGGATGCAATTTGGAGGATTTCAGGATTTGAGGTGCCCTAGAGAATCTAATGGAGCGAAGATTTGGGGTTAGTACTTAGTAGTGTATTTGATTATTGAATGTTAACTATCAGATTTCAGTATGGAATCATTTTTTTATGGAAAAGTTCGAGCTGAATCTGTAATATTGTGATGCAGATGGGTTACTCTCTGTCAAGATGACTTGTAAGTTTCAAATGATTCCTTTTTGCTATAGACTTGCAACGTTGCTTATAGATGGTTGCAAATGTTTTAATTTCTGCTGGGTTTACCTTCAATGGAGTAACATAAATTGATCTTCCGTGACTGATTTTTAATTGACCGAAGTTGCAATATAAATTTGAGTTATATAAAGGACCACTGTGGAACTTTATATGACCGATCAGAGGGGGAAGAGATATTGGTCCGGTGAAAGGAAAAGAGACGGGATGTGGAGGAGTGGGGAAGACAAAACGATTTGATTTCAACTTTGATGTTTTTGTTATTTTTTTTTGTAATAAATGAGATGATGCCACATGTTTTTTTATTAGAAGGAAGACACTGCCACGTGTCTCTCATATGAAGAGAGTTCACCATCTTTTATAATAGAGATTATTTAGTTGATGACTTGATTCTATGGAAATGGTTGTTGTCTCATGAAATTTTTGAAAGCATTAGTTTGACAAAAAAAAAAGATCTTCGAAGTAAAAAAAAACAAATCAATTTTTCTAAGATTTGATTTGCCGAAATCCTAATTTTGTATCTTAGAAAAGCCAGCTACTCTACTCAAATCGAATCATTAATTATACCATTTTTGGAAACCCAAATCAGAAGAAGTCGTTTCGTTTTCTCCCTCGTAAACGGCGTCGTTATTAATGTTTATTGAACCCCCAAATTAGAAGAAGTCGTTTTGTTTTCTCCCTCGTAAACGGTGTCGTTATTAGATTGGTTTCGTAAAATTGTCACCTTTGGGAGAAAGTCGTTTTGCGATCTTGTCTTCTCTGTCACTTCAAGGCTCTAAAATTTCAGATTGACGGTTTTTGTACGGAATCGCTTCCCTTCATTTATACAAAATTCTGGAATTTGATTCTATTTTAGGATTCTGAACATTTGGTTTCAACGTTTGTTAGGAAATTTTGTTATTGCAGTCTGTGTTGATGCATCCAGAAAAATAAATTCAAGTCTTTTATCGGAAAAAAAAAAGTAAAGACATGTCAATTGGGAAATGTTATGTGATAAATCTACTCTGTTTCATGTTTGTTTAAGAATTTCCTTAAATTCGTCTGTCTGATTTCGACATTGCAGGAATCAAGAAAAACATGGCGGAACCTGCAACGGAAAAGAAGACATCATCATCATCATTGATGATTCCAGACTGGACTAAGCTCCCTGAAGAGCTACTTGAGTGTATCACCGAGAAACTCGACAACTGTTTCGACGTAGTTCATGCTCGCTCTGTTTGCAGCTCGTGGCGATCCACATTTCCCTTTCCTTCTCGCCTGCTAAGCGCACGTTACTCTCTTCCCACCTATCCTATCGAAAAGGTAGGCTTGTGCTCTCTCGAGAAGACCCCTTTGGTTCTCTTCAGAGTCCCAGTTCCTGCTGCTAAGCCGGCTTCTGAGCTTTTCGTGGGAGGGATAAGCCGTAGAGTTGAGTCAGAGGATCAAACAGAGCTTCCATCTCCTCTTCAGTGTTCAGTGAGAGTGAAGATTGGAAGATCTTATCCAGCCTTGATGAACAAGAACACGGTAGGCTGCCAAATCCTCTCTCTAGGGCATCAGTACAGAGTGATAAAATGGAATCCTGAGGGAAAGAAAAAAACTTTCAAAACTGTGGAGTTTCTTCCGCGAGGAGAAGGAGAGTTCGTCGTGCTCCGCAGCCGCAATTGGAGGCTGTTGGTGTTCACAAGCGCTGATAGGAAGTGGTTCGACCTTGAGGGCGTGGGCGTCCCAGATGATAGTACATGCACAGGGTTAGTCACTTTCAGAGGCAGGTTTTATGCAATGTTTGTGAACAAACAAGTTTTCGTTATCGATCCGGATTCGCTTCAAGCGACTTGCTTGATCACCTTGGAGCCTCTGAGCGGTAACAACTATCTAAGTTATCTAGTTCCATCTGGCAATGAAGAACTTTTCCTGGTTGAGAAAACCAGCCCCACGCCTAATGGTAAGTATACATGTAGAGTGAGCAGGCTTGATGAGGATGGTCTTAGATGGGTGGAGGTCACTGATTTGGGAGACAGAGTCTTGTTTGTTGGACGGTTCTTGAGTTTCTCATGCTTGGCCAAGGAGTTTCCTGATGGTTGTGGTGTGAGTGGGGACTCCATTCTCTTCACCAAGAACCGGGGAAGAACCATACCCTTCTTCTTTAAATATGGACTACCTGCAGATGCGAAAGAAGGCGTTGTGAGTTGTTGGCATATCTCGAAAGCAAGTCGTGTGACGACACTTGATTCTTCGATTTTGGCTCTCAAGATTGAGAAGTTTAGGCCTTAAGTCTTGTCTTTGGTTACTTGAGACGACATCTATTGCTTTTTGTTTTTTTTATGGTTAGACCAAAACAAACTTACCTCAGAATTTACCTCAGGTAGACGAAAATCTATGTAGTTGATTCTATGGAAATGGTTGTCTGATGAAATTTTTGAAATTGCATTAGTTTGACAAAGAAAGATCTTCGAAGTAAAAAAAAAACAATTTTTCTAAGATTTGATTACTCAAAATGCATAAATCAGCTACTCTACTCAAATCGAATCATTAACATATTTATGCCATTTTTGGAAACCCAAATTAGAAGAAGGGGTTGGTTCGTTTTCTCCCTCGTACACGACGTCGTTATTAATGCTTATTGAACCCTAAACCATTTTTTGTAGACTCCTTCAAATCTCTCTCGCTGAAATGATGAAATAGTAGTCAGAGTCATTTCTTCTCTACCCTTTGTTTCGTCGACATTGGCTTTCGATTACGACATGTACATTTCTGTATTCGAGCTCCTCTCATCATTGAAATCGAAGCTCAGATTGGTATCGCTATTGCAGAGTCGCCATCTCCGTCGTGCCTCAGCTCCGAACTCAATTCCTTGAAATCCAACGGTACTGTTTTTATTTCCTTTTCCTTACAACAAACTGATTTTTCGGCTATTGACTGTAGAATTTCTGTCTTAGGTTCTTATAGAATCCTTCTGGGTTCTCATTTCCTTGTTCTAGATTAAATCTGCAAAAGTGTCACCTTTGGGATTCCCTGTGACTTTAGGGCTCTAGAAATTCTGATTGAGGGTTTTTGCACGGAATCGTTTCCCTTCATTTGTACAAAAGTCTGGAATTTGATTCGATTTTAGGATTCTGAACATTTGGTTTCAACGTTTGTTATTGTAGATTGTGTTGATGCTTGCATCCAGAAAAATAAATTCAAGTCCTTTATCGGAAAAGAAAAGGAAATGCTATGTGATAAATCTGCTCTGTTTCATGTTTGTTTAAGAATGTCCTTCAACTCAAATTGCAGGAATCAAGAAAAACATGGCAGAACCTGCAACGAAGAAGAAGACATCATCATCATCGATGATTCCAGACTGGACTAAGCTCCCTGAAGAGCTACTTGAGTTAATCACCGAGAAACTTAACAACTGTTTCGACGTCGTTCACGCTCGCTCTGTTTGCAGCTCTTGGCGATCCACATTTCCATTTCCTTGTAGCCTGTTAAGCGCAAGCTACTCTCTTCCCACCTATCCTATCGAAAAGGTAGGCTTGTGCTCTCTGGAGAAGATCCCTTTGCTTCTCTTCAGAGTTCCTGCTGCTAGGTCGGCTTCTGAGTTTTACGTCGGAGGGATAAGCCGTAGAGATGAGTCAGAGGATCAAACAGAGCTTCCATCTCCTCTTCAGTGTTCAGTGAGAGTGAAGATTAAAAAACCTGATCCAACCTTGATGAAGACGGTAGGCTGCAAGATCCTCTCTCTAGGGCATCAGTACAGATTGATAAACTGGGATCCTGAGGGAGTGAAAACAACTTTGAAAACTGTGGAGTTTCTTCCGCGGAACAAGGACGGAGAAGGAGAGTTCGTTGTGCTTCGCCGCTGCCAGAGAAGGTTGTTGGTGTTAACAAGCGTTGATAGGAAGTGGTTCGACCTTGAGGGCGTCCCAGATAATACATGCGCGGGGTTACTCACTTTCAGAGGCAGGTTTTATGCAGTGTTTGTGAACAATCAGGTTTTCGTTATCGATCCGGATTCGCTTCAAGCGACTGGCCTCATCACCTTGGAGCCTCTGAGCGGTAACACCTATGTAAGTTATCTGGTTCCATCCGGCAGTGACGAGCTTTTCCTGGTTGAGAAAACCAGCCCCACGCCTAATGGTAAGTATACATGTAGAGTGAGCAGGCTTGATGAGGATGGTCTTAGATGGGTGGAGGTGACTGATTTAGGGAACCGAGTCTTGTTTGTTGGAAGCTCTTTGAGTTTCTCATGCTCGGCAAAGGAGTTTACTGATGGTTGTGGTGTGAGTGGGGACTCCATTTTCTTCACCAAGATCGAGCAAGGAAACAAACTCTTCTTTTTTAAATATGGACTACCCGCAGATGCGAAAGGAGGCGTCGTGAGTGGTTGGAATATCTCGAAAGCAAGTTGTGTGAAGACACTTGATTCGTCGATTTTGGCTCTCAGGATTAAGAGGTTTAGGCCTTAAGTCTTGTCTTTGGTTACCTGAGACGACATCTATTGCTTTTGTCTTTTTGGTTTGACCAAAACAAATGTATCCTCGGATTTTAGCTATAGGTTTTGTGATGTCATTTGTAAGGCCTATGAGCCTCCAAGCTGTGTCTGGCTGTGTTTTTTGTAACAGATGAGCAAATGACCTCTTATCTCTGGTTTGATGGCTAAAAGGTTAAAAGCGAACACAAGCAGAACTTTGGTCACAGATTGTTAAATTAAAATCGTAAAGAAAGTGTAGTAAGATATTATAGTCATGGTCTTACTTTATGATAAAGCTCTCGAGTTCCAAGGAGACTTCACCAATGGAAACAAAACTGTTAGACTTTCCATGTTCAGGAGAAAGTCTGACCAACCAAACAAAACCCATAAGCTTGGTGAAATATTTGTGTTTATTACTTGTACAATGTACTCTTTCTTCCGTGAGATTGCAGAGAAGATTTAGGGATCTTGATAAAATGGCGAATCAACATTTCTTCAAGCCTCTTCTTCCTGGCTTCCACAGCCACCTGGTACTCTCTCTCTCTCTCTCTCTCTCTCTCTCTCTCTCTCTCTCTCTCTCTCTCTCTCTCTCTATGTTCCTTCTTTCTATATGTTTCTCTGAGAAGCTAATTGAGAAAGATGGTTCTGTTTTTTTGTATTTGCATGTTGCTTTAGACAATTCCTATAGCCTTCTTGAAGCATATGGATAGAAAATACGAGCAGGACACGGCGGAGCTGAGGTCAGACGCGTCGATAAAAATCTGGAAAGTGAAGCTAGAAGCTGGCCGGAGACTCACTGATGGTTGGAAAGAGTTTGCTCTCTCCCATGATCTACGAATTGGTGACATTGTCGTTTTCAGACTAGAGAAAGACATGGCTTTTCATGTGACACTGTTCGGAACCAGTTGTTGTGAGATTCAATATGGATCTTTTTTGGACAACCAGAACAACCTCGGTGAGTTTGAGACTCTATCCATGATCTGGAAGTAGAGAGAACCAGTTTGATTATTACCACAATTAGATTTATCATTTCTTGTCTTTATTTTTTTCAGGGAAGATTCAAAGAAAGAAGAAAGTGAAGAAGGATCAAAGAAGAGAAACAGAGTCTTCTTCATTAGAACCCTCTTGCTTTGTGGCTAATGTCTCGCCTGCAAGTCTACGTTGTGACACACTGGTATCTTCTACTCCTGATCTAAACCAAAATCTCTCACTATAGAGTCTGAATGATATCAAAATCATGTTGTCTTGTAATGAATTTCCAGTGTCTTCCAAGGAGGTTTGTGAGGGAAAATGGTCTAGACACAAGATGTGGAGAGATTGTTCTGATGAAAGAAAAGTGTAGATCATGGAGGTTAAATCTGAAAAGAAAGAACTCATGTGGAACAATGTATATCACACGAGGATGGAGAAGTTTCTGTGGAGCCAATGGAATCAGAGCTGGAGGTTTCTTCACTTTCAAACTGATCCAAAGAGGAAAAACTCTGATTCTGCGTTTGTCCCCTGAAGGGTCCAACAACGAAGAAGATTGTTCATCAGAAGCTAATGAAGTAGAGTCTCTTTCCACAGAACAGGACAGCAACCGGGACGAGAGGAGCTCACAGGAAGGTTCAAAGAGAAAGGAAAAGAAGGGTATATCGATATGCAAGGCTTCATCTTCTGCATCGCAAAACCGATTCGTGACAGTAACTCTTACACCTTACAACATCAGATTATCAAAACTGGTTAGTTTTCCATCACCAATCAATTGTCTTTTTTTAACAGCCTTATTCGATTCTGAATCTTTGTCTCGTTTGTTTGAATCTTTCTTAGGTTCTTCCGATACCTTTCACAAAGGTAAATGGCATAAAAAGGGCAAAGAAGATGAGTCTGTTAGATAAACATGGCGTGAAGTGGTCTACAAAACTGTGGTTTGAGAAGGAACGTAAGAGAATGAGATTGGTAGGAGGCTGGAGAGAGTTCTGCGACGCTAACGGTGTGAAGATAGGTGAATCAATCATATTAGAGCTGATTTGGGATGCAAATAGAAGCTCTGTTCTTAAGTTCTGCTCCAAGGTGACCAAATGATAAGTGTACCTGAAGTTACTGAATTTGAATTTGCATGAATCAATGTTTTTAACAAGGGTTGTCTTAAGATCCAATTCTAAAATGCTATCTTTGTGTGAAAGAAGACCTTGTAAGTTGCTTTGTTTGTTGTGTAGATTTATTGACATTATGGTCTAAAGTACATAGTTGTGGCTTATTTTAGCTTTGTGTAGCAACAAGTCGTGCAAAGATTAGAGCAAGTTGGCCAGAAGACGTCACTCTTGAATATATCCAACACGAGACTTGGATTGATAGAGAAAGATAGAGAAAGCAAGAAGACGTCATCTAGTTCATTTCTAACACGTCTTCTCTTCTTCGGTCTTCCTAATCATGTTTATAGACTCTGATCTAAGGTGAATATAGGCTTGCAGGGATGATAATACAAACTAACCCTAGAGATTACAATATTTTCTTTCAGAGTTTCAAAGTCGTAACTCGTAAACATATCCGTCTTTCTCCATCAGAAAACATGGCTGAATCTGCAAGGAAAGAGCACATGTTGTCCATGCCAGACTGGTCACATCTCCCGGAAGAGCTTCTACACATCATCTCCAAGAATCTAGAGAACTGTTTCGATGTTGTTCACGCTAGGTCTGTTTGCCGCTCATGGCGATCCAACTTTCCCTTTCCCGCTTGCCTATCACGCCAAAGTTATTCTCTTCCAACGTTCCTCACATACTATCCCAAAGAAGACGGAGACTTGTGCACCCTTGAGAAGATTCCTTTGTTCGTATTTACAGTACATAACCCTACTTCATCCGTTTCTGAGTATCTGTTGGGAGGGATAGTTGGAGATGAGCCTGGAGATGATGAAGAGCTTCCGTCTCGTCTCCAATCTTCAGTGAATCTGAAGATGCCATATACAAACTTGATCAACGTGCTGGATTGCCATATCCTCTCTCTGGGACATCAGTACAGGATCAAACACATCAGCACTCGTCGAGATTTCCAAGGGCCGACTGTTTACGGAGGTGTGGCTTTTATTCAACTAAACAAGGAGGGAGGCGGAGACTTCATGGTGCTCTTAAATGACGTTAATGGTTTGATGTTGTTAACAAGTGCCGAAATGAGGTGGAAACGTCTTAAGAACGTCCCAAGTGGTACATGCATGGATATAGTCAGTTTTAGAGGCAAGTTTTATGCAACATTTCTTTTAAGGGAAACGTTCGTTATCGATCCTTATACGATGGACGTGACTACACTGATGCCCTTACAAGATGAGATCTCAAACAACTATTTGGTACGATGTGGCGATGATGAACTTTTCCTGGTTGAGCTAACCTACCCAATGATCTCTGATGATGTAGTCGATCCTAAATTTTATACATGTAGAGTGAGTAGGTTAGATGAGGAAGCTGGTAGATGGGTCGAGGTCAGAGATTTGGGAGATCGTGTGTTTTTTATTGGATATCGAGGAAACTTTTCTTGCTTGGCCAAGGATCTTTGTGATGGTCGTGTGAGTGGAAACTCAGTTTTGATCACGAATATGTGTATGGATCTTCCTTTCTTCTTTAAATATGGACTTCGCATGGGAAGCGTGGAAGAAGATCTTGAGAGTTATTTGAGCGTATCACTCGAGAACCGCGTGACGATCGTCTACAACACATATCCGGTTTTAGCTCTCCTGGTTCAGTGATGAGCTGTAGGAGTAGTCCTCATGGTTAAGAGATGATGGAGTCAACGAACTAACTATAATGATGAACGTGAGAATGAGAAGACAATGCTAGAAGACAACACTGGGAAGAGGTAAGAGATGATGGAGTCCACGAACTAATTATATTATTTAATTGCTTAATTGGCAAGTTAAAGCGTCCACAACATTCAGACTTTTTCTTTCTTGTTTTTTTTTTTTTGTAAAAAACTTTTTCTTTCTTGTTGTGAGTAAGTCAATGGTTTCATCGGATCAAATACTGTGGTTGCTACTCCTATTGTCTTAACAAAGTTCAAATCTTCTCCTTCATCTTTATAGATTTCAAAGCGTTTGAGATAATCGTTTTTGAGTATGTATTTCCATGTTTAAGCTTTGTTCTTTTTTATTTCAGTTGAAAAACAGAGTTTTATAATTTGTTATTTGGTTATTGTCAACATTTATGATCTACTTAAAAAAATATAATTATATTATTTAATTGATTGCTTGGCATCAATAAGAAAGATCATTTATGTGTTTATATTCGTTGATCATTAGTTGATTTAACTTTTAAAATTGTCATATGAGTCAAGTTACTTTTCATTCAATCACTTTATCATCGATAAAATTTTATAGTTGTCATATTTAGTTATTTACCCTATTTATAACAAATAAAATAAACTATTGTCTGAAGTGAAAATTCACAGAAATATTCAAAAGAGGATGAGATGAAACTTCACTAATTGAACTGTTGATTTCTAATTTATCAAAAACATTAGAACTGAAAGCCGGAGAGAAAAAAAAAGCATTGCTTATAGCATGCTAATGGTTATATTGATTAAACATCTAACTTCACACGTACGTCATCTCTTAACATAAACATAATTATTAGGAAATGAAATAACCAATGAATCTGGGAGAGCAAAGCATGGTGGCCTGTCAAATCTGATAATTTGGACGAGCAAATAAGCAGTGTTGGTGACGTATTTTCACATAAATGGAACAACCACTTATAATAGGCCTGGGCATAATGGATACTCGGTTCGGTTTCGGGTCCGTTCTTCCGGTTCCGGGTCCTACGATTATTTGGATTATTTATCCAAATAGGACCCGCTACTATTTTGGGTCGGTTTCGGGTCGGTTCCTTTCGATTCCAGGTCTAACGGGTCTTGTACAAAAATAACTGTAAATTATCCAAAAAACTGCGGATATACGTCGGTTTCAGGTATTAAACTGGTATTTTTACCCGTTTGTACCCGTTTTAACCTGATTTAACCCGAATTTATCACTTTTGAATCACAAAAATCCAAATAAACTTCATTAGATTTTAATAAGTTAGAACCACACAATACAAGTTTGAATTTTGAACTTACAAATATTCAATCATTCAAGGTTTAAAACACCAAGAAGACAAAAACAAAAGAAAAAACAATACATAAGTTTCAAAATTAAGAAACAAAGGAGACAAGTCGGATCTAAATGGGTACCCACGGGTAAACGGGTAATAACCGGAACCGACCCGAGACCCTTGTGTATAGAAGAAAAATAACCAACAGGTGATTTAGGCCTAAACGGATATTACCCGGAATCGGTTTTTTCGGGTCGGTTCCGGGTCGAGTCCTTCGGGTCGGTTTTTATGCCCATGCCTAACTTATAATATTACTCGCAATTTTTTAATCATAGTTTTCGCTTATTTACCAAAGTTTTCAGGAGGATTCAATTAGAAAACTCGAGTGCGAGATTTTTTTTATCTAGAAGAATAGATATTTTATGCGCCCGTCACCAAACACTTGAAAAAAACCCAAGTTGGGTATATGTTCTTAACTATAAAGCTCTTAAAAGTAATTTAAAGATAAAGCTTTTGCCTCCAATTTAAATATTTAATAGTTTAATCCAAAACGTCAATCCATGATTAGTTAACGTTTAAACTAATGTCGGAATATTAGCACTAATGTAATGTAACATAATGACATGATATTTAATAGAGTAACTAATTATCAGGAGATGCAATCTATGATGAGCTTTTTTTTTTGCTTTTGTCGCGTCCCGTCATCATTTAAAACGTAATACAAGTTGCTAATGCTTTTCCTCTTTTTGTCGTGATGCTTAACTTGATTATTTATAAAATCAAAATGTAATGCGGTTGACGAAAGAAAAAGAGTAAGGGTTAAAGATAGTCGCAAGAAGTATGAATTCGATTATCCATCGGAAATTCATCATTTTTAAAAAATTTCTTTTCATCTTTATTTTTTTGTCACTAATCATTGATATTTATTTGTATGAAAGTGGGAGGAGCATTTTAAACCCAAGTGGCCATGGCTCAAACAACCGAGAAATTCAAGTGGATGTAACGAATAACGATCTATGTGGAATGTTACGTATGTTACATCATCCATAGATTGTTATATATTTTCATATGCGAATGATTGTCCTATACACTAGATAAAGAGGATATGCTTTCCTAAAAAGGATTTTTCGTAATTACATTTACTTTGTTTCCCATTCACGAGGGTTTACTGTAAGTCTTATTAGGATTATCAGTAAAAGTTCTATAAAATAATAATATTGGAATTTTGAAAATTTATTATCTTATAGAGTTATTATTTTATTGATAAAATAATAATTCTTATTTTATATAACTATTATATCAAAAACAAGAAAAATTACATTGGAATTATATTTTACTAAATTGCATTTGATATATATGCTTAAGTTTTATAATTATTACTTTAGTTTATTGTTGGAACTATAAAAAATATGAAAATTTCAAAAAATTATTATTTTATCATCTTATCACATTTTGATATTTTTTACATTGACTCAAGTTGGAACCGGAAAAATTTATTATCTTATACTCCAAATAGTTTATACCTCAAATAGCGTTTATTATTTTATCGAGTATTACTTTATAAAGGTTCTACGGTACTCACTAATATTTTATCTTATACCTAAATTTAAAAATAGATATTAGCTATTGGATAAACATTAGCTAAACTAATTGCAATTAACGGCATGGTGCTCGGTGCTTTATATATTTTTTAAAAAAGATGTATTGAGAGTTCTTCTTCTTTATTGACAACAATATTGAATTTATAATTGTGGTAATGATTCTCGTTGTGACAATGTGCCAAAACAATTTGGACCAAAGATATTGTTGGTCGAATTCTAATCTGAATTGTGTGCAGATATTATTAAACAGAATTGAATTGGTGTAATGACAACGACGGGTGAGTTCAAATTTTCTGTGTTAGTCTTGTCATGCATGTAGAGAAACTAAAGAAGCATGTTTAGTGTGTCCCAGTGTTGTGAGTATTTGTTGGAATCTAAATGTTGATATAATTAACGATAGACTACAAGACCTTTTTTTTTGTCACAAGACTACAAGACCTATAAGAGAGAAAAAAATAATAAGGTATCTATGGGCACCGCTAATTTTTATCATTTTTTGGAATTGGTAGCAAAATAAGTGATGTGTTTTTATCGGTACCTTGAAGAACTCCTTATATTTGGAAATGACGAATCTTTCAAAAGATCTAAGATGTTGGTCGAGGTAATACATAAACAATCAAACAACACAAAGATATTTAGTAATCTTATCCTATGATGCAAGAGATGAAATCACCACATAACCCTAGCTCAAGAGAGAGAACCTCTTGATTCACATGAATCACATCCAACGCACCAATTGAGAAATGCACAAATGAGTTTGTTGGGATTTTAACCCACAATCCTCATTTTCTTTTCGTCCTTTACCAATCATTTCTGTCTCTCTTATTATATTGTGCAAACATTGTCATTTTACCACCAAAGCTATTATGCTCTTTCACTGTGTCTGTGTCCTCTTTCGCACTAATATCTTGTGGGCCATTCTACATATTGAAATATTACAGATTTTCTGTTATGTCCCGACGGATGTGAATGTGCTTAAGTTTTTTATTAAACTACTTTTAAGGTCTAGCACTAAGACTTTTTTGGGAAGACTGTGGAGTTAAACATGTTTATCACTGTTTTCTTTTATGTATATTACTGTTTAACTATAAATGATTTGTTGAAAAGTGATTTCTGTTACTGTTTGATCAAGAGAATGGAATAAAACCCAGTTAAAAACTTTGTCGACGGTAGACTGAGAAAATGACGCTATAAAGCTGAAAATTTGAACTTCTTATGTTCGGATAGTTAACTGGGTTCTCTCAAGTGTATACTAGCTAATTCAATTTCACTGGTCAGTATATATTTTCTGCCAATTTTCGCATCGTATGTATGTCTAGCGAATTGAACATGTATCTTCTTCTCTCTTTTTTTTTGCGCTTTCTTTTTTCATTCGCCAAAAAAAAGGATTATCCACTAACTCAATGTGAACACATAAAATGTTTAAAATTATGCATATTGTATGGATTACGTATCATAAAAATAAAATAATGAATCCACTAACCCAATGTGGCAATGTGGATACATAGATGATTTCAAACTATGGCCCTAACTGGTACCAGCTGAATTGAGGAATTCTGCTGAATTCCAACTTAAAAATAAAGTTATACACCAGTTGCAAAGAATTGTGGAATGTGGAATGTGAATTCTGCTTAATAATAGTTAAAGTTGAAACACCATGATTTGCTTGGGCCCACTACAAGTCTCAATTCAGCTGTATTATTTAAGTCATGTAAATGACTTTAAGTATAAAATCTAGATACGTGGCAATCTAAACTAATATTTTGACAATTTTTAAATGAGTTGAGAGCTGTTACAGTTATAACATATAAAAGAAAATCAAAAAGGGGATGCAACGATTCTTTAAATTTTATATTTTTACAAAAATATAATATTAGTTAATCTCTAATAACAGTAGTTGTTGTAATAAAATACTAAAAACAAATTTAAGAATAATTATAGATTAATTTGAGTATGAATTTAAATTTAAATTATCCAGCATCTAATTCAATCAGCTTCAAATATTCGGGTTTTTGTCCGAAATTGAATCTTGATAATAAATTTACGGATTCAAAAAATAGATTTATGGATGTGGATTCATGTGATAAAAATGACTAAATAAACATATCCGGATATGAAGTATATATTAGATAAAAAAACTTTTAGTCTAAAATAAATTTAGTTATAAATTAGATCAATTATAGATTTTTTTAAAAAAATCTAAGTTTAATATAATTTAAACAATTTCTTTTATTTACCTATTATTTGGTTATTTTACAAATATAAGTTTTTGATTATTTTATTAATTCAACTAGGTAAATATTTTGTTATACTGTTACACAACTAATTTGTTAGATATTTATTCCGCATTCAGCAACATTCAGCAGTTACCATTCACATTACTAAATAATCAGCCAGATTCCGCAACTATTCATCAATTAATTCAGCCAGATTCCGCATTCAGCAGAATTCCTCGGTTACCATTTACACCCTATGCCTCTCCAGATATTTTGTAAGGATTACGATTTACGTGTTATAATAAGAAAATAATGAAAATAACATAATACAAAATCATCATTTGTAACTGGTAGAAAAAAATGAATCCATTTGTAACTCACGAAAGAGGTAAGAAATGAAATTAATGTAGGACAGGTTTTTCTCGCTCCGAGTAAGTTAATGCTTGACAAAAAATTGATTTTGTCGTTTCTATGAATTCTGTCTCCTGTACTTGAATTTGATTCAAATTGTCAAATCGTAGCATCTTCTTTTGATCTTTTTGTTTTTGTTTTTCAAAGACAAAAGCATTTCTTGATTTCCATGGTATGGGGTGTCTTAAGTTCGCTATCTTTTAGACAAGCACCGTAACATTTATGTCTATAAACTCTCCCGGTAATAAGTTTGACATGCATGCACATACATGTGGCAAAACGAAAAGTAATAAACCACTTGGAAGTGTTGGGACAAATTAAATTTAAAGACATTTAAATTAATTAATTTACCAATTAAATTAATTAAATTTCGGGGTGACAGTGACATGACTTTATTTCTTTTTCCCCAGGTACTTCCTACCTATAAATATAACATCTCATCACACAAATTGTTTCATCCTCAGCTTTCTTCATTTCCTTCGTATAAAGTGACAAAAAAAAACCTGAGAGAAACAGAAGAAAGCTAAAAAGAAATGAGGCCGTTGAGCATAAAACCAACGTCGATAGATTTAGCGAGACATGCCACATCAGCAGAATCATTCGGGAATCACCGACCGCCGCAATCACCGTGGCACTCGCCGGTGCCGTACTTGTTCGGAGGCCTTGCGGCGATGATAGGCCTCATAGCCTTCGCTTTACTCATCCTCGCTTGCTCCTACTGGCGCATGTCCACCTCCGGTGAAGAATCCGGCGAAGGAAACGGCGGAGGAGTTGACGAAGAGAAAGAGAGCCGATCCGGAGGGAAGGCGGAGAACGCGGCGTATGAGGAGAAGATTCTTGTCATAATGGCCGGAGATAACTTGCCTAGGTTTCTGGCGACGCCGGCGGCGAACAAGTGTGTGTGTGGTCACGAGGGTAAAATGGTAATTACCGTGGAGGATGGTGGTGTTGTTGCTGGAGAGGAAGAGAAAGCAAAAGAAAATGAAGAAACAACGAGTCACTGATCCTTTCTTTTCTCTTTTTCTTCTCCCAATCCTTTTTTTTTTTGTTACTTCTTTGCTTTTAGATTTTTCTCTTTTTGGGGGATTTTCTTGGGAGATTTTTGCTTCGTGTATTCCCGGGAATGTAAATTGTACTGGGAGAAAATTTTGTCTTTCTGATTTATGAATGTTTGTTTGTAATTCGCTTTTAAGACGGTGAAAAAAGTAAAAACACCATTTCTTGATTTTATAATTATCAAAGATACTATAGTTAATCATATCACGAACACAAATTATGATGACTAATTCAAATCTTCTTGGAATTGTTTCAATGGAAAACGTAATTCATCCCACAGAAAGTATGATTGTAGTATAAGTATATTTACAAACGCAATACATTCACTCTTTGTTTACGTATTTATTCTCGACATTTTTGTTCCAAAGATATTCGATTGTTAGCAAACCCTCTTTCAAAAGAAAAAGATATTCGATTGTTTAAAAAAAAAATTCATTATGAATTACTTTCATCGTTTTCTTGCATTTGTGTATTTTATTTGCCATAGAATTAAGCTAATTTAGCTATCAAATAGAATCTCGTAACAAATTTACCATCAAAATGTTAGCTATATTCTTAAATGATTTATGTTTTTTGTTAGTTTAATTATTAATGTTTAATAGATGAACTTTTAACATCGAATTCGATATTAAGAAACATTGTATGGTATAAATTACAATAGTATAAAACAAGAGATAATTCGATTACTTGCACCATTTGCTTGCTTTGCATTTAATTTGATGATATAAGATAAACAAGAGCGTTTTCTTTTTTCTTCTTTTCCCACGCTAAAAAGATTTTTGAGTGGAGTGCACTCCACACAAACGTCTAAAATTAAGGTTTTGCATTATCTTCCATCAGTTTTTCTTTGCAATCAAATTACTATTATTGGGTATAATGGCTTTATGTCTAATCTACGATCTGTTTCATTAATTTCATAAGAAATTTTAAACACCTTTGGATACTTCTTCAATTGATTCAACCTGAGTTGCACAATCTACAGGCTACAGTCCACTGATTAAACTATCAGTTTCATTAATTTCATAAGAAATTTTAAACACCTTTGGATACTTCTTCAATTGATTCAACCTGAGTTGCACAATCTACAGGCTACAGTCCACTGATTAAACTAAGGTAAAAAAAAAAATTATAAACTAAAATATTGTCCATATAGTAAAAGGAAAATGAAATGTTAATTAGCTGTTTGATCACTGTATGTCTGTATCTCATAAGAACTGCGTAAGGAAAAGAGGGACACGTGTCATTAAAGAGAGTTAATCGTACAGCGAAGACAATGATTCTGTTTTGACTTATTTGACATTTGCTGAGCTGTTTCTTGAGGCGACGAGTAGCCGCGTCTCCCGCAAGAAAGTTCCAAAGCAAATTCCTTTTTTTCTTTCTTTATTTATTCCATTGCATTTACTTTCCTCATCAACTTTAAAATCGTCTTACGTACTTTGTGCCGCATAAACAAACGTACAACAGAGTTAAACCAAAACAAAAAAACATCAAAACGTACATACAATAAAGAGGACAAAAAACGTACAACAACAAATTAACATTTTTAACTGCTGTAACTTGTAAGCTTCTACCGTGCGTGATTCAAAAATCAGTGTTATGTCAAAAAGAAAAAATAGCATCAGTCCCTAATTTTTATTTATTTTTGTATTAATTCGTATTTATTTTTATGTATACTGTAGTTCATAATTTAAATTATAAATTATACATTGTTAAGGCCTGATGATGCTACTTTATCATGAGAAAACCATCATCGTGGACTATATATAGAAGTGAAGAATTACAAATATAATGGGCTTTGATTATAATATTTTGGCCCAAAACGAAAACCTCTGGCTCGACCAGAGACAAAGAGAGAGGAGAAAATGGAAAATTACTAAAACGTATATTTTTCTCGGGAATTAGATTTCAGTCTTCCACTACTCAAACAAGAGGAAGATCTGAGAGGTCGAATGGTCCTGGAGAAGAACATTCTCTCTTAGATCGTTTGATCTGATCTCAATTGAAGAAGAAGAAGGAAGAAGAAGATGGGAATCCTGTTCACGCGGATGTTCTCTTCCGTGTTTGGCAACAAAGAAGCTCGTATCCTCGTCCTCGGTCTCGACAATGCTGGAAAAACTACAATCCTCTGTAAAATCACTGCCTCCATCTTTCGCATTTCTTCATCTCTATATACACATTTGGTTAATAGATTGGCTATTCATTGACTTGGGTTTTCGATTCGACGTTTTTTCGTGGTTTTTCTGATTTGGTTTTGAGTTTGCCGTTGATTTTGATTCTCCGTAATTTACAGATCGGCTTCAGATGGGGGAAGTGGTCTCCACGATTCCGAGTATGTATCTCTATCTCTCGATGTTGTATAAATTGATGAATGTTTTCGTCGGATCTAGCTCATTTGATGTCGGATTTTGATATCGTTTATTTGCGATTCCGATCTGCAGCTATTGGATTTAACGTCGAGACTGTTCAGTACAACAATATCAAATTCCAGGTCTGGGATTTAGGTACGTTTCTAAGATTTTGGGGTTCGAATGAGTAAATGCTTTGTGAATTAAGTTAAGCTGCGAATTTTAGATTTTGAGAAAGGATTTTGTATATACGAAAGGGAAGTTCGAAAACAACACTATATTAGCACTAGTTTGATCTGGATCAAACACTTTTCTGATGGATCTAGTTTGAGGTTTTAAGGCTCCTTAGTCTTCTTTCTATGTTGGCCTGGCTGATCCATGTTAGTAGATCTTCAGTGACACATTTGAATAACTGGAATGTTCGTCTCTGGATGAATAACAAAAAAATTGATGATCAGGACCATTTAGATTACAACCTTCATAGTGATGAGTAGTTGCGGTATATGTGGTCAGTTTTGCTCCATGTTATTCACCTTCTCTTATTGTTCTTAGACGAAAGTTCCTTCTTTTCGAAAATGGGTGATAAAGAGCTCTGTGTTTATCCTAAAAGGTGATGACTTGATGATAAGTAGCAGATTCTCTGTATGTTGTTTATTGATTGTTTTGCTTAAAATGCATGTATTGTTTGTATCTCTTTCTTGCTGCAGTAGAATCTTACATACGTGAACAAATAAATGGGTTTCGCAAAACACAATACATTAACTAGAATTTTCTTTTGACGACAGGTGGACAAACGAGTATCAGGTAAGCTTATTGACGACGACCTCTTTTCTCATTTCTTGAAACGATTAAAATTTTTGCACGTACCGTGAAGGCTTGAAGAACAGTAACATCTAAGACTATAATTGTTCTGAGTGTTTTCCCAAATTTGTAACTTTTGTTGTGACAGGCCATACTGGAGATGCTATTTCCCAAATACACAAGCAGTGATCTATGTTGTTGACTCGAGCGATACAGATCGAATCGGGGTGGCTAAAGAAGAGTTTCATGCAATTTTGGAGGTAAATAAACTGCTGCTGGTGCTTCCTTTTCCTATAATGCTGTATTGTTTTTACATGATAGACTTTGAATAGATGAAACTAAAGTTGAAGTATCTAGGTTAACGCCGTAAGTGGATCTAACGTAACTATCTAATCTAAAGCATTTCGATTATGCATCAAAGCTTACTCGAGTGTACCTCTTACACTGTCAGAATCTAACTCTTAACTCTCTTTGGAACCTTGTTTTATAGGAAGAGGAATTGAAAGGTGCGATGGTTCTCATCTTTGCAAACAAGCAGGTTAGTATTAGTCTAAATGTTATGCATTTTGGCTGATTCATCAGGAAATTTGTTCTGAGTTTTCCTTAAACCAATTTGGACAGGATCTTCCTGGTGCACTCGATGACGCCGCTGTGACAGAAGCCTTGGAGCTGCATAAGATAAAGAGTCGTCAGTGGGCAATCTTCAAAACTTGTGCCGTGAAAGGCGAAGGACTTTTCGAGGGATTGGACTGGTAAGCACACATTTTTTCTTCATCTGAAATTCTCAGTGAAAAATTCATCAAAACATGCTTAGTTTTCACCATGGGGATAAAATTACTTGATCACATTACCATTGCTTTGCTTGTTTGTTCTCAAATGGTTTCTCCATGTTGATTGATTTTCAGGTTGAGTAACACATTGAAGTCAGGAAGTGGCTAAAAATCATCTTCATACACTTACTCGTCAGTCTCTTCGACAATGTATCTTCTCTTCTTTACTTATTGGTTTGTTTAGTAATTTGCTTAGTTCTTCACCTAAAGAGTTAATATCAATGACATGTTCACTTAATACAATTTTTTTTTGGTTCCTTTTGAGAGAGAGAGAGAGAACAAAATTCTACATGGATGGATATTTGTGATTGGAGCCCGTAAGAGATCTATCAAATTTTAACATGAAATTGAAATGAATATAAACGAAGTACTTAATAAGTGTCCAAGTGGTGGATCAACAAGCTCAAACGTTGAACTTTAAAAAAAGAAGTACGAATCTTGTGTGTTCTTTGTTTGCTTGTTTTCGTCAACATTTGTAATCGGTTATAATATCCATCTGATTATAAATCGAATCAGTAGTACCGATTGATTGTGCATTGAATACTGATGGTTTAACTATAAACAGAGTCGCTTGTTTTAAAAGATATCTAACTTGTTTTTTATTTTTTGCGCAAAAAACATATTTAACTTGTTAAGTCTCTCTATAGGAAGGAAAAACAATTGGCATACCTAGTTAAGTCAAGTATTTTTCTAGGGTTTGCTTTGTAGCCATCATGAAAACTCAGCAGGGAGATGATAACAGCCACCATGAACCACTACCTCTAGATATGGTGATCGAGATACTCATGAAATTGCCGGCAAAATCTCTTTTCAGATTCAGATGTGTCTCGAAGCAATGGTGTTCCATCATACGTAGCCGACCATTCATAGACTCGTTCATGTCTCTCTCTCTCTGTCTCGACCACGTATCCTCCTCTGCTACGATATCTATCGTGGTACTAAGAAGCAATTGGTTTTTCTCTCTTTGCCTCTTCATCCTCAAAATTCAAACTATTTAATATTCAAATGCGATGTGCCAATCAACAATAATTATGGCTTTTGCAATTCAGTCCGTGGCATCATCTGTTTATCTCACAAGAATCATTTTCTGATATGTAATCCAACAACAAGACAATTCATAGCGATACCCAATGACCCAACCGGGTTTGATCCTACGCATAATATGTTCAAGGCGACAACATCTATGTACTTGGGATACGACGAAAGAAATGATCAGTACAAGATTATGCGAACCATGTTGCCGCAAGATAGATCTCCTGAAAATAGTGTATGTACGTTGAGACTTGGTGAACAATCTTCTTTTTCATCATGGAGGCGCGTTGAAAGTGGTAAGGACTATTATTTTCGCATGACTAATGCATTATGCATCAATGGAGTTGTGTATTATGACGCTCAGAAAAATCTATCAAACAGTTTGGTCGTGATTGTGAGTTTTGATGTTGCATCTGAACGGTTACTTGTCATGGAAGAACCTAAAGAGCATAGCTTAATTCGTCTAATAAACTACCAAGGAAAACTAGGCTGCTTTTGCAGCACCAAGGATAACGGTTTTAGTTTGTGGATTCTTGATGATGCTAAGAAGCAGATTTGGTCCAAGGCTGGTGTTTTTTCGTCTTCTTTTTGTGATTCATATCGGAAACTCAATCTAAGAACTTGCGGCGCCACTGATGTTGGGGAGATCATTTTTGTGTCGAGATTATCTTCTGGTGCCTATGAGCTTTTCTATTATGACTTAAAGAAGAATAATGTGAGTAAAAGAGTTAAAACTAGAGATATCTCCGAGGATGATGAACACAGGCATCGCAGTACCATTTTTATGCATTCATGTGACCATGTGGAGAATATTATGTCTTTATAGTTTATGAAAGACAATTCGATTTTTATATCATGATTGTTTTGGGCAGTCTTGTTTCCCAACTGAATAAAGTTCTTTTTCTTTTTCTTTTTCAAGAATGTTGTTTTCTTTTTAAGATCCGCCGCTTGGTAAAACAAAACGGTGAGAGTTTTCTGTTGGAAAGATTGAATAGTAAGCGATACATGAATGATTAGAAGAGCTAAATGATAGTGGTGCGAAAAAGATGATGGTGTCGCTCTTAAGGTACCAATGTATTGTGATTGGTATTTGGTAATTCATAATCATTATTCATTAGCATAAACAGTTTACGAATCAACCCTAATAATATTGCACTATGGTATTAGTTTTCACTACGGTAATAAACGAACTTTTAGCGTATTCTTCAATCTAGTGGACAACCTAATTCAGTAGCTTAATTTTACATTAATAAAATATTGCAATTCAAGAATGTAACTAAAATAATATATTTGAATGTGTTAGTCTAACACTAAACCAAATATTGAGTCGGTTGTTTTAAAAGATATTAAATTCAAAATAGATTTAAAACATATTTAAGTTATATTAGGGAAAACAATTGGCATACAATAGAGACCTAGTTAAGTTGGAGAATTTTTCTAGGGTTTGCTTTGTAGCCATCATGAAAACTCAGCAGGGAGATGACAACAGCCACCATGAACCGCTACCTCTAGATATGGTGATCGAGATACTCACGAAATTGCCGGCAAAGTCTCTTTTTCAGATTCAGATGTGTCTCGAAACAATGGTGTTCCATCATACGTAGCCGACCATTCATCAACTCGTTCATGTCTGTCTCTCTGTCTCGACCACGTATCCTTCTCGGCTATGTTGTTGAACGCGGTACTGAGAGGCGATTGTTCGTTCTCTCTTTGCCTCAATATCCTCAAGATTCAAACTACTCACCGGTAATATTCAAATCCGATGTGCCAATCAAGAACTATGGCTTTTGCAATTCAGTCCGTGGCATCATCTGTGTTTCTCAAGAGAATCATTTTATGATATGTAATCCAACAACAAGACAATTCATAGCGATACCCAATGACCCAACCGGGTTTGATCCTACGGATAATATGTTCAACGCGACAGCATCTGTGTACTTGGGATACGACGAAAGCAATGATCAGTACAAGATAATGCGAACGATTAGGACGCAAGTTAGATCTCCTGAACATAGCGTATGTACGTTGAGACTAGGAGAACAAACTTCTATTTCATCGTGGAGGCGCGTCGAAAGTGGTAACGACTATTATTGTCGCATGACTAATGCATTATGCATCCGTGGAGTTGTGTATTATGGAGCTTGGGAAATTCCATTAAACAGCTTGGTCATCAAGATTCTGAGTTTTGATGTTGCATCTGAACGGTTACTTCTCATGGAAGTACCTAAAGAGCATAGGTTAGTTCGTCTACTAAACTATCAAGGAAAATTAGGCTGCTTTTGCGGCACCAAGGATAACGGTCTTAGTTTGTGGATTCTTGATGATGCTAAGAAGCAGATTTGGTCCAAGACTTGTGTTTTTTCGCCTTCTTTGTGTGATTCATATCGAAAACTCAATCTACGAACCTGCGGCGCCACTGATGCCGGGGAGATCCTTTTTGTGTCGACAATGATTTCTGGTGCCTTTGAGCTTTTCTATTACGATATAAAGAAGAACGAGGTGAGTAAACAAGTTAAAATTAGAGATATCTCCGAGAATGATAAGCTTACACATTTAAGTCTTTCATGTGGACATGTGGAGAATATTATTTAACGAAAGACTATTCAATTTTATCATTATGGTTTTTGTTCCGTCTGTTTCCCAACTGAATAAAGTTCTTTTTTTTCTTTCTTTTTCAAGAATGTTATTTTCTTTTTAAGATCCGCTTGGTAACACAAAACGGTAAGAGTTTTCTCGTGGAAAAATTGAATGGTAAACGACACCTGAAGGCTGAATAATTAGAAGAGGTAATTGATAGAGGTGCAAGAAAAGATTGAGGGTGTCGCGCTTAAGGTACCAGTCATTGGTAATTATTAAACAATCTATTGTGAATTGTAATTTAAGAATCATTACTCATTAGCTACGATCGATAAACAGTTTACCAATCAACCCTAATAATCTTGCACTATTGTATTAGTTTCCAGTTTTTCACGATACATATACATACGGTAATAAACTTAATTTTAGAGTATTCTTCAATCTAGTGGACAACATTATTCAGTAGCTTAATTTTACATTAACAAAGTCTTGCAACTTCAAGAATGTAACTAAAATATTTGAATGTGTTAGTTTAACACTAAAACAAATCATGTGAATTGGTGTGAAATGGGTCACCCTTATAAGAACTTGAAAACGGCTTAGCAGTTTGAGCTTTCTTCTTCCCATGTCTATACCTTTTATATATGTTGTATTTTTTCTTATTCTTTTCTAAACCGAATCGATACAAAGTCTCGAGTTCGATACCCGAAAGAACGATAAAATCACACCGCGCGTCAAGTTAGTAAGCCAGTGGACTATAACCCGAAAAATGATATAATCTAAATCGTGCAACACCGACAGTTCTTGCTTTAGAGATCGGTGTGGCCTTCGGACACATGCTTCTGTTCCCAAATAAATCTCAATGGACCACACTTGATTTACTGATTTACCAATCAATTACGTACATATTCTCCCTTTCATTCATATTCCAAAAATAATTAAACTCGCATATATTAATATATTCTTAAGAAAATGTTTAGATAATCTCAAGTTTTTCAAACACTTAAGAAATTAATCAAAATGCAGACAAATGCCTAAGTCATACATTTAAAGAGTTGCTGTATAATGAACTCATGTTAAGCCCTTAAGTCGTCTAAATTGACATTTAGACGGGATATTGTGTTGTTTTACATAATAACATGTGTTACGTTAGTTTTGATGAGCATAAATGGTTCTAGCTCTTATATTAGTAACCCAAAAGAAAGAATTAGCAATAAACCGTAAATCCTAATTTTCATTTTCCTTTTATTGTACAGTAAATCTGTACAGTAAAGCCGTGAGAACATGAAACCGATAAATACACCTTTTTACATTATGCCTGATGAGGCCCCACTTCCCCACAATGTCTCTCAAATTTCAATCCTCCTTCTCTATTCGGCTAAGATTCACTGACGTGTCATATTCCTATTCGTTACTCTTAGATCTCCCTGGACCCACTGGCGCGTCCGCCACAATCGCCACTTTTAGACCATGAAGAGTCAAGAGAGGAAGAAAGCTTACTCCATTATTATTATTCCTCTTTCTCTAATAAATAAATTAAAAATAGAGAGAGAGAGAGAGTGATGTCGTCGAGACTATGCGATTCCTGCAAATCGGCGGCGGCGACTCTGTTCTGCCGCGCCGACGCGGCGTTTCTCTGCGGAGAATGCGACGGAAAGATCCACACTGCGAACAAGCTCGCTTCGCGTCACGAGCGAGTCTGGCTATGCGAGGTCTGCGAGCAAGCTCCGGCGCACGTCACGTGCAAAGCCGACGCCGCAGCGCTCTGCGTCACGTGCGATCGTGACATCCACTCCGCCAATCCACTCTCCCGCCGCCACGAGCGCGTCCCCGTCACTCCTTTCTACGACGCTCCGGGATCGGCCAGATCCGCCTCGTCGGTCAATTTCCTCGACGAAGATGCTGACGTCAGCATGGAAGCTGCGTCTTGGCTCTTACCGAATCCGAGTATCAAGGAAGGAGGAGGAGGAGGAGTAGAGATCCGTAATTTGTTCTCGGATCTGGATTACTCGGCGGTGGATCCGAAAATGGAGGCGTCGGAGAATAGCTCCGGCAACGACGGAGTCGTTCCTGTGCAGATGAAGAGCTCTCAAGTGATGTTTCTTAACGACGACTACTTCAATTTCGATATCTCCGCTTCCAAAACTCCACACGGTTTCAACTTCATCAGTCATACTGTACTCTCTCTCTCTCTCTCTCTCTCTCTCTCTCTCTCTCTCTCTCTATCAATCTGCAATTTCCTTTTTCGCTGCCATGAAATTAGTCAGATCTATACGGTTTTTATTAGCAAGTCGACGATTTGCTCTGATTTCTGCTTTAGTTTCGATAACCATTTGTCCTCTGGATCTGGAAAAATTGATCTGATCCGAGTTTGTGAAATGTTAGGTTCCGTCAACATCACTAGATGTACCGTTGGTGCCTGAAGGCGGAGTGACGACGGAGCTAACAAACACGACGACGACGGCAACACCAGCGATACAACTATCTCCGGCGGAAAGGGAGGCTCGGGTTTTGAGGTACAGAGAGAAGAGGAAGAATCGGAAATTCGAGAAGACGATTCGGTACGCATCGCGTAAAGCATACGCCGAGATGAGGCCGAGGATCAAAGGACGTTTTGCTAAGAGAACTGATTCGAGAAGCAACGACGGAGGAGATGTCGAAGTTTACGGCGGATTCGGCGTCGTCCCGAGTTTTTGAAAGAAAACAAAAATATATAGCAGTAACGCTTAGTAGAAAGATTACGGATAATTAAAATGAATCCTCGATATATTAAACAAAGGGTTATTAAAGTTACTTATTCTTGCCCTTTTTTATAAATTTAATTTGTCCCTCTGGAAATTTTATTAAGCAGAATGTAACTAATTTCCCAAAAATATTTCGGAACAGTTTGATGTCGGAACGGGCCGATCTAAAGCCCAACTTGATATCAGAATGGCCCCATAGAAAACCCACCTTATGTTCGTAATGGGCCGATAATAAGCCCAGTTTATGTCTCAATGTTTTATGTCGGAACAAGCAGCTTAAGAGTTCTGTCGGAACAGTTTGTTTCAACGTTTTATGTCAAAACAAGCAGCTTAAGAATTCTGTCGGAACAGTTTGTCTCAACGTTTTATGTCGGAACAAGCAGCTTAAGAGTTCAAAGCAGCTTAAGAATTCTGTCGGAACAGTTTGTCTCAACGTTTTATGTCGGAACAAGCAGCTTAAGAGTTCTGTCGGAACCTTTCTTGTCTGAACATTTTATGTCGGTATATATTTTGCCCGAACAGTTTGATGTCAGAACGGGCCGATGTAAAGCCCAACTTGATATCAGTATAGGCCCATAGAAAGCCCAATTGGTTTTGAAATGGGCCAATAAAAGCCCAATTTATGTTGGTACATGTAGCTTTAAAGTTAAGTTTATGTCTGATTAATTGATGTCGGAACAAGCAGCTAATGTCGGAAAATTGGAACTTTCCTTGTCCGAATAGGTAGCCTAAAAGTTATGTCGGAACCTTTGTTGTCGGAATTTGCATAAGAGTTCTGTCGGAACAGTTTATGTCGGAACTTGTTTTCGGAATAGTTTATGTCGGAACTTGTTTTGTCGGAATTTGCATAAGAGTTCTGTCGGAATAGTTTATGTCGGAATAGTTTATGTCGGAAACTGTGTTGACGGAACATTCTATGTCGGCAGAATAATGTGTCCTAACGAATTGATGTCTGAACGAGCCGATCTAAAGCCCAACAAGATATCAGAATTGGCCCATAAAAGCCCAACATATTTTCGAAATGGGCCGATAAAAACCCCAATTGTTTTGGAACAGACAGCTTAAAAGTTCAGCTTATGTCGGAACTTTTGTTGTCAGAACATTTATGTCTACCGCTAAGATTATGTCGGCATAAAATGTGTCGTAACGTTTCAATTTATGTCGGAACATATTATGTCTTATCATTTTATGTCGGAATATTTTGTTGTCCGATTATGTCGGAACGAGCCGATCAAAAGCCCAACAAGAAATGTGAATAAACCGAATGTAACTAATATATGTTCTACCGAGATCAGTATATGAAGTTAAGCAAAACAACTATGAGCCTACGAATAGAAGAAAAAAATGAATGCTTGTAACAAACATACGAGCTTATAAAACGTAAAGCTTTCGGATTCTCAAGTTTGGTTTCATAGAAAGTTATTGAGATTACGTACGGATACAAATCATAGAGAAATGTCAAAGATTACACTGGCAGAGGATGAAATAGGTGTTTCTAGGCTAGAGTAAGTCGGGCATTTCCAACATTAAAAATGCAAAATTACGAAAAGTCGATAAAAAACTTAATATCCAAGGAATCAAAATTGAACAAATTCTCGTCAAATCTTAAAGAACACGAGACAAAAAGAGAAAAACAAGATGAAACACTTGAAGTCTAACAGATCCAAATGGACAACACTAAGAAACTGAAGTGAGAAAAAGCTTAAGATTCTTGAACGATTTCTTCAGTGACATCAATAACATCCTCACACTCGACATCATCTTCATACTGCTCTTCTTCCACATCACTGATTTCGCCACCCAGAAGGTCTTGCCTCGCGAGTTTCTCCTCTTCGTACAGAGACTTCCACTGCATGACCCATTTATGCCAGTCTTCCTTCAACGCCTTCCTCTTCTCTCTGTCTTGTTCAGACAAGAGCAGAGAAACGTCCTGATCCTCTTCCTCGAACCTCTTTTTGTACTTATTCAAGTCCTTCAATATCTCTTGTTCTTGCTCTGCGGTCAAGAAGGATGGCGGTCTTGGACGCCATGCTAACTGTAACCATAAAAAAATTACAAAGCATTTCATTTACATATCTGCGTTTAATAAAATTGCTATGAATAAAGACCATATCTTTGTTACATACCTGGAAGAAATGATCCTTTAGTATACGGTAGAGCATAGTACCGTTGAAAGACCATATTGTGAATCCATTCTCCATCTCGTGGACTGATGTAACCGCGGTTGCAACGTACCTACGAAAGTAAAAGAGGAAACAAATGCAAACAACATCAATTTTTCTGCAATCGGAATGAAGAGAAACTGAATAAAGTTTAATGAGACAGCAGTACCTTCCAGTGGGGTCCCATTCGATATCAGTGGCCATGAAGTGTTCAGCTGTGGCCATTGTCTCGAGCTCGTCCACGTTGAAGAATTCGAGCTGGCCGTTGAAACCCTTGAGACCAGCAAGAATGATGTACTTTCCTGTGGGAGACCAGAAGAGGGCATTGGCTTGTTTGGCCTTCAAAGTAGTGAGCTTCGAAACCCTTCCAGTGTTTTGTGCAGTCTTCATTGAGTAGAAGCTGACATCTGGTCTCGGTTGGTCACCGTGAATGACAGCAAATCTGTGACCCTTGGGCTCCCAAGCAAAAGCAATGATCTTGTCGTTCTTGTTATCCAGCTCAAGAACCTCGATAGGGATATCTCTTTCTTTGATGCGGAAAAGCTCAAATCCAGAGTATGTGCTCTTCTTTGTCTTCGTGTACCGGTCAACCTTGACAGCCAGATACTCTCCACTACTCTGCCAGTACATCTTGCAGTCGCTGACACTGAAGAGATTCTTCTGCCTCAACTCCACCTTGCTAGGGATTTGGACAAGAGCAACCTGAAGAAACGGATATCAACATGTAAATACAAAACAACTGGCAGAGAAACTAAAGGGAATTGTGGATTTTCATTGGCATAAGAAAGATACCTTGGCAGGCTGGTTTCCACCGCCTTGTTCAGGAACAAACAGTGAGAGGATGGAATCAGTAGGAGACCAGCAGATGTCCACAACATTATCGACCTTCATGGATTTCTTGTCTATTAGGCTGAAAGTCTCAGTCTCATAGACAGAGATGGTGTTCTTGCTGAGCTTGGCAAAGTATTTGTCATCTTTTCCACCAGCCCATCTGCAGAAAAAAATTTACAAGCAAACATCAACAAATGTGCATAACAGCGGTATAGAAGACACATTTCGATTCAATGTTTTAGAAAACTCAAATTTAGTTCAAGAAATTACCGGAAAACAGGCCAAGAGGCACCAGCAACACCACCAGGTCCTCCAATTGAAAACTCATCAGCACTACCCTTGAAATCTCTCATCATCCTTCCGGTTCTCACATCAAACACCTTAATCTCAACTTTCTGAAAATTGGACAGAAATCAGAATCTTTGGCATAAAATGACATAAAATAAAGTTAGATAAAACAGAATCAAAGTTTCACTCACACTAGCATCACGCGGGTTGCTTGGCTCTTGGCTATGGTAAGTTACCAGGTACTTCTCACCCGGGGAGAAATCAACTAGTTTCACCTGCGATATCAACAAAAGAAAGTCAAACTTTAGGCCAACAGAGAAATAAACTAGTAGCCACTACACAGCAATCGAAAGGAAAGTCGAACCATATTATGCTGGTAACGCATGAGCCGGGTAAAGGTATCAGCACCACCCCAAACAGCTGCCCCTTGCTTGTGAAGTGTCACAAGGTAAGTACCTAGGGGAGACCAGTGCACATAGCTTTCCGTCCAGTACTGCATAGGAAGATCACATCATTAACTCAGAATCGGATGATGGTAACTTTGATCTAAACAGTCAAGCAACAAATACGGGACAAACACAGATGATGTAAGTAGCTTACCGAACGCTTATGAACAGGCTCAGGCGTCTTCTGCCTAGCATCATTCCATAAAACTTCAGTATCTGGGCCAGACCGGATGACTAACTGATCCCGAGCTTTTTCATCAGTAAGCCACTGTTGCAAATTTTCCTGAAAAAACGAGAACACGAGTTGTGCAATCAAAATTTATTGGTAAGTATCAATCAAATGCGTCAACAAATCCTATCCCTAATGCGGCTGACAATCACGTGAATTCACTGAATCAACAATAGAAGAGCCAAAAAAAAGAACTGAATGCACAGACACAGCGAAGGTTTGGACAAGACAAATTTACAAGGTCTATGCCAATTTGAAAACATTGCCATCATTAGCGTGATGAAAACTACACATACCCCAGGAGTATACGGCTTAGTCTGAGGAGCCTCCCACTCCTCCTTCACATTCATCAATCTATCAAAATCATCGAACATGTTCACAGCAAAGATATGAGCCTTGTCCAGCTTGTAGCCATGAGTCTTCTCCTTAGCGTTTTGTGCTTCCTGAAATGATATTAAGACGAACTCTCAGCATAACAAAAAACTTGATCAAATCCCAAACTTTCACTTGACAACATCATAAACAGAGACAAAGAAGATGGTTATGTAACCTGAGGAGTATTAAACTCAATGAAACAGTAGCCCAGAGTCGAATTGGTATCGGGATCAACGGGCATCCACAGTCCTTTCTCCTTGATCACACCTAACTGGTTGTAAATCTTCTTCACGACGCCTTCCAGCTTCTCAAACTTCGACTTGGGAACAACAGGGAGGTTATCAACCACGATAATGTTGCCGAATCCGGTGTCGAATTCAAGCTGGTCGTCGTGGTAAACAGCTTCATCATCACTACAAACCACCACAGCAAAAACCGAATCAGGTTCGTTGTTCATACTGAATCAAACGTTGCCGAGATAAGGAAATTCACAGATCTGATTGAAGAACAAAAAAAACTAACCTCTCAATTCCAAAATCGTTTCCAGGAGGAAGTTGAACTGAATCGAGACTGACCTGAGACCAATCGATCCCTAATAGCGCCGCACGGACATCAATGTCTACGTCCGCCATGATTTTTGAAATCTCAGATCGAATGTTCTCTCTCTCTCTTTGTAGATAAGACGGCGAAAGATTATTGACGAGGATGAAGCTTACTGTTAGACCTGAAGAGTGTGCCTAGGGTTTTTAGTTTGTGCAGTTACTGGTAAGGCGATGAACAAAAGTTACAGAACCTTTATACCTTGACGGATCATGTAAATTAATTAACCTACATATTCTAAAGCCCATTAACGTAACGGGCCGATCTTGTGTGAATTTATCTGAAAAACGACTTCAAAATATACCGTTTAACTGGTGTGCAACAGAAATGTACCGAAAATTATGGAAAATAAAAAAACCAAGATTTGGCTACAAAACCAAACCAGATTTTTTTTTCGGTTTCAACTAAACTTTGCGATTAGTGGCTGAAACATCTTCTCAACTAGGTTTTTGACCCGCGCTGGTCTAATAATTTTTTAAACTATTAATTTTTTTTTTACTAACACTTCACAATTTTTTAATTTTTGCTCTGTCTTTTTTATAAACTTTTCTTTGTAATATACTTTTTAATTATTTTTTACTTAACCAATTTAATAATTTTATAATTAGTCTAATACATATTTTAGTTGTTAATTTCCTTTTTAATTTTATTTATTAGTTTAGCTTTTTCAGCTCTGAGTTTATGATTTATACTTAATTTTTTTTTTGTTGGTTAATTATTTTGCATTCAATTCCATTTAATAAATTCATCTCTTTATTTTTAAATAACTGTTTTGATAGTTAAAAAATCTCATATATTCCAAACTTTTCTTTTTCATATCCTGTTTAATTAACAACCGCGTTTCCGATTCCCGGTTCCATTGTTTTGGTTTGTTACAGTTCAGTTTTGCTATCACATTGAAATTAGAAATGATTCGTTGTCTTTCTTCTTTGACCGACAACAAAATCGAACAATGTTTCTACCTTATTCCCACCGGAACATTGTTAATCTCATCATCGAGATCCCTCTTCTTTGTTTCTCATCTTGGATATTTGCCTTAATTCCTCTGAGCGATTGAGACCTGTCAAAACTAATTAGATCAATTGATTGACGGAACAGTTTCTGCTTTAATCCCTCTTCCGAGACTTTATTTCTCTGTTTCTTCTACTGATTCTCTCAAGCTAATCACTTCGTGAAAGGTTTGAATTTTCCTTATTTTGAAGCCAGTTTTGTTGATGTTGAGATTATGTGTTTAGCGTTTAGTCTATTTTTCCGATCCAAATTTGTGATAAATCTATTACTTTAGGTGATGCCAACTGCTCCGCCAAGTTTTAGAGACTCAGAGATGTCTAGTTTTTCAAAATTGCCGCCTTTTGATGAACGTTTTGGGGTAAAGCTAAGGACTTTGCCTCTATCATGAGCGAGTTTTCTTTTATCAATTTCCGAGTACTTGTCGAGTTACTTGTTTCTCACCCAAGTGAAGGTTTATTATCTAATTTATGATTTTGTTCTTTTCTTTTTTGTGTTGACTAAGTATTTGCGAGTTCTTTAGTTGTCTAAAGTTCTTTTTTTATATATATTTGGTAGATTAAATTGCCTCTTTATCTTTAAAAAGTCCCTCAAATCACCAAAGTTCCATGCTTTTTAAAAGATGGTGATGTCTACTTGCAATTCATAATTGATGTGTTTAGCATTGATGATACCTTGGAAGCTAATAATTGGTGATTAATGTTTGTGTCGTTACCTTTTGATCAATTAGAAGCAGTTCATATCCTATAGGCAGACCTCCGTTTTTAGGGTTTCTTGCCTCCCAGAAGTGGATGACTCTAGCAAGCAGCTCTTTCTTAGTAAATCCTCTAGTGAGTTTAGCGAAAACAAAAGGAGACCGTAACTGATCAGAAACAGAAAAGCTGGAAGAAGACATACTTATTTTAATAAATGCTCTCTCTCTAAGAATATGGTTGTCTTTAGAACTCGTGTATGTGTATTCTAAAGTTTAGAGGACTATTTATAGCCAATGCCAAACATTAAAATAGCTAAATTGTTAATTTCTTAATTTAGTTAGTTTACCTTTTTCAACATTGAGTTTCCAGTTTATTCATAATTTCTTTTTTTCTTTTTTTGTTCTTTTTGTTAGTTTAACTTTTTTTATGTTGAATTTTCATAAACTATTAAAAATAATGGATTAAGGTAATTTATGCCATAATTAAGTATTAAAATTTACAATAGTACAATTTCCATTCTTTAATACGATATGTACGATAATGTAATTTTTCTTAAAAACTTATTTAATTTTCGATTTTAAAATTAAAATGCTGATTTGACAAAATTTAATTGGTTTCTTAAAAGCTGATGTGGACGCTTTAGAGGCTTATAGCCTCAACTTTTATATAGTATAGATTTTTGGTTTGTTCGATAATATTTTCTCCAAACCGAACAAATTCGTAAAAATTTGTATTTATCGACATTACAGCTGAAAATAAAATAAATCCAATTTTGCCACATCCATTTGAAATTGGTCTAAATCTTCCCGGTTTAATAAATTAAGTAACAGCAGAACAAGAACGTCTAATCTCACCATCTTCACCAACTCTCACACCCATCACACTCATCTTCACAAAAGACTCACTCCATCTCTCGAAAAAACTCTCCCCATCGCTCGCCAAAACCTCGACGATCTTCCTCGTCCGATCATCTTCCATTAGAGCCGAATCCGTCTGAAACAGACCCTTATGCGCCAGCAAGTTCCTATAGTACTGATTGTCAAACGTCGATGACGTCTCTGGATCGTTGTTCACTACCGTAGTCGTAGGATCCATCGACGACGAACACTTGTTTAAAAGCGTTTGCGCGTAGGAGTTGTCAAGAGACGAGTCTATAAGCTCGAGATTGCCTCTAGGATCTCTCTTAAACCTGCTGTTGAATGTGTTGCAATGCGCAGCTCCAATAGTGTGCGCTCCTGAGACCGTAACATAATATATATAAAAAATTGAAAGTCTTGTTTATAAAAATGAACAACATCAAGAAAACAAACATACCTGAGAGAACAACAAGATCTTGAACAGATAAGCCTTTAGAGGTGAATACATTGATCATTTTATCAACTGTGAAATCGGTATCGATGATGTTTGGTCTCACATTTGCCGCAACTGAGATTGTCCCGTCTCTTCTCCCTGTCGGTATCGCGACGACCGGTCCACCGAGCTGTCCGAACCAATAGCATTCACAACAAACAAGAAACAGAGTTTTTAATACAAAAGACTGATTTTTCAACATATACTCAAGAAACATAGTTTTGAGTTTTCAAGTTTCAACAAAATAGTACAATGCACTATACTTATATGCATGTTGAATTTGATGAAAATCTTACAGCTTCAACGGCGTCTCTAGCAGCAAGAACAAGAATATCAGCGCATGAGACTATCCCCGGACAGAAGATTTCAAGGACGTTTTTAGCGCTTTCTATCACGGTGAAGCCTCCAAGAGACGCGTTCCCGGGGTCGCTTCTCTCTGTACCGTTCCCTCGAATCAACACTGACGCATCGCAGCCCTGAGACATGGTAATGACGATAAGAAAATCATGTTTTTGCAAGATGGAGAAGCAATGCAATGTAATGTACCTGGACGAAACAGTCATGGAAGATGAGACGGAGGAGCTTGCCAAGGACTGATGGATCAGTGGTTGAAGCAGATCGGACGGTGTTCCTGACGATGAACTCAGCTCCGGGACATGAACCGGCGTAGAAGTTGAAAGAGAGGTCAGCTACTGAGGAAGAAATTAGCAGAAGCAGAGGAAGAAAGGTGAGAAATGTTGATTTTTGTTTGCAAGAAGAATAGGGAAACGCCATTTTTTTTGAATTTGTCTCTCTGAAGAAGGAAAGTGAAAAGAATGCTCACATTTAACCCCCAAAAGAGAAGTGAAGAGAATGCTGGTTGATTAATCTGCCTAGAGAGGAAAAAAAAAGAGAGAGAGAAGAGGTAGTTGTTGTGATAAATGATAACTGTAAATTGCATTTGGTGTTGTGTTTGTGTCAGAGAGAGAGAGAGAAAGATAGAGTGATATGGTTGAGTCAGGAGAATTTAATGACATTTCTTACTTCTCTTATGCATCCATTTACAGAGAGGGTCATCATCCATACCCATCCATCTGCAGAAAAAAACAAGATTTTAGTTTCTGGTGTTAATGTCATATCTATAGTTTTGTCGGAAAGTGCATTGCCAGAGAATTTTCAGGAAGAAAATACACTAAACTTTTCCAATATTTTGACACCTTTTTCGTACAAATTTCAGATTTGTTTCTGTCACTCATGCTGATGATCATTTAAAGTAATCTTGTTTTTGCTTGTTATAGTATATTGCTACTTTTGCATACAACAATCTGTAAATAGCAAAAACTGTAGAAAATGATCAAGTTATGTGCTTGAGAAACTCTTTTATTTGTTCATAATATAATTAGAGCCACTGGAGAGAAAAAGTTCCAGACTTGTTTATTAACATACAAGCTGAAGTAAACTTACAGAATTACCTATTCTTTGTTAAGCATTCATCGACCGAGACAAAATCTGAGAGGATTTTCGCTTTCATGTCTTGGGAAACCTGCAGAGTAAGAACAAAATTGTGTGACAATGATAAAAACGTTTGTACTTTGTTACATTAAATAAGTAGATGAAGTTGATAAAGAACATGATAGATACTTCTAGGACCAAAAAATAACCACAAATCAACTCTATCTGGTATAACTCATGGACAAAGAAATGGTAATGACTAATGGAAATGATATGAAAATTGTGTGACATGATAAAAATTATTTTTTGTTTATTACAAAACTAAGAAAAATACTATTTTTTTGTTCATTACTCAACTAAGAAAAAATCTTCTCAGGAAAAAAATGCTAAAAATGACATCACCATTATGGTCTAATTTTTTCTATGTGGTGGAACGAGGTCCAACAAATGAACAAGTAACCTATGAATATGATCTACTATTTATCAAAGCACATATACATACACACACATAACATTGGATCCGCCATGGCTGTTCCTTTTCTGAGCTCTTCTCTTCAACTCACACCCACTTCTCCGATTCTCTTCACAAAGATAGCATCACCCATAAACCAAATCCAATTCAACCAAAGAACATGCACACCAGCCAAACCTCGTCTGCGTCTCCTCCGTCGTTCTGCCGCCGCCGCTGGTACAGCCGTAACGGCAGATCAGACGGAAGGAGGAGAGGTTCTGCTAAACGTCAAGCCTGAAGATGAGAACCATGAGGAGATGGCGGATTACGATTGGACGGAGGAGTGGTACCCATTGTACCTCACCAGAGACGTCCCTGACGACGCGCCGCTTGGTCTAACCGTGTACGATCGCCAAATTGTTTTGTATAAAGACGGCGAAGGAACGCTTCGCTGTTACGAAGATCGGTGTCCCCATCGGTAAGAAATTTGCCGGAAAACCATAACCACTCGTTTTCTTCCACAACTGTTGATTATTAAATTGATTGTTTAGAAACGGCTGAATAGGTTTCGGGTATTCGGTTTAGTTTTAAAATCTTCGGTTCTTCTAATATAGCCGGTTCGGTTTTCAAACTTGTTTACTTTGTGCGAGTTTTGTCTTTTCAGGTTAGCCAAGTTGTCTGAAGGACAGTTGATTGATGGGAGGTTGGAATGTTTGTACCATGGTTGGCAGTTTGAAGGAGATGGCAAATGCGTCAAGATTCCTCAGGTTTTGTTCACTGTTTTTTGCTAAAAGTCGAACCAATCTTTTACAAGATTCTTATTCACTTGGTGTTTGTTTTAACAGCTTCCTGCGAGTGCCAAGATTCCGAAGCAAGCTTGTGTAAAGACCTACGAGGTGAAGGATTCACAGGGAGTTGTATGGGTATGGATGTCAACAAAGAAACCTCCAAACCCGGAAAAGCTTCCTTGGTTCGAGAATTTCGCTAGACCGGGTTTCTACGACATTTCCGGTACTCACGAGCTACCATACGACCACTCCATCCTCCTAGAGAATCTCATGGATCCGGCTCATGTCCCCATCTCTCATGACAGAACCGACTTCACTGCTAAAAGAGAAGATGCTCAGCCGCTGGTCTTCGAGGTCACTGAGCGAACCAACCGTGGGTTTGCAGGGACTTGGGGACGAGAAAAAGACGGGAAAGGGAGTAATTTACTCCGGTTCGATGCTCCGTGTGTTCTGCAGAACAACCGAGAGTTTGAAGGAAAAGACGGTGTGAAGAACTACTTCTCAGGGCTGTTTCTCTGTAGACCTACAGGACAAGGGAAGTCTATGCTTATCGTTAGGTTCGGGGTCACGAAAAGATCGCCTTTGGTTCAGGTGTTGCCTCTATGGTTCTGGCATCAGAATGCCTGCAAGGTCTTTGAGCAAGACATGGGGTTTCTATCGTCTCAAAACGAGGTTTTGATGAAGGAGAAAGTACCAACTAAGGAGCTATATCTAAACTTAAAGTCATCAGACACATGGGTTGCTGAATATAGAAAGTGGATGGACAAAGTTGGTCATGGCATGCCTTACCATTTCGGGCACAGGACGATCTCTCTCCCTAAGGTCCCTCCTGTGGTGGAACACGCTCCTGCTGGACTCATTGCAGGTCTCTCGGCTTCTTACCCTGCGAAAGGTGGGATTGGGACTATGCACGCTCCAAATTTGGCGAACAGGTACTTCAGACATGTGATCCATTGTAGAAGCTGCAGCAAAGTGATCAAATCTTTTGAGCTATGGAAAAACATCCTCGCTGGCACGGCTGTGGCCTTAACGGCTTTAGCCATTCTTGTGGTTAGTAGACAGTGGAAGGCGGTGCTGTTAGCTTCAGCGGCGTTGTGCTCGGCAGCTGCTTATGCCTGCGTAGCAGCTATAAAACTGAACACCAATAACTTCATTAGAACACACAGAAGACTATGAAAATGTATCTTTGGTAGTGTTCTCTTCTTCTTCTTCATACCATATGTATTTCATGAAATACAATTTTGCTTGTAAACGCAATTAAAATCCAGTGTTTGCCCATAAAAGCTCTGTTAAAGAATGATTTAAGGCTCCATGTGCTAAAACTTGAGCCATTTCTTCATTTTCTCTTTGCTTTCTACAGCATTGGAGGCAGATGACTGAGCTGCTAATGTACAAGCCAATGCCTTTCGTACTTCGTTCAGTCTTTTCGTCGCAGCCTCGGAGACGATTTTATCTTTCTTGTTTCTGTTCACCATCTCTTCTAGCTTCATCGCTTGTGACTTCAATTCCTTCACTTCGTCTTCGTAAGCAACCAGAGACTTTCTGTCTACTGGACCTATGTTTAGCTTCTTCTTTCCAGACTCTCTGCCGTTTCCTTTCTCATGTTGCTTAGGAAAGATTTGGTTGTTGATTAGGCTAAACAAATCTGGCTTCGATTCCTCTTCTTGCTTTGCTGCTCTAGCTGCTTCTGCAAACTTCTTCCCACGCTTCCTCTTCCCACCTCTGCTCCTTTTCTTCTTTGGTTTCTCGCTTTTATCTTCTCCGTTCTTGATAAGCTCAAGAGCGTGGTCCAGTGACCGCTTCGGTGGAAGTACTTTCACTAAGATGGGGTTTAATATCCCTTGGCCAGAGACGCCAAGTCCCATCCCTTCACGGTAACCCATACTCGCCATCATCTTAGACGCTATTCCTCTGGTGTGATTCTCCCACTTAGCAAATATGGCGGTTTCAGTCTGGACACCTCTCCGTTGGTTTGCGCTTTCTAAAACACCTATGCCTTGTGGAAGCTCTTCATCATAATCACTTGAAACAGATTCTTCAGAACCGGAAGCACTCTCTTCTTCATCTTCATCCTCTTCTTCTCCGTCATCATCAGTCATCTGAGCGTACTCTGATAATACCATAGCATCAGATCCTAGCTTCGCAGAGCTTCCATCATCTCTGAAAACAACTCTGCCTACTTGTAGCTCATCATCCCATGATTCAAGCTCAGCTTTTCTCCATATGTCGTATTTACTGCCAGAAACTGCCCAAATCTTGGATCCTACCATTGATTGATTCCACTCAGTCTCGTCATAGCTCTTCAAAGACGATAACGGCACATCTAGTCCTGCATTGTTGGCTTACAGTTAACTAAGAGAGCAAGAGAAAACTATTCCAGTACCAGATGTGGTGATAGTAAGAACAGATTCTGCATAAACGCTAAACGGTGAATACTATGATCATCTAGTTATGCTTGAAACGTACCATGCGATAAACGACAGGAGCTGCCAAATCGACACCTCTGCTGCATGAAGAACTTGCACATCTGCACTAGTGAGGTACACCGTTAGTATGTGACACACACAACATCAATCGCAACAATGCCAATAGTAACTGTGTCAAATTAAGCCTATGTAGCAAAACGTAATCCAGCTACATAAACAAGAAAATCTAAAGGCTTTTCGAAACCCGGTTCACGACCTGAAACTTGAGCAAAGGACTACCAAAATCTCACCATCATATTCTCAGAAGTAGGTGAAAGGAAAGTGATCTTTGCAGAATCAGAGCCTTCGACCCCAATAACGCGACCATTATACCGACGACCATCAGTATGTCGAAATCTGCATCTCGATCCATCCAAATCCTTGTTCTCTTCACTCTTTTCTAGCTCAAATTCATTTGCAAGAGGATCTTGATGCTCAGATTCGACTCCAGCAGCATGACTCAAACCATTAAGCACTATATCAGCTTCTTGCAATAACCGAGCGCGTTTTAAGTGCATAAGACCTTCCTCTGCTTCCTTGATTGCTCCGGAAAGTTCTTCATGGAGCTTTTGAGAGACAAAATCACCACAACTCGTGAGATTAAGTATAAGAAATAATGTAACCTATTATCAATAAAGAGCATCAATGCCTTCGACCATTCACTACTCTACAAGAGCTTAGAGATAATCTATACAATACTCAGCTTTATTATGACGAACAGAGGAGATATTGTTCACTAATTATCGATTATCAACACAAAAACGAAACAGCATTCGACTAATTGATAAATTAAGGCATAGTTGAATCAGTTGATAGAGCGAACAATCACTAATTGTTGAATTTTTGGGCTAAGAATCGTAGCAGATTAGTTATCCGGGGAACTTGGGATCTGATTCGGAGAAGAAATTTTACCGAAAGGAGCTCGGGATCAGATGGGTCAGAGGCTAGAGCTTCGTCAATGGCGGAAAGAGATTCTCTCTGTTCTTTTAGCTGAATGTCGAGTAGATTTTCCAGGGCTTTGTCTTCTTCGCTCGCCATGACGACTCTCGAGTCTCCTGCGAAGGAGGAGAAGGCGAGAGAGGAAGAAGACGAAGAAGAAAATCTCTTGGGTCGTGCCGACCCGGAAACGTAACCGGGCTTGACTACTTATATTTCTCTTTCGTTTTTATTTTAAACCTTTCTTTTATTATTTGCATTTCCGGTTTACGGTTTAGTCCTTTTTTTTAGAAAGTACGGTTTAGCTTCAGTCTCCCTTCAATTCCTAGTAAAGTGATAACATTAGAATCTTGATATTTTATTACTTTAACGAGATTATTAATTTATCGAGAGATAATTAGACCAAAAACTTAATTCGAGACTCAAAAATTCTATTCATTTATTGAGATATTACTTTATCGAGTATTACTTTATAGAGGTTTTACTGTAGTAAGTGATACACTTTTATTTATTTTCATGAGCTACTTATTTTTCTGAAACATGGGATCAAAGTGATTTTTCTTGTTTTTCCTAATAAATGGACGACATTACACCATTGAGATACTTCAAAAAAAGAGATACTTCAAATAAACTAGCGTTACATATTTACTAAGGTCTTTAGACGAAATTTATTTGATATATTTCTTTGCAATTTGGTGTCCACAAACCACAATCTTCACGTTCCAACTTAGGAAAAAAATTACAATACTATCTATGTAAACGTATGTTATTATACTAAGTACTAACTATATATATTGGTCATTTATATTAACTCTTTGTTTTTTTCAGATTAAACATTTTTTAAAATAAATAAAGGATTTTGAGCTTAACCAATACAGAAACTTCAGATAATTATTGGAGTGAAAGAAAACACTTGGCAGAACCTTTGTTCTTTCTAAGGAATGACGGTATAAGAGGTGAGTAAGAATGACATATATGATTTGTATTGATGATAGAAATATAGTTTCTAATTCATATAACTTTGATTAGTATACTTTTTTATCATATCAATATATGTGTAGTACATTAATTCGCATGTGTACATATGATCAGAAAGAAAATGAATATTGATAGCATCAGACAGTACCTTTTTTTCTTGCTCAAGATACTAGACAGTACTTTGATTTACAGCCTACAATATTAACGTGTGTATATAGACGTTTTGATTTGCAACCATTTTATAACATAAGAATCAGCGATTAGGAAAATCATGCATTTACAAATAAGACAATAATACAAAGAAGAGTAAAAAATCATTGCATTATCAAACTAAGATTTTATAACTTACACAAATCTTGGAATTTTATTATCTATCCGCAAAATTAAGAACAAACTCAGTAATTACAAAGTTGCTGTTACAAAGAAAAAAAGTAAATTACCAACTATGCAAGTCGATCTCATAATAATGTCACACCATACTCAAGGATGTATATATAAACAAACAAACAATCTCTTCACCAAATATCCCAACAAAGAAAAACAACTAGAAACCCAACATAATAAAAAAAACTATGATCATGTCCTCGACGAAGAAGAAAGAAAGCATCGGACGACAAAAAATTCCAATGGTTAAGATAAAGAAAGAGAGCCACCGACAAGTAACGTTCTCTAAACGTAGAGCCGGTCTCTTCAAGAAAGCTAGTGAGCTTTGCACGCTGTGTGGTGCAGAAGTTGGGATCATCGTGTTCTCTCCAGCCAAAAAGCCTTTCTCTTTCGGCCATCCGAGCGTGGAATCAGTATTGGATCGTTACTTGTCCCGAAACAATCTGTCCTTAGCGCAGTCACAGCAACTTCAGGGAAACAACCCTGGATCAAGCTGCGAGCTGAATATACGGTTGACGCAGACCTTGAGCGAGTTAGAGGAAGAGAAGAAGAAGGGTCAAGCGATGGAAGAGATGAGAAAAGCAAATGAGAGCCGGTCATTGATCAACTGGTGGGAAAGGCCAGTGGAGGAGATGAATTTGACTCAGTTACAAGAAATGAAATCTGCTTTGGAGGAGTTGAGGAAGACGGTTGTGTCAGAGGCAAATACTGCACCGTTTACTGATGTGAAAGAGGATGTGTTTGGTTTCTTGGACAACAAAGTGACGACGGCTCCTTCTTACATGAACATGTCTTCTGGTCTCTCTAATCCTTACAACTATGGAAATGGTTGTTTCTGATTCACATATGTTTTATTATTTGGTAGTAGTAGAGGAAAAATGAATCAAAGAATTTATAAGCTAGTATTCTGCTAGCTGTTTTCAGATTATTTTTGTTTCTTTGACAACATAAAGAAAATTCTTATTTATGACTTGATTAATATTATCCGGTTGAACTACTTTAATAATAGATTATAAGCTAACCGGATATATAGCTTAAAAGTGTGAAAGTAAACGGATCAAATTTCCACCGCATCGCAATGGTTTAAGCCTTTAAGGTGTGTTACCACAAATTCAGAACAAAATCTTCTTAACTTAAATGTTATATTGACTATTGAGAAGTCCCAGCTTATATTTCCAATATGAAAATGTTTCTGTTGTCCTTAACATATTGATTATTGAGACACACCGTAATGTTGTATCATCATATTTCCTTTGGAACATTGAATTATTGCTTCCTAGACTTCATTCTTCAATTTTGAGCTAGGCGCCATGTTTTGAGACGTTGTTGTCTACTTTGATGGCAAGAGAAGCTGCGGAGTGCGGGCCAAAAGTGTTGATACACCGATGATCAAGTTTCAGGAGATCCAACGACAATAGTAGTATATAAATACAAATAAAGCATTACGAAGTTTGAACGCTCGGATGATTGTGTTAACGAGTTCTTGAATTTTTAGATTATTCAGTACATATTTCACTTATCTTAAACTTTTATACCACTTGGATCTTAATCTAATGTACTATCATCTATCCTTTGCTCGAGAGAGATGGTGTATAACAACCAATAACACAGTGATTGTACATGATCGAACGTAACTGTTTGTAATGGTACATGAATTCTCATAAACTTAATGAAAAACGATCCATTCTTATCTCATGATTGACGATTAAAGCACACTCCCCTTCACTTTATATAGACACTAACTTATGATTGTTTTGTATACAAAACTGATGAATTAAAGACTAATTAATAGTGGAAAATTCATTAGTACAAGTTCAATATCCAAGGCCAGCTCCATGTTGATCATATGTTATACAATTATGCTCGGCTTAAATGCACATGATCATAAGAAATATTTGTGGCTAAATGATTGTTACACGAAGCTTAAAAAACAAAACAAAAAGCTTTATTCAGTTGGGAAACAAACGGAGCAAGACTGCCCAAAACAATCCTAATATATAAATTTTATAGTCTTTCATTAATTGTTGACAAAAAAAAAAAAGAGTTAAACTATAAAGAAATAAGATTCTCCACATGGCCACCATAGGGACTATATATATGCATAAGGATGCGACGAAGTTCATCCTCGGCGATATCTCCAGTTCTAACTCTTTTACTCACATTGTTCTTCTTTAAATCATAATAGTAAAGCTCCAAGGCGCCATCTATTAACTTCGATACAAAAATGATCTCACCCATGTTGGTGGCGCCGCAGATTATTAGATTGAGATTCCGGTATAAATCATAAAAAGAAGACGAAAAAACACCAGCCTTCGACCAAATCTGCTTCTTAGCATCATCAAGAATCCACAAACTAGAACCGTCATCATTGGATATGAAAATGCAGGCTAATTTTCCTTGGTAGTTTACCATACCAACTAAATTATTCTCTTCAGGTGCTTCCATGAGAAGTAACCGTTCAGAGGCAACATCAAAACTCACAATCACCAAGCTGTATGATCGTTTTTTCTGAGCTCCATAATACACAACTTCACTGATGCATAATGCATTAGTCTTGATAAAATAATCGGCGTTACCACTTTCGACGCGCCTCCAGGATGAAAAAGAAGATTGTTCACCTAGTCTCAACGTACACACACTATGTTCATGAGATTTATCTTGCGCCACCCACCTAATCGTTCGCATAATCTTGTACTGATCATTGCTTGTGTCGTATCCCAAGAACATAACACAAATGTTATGCATATGATCAAAACCGGTTAGGTCATTAGGTATGGTTATGACTTGTTTTGTTGTTGGATTACATATCAGAGAATGATTCCCGAGAGAAACGCAGAAGATGCCACGGACAGAATTGCAAAAACCATAGTGTTCGCTGAATGGCACATCGTATTTGGATACTACTGATAAATGGTTTGAATCTTGAGCATGAAGAGGCAATGAGATAAAAACCAATCGCTCAGCATAACCGCGATAAGTATCGTAGCCGAGGAGGAGGATACGTGGTCGAGACAGAGAGAGAGACATGAACGAGTCTATGAATGGTCGGCTTCGTATGATGGAACACCATTGCTTCGAGACACATCTGAATCTGAAAAGAGATTTTGCCGGCAGTTTCGTGAGTATCTCAATCACCATATCTAGAGGTACCGGTTCTCTGTTGTCATCTTCCCTCGGAGTTTTCATGGTGGCTACGAGGCAAACCCTAGAAAATCTTAAACTTAATTAGGTCTATTTATAAGGGTATGCCAATTGTTTTTCCTTTATTAAAAAAAAAGAATGTTTATATGTTATTTATTTATTCGAAATCGGCTTAATAAATTCATAACAGTTTAATAAGGGTTATTAAAAAAAAATAATATAAGAGTAAACTGATCATGTGTTATACAATTATACTCGGCTCAAAAGCACATGATCATAAAAATAACCCGTTTTGATTAGCAATTATTTTTGTAACTTATAGAATCAGTAGTGATTAGTAAAAATATGCATTTATACACAAGGCAATAATACAAAGAAATTATAGTACTAAGCTAAGATTTTTATAACTTACACAAATCTGGGAATTTTATTATCTATCCACAAAATTAAAAACAAAGTTGCTGTTACAAAAACAAAAGTAAATTACCAACTATGCAAGTCGATCTCATAATAATGTCACACCATACACAAGCATGTATATATAAACAAACAAACAATCTCTTCACCAAATATCCCAACAAAGAAAAACAACTAGAAACCCAACATAAAAAACTATGATCATGTCGTCGACGAAGAAGAAAGAAAGCATCGGACGACAAAAAATTCCAATTGTTATGATAAAGAAAGAGAACCACCGACAAGTAACGTTCTCTAAACGTAAAGCCGGTCTCTTCAAGAAAGCTAGTGAGCTTTGCACGTTGTGCGGTGCAGAAGTTGGGATCATCGTGTTCTCTCCAGCCAAAAAGCCATTCTCTTTCGGCCACCCGAGCGTGGAATCAGTATTGGATCGTTACTTGTCCCGAAACAATCTGTCCTTAGCGCAGAGTCAACAACTTCAGGGAAACAACCCTGGAGCGAGCTGCGAGCTGAATATACGGTTGACGCAGACCTTGAGCGAGTTAGAGGAAGAGAAGAAGAAGGGTCAAGCGATGGAAGAGATGAGAAAAGCGAATGAAAGCCGATCACTGATCAACTGGTGGGAAAGGCCAGTGGAAGAGATGAATATGACTCAGTTACAAGAAATGAAATCTGCTTTGGAGGAGTTGAGAAAGACGGTTGTGTCAGAGGCGAATACGGCACCGTTTACTGATGTGAAAGAGGATGTTTTTGGTTTTTTGAACAACAAGGTGATGACGGCTCCTTCTTACATGAACATGTCTTCTGGTCTCTCTAGTGTTTACAACTATGGAAATGGTTGTTTCTGATTCACATATGTTTTATTTTATTTTTTATGTGGTAGTAGTAGAGGAGAAATAAATCAAAGAATTTATACGCTAGTATTTTGCTATCTGTTATTTTGTTTAATTTCTTTCCAGACTGTCGACAAAAACTAAAATATTATCTTTCTTTTTTGGCAACATAAAGAAAAATCTTTTTTAATTGTGACTCGATTAATGTTCTCCGGTTGAACTACTTCAATGATAATTAGCTTAAAACAAAGATTCTTAACAATAAATGGATCAACTCTTCACCGCATCCGAAAGTTTTAAGGTGTGCTAAGTCAATTTTGAGAATAAAGTCTTTGATTCCATTTGTTTTGTATATTGTTAAATTTAGTGTTTAGATCTTGTTCGTTTCTAAAATCGTTTGGTAATTTAATTATTGCATTTGGATACAATTTTTTTTCTTCTTTTTATGTTATTAGAAAACTGAAAATTTGGTTTCGCGACGGAAAAATAATTGTGGCTAAATTGGCAACTTAGAGTTGTATACAATGACACAAACCCTACATATAACCAAATAGTCTTTCATTAAACTATAAAGAAATAATATTCTCCACATGGCCACATCTTTACTAATTTAAAACACTTGTTTAGGGTCTCTCACAGCACTTCATAGATTCAATATTTGAATGCCACGTGGCATTTTCACCAAATTAAAAAAATGTTAAAAATCAATCTATAATAACTGAAAGGAGTTGGCACGTCAGCATCATTATACTCCTTCCACAATCACGCTCCGTAAAAGAAACTGAAACGCTTCCGATTCTTCCCCTTCACTGAACCTCGATTCATCTTCCTCAAATTCCTCTCATCTCCTTATATATCTTCTTCATCTCTCAATTTTAACACCCACCAATTTTAACACCCATCTCCCTCAAATAATAATCACCTTCCTGTTTATTCTGGCTCCTCTCTTCTCTTCTTTCTCACTCAAAGGTGAGATTTTTAAATTGACCATTTTTGTTGTTAGTTGACTGATCCATTTCACCAATCTCAAATTTCAACATCAAATTGATTTGTTTTATCGATATCCGAATTTAGATTGATCACACATTTGCTTCGTTTTCAGTACAGGCCACGCTCATGGCGGATTCAAACATCGTTAGGAACGGTGACTTCTCTGCTGGGATTGAACCTTGGTACCCGAACGGATGCGAAGCATTTGTTGTTTCCTCTGACCCGTTTAGCTCAGATTCAATCTCCGATTCCCCGAGCTGTGGCTATGCCTGTAGAATCCCGAAATTGTTTGCCAAGGTATCGCCTTCCATCTTATAATTCTTTTCATAGGTAACTTGCTTTTATAGATTCTGAGATCTGCGTCTAACCCATGTATCGAACTCCTGTTTTTTTATGCCTCAACCTAATTTAAGAAGCATCGACTCACAAGATGATGAACTATAGTTTGAAACACCAGCTTATATATGGAGGTACAACAAGTCTCTAGAATGAAAACCTTCTTGTGATAACAAAAAGTTCTTACGGTTGCAGGTGAATTTACACACTTACGACGTAACAGGTTTTTGTGAATTTGATTAGCTATAGGTCATTCTACTACTTTCATTGTATTCTTAAATTTGGTTTATACATTGTGATCATGATGATAGAAGAGCCAAAGACTACATCGTTGATTTTGACTTCTTAGAAAATGATATGTTTCTTTATAGGCTAATAGCATGTTCGGTCATTTTTTCACAATTTACATTGATCATCTACAACGTCTTGGTTTTTATAAACCGTATGTGCTGTCCAGTTTTCAGGTCTCTGACGGAGCTAAGATTGAACATCTTTCGAAACTAACGGCAAGATAGGTAACTTGCTTTTCTCAAGTCTCAGTCTTATGTATTTTCCCTAGGTACAATGTAGTCATAACTCATAACAGAGATCCTATTTGTAATAGAGAATAATCACCATGTTTTCATTGTTATTCTTATTTGCTATTTATATGTTTACATGATCTAGGCTGCGCTGATAGTTTCTATCTATGTCTCTGTTTTGTTTCTCCCTTTGTTCATCTTCATATTGTAGTAATTATTTTTGACATCGCTTCCTGTATATTTTTCTTACGATTTTTTTATGTGAAAACACATATTGAACTGAAGTTTTCTTACTTGCAGGAACTTACTATGACAAACTATCTTCCAGGAAATATGCAAAGTTATGAATCAGAGTTTCTTGAATTGTGTCAATGAATTAAGGAATCAATCCAAAAGAAGATGCAAAGCGGAAACGATATTGATCCAACTCCAACCTCGGAGCAGAGAAAAACAAAACTTATGTATAACGAGTAGGTGCTATTTTCTTGGTTTTATTGCACAATTGTGTGTAGAGAATCAGCATAAAATTTTATTTTTTTAAATGTGTTTCTTAATTTTTCTTTCTTTGTGCAACGTTGGTTCCTTCTTTGTACCTTATCAGACTGTTATTGCTTCAGGACTCAAAAAATATTAGAAGATTACCAAATCATTGGTAGAAGATGAGCGTCTGGCTTCTGCATTTCTGGGAAGCCAGGAACTAATTGAAAAGGTGAGCGGATGAGAGTTTCGAACACAAGAATCAGTGGAGAGTTTGTGGAGTTACATTCTGGTGGTGAGGGAGGTTGGATTCGACGTAACTAAAAAACTTGAGTTGTCCAGAGGAATCCATTTCGAGTTCATTGAGATTATGCATCTGGACGGTGGTGGCAATTTTTCGTCAGTTTGACTTTCCTATGTTCCTCTGTGCTCCAAAGGATCAAGCTACAAGTAATTGATGAGGTTTGTTGGTGATTCGATTATATATCATCATGAAACTTCCGACTACAAAGTTGAATAATATAATCATGAAACTTCGACTACAAAGTTGAATAATATAGCACTCCAATTTCTTTACATATTTCTGGTTTTAATTTCTCTACGATTCTCCGTTTTATAGTCTAATCATGGGAACTGAATTGCCAGCAGCTTATGCACATTGATATGAGACTATGACATCTCCTACCTGCTTTATTTATTCATCCGAATGTAGAGACATCTTATTAGCTAAAGTGATACTCCCTCCGTTTTTTTTTTGATAAATTTTCTAGGATTTTCACACATATTAAGGAAAAACAGATTTTCAATCATTAGAGTATTGATTTCTGCAATAAAACAACTTTTTATAATTTTCAACCAATAAAAATCTAACAAATACAATCATTGTTTCTTGAAAACTGAAAAAGTGTATCAAAAAAGTAGAAAATTTATCTTTGTGAAACAACAACTAATGCCTAGAAAATCCATCTTAAAAAAACGGAGGGAGTATTAGTTATGTTTATGATGTGAATATGATAAAGATATAAGATTTATTTTTCGCAGCTGCTCCTCAAAATTACTCTCCTCTTACAATCATGGTGGAAATCATATGCAGTTGTGGTGTGTGTGTGTTGAACTCAAGATTGTTTCTAAATAATTCTAGGAGATGTAATATTGTATAATGGTGAATGCTGCACTTGAAGAACATATAAGAACAACTGCAGTGTTCAAATTTTATTTTCGAATGATGGTGAGCTGCAGTGTTTGTGATAGAGCTAAAAGAGTAGTTCGACTCCAGCCGTTGTAAATGTTATCACCACAAAGTCTACAAACAAGATAAGAACATATATATAGTTTATAAAGGTTCTAACGTTACAAGGGTGTGGATATATTTTAAGTATTATCAGATTTGTGTTTTAAATTTGATATTGAAAACCAACATTGAAAACAACAAGTAATTTGAAAAAAAAAAACTCTAGAATGACAATTGTTTTGAAATTGAGGGAGTATGTATTAATAGGTACACATTATATTAAAATTCTATAAATATGATTTCAAATATTTTTTTATAAGATTAAAATCTTAGTAGTTATAAATCATATTAATGATTTACAGCCATAACATACTGCAGATATAACACGTATAAGTAATGGTATAAAATTTATAAAATAGAAAATATTGTCACATGGAAATCTTTTGATTGAAACCAAAACTCATAATTATATTTTAGGTAAGTTCAAAGTCGTGAACCTCACAATTAATATTAAGATTGTAACAAATTTTGAAGAATTATGAAAATACACAATGAAATTAAAGAAGACAAAACAGATATATAAAAATCCGTTCATAATAAAAATAGTAAATAAATCTATAAAGAAACGTACCCGGGCGTAGCCCGGATATTCTCTAGTGAACTAATAAGATGCATAGGAAGGCTACGAGGAGGCCTACGGTCACCATCCTCGGAGATATCTCCATTTCTAACAATTTTACTCACATTGTTCTTCTTCAAATCGTAATAGAATATTTCAAAGACATCATTTACTAATTGTGACACAAAAACGATCTCTCCATCATCAGTGGCGCCGCAAGTTCGTAGGCTGAGTTTCCGATATAAATCATCAAAAGAAGGCGAAAAAACACAAGTCTTGAACCAAATCTGCTTCTTAGCATCATCAAGAATCCACAAACTATAACTGTTATCATTGGTGCGGCAAAAGCAGCCTAGTTTTCCTTGGTAGTTTATTAGACGAAGTAACATTTTCTCTTTAGGTGCTTCCAGGAATAGTAACCGTTCAGATGCAACATCAAAACTCACAATCATGTGATTCATGTCAAAGCTGTTTGATGGAGCTCCATAATACACAACTCCATTGATGCATAATGCATTAGTATCGCGAAAATAATCGGATTTACCACCTTCAACGCGCCTCCAGGATGAAAAAGAAGATTGATCACCTAGTCTCAACGTACATACACTATATTCAAGACATCTAACTTGCGTCTCCCTCCTAATCGTTCGCATAATCTTGTACTGATCATTGTGTTGGTCGTATCCCAAGTACATATTCGTCTTGAACATATAATGCATAGGATCAAAACCGGTTACCTCAGTAGGTATCGTTATGACTTGTTTTGTTGTTGGATTACATATCAGATAATCATTCCCGAGAGATACACAGATGATGCCACGGACAGAATTGCAAAAGACATACAAGTTATATTTGTTGAATTGCACATCGTATTTGGATACTACTGATAAATGGTTTGAATCTTGAGGATGAAGAGGCAAAGAGAGAAAGAACAATCGCCTCTCAGTACCGCGTTGAATAACATGGTGGCTACAAGGCAAACCCTAGAAAAATATCTCCAACTTAACTAGGTCTCTCTATTTATGAGGCTATGCCAGATGTTTTCGGGATCGTATAAAAAAACAAGGAAGTTTCTAAATTATTTTATCATCGACACTTAATCTCGAACCGACTCTAAAAAGAACCAAAATAAGCAATAATCCGGTTTATACTGCACAAAACGGATTTTCTCTTCAGAAACAAACAGAAACAAGGGGAAGTATAGATTAGTTAGCTCTTAGAATGAAATCACAAACAGAAACAAGGGGAAATGAATATTAATGAACATACATTAACGTATTTGTTATACACATGCAATATCTAATTTATATTCCACTTAAATCAATATACACATTTTCGCTCCATACAAAAATCATCAAAGACCAAAACACTTAACTTGCTTTTGCTCATCTTCTACAACGGCACTGGAGGCTTTTCCAACCACTTGGCACGAAATCCAGTTCCCTTGCAATCGCTACAGCAAGCAGAACCCTAGAAAACCATCAAAAGAATTGAATGCTCATACTTTTTTGAGCAGAAGGATTGAAAATTGAGCTATGTGATTGGATTACAAACCTTCCCTGAGCAGATAACGCAAGAAGTATTCCTTGAAGGAACCTGGCAAAGCATGTTATCACCGAGGATGAAGAATCCTGTACCTGCACACCATTTGCATTCAACATGGCCCTTTGAAGCGCACGATGAGCATCCAACGGGCCTTGGTTGCTGCAGTGAATAAAAAGATCATTCAATCAAAACACAGATCTTGTAACATCTAGCAACAGTAGGTAAAAGAATGGCACACAAGTTCAACCAATATAATAAACCCTTGACGAAACTGCAAATGCTAGAAGAAGGATTCAGTATCTTAACCTGTGATAGATTCTTTGAGAGGAATATTGGAGAATAAGCAGAGATTCCAACAATTGTGCAAGAATTTAACAAAACTACATTAGTCAGTTTCTTTAAAGGGAAAAAGCATAATTACTCTGAAATTTACTGTATTTCATCATATACACAAGTTCTTGATCTCATACAAAATTGCGTACAGCTTATCAATTCTACACAAACTATTAGTAGATCATACAAAATGATGTGAAGGATTCGTGAAATGCTAATAAACATGTCGAATAAGTTCGTATGATTACTCAGATTCAGCAAAATCAAATTAGACTTACGAATCGTATCAAACACCAAATTAACAAAAAATATCGGGAGAGGATCAATTCGAATACCAGAAAGCTTAGCGGAATAGAACGTATAAGAGAACGAACCTGAGAGATCATCCAGGCTTGCTCCATACGCTTGGCGAAATTGGAAGAACTCTCAGGGGAATCCACCGCCGATGACCTGACGGTAATCGGAATTCTGCAACTCGTGGCTAAACTCCGCCGTCCGACCGCTGCAAAACCTAGCCTCGTTCTCCTCGGCGAAATCCATGGGTTCACTATCAATTTCGCTACAATCTGTGACTCGTAACACATGCAAATCGCCATTTCCTCTTCTCTTCCTCGAAATTGGAAAAGACAATAGGAGGAGGAGAAAAGCCCACAAATGGTTTATTGGATCCTGGGCCCACAATGGTTTATTGGTCTTCTCAATTGACCGATTCAAATCCAAAGGCATTAAACCGGTGGTAAAATCCCGGTTCGGACTTCGGTCCATAACCTTTGTGTTCGTCAGTGTGGTGGTTCTCACTTCTCAATCCAATCAGCTTCAGCGAAGTCCGATCTCTGTAGCAGCAAATTCTCGGCTAGATCGATCTCTCGTTCTCTACTCAGCTGAGCATCATTCATGGCGAATTAGCTCTTTCATTTCAATCATCATCAACCAGCTACTTTTGTCCTCGTCTCTGCTTCATCAAGTATGCAAAACCCACCTTCAACGGTAACCCAGGAATCTGCACCGGTCTTCGATTTCTTCACCCGATTTAGCAGATTCGCGTTGACTCACCGATCTCCATTCTCGAATTCGGATGCTTTTGTTCACTCGACATCGAATTCGTTGCATTTCGATGGCTTCCGGAGCTTACCCGCCGGAAACACCAGAAAAACCCGAGTCTCCATGAGCTTAAACACTAAAAACACCGCCGGTGGAGCCAATCTGCGTAGGTTTATCAGTGATTTCAACAGCTTTATTAGGTTTCACTCCGATCGGGTTGTTCCAGACAGTTTCGCCTCCGTCGGAATCGGGTTGTCGAGGGAAGGAAATGGGTTTGTAGAAGATGCCTCCGGTGACTTTTTGGGTGATGAAGGCTTGCCGTTAAATGGTGTTGGATCTGATCGGCCAAAGAAAGTGTTGATTTTGATGAGTGATACTGGTGGAGGTCACAGAGCTTCTGCTGAAGCCATTAAAGCTGCATTCAATTTGGAATTTGGGGACGAATACGAGGTTTGTTCTAACTCCTAGCTTGAACGAAATCTGATGTTCAATGTCGCTTCGAGATTTAGATTTATGAGAGTTAATTATGCGAAAGCTGATTTTGATTAGTCTCTACTTGATGAGAGACAATGTGGTTTATTCTTCTGATTTGTTAGACTAAATTTCTCTTCTGGAAGATGATGAGAACTTCAAGAATCCAAATGGCATTACAAATTGTTTATAAGTTCTGAGGATTGATAGAGCATTAGAAATATTGTGCATTAGTAAATGACATTGTTTCTTGGACTAAATGGTTCTGTTTTTTTCCTTCAAATGCGATCGAATCAACCAGAGACGATAAATGTTATGACTTTTTTGCATTTCGTGATGGAAGCTTCTGTTGGTTGTGTTATGTACATTAAGAGTGCTTCTCTCAGGTATCTATTACAGATTTATGGACAGATCACACGCCTTGGCCATTCAACCAGTTGCCGAGGAGCTATAACTTTCTTGTGAAACATGGTACACTGTGGAAAATGACATATTATGGTACGGCTCCACGTGTTATCCACCAATCTAATTTTGCTGCAACTTCCACGTTTATTGCCAGGTGAGATGTTAAGGTCTTTTGGTTGCCAGGTGACACATTGCTGCAGTATCTAAGAAACTGAGAAAGAGGAGATTGTGGCATTTGCTCTGCCTCTTGAATTCTCTCATCTGTTTTCATTTTCAGGGAGATTGAGAAAGGACTGATGAAATACAAGCCGGACATTATCATCAGTGTTCATCCGTTGATGCAACATGTCCCACTTCGCGTCCTGAGATCAAAGGGGTTACTGAAAAAAATCGTCTTCACCACAGTCATTACAGACTTGAGCACTTGCCATCCCACGTGGTTAGTCATATATCTCAGCATTTAGATGGTTCTCATCAGTATCAAAGGTTTCTGATTGCTTTTATATCTTCTCTGTCTTTCTCTTAGGTTTCATAAGCTTGTGACAAGATGTTATTGCCCATCAACAGAACTGGCTAAAAGGGCACTTAAAGCCGGACTTCAAACTTCACAAATCAAAGTTTACGGCCTTCCTGTTCGACCTTCCTTTGTGAAGCCCGTTCGCCCAAAGGTTACATTTTCTTTCTTCAGTTCCTTCTTTTTGACTCATTAGTGTTTCAAGCTTTGAATATGCTATGGGTTTTCCAATTTTCAAGGCTGAGCTACGGAGAGAACTAGGGATGGATGAGAATCTTCCAGCCGTATTGTTAATGGGCGGAGGAGAAGGCATGGGTCCGATCGAGGCCACAGCACGAGCGCTAGGCGACGCTTTGTATGATGAGAACTCTCGGGGAGCCAGAAGGCCAGATTCTTATCATTGGTGGGAGGAACAAGAAACATCTCAGTAGATTAAGTTCCATAGATTGAAAAATCCCAGTCCAGGTTACTATCATATATGCCTTCTTAATAATAGCATACGATGAAGAACACGTCGCTGAAATAAGATTCTTCCACAAGTTAAAGAATTTATAACCAAAATGGAGGAATGTATGGGTGCTTGTGACTGCATCATCACAAAGGTAACCTTCACAGTTGTGACTACAGTTTGTTGCTTTGTCTCTGTTCTTAGTATAGTGTTGTTTCTCTGCAGGCTGGTCCAGGAACTATAGCTGAAGCTATGATAAGAGGGCTACCGATAATCTTAAACGATTACATTGCTGGTCAAGTAAGTTCTCTTCCGAGTAAGAGAACAAAAGGTGCACACTTTTGCTTCATGGTTTTATAATTTCTCAATCTCGGTTTTTGCAGGAGGCAGGGAATGTGCCGTATGTTGTGGAGAACGGGTGCGGGAAGTTTTCGAAATCACCAAAAGAGATATCGAAGATTGTAGCGGATTGGTTTGGACCTGAGTCTAAAGAGTTGGAGATAATGTTGCGGAATGCGTTGAGGCTAGCTAGACCAGACGCTGTGTTCAAGATCGTGCATGATCTCCACGAGCTTGTCCGGCAGAGAAACGGTCTTCTTTCTCAGCTCTCTTGCACTGCTTAAGGTCTCAGATCTTATGTGACACTCTTCTTCGTTGGATTCTACTCCACGGGATTAGTAATAAGCCTCGCTGTGATTGCTCCTGATTCTTGAACGGTTAGTTTAAAATGTAAAAGTATAAAGTTTTGGATATTACCTTATTGTGATTATAATGACTTTAGTTTTGATATTGTATCAAAATGAACTCAAGTTGAAAATTATATAGCTAATTTGATTTTTGAATTTTTACTTTTCTGAAATTATAAATATTTATTTACACGAAGAACAAGAATTTGTCTTATTTGAACATGGATTCCTCCACAATTCACACATACTATTTTCTTACTCATTGTAAAAATCTGAAGATGGATTATGAGACAATGGTGATATTAAGATGCAAATTCCAATCACATTTGTCCAACTTCTTATAAATGTATTTTTAGAATTACGTGTTTGAAAACATGGGAACATTTCTTACACATCATACTAACATCTTATATATAATGAGGATAACTCTCTCCATTCTGTTGACACGTGGCATCTCTTAAAAAAAAAAATGCTTCGTCTTCCTGCACTGAAAACGGACGGCTCGTCTCCTCAGTTTTCCGCATTTTCTTCCCGAGAACCACCTAGATCTCCGCCGCCTCAGTCATCCGCCGAATGGAGAACCGATGGTAGAGCAATAACAAGATCAGGCCGACGAACAGAGCGACACGGACGGGAGATCCATTAACCTTGTGATTCGCCTCCGTTCCTGGTGGAGAAACCGGCCGAAACGAGGGAACGATTGGGAGTAAGAGAAGTCCCACAGGTATGAGAAACTCTGCAATGCCATTTGTAATGGCTGAGGAATCGAAGGATCGTAAATCTGGATCTTCTCTGCAGGCTGTCTTGTAAGAAGTAAGATCGGCGGAGTATAAGGAACCTATGTCGGTTCGGATCTGTTGAAGAGGTGGAGTGTTGGTTCTGTTCCTGCTTGAATTTGAATTGTCTTTCATGGTTTTGGTTTTAGAGAATAATCCAAGAAACATGGACGTTGGGGGATGGAAAGAGTTTGACTTTCAGATCGAAAGCAGGATCTCAAACTGGTGGTTGAGCAGGAACAAACCCGAAAGACTGGAATCAAATAATCGGGCACTTAAAATTTGAGAAAAAAACAGGACCTGAGAGAAGAAATTAACGACAAGAGTTTTCGTTTGCCCGGAGTCTAGAATTCAAAGTGAGATCGGAGAGAGAGAAAAAGAGGGGAGCAAGTAACAGTCGATGTGGATCCTGAAGTGGTAAGATTGAGTTTGGTTACTCTCAGAGAATCAGAGAGAAAGTGGAGAATGAGAGCGATGGATTGGGGAAGGAGAGAAACAAGTGAGTTGCTTCTGTTTTTTTTAGTTTCACTAATATAAGTGAATAACAATAAAAAAACATAATATTAACAAACTAAACCATGGATAGAATACAGACCGTGTAACATATAATATTACCAAATTTAACCCTGCCCAAAACTGTGAGTTTCTAACCTATCTTCATATTTTCACGCCATCGTCGCCTTATCATTTTTTCCGGTGGCGAGTTTGCCGTCGGCGAAATCGAAATGGTTTCTGTAATAAATCTGATTAGCGGTGTTACCTTCTGCGCAGTTGGCCTTCTCTCTTCGATTGATGGAAGGCGGATTTCGTTCTAGAGAGATGCTCCGTTGATTTCACGGTAATTCCTGGTTATTTTCTCTGTAACGATTCTACAGAGATCTGGTAGCGGTTGGGTTCTCCGTGAAAGTAAGATGTACATGTTGCTTCTTCTCCGTCTCTGGAGAATGGCGATCGATTTTCTTCTCGCCGTGTTTGATGGAAGACGGGTCACCTACTCATGGGCAGCAAATTTCCACCCCTTTATTAAAGGTATTTTCGTCAGAAATCATCCCAATTAGCTATTCTCTTAAATTAATTTCAATATGGCTATATCTTTCATTTTCCTCCTCAATATGATTATCTATCTAATTTACCCTTTGACTTTTCTTCTCTATTGGCAGCTTGATTATAAAATATTTTATCTTCGTTACATTTTACTTTCATCTTCTTTTCTGCAATTTAAAAAATATAAAAAATTGGGATTTTAATATTATATTTGCAGTCTCATATTAATATTTTAAAATATTATTTGCAATATCATTTGATAACATATTATACTCATAATTAATTTTATAATTTGGTTTCATAATTTTGGATTTAGGTTTTATGTTTGAGTGTAAAGTTGAAAAGTATAGTAACTTCATAATTTAAAGTTTGAGATTTTTATTAGAGATTTGGGGTTTGTGATTTCAAAAATTAGATTTGAATACTTTTAAAATTATTTTTTTAATATAGATTATGAATTATAGATATATATAACCACTAATTGTGTTTAGGGTTTAGAGTTTCAGATTTATCATGATTTTATTTAAAATATATTATAAGTTACCAAAATATATTCATTTTAGAAAAATATGCAATCATACAAAAATGTATATTTTTATAATTTACATTTCTATTTTGACCGTTTAAATATGAGACACAAAATAATTTCATATAACAATTAAAAATTTAAAATATAAGTAAAAAAAGTTTGTAATAGTCACAACCCGCGCATCGCATGGGCTTAGCCCTAATTTTGTTAATTTAAGAAAAATAAACATTTCATTTATAAATTCCACATTTTATGGAATTATCATATAATTGACTGGTAATATAACATGTTGTGTAAGAATTGATTTTTTTTTAAAACTGTACCTTGTTGTAAAAATTGTATATTTATGCGGTGATTTGATGTAAACGATTGAAAGAGATGATTTATACACGATTGTAAAATCTTAACCAACTTTGTTTATTTTATTTTCCACTAATCACTGATTCACATCACTACACATAATTCAAAAGTTAAATGCTTTTTAGTCGAATAAAGTTTTATTCCACTATAAATGGTTCGAAAGTGAAAGGAAATGCTCTTTTTGTTGAATAAAAATGTTATTTATACCACTATATAAATAGTCCCCTCCATTATCTCTTTCCCTTTAATTTTGGATCTTTCACACATTCAATAAGCGTGAGAAGAAAAAATGGAGTTCACCGCAGAGCAGCTGAGCCACTACAACGGCACCGACGATTCGAAGCCGATCTACGTCGCAATCAAGGGCCGCGTATTCGACGTCACCACCGGAAAATCCTTCTACGGAAGCGGAGGCGATTACGCGATGTTCGCCGGAAAAGACGCGAGCAGAGCCCTGGGTAAGATGAGCAAAAACGAAGAAGACGTCTCTCCTTCTCTTGAAGGTCTCACCGAGAAAGAGATGACCACTCTTAACGACTGGGAGAAGAAATTCGAAGCTAAGTATCCCGTCGTTGGCCGCGTTGTCTCTTAAATCAATCAGATCGTTCCCTCTCTCTCTCTCTCTCTCTTGCCTTCTGAGATCTGGATGATATGTAACTATGGTGTGAGGATTTGTGTGTGTTTGTGATTTCGTGTTTGATGTGATCGTTTTGATGACGATTCGAAACCTAAGAACCTAATTGTCTATCGAATAAATTGGTGATAATAATAATGATTTCAAGTTTTTGTATTGTTCATGTAAGATTCGAGATTTGCTCTCTTGATAGATCCCTGAATCGATTTCCCCCAAATCTTGGTTCTGTTCTTAATCCGGTTTACTCAACTAGCTGATTTATAATTATGGTTTACAATTGCGGTTTATGTGTAATTAAACGGATAACATCATGATTTAACGGTTCAATAAAAGTTTGATGTAGTTAGTACATGGATGTCAACTACTTTTGTACATGGATGTATAAAAGTTTGATTTATTTTTAAGAGATTGAAACCAAACCATAACTTTTGGTTAATTTTTGATGTTTCTCCATGTTCTCATTCTAAATTTACTTTTAACTTTCAACATGTTACAAACACTTGGGATAATTCTAGCTGGTGAAAAGAAACTGACGATTTATAAAATGAGAGCAACCAAATTCAATCAATTATGAAGTCTATAAAAGTGATACTGATGTTTGGATCCAGACGTTCAGTATGAATTCTCTTACAAGTTCAAATATCTTGTCAGTGTTGAGAGTATGAGACACTGTAGACCTTTCTCTCTCCAAAATTCATTTTGGGCCCATAGGCCCACTTAAGAGAGGAAGAAAAGGCTAAACCCAAATATAGCGTGACATAGATAACAAGAGGAAGAAGAGTGGAGAGCCAAACAGAAATAATTCGGGATTAGGTTTACTCTCTCCCCCAAACTCCGACCAATCTCTCTCTCTCCGCCGCGCGCAACTATTAACCGCTACCTATATATATATACACACACTGGTAATTTATCACTACTCTTTCGATTATTCTATGTTTTGAATCTCTTTAAAACCAATTTTTGTTTTGGAATCAGAAGATGAGCGGTCAAACTCAAATCACTAGCAATGACCGAACGAGAACGTATTGGACACCAACGATGGAGCGATTCTTCATCGATCTAATGCTTGAACACCTGCACAGAGGCTACCGAACCGGACACACTTTCAACAAACGAGCCTGGAACGAGATGCTAAGCGTTTTCAACTCCAAATTCGGTTCGCAGTACGACAAGGACGTGTTGAAATCCCGGTACACGAACCTGTGGAAACAGTACAACGACGTCAAGTCTCTTCTTGATCACGGTGGTTTCTCTTGGGACCAGACTCATCAAATGGTCGTTGGAGATGATAATCTATGGACCTCTTATCTCAAGGCTCATCCCGAAGCTCGTGTGTACAAGACGAAACCGGTGATGAATTTTAACGATTTGTGCTTGATTTATGGGTATACAGTTGCAGATGGGAGATACAGTAGGTCAAGTCATGATGTAGATTTTGATGATGAGATCAGTGGAGTCAACATTGGTGTGTGTTCTTGTCTTCCTGTTCTTGCTCTTCTTGGCCTTGGTTACAAGAGTGATTTATTAAGCTAAGTTCGTTTATTTTTATTTATTTTTGGTAGGTGAAAGTAGTAGTGGAAGTATTGTTCTTTCGAGTAAAACCGAGTGGACACCAGTAATGGACCAATACTTCATCGAGCTAATGCTTGATCAGATCGGAAGAGGTAACAAGAACGGTAACGCCTTCAGCAAACAAGCTTGGGTAGATATCCTCGCTTTGTTCAATGGTAAGTTCAGTGGTCAGTATGGTAAAAGAGTGTTGAGGCACCGGTACAACAAGCTGTCCAAGTACTACAAGGATATGGAAGTTATCTTGAGAGAAGACGGGTTCTCGTGGGACGAAGATCGACATATGATCGTTGCGGATGTTGCTGTTTGGGATTCTTACATCAAGGTTTGGATTCTTGAGACTATTAATAAATCTTTTGATCTTTTATATACTTCGTCAGTTTGAATCTTAGATTTGATGAGGCAGGAGCATCCACTTGCTAAATCATACAAGATGAGAGCTCTACCGAGCTACAACGATTTGGACATCATCTTTGCCTCTCCAGCTGAGCAAGAGCTTGTACAACATCCAGTGCAAGAAAAAGATGATGGCTCAGCTGCACAAATGAGTGAGACTAAGTCGAGACAGGTGCATAGTTCTGACCGCACAAGGACGTTTTGGACGCCGCCAATGGACCACTACATGATTGATTTGTTAGTAGACCAAGTGAACAAAGGGAACAGAGTAGGGCAGACTTTTATTTCGTCTGCTTGGAGCGAAATGGTGGCATCATTCAATGCTAAATTCGAGTCTCAGCATAGCAAAGACGTTCTCAAGAACCGGTACAAGCACTTGAGGAGGTTGTACAAGGACATCAAGTTTCTTCTTGAGCAAAACGGGTTCTCATGGGATACAAGGAGAGATATGGTGGTTGCAGATGATGGCGTTTGGAATAACTATATACAGGCATGTGCCTCACATTCTTTTCCACTTTTTTAAGATATCAGTTTATGTGATTGTGCTCTAATGAAGCTGTGTTACAGGCACATCCAGAAGCTAGATCATACCGAGTTAAAACTATTCCGAGCTATCCAAATCTTTGCTTCATTTTTGGGAAGGAAGTGGCGGATGGGAGATACACACGCCTGGCTCAAGCTGCTGATCACAGTCCAGCAGAAACTATGCGGATGATCGGTAAGGCTTCTCTAAACGATGAAGCAGCTCCTTTGTGTGTGAGACTATACTTAAGCCTGTTTATATGAATCATTCTCAGAAAGTGGAAGCAAAAATGATTACCTCTGCAGTAATACTGGTCCTCCTTGTATAGAGTGGACGCCGGTGATGGAGAGATGTCTCATTGATCTTATGCTAGAGCAGGTGAATAGTGGAAACAAGATTGGTGAGACATTCACAGAGCATGCTTGGGCTGAAATGGCAGAGTCCTTCAACGCAAAGTTTAGATTGCAGACAGACATGTTCATGCTCGAAAATCGTTACATATTGATGATGAAAGAGCGGGACGACATCAGTAGTATCCTCAATCTCGTTGGCTTTGCTTGGGATGAGGAGAAGCAAACCATTGTTGCAGAAGATGAACATTGGGAAGCTTATATCAAAGTAAGGCTAAATAATGACACTCTGTGTTTTCTTATGATGTGTATGTGATTCTAAGCTAGTAGTGTCTGATTTTTTTGCAGGAGCATCCAGATGCAACCATGTATAAAGGTAAAACCTTGGATAGTTACAGCGATTTGTGCAAGCTATACGAGCATTTATCTCAAGAAGGCTTCAATTGTGAGAATCTCATGATCGAGTTGGAAAACTATGGCAATGAGATTGAAATAGCTGATGACGTTAGCTCGCCTCACAAGCAGCATAGTAAGCGACCAAACCCAACAACTCCGCCTCAAGGGCTTAAGGCTCAGAAGACCGAAAGAGAGACGAGGAAACCTGTATGTGACAAAGAAGGTGATGATGATGATGAGTGCACAAAGCCTATGATTCCTCTGAACGAGATTTACTCGAGAATAGGAAATGCCATTGATGCACTGCAAGCTTTGCCCGACATGGATGATGAGCTTCTGTTGGATGCTTGTGATCTTTTGGAAGACGACAAGAAAGCAAAAACGTTCTTGGCTTTGGATAGTTCCTTACGTAGGAAATGGTTAGTGAGAAAGCTTCGTCCTTCAGGTAACTGTTAAAGCCACTGGGTCTCTTTCCTTTTCAACCCAAATTTTATGCAAAACAGAATAGTTTATGTAATGTAAATTTATGTGGTTATCTTAGATACTTAATCCAAATACACAGTTTAGATTATAATATGCAGAAGTTGTGCAACTCTGAACATAACCATGAACATGAATAATGTCCTCAATTGCTATGAACAATAGATGAGAAAAGTAGCTTATTGATGTCTTCTTTATCTGCCTCCTCTGTCTCTTCCACTGTTACAAACAAAAAGCATTGATTAGAAAAGTGCCTCAATACTACAACAGATAAAAGAGCATAATCTGCATACATGAACACGGAAGTTTCTTTATAAGCATACAAAAAGCGTAAATGTAAATGTTCTCATGACATTTAAATTGCTTGTTCTGATTACCTGTTCTCGATCTAACTTGCATTGTCCACTCGTCGATGATCTGTTAGCAAAAATATACAAGAAATGAAAAACAAAGGGATGATGGAAAGTCTAAGAACCTCTCTATATCAGGATGCTAAATTAGATTATGGAAAATGTTCTTGCCGCTATCCCAATGATAAGCACTGAGAAATTGCATTGCGTAACCTCGAGAAAGCATTGGCTAACATGACAACATTTTAGCCAAAAAGAAACTCCACCACATTACGAATGAAGAAGAGAGCACCAACCTGGTTAAAATCAGTCAGTGCATCATCCGCATCGCCATTTGTAGTTTCTCCCAACGATGCATTCATTTTCTGAATAAGGTTGTAGTTTCCAACAAGTGTCGTCTGTGCCTTGTCAATCAAATCCTGTTTATTACAAACAAACACAACTTAACAATCAAACTCTGCTTAAATTCCTAGATTTTCAATCAAATGTTGCAGAAGCCTTAGCAGCTCAAACTATTGATGGCAGAAGAAATTATCTACAATCAATAAATCTCATCAGAGATATATAGATGCTTAACCGTATCTACTTTCAATAAATTCACAACTTGAAATCTCTAAGATCTTAGGCTAAAGCTTCTTTTTGACAGAATCTACTGCTGATTTCCAGTTTCCAGTTTCAGTTTAGGCGTTTCCAGATATAAAGAAGAAACGAAGAAATTAGTAGCAATAAGGAACCTGTTTAGCAGACAATAGCTCTAAGCATTGGTCTTTGAGGAGAGTGACATCTTCCTGCAACTTCTTAATTCTCTGAATAAGCTTCATCGGATTCGCCTACATCCCAAATTATATTGTTCGAATCCAGAAATCAACAGATTTAAATGAAATCCAGAAGAGGCAAGTCAATAAGATTACGTCGAGCTTGGATTTTGGAAATGTTTATCATTTGGGCTTTGAGAATTCGAATTTTTTAGATTTGTAGATCGGAATCGAAATTGCTTACATTATCTGGATAAATCTGCTGGAATTCCTTGTCGAGCTTGAAATGGACATCATTTAGATCATGAGACGCTCTCGCGAAAACGTTTATCAGATTATCCACAGCTTGATGATGATGACGACTCATCTCCTTCCCTCTTTCTCTTTCCCTTTCTCTCTCGCTCACTCGCTTCCCCTCTTTTGCTCTCTCACTCTTTAGGGTTTATCAATTTTCCCGCCTCTTTTCCACCTAAAGAAAAGCAGGCGATGTAAACAACACGAAGTTCTTGAGTTAACTTTAAGAATAACATGATGTCTATGAGTGGATACCGAATCGAATAGAAATAAACCAAACTGAATTCGTCACCAATTTTTTTGAAATCCATACCAAACCGAATTGAACCGCAAAAGTCGAATTTCTTAAACGACGCCGGTTTTAGATTGAGTAATGAACAAAAGGGTTTTCGAGTGAAGGTATCGTCTTCCTTTTAACGCTCGCAACTCGCCGGAATTTCGCGCCGCTTCCCTAAAAATATCGACGATGGAAGAAGTGGTAGCAGAGCCACCACCGATTGTAGCTCCGGTTGTGGTACCAGAGCCACAACCGATCGTTCCTCCTGTTCTGGAATACGAAGAAGAGATTGAAGATGATGATGATGACGACGATCTCTCTCTTTCGTCAGATTCCGATATCGGTGAAGCTCTTGACTGGCTAGACGGTAAAGACGACGAAGACCTCATTGGTGGTGGGTTCTCTCTCCATGCTCGTCGCCCCAATGCTCACGGAGGACATGGAAACCGACCTAATTCAGGCGCTCTTCAGCCTCTTTCAAATAAAGCCCAGAAGCTTACTAGCCACGTCCGTGCTTCTCCTTTGGAGGTAAAGTTTCTAACTTCAGCTAGTTTTTGAGTTTTTTTCTTATAAATTGAGGTTCTAAAGTCTTTGATTTTGATATAAAGCTTTCTCTTTCACTATCGTTTTATTCAAAGTTTTCATTTTTAATCCGTTTGTTGGAGATTGCTCATAGTCTCTGCTCAAATGCGTATTGAGTGTATTAAGTTTATGTACGTGGAAACTGATGTGAGTTTGATGATTGAAGGGATGGGAAGGCAGAAATCAAGTTGGAATGTCGAATTCAGTGACAACTGCGATTCGTGGAAGTCTCAGAGAAACAGAAATCGGAAGGAGCAGAAACACTGATAAAGCAGATCGAGCTACTGTTGAACAGGTGAAACTTAATCGTTAAAAAGAATTTTAGGAAATAATGTTTTAGATTAATCTGCTGATGCTGTTTGTTCTTTTTGTTCTCAGGCTCTTGATCCGAGGACTCGTATGGTTTTGTTTAGAATGCTTAATCGTGGTGTGTTCAATGATGTTAATGGCTGTATTTCCACAGGCAAAGAAGTACTTCCACATTCACTACTTTCGTGTGATTGATTGTTTAGTTTTTGGATTCTTTTGTTAACAGCGCTCTCTTTTACTATCTTTCAGGCTAATGTTTATCATGCCACAAAATCTGACGGTGCGGAACTTGCTATTAAAGTGTACAAGACTTCCGTTCTGGTATTCAAGTAAGCTAATGCAGGAATAAATGTTCTTGAATTTTTCTCTGAAATGCTATTGACTTTATTGTTTTGTTATTGGCTCTCAAAAACTCTGTTTTTACTTTTTAACTTTGATGATTCCAGGGATCGAGATCGGTATGTACAAGGAGATTACCGTTTTAGACATGGCTACTGTCGCCACAATCCCCGGAAGATGGTTAAGACGTGGGCTGAAAAAGAACACAGAAATCTTAAGAGGTAAAACCTACAACTCGTTGTTGCTGTGTGCTACTGGATATTAATACTTTAGTGAATTTAGTAGCAGCACTCTTGGTAGTCCTCTCTGATTTTCTCTTAATACATATGGAAACCTGGTTAATATAGATTGACACTTGTTTTGGATATATATGTAACAGTAATTTTGTTACTCCATGGTTTGTTCATATACACGTTTCATTTTCAGGCTTCAGGCCGCAGGAATTAGGTGTCCAGTTCCTATCCTTCTACGACTTCATGTTCTAGTCATGGAGTTTATAGGTTCGCTCTGATGCCAGCATATGTTGTTTTGGTCACTGATTCCGCACAATTCTTCTCTTTTCACTCAGATTCATCAGCATATTTCCATTAGAAGAGAGAAATGATGAAAGTAATAGTGTAATACTAAGATTGTTTATATATATATGCAGGAAGGGATGGTTGGGCTGCACCGCGTCTCAAGGATGCTGCATTATCACTTGACAAGTTACGCGAGACTTATCTAGAGGTATGCTTGTGGCTTCTTTTTCTCATTTAGAGGTTCCTAAGTGTCTTATTCTCAAATGCTTTATTGTTTTTATCGGGAATTCACTGACATCATTTCCTTTGATTTTCAGTTGATAATTCAAATGAGAGTATTGTATCAAAAGTGCAAATTGGTGCATGGAGATCTCAGTGAGTATAACATACTTTACTTTGAGGTGAGCTTTGAGTTATTTTGTTCTTAATGGACCTCTTATCAGTTATCACGTTTCCTGACAGCATAAGTGATTCTTTCATATGGTCTTGACATTTTTCAGGGGCACCTTTACATTATTGACGTTTCACAATCAGTGGATCTCGACCATCCTCAGGCCCTCAATTTTCTACGGGAAGATTGTGATCACGTCTCAGTAAGTGCTAACTATACCCACTTTTGACAATGCTGAATTTTGTCTAGAAGACAGTTTCTGATGTGTACTACTTCGACATTCACGTGCAGGATTTCTACAGAAAGCATGGTGTGGCCGTAATGACAATTCGTGAGCTATTTGATTTCATAGTTGACCCAACAATTTCAGACGAAACTGTTGATAGCTATTTGGAAGAGGTTGATCCCTTAAACCATTGGAAGCTTGAGGTTTAAAGGTGTAATGTTTAAACTAATGTGAGTGTGTGATAAAAATGGGCAGGTCCAACGCAAAGTGATAGAGCGAGGAGAGATATCGGTAGAGGATGAAATTGCGGATTCAGTATTTATGAAGGTAAAGTGAAGTAATGTATATATTCTTTCTTTTAGAAGATGATGTTTGAAAGCTGGAGACTCATCTTATTGGGTTTTGTTATGATGTTATCAGTCATACATACCGAAATCTCTGGATGAGGTGAAGAATCCGGAAGCTGATGTTGAGAAGATTACGAGCGGGCAAGATACAGGAGATATGTTGTACCAAACAATAACAGGGCTTAAGGATGCTCTTCCTAAAATAGATGAGCAGGAAATAAAGGTGGATGTTGTTGAAGAGACAAAGGAGGAAAAAGAGAAAGAAGAAGAAGAAGAAGAAAGCGAAGAAGACGAAGGTAGTGAAAGTGAAAGTGATGAAGAGTTGGGTCCTGAAGACAAGAAAGCTGCGAGGAAAGAGCACAAGAAGAAAGTGAAAGAGGAGAAACGAGAGTCTAGGAAGAACAAAACACCCAAATCTGTCAAGAAGAGAAAGAAGAAAATCTCTAAACCTCACAAGACCCGTTAGTTACTTTCTTCACTTTTTCCAGATTTTATTCCCTTTTTTGTTTTATTTTGTTTGCTAAATTCGCTACTCGGCTGCTTACTTGTATTTTGTTATTTATAATTATATATTACGAGTTATTTTTCTCTTTCTATAGACTAATATAGTTTCAAAGAAGATTGATTGTGTCAACTCCTAAGAAGATTGTGTCAGGAAACTGATTTATTTAAAACTGACACGAGACATATAACCAACTATATGGTACACAGGTTTTGTTCGAGAAAACCCCAAGTTCTACATTTTTAACTAAAACAACTAACTGTTCTTGGGACAGCCTGAAATCAACAACAATGGAACGAGACGAACTCCTTTTTGATCATCTCAAGTTTTAATCATCCCAAGTCTCAACAACAGGAGGCTTGATTGAGGAAGACTTCAAGCGACGAGCATTCTTGATGATAAAACTAACGAAATCTCTCTCTTCTGGTCTTGCACTGTACCCTGCAAACTCGAAAGTTTCAAGGCTCTCCAACAAGCATTCAGGAACAGAGCTCCAACTAACCGGTGTATACTCCGTGGAACGTCTATCGCGCTGAGATAAACAAACGCGAAACAGATAAAGAGAGAGTCAAAAAGACTACACTATAGAGAGCTGTTTTGGATTGAAACTTACATCGACGTAGAGTTTTAGAACTCGCAGTTTAGGAGAGTCTTGGAGCAGCTTGAAAAGTAGTTTCGACCAATAATCGAAGTCAATACATAGCTTAAGATGCTCAAGCTGATTGGAGAAAAAACCATCAGGAAACTGCACACAAGACACGCGTAATGAGAAAAGGATTAAACCTCAAGAAAAAGAAAGAAAAAAAACGATTTACTAAGAATAAAGTTGATAACCATACCTCTTCTCTATTGTTCCTCCATACCACTAAAGAAAGGCGTTTGAGACATGCGAATGATTCGAAAACCTTCTCCATCTGTTCCTCAACAACGATACATGCTTCTTCCACTCTAGGCATATGCGTAACCAAAGACGAGAACCTTTCTACGTAACGACAAACTTTGATATACTTCAAACAAGGAGTAACAATCACATGCTCATCAGAGTCAGAACAACGTCCACCATGCAGCGTTAAGGTTAACCTCAGCAAGGACGGGCTAGTAAAAACCATCCCTTTCAAGTTATCCTCACCATCTCGGTGGATAAAAAAACCTTCAAGAACAGGGCAATTAGATATAAGTAGTCCAAGACAATCTTCATTTCCGTAAGTCACTTCTTTTAGTACCAAAGTTTTCAACGAAGGGAGAGAGACCGTTGGAGGAACATCGACAAGAATCTTTTTGCCGTTAAGTTTCAAAGTCACCAGCGATTTGCAGGTATACAAGCTGCTCGGCGACAACACAGCAAGATTATCAGTGCGATTGAGAGACCATTGCCAGATATCGAGCAGACGTATGCGGCGAGAAAGCGTAATTGCAACCCATTGGTTGATATCCTCAGGCTGAAATGTTGTAGAGAAACATTTGAGGCGAAAGCTTTCTATTTTTGGAACTCTAAGTAATGGCAGATTCTTGTTGATAAAATCTCGAAGTGGAAGGTCTGGTCGGAAATGAGTCACCACGAACTCGAGTTTAGGAACCCACATCCATAGAAACTCCCATCGTTTAGACAAAACGCTAGTGGATGCACGAACTTTTGTCGGAAGAAAAGATAATATCTTTACTACTAATTCATCGGGTAGTTCGCTGATTCTGTCCATTGCCTTTACAATGAAAACAAGAAAACACCAGTAAGAAGAAGAAAAAAGCTAAACTAAGCAAATCACTAACAAGTGACACGAGACAAAACCCTAGAAAGAAAGAAAAGAGAGAGCTGGAATGCTGAAAGCTTAGAGCGAAATAGAACCTGTGACAGTGTAGGCTCGACAATGTTGAAAGCTTAGAACCGGAATGAGAAGACGAAATCAACACTCGGAGAAAAAACTGAGAAAGCATTTGTTGGCTCTGTATTTTTAGCTACTTGGATTGTCTGAATCCAGAAAATGAAGAAGAAGAAGGAAGTGAGACTATCGGAACCAAACCTTTGGGCTTTTAAGTGATTGGGCTAGCGATAAGCTTTTTTGTGGGCCTGGCCCGACATTAATGTGAAACTCTTTGTTCTTTTTTTTTTTTTTTTTTTTTTTTTTGAATTTCTTTGTTCTTATTTATTAAGATGAAGCAAATCTATTTTTGTGTCTAAATAAGCATATTTCATTCTGACATTATGAATCGTTGAGTCTGACGCTTTCATAATCCCACTCATTCCGGTAAAAAAGTTATAGGAAATTTGGCTAAAGCCTAAAACCATATCGAGACAAAAAATTAAATTTCAACACAATTTTCTTGAATATATCTGGTTTGATTCGATTTGATTTGAATTACGTCTACTAATAAGAGAGAGAGGAACTAAGTCAATGAGTCGAGTCAAGTCAAGTGAAAGTTCGTCTGATCCAAATTGAGAAAATAATAATTCACATAAAGAACAAAACAAACAGGTAGGATCAAATAGTAAGTTAATGTAAGAAGTACCATTTTTCTTCGACATGGGACAGCCGCCGAAATCGTTGATTTTTGGTCGATCTTTTACTTGTTTTCTCCGTTGACAACAAAATATAAAAAAGTCGACTACGATCTAACACGACCTAACTTGTCTTTTATCATTTGAGAGATGTATTTCGACGCACACCAACCATTCTAGTCCAACTTATTAAGTCCCATGAATGTGTGGAGGTTAGAAGTTTGTTAAACAAAGAAATACATATTTCACAAAATAATTTAGATAGAGGTTTATTATTTTCATAATAATAATTTACCTATACAAGTTACTTGACACTTACGTATGAAACAAACGACCTATGGACTAAAATAACAGTTTTTTAAATGAAAGATTATACGAAAATGTAATGAAATATTCACTTTCCAGTTTCTCAATCTTTTCTTCCACACAAATAGACATCCTCTTCAACGTTGATAATTTTACGCATTATACTATAAAACCAAATCTCTACGCAAAACCATTTTGGTCTCTCTCTCTAAAGTGTCTATAGTTTTAACTTTTAAGCTTCTCACTTCTGTGATCCAGATTTTATGGAGTATTCATCGTCTCTCGATCCCAACACCAACCCTTTCGACCTTCATTTCGCTACTAAACTTCCCGTAAGTTTAGATTCGTCAGATTTTAAACTTCTTTCAGTTCAGTTTCTGACCGTGGCTTATCTTTTCGTGTTCTTGATTCAGAAAAGGGAACCCTCAGATTCGGCTTCTGCTAAACTGTTGGTGAAAGACGAGGTTAGTTCTTTAATTAGATTAGTGATAATATAATCAGAGGCTCAAAACTATGGTCAAGATTCAAACAAAGTTGGAAGCTCTTCTTTAATCTGTTTGTTCGGTAATAGTGATTTCACTTTATGGTTTGTGACTTTTAACCAGAAGGCTAATACGTTACAAGATGAGTTAAACCGGGCAAATTCCGAGAACAAGAAGCTAACCGAGAAGCTAGCCAGAGTTTCTGAGAGCTACAATGCTCTGCATAAATATCTTGAGGAGTTTCAGAGTCGAAATAGTCCTGAAAATGAACACTTTCAGAATCAACATCTGACGAGGAAACGAAAACAAGATCTTGATGAGTTTGTAAGCTCCCCAACAACCGAGTCTACCTCCAGCGACAAATCAACGGTTTCGATCGCTTATTATCCTGCTGATAAGTCTGATTTAAGCTTGGTTAGTGTTTGTCTACTCTGTTTTTGGTTTCCACTTGATATCACTGAGAAACAAAAATGTAAATGTAGTATAATCTTGAATGACCGAGATGAGACTTGAGGTTCTTGTAACAACAAATCTCCAAAAATACTTATGGTTCTTGACTTCTTGATTGCAATTCTTGATTTAAAGATAATTAGGGCTATTTGTTCTTATTCTTGATAGTTTAGTGTGATCTTGTCATTCTCATTTTCAGTGAATGTTTTGTGGAATACTAATATACTTATAGACAGTGAAAGATGGATATCAATGGAGGAAATACGGTCAAAAGATTACGAAAGATAATCCATCTCCTAGAGCTTACTTCAGATGCTCTTTTTCACCGTCTTGTTCAGTCAAGAAGAAGGTATGTTTACATTACAAAGAGTTCTTCAATATCTTGCTGTCTATTTAAAATCCTTATGAGTGTGTGTTTGTTCAGGTACAACGAAGCGCAGAAGATCCATCTTTCTTGGTAGCCACGTACGAAGGGACACATAACCACCCGGGCCTAAATGTAGGTGGATCCAGGACAGTGAAGCTTGATCTAGTCCAAGACCATTTAGTCCAAGGTGGTCTTGGAAAAGTTGAAGGAAAGAAAGAGAGAGGAACGGTTCGAGAGGTTTTGATGCAACAAATGGCTTCTTCGTTGACGAGTGATCCAAATTTCACTGCAGCTCTTGCGGCTGCTATTTCAGGGAGGTTGGTAGAACAATCAAGAACTTGAAAATTTATGTAGACTATATGAATATTTGTTGTTTTATTGCTCATCGTTGGTGAAAAGAAAAGGGATTTTGGATTGATCTTGATTAGGAGACAAAGATGTTTACAGCTTTAGGTAGTGAATGGACACAGTGTGTGTGGCGAATTTTGTCACTATTGACTTGCTTTTAAAGATAGGATTTGAATTAGTGAAAAACGGATGGAAATGTATGTTTGAACTTTGAATTGTGTATAAGTTTTAGTTACAGAATAATATCATTACATAAATTATATTAAACTAAATCTAATTTTTTTAGCCAACCAAATCTAGAATTACTCGCAACGTTCTGATCTGAACCCTAAAAGGCAAAAGTGCTAATTCCCGAACCTAAATCCATACATGAACTAAAAACACAACCTGCGTTGACCTAGAGACAAACGATATTAATATTTACTGAGCCAGAATCCTTGCGGCACAGTAAAACGATGATTTTATTTTTAAATGATTTTAACCGCACAAAAATGAAAACGATATTTTCGTGTGTGGTCAAAACCATTTAAGAAAAAAAATCCATAGTTTGACTATACCACAAGGTTTCTGAGTCAACAAATGAATTTCCAAATCTAAAAACTAAAAAGGAATTTCCGGCTTTCTCCGAATTGTTTTAGCAATTTTCTACTAATTTCGGAGCTCAAATTTTGAATTGATACAATCACTAAAATATGTTCAAATTTGCTAAAAAATCGTCGAAGTTAGCCGGAAATTCCCTTTAAGTTTTTAAGTTTAGAAATTTTGAGTTTGGAACTGAAAAATCTGATGGATAATATTACAAATTTAAATGAATCAATTTCCATGTTAACGGTTGACTAATTAAAACCGAATTTGGTAAAGTTAACAATACTTTTAAAAATTATTTTTGCAATCAAGAGTTGGGAAAATAAATGTGCAATTTCATATAATTCAGGAATAATATATGTGTTTTCCCCCAAGTTTTAGTTACAAAATAATATCATTATATAATAAGATATTAAACTAACCAAATTAAGAATTACTCGCAACTTTCTGAACTGAAGCTTAAAGGGCAAAAGTGCTAATTCATACCCGAACCTAAATATGTGAACTAAAAACACAATTTGTGTTGACTTCAAGACAAATGCTGTTAATATTTACTGAGACAGAATCCTTGCGACACAGTCAAACGATGATTTTCCTTTTAAATGATTTTAACCGCACAAAAAATGAAAACGATATTTTGTGTGTGGTCAAAACCATTTAAGAAAAAAATCTTTCGGTTGACTATCTTGCATGGTTTCTGAGTCAACAAATATAAACGACATCGACTCAAAGTCTTTTAGGTCAATGCGGGTTTTGGCACCATAATGTAAAAAATGTAAGTTTGTGTAGTATAGAATGTTTTTAGTTCAGTTGGTACGTATCACATGTCATAACAAGTTATTCTGTTAAATTTGCCAGCTGTCAACCTTTCTTCTCAGCATAGTTGGCTTTGTATTATAAGTTGCTTTCTGTCAAATGGATATATACAGAAAGGCGGTGTCTTGTAAAACGAAGCCAACTATCGTATAGAACAAAGTGAAGAAAACTGACAACTTTAAGAGAACAGCTTTTTATGACATGGTGTGTTTTAGAGCAGTTTGGTCTTGCTGATGTAAATAGCCTTTTATGAATATTTATATAAAATATAAAAGATGATGTATTTTATAAAGCGAATAAACAGTGATTATGTAGAAAAAAATAAATGAATCTTTGTGGATTATTTTGAAGAGAAGTGAAGAAGCACCTTATCAAGTTTGCTTCACAATCAAAAGAACTATTTACCACCCAAAGCCCTCATTGTAAATTGAAAACGTGTGACAGATGCTCCTGAAAATCAAAAGATCATGTTACTCAGAAAGTTTTAGAGTGCGTGCAAAGCAAAGGTTTTTGAAACATGGTGGCAAATGAGAGAGAGAGAACTGACGGCTTTGAAAACGGTGGTGGCTGAACAAAGAACTGGCAGCGATAATAGCTTTGGCAAGCGATAGCGGCGGCAAGAAAAAGCAAAGGCTGAAAAGGATTTTTCGATGATACTAATATCTTTTTCATAAAAGTTTGGTTTCTTTCATTCACAATGTGTAAGTATTTATACACCTTAGTATTTTCTATGATGATATCAAATTTATAGAAAATAGTGTTTCATAAGAATTTTTATGCGATATTATCGATTTTAGGTATCATATCACACACGTCACATAATAAAAATAGAAAGTCTATGTATCATATACAAAAAATGGCATATTACATTTTCATGATAATTACTCCGAGATTATATATATATATATATATATATATCAAAAAGGATTAGATCGAATATTATCACACACATCACATAATAAAAATAGAAATCTATATATCATATACAAAAATGGCATATTACATTTTTCTGATAATTACTCTGAGATTTTATATACATATGTATCAAAAATGGATTAGATCGAATATTATCACACACGTCACATAATAAAAATAGAAATTTATGTATTATATACAAAAAATGGCATATTACATTTTCCTGATAATTACTCCGAGATTTTATATACATATGTATCAAAAATGGATTAGATCGAATATTATCACACACGTCACATAATAAAAATAGAAATATATATATTATATACAAAAATGGCATATTACATTTTCCTGAGATTTTATATATATATATATATATCAAAAATGGATTAGATCGAATATTATCACACACATCACATAATAAAAATAGAAATTTATGTATCATATACAAAAAATGGCATATTACATTTCCTGATAATTACTCTGAGATTTTATATATATATATATATATATAATATTAGATCGAATATTATTATTTGGTAAGTGTCAGAAAAGAAAAAATCTAAATAATTAGAAAAATTAGAAATCTAATCCATTTTTTATACATAAATGCATATAAAATCTCTAACTAATTATCAGGAAAATTCAATACATCTGTTTTGCGTATAATTATTGACTTTACATTTTATGTTGTGACGTGTGTGATATGATAACTAAAATTGGTAATAGTTTCTAATAGCTAAAACATTATTTTCTAAAACTAAATACATTTTTTTCTAATATTAATTAAAATGAAAAAAAAAACTATACTGAATAGAAGAAAGAGTTTGAACCTCTAAAGTTATGTATTTCACTTTGAACCAAATAATCCACAGTGCCATACAATTCATTCTTTAAAATAGCTACGAGTACACTTAATCGCAAGATCTCCAAATTATGAATCCAAATCAAACCTATACTTGGATTCGTAGGATAATCAATAATGTAACTAACCTCTCGCCTCCTACCTCTAAACATTTTGACAATTGAGTTCTTTTATTACTTATCCAACGTAAAATTTATATCCTCAACCATTTCCATCTCAAACGAGTACGTAGTGAGGTCGAATTTTTTCATAGATTCGACCCTTTGCTATATAACACAATAATTGTTGTGTGTATGCATTCTCATTTTCAAGTAAAACTTGATAACACATGATTTTCGCTACAATATATGGCACATCACCAAGACACCAACCATGATGATACCCAAGCGAAAATAGCCGGTTTATTATAACCAAACCATAATAACCGGTACAGTTGATAAACCAAAAAAATAAATTTAAAAAAAAAACCGAGTCCCAATTAGGGTACAGTTATCTTCTTCAACCTCCAAATCTTCTTCATCTGGGTTTCATCAAGTCCAGTTGATGAAATTCACCTGATTTCGAGTTAAGGAATCGCCATGGATATCGATGTTGGACCCGTCGATCCGTCTTTCCTCCACGAGCAAGATCTCCATGTCTCTTCTTCAATTTGGGAAGGACAGGTTTTTTCTCCAATCCCCTTTCTTCCTCAATCTCTCGATTTTCGATTCCAATTTCAATTAAATGTCTTCAACTTTAAATCCCTTAGGAACGAGGGCTGCTTCGTTGCCAAGAGCACACTTCACTACTTCACCAATGGAAACTCACCGACGAACAAACCAAGCTCGTGGACAAAGCAGGTTTCGGATTCTTCCGCAAAATCGGTCCAATGAGCTTAAACAACTCCCTAATCTCTTCACTCGTCGAGCGATGGAGAAGAGAAACCAACACGTTTCATCTCCCTCTAGGAGAAATGACGATAACCTTAGACGAGGTAGCGTTAGTTCTGGGACTCGAAATCGACGGAGACCCCATTGTTGGATCCAAAGTAGGAGACGAGATTGCGATGGATATGTGTGGTAGACTCTTAGGGAAACTTCCATCTGCTGCTAACAAAGAAGTGAATTGCTCTAGAGTTAAGCTGAATTGGCTCAAAAGAACGTTCTCAGAGTGTCCTGAAGATGCTTCTTCTGATGTTATCAAATGCCATACTCGAGCTTATCTCTTGTATCTTATAGGTAGTACCATCTTCGCTACTACTGATGGTGATAAAGTCTCTGTGAAGTATCTGCCTTTGTTTGAGGATTTTGATCAAGCTGGGAGGTATGCTTGGGGCGCTGCTGCGTTGGCTTGTTTATACAGAGCGCTTGGGAACGCGTCGCTTAAGTCTCAGAGCAATATCTGTGGTTGCTTGACATTGCTACAGGTTAGTTTTGAGGCTTTATGTGTCCATTTGAGATTTTGATTATCTTTAGTGGAAGTGCCATTGTTCTTGCTTATGGTTGTAGTGTTGGAGTTACTTTCACTTGGATATTGGTAGACCGGAGAAATCTGAAGCGAGCTTCCCGCTTGCTCTGTTGTGGAAAGGTAAAGGCAGTAGATCGAAGACCGATCTATCTGAGTACCGCAGAGAGATTGATGATCTTGATCCAAGCAAGGTAAAGCATTCATTTTTCACCGTTAAGAGTTTGTTTATTGGTCTTCTTGTTGTTGATTTGATGGTGTTGGGAAATGCAGATCACTTGGTGCCCTTATGAAAGATTTGAGAACATGATCCCTCCACAGATGAAAGCCAAGCTGAGTCTAGGAAGATCGAAGACGACTCTTGTGTGCTTTGAGAAGATAGAGCTGCATTTTCCGGATAGGTGTTTGAGGCAGTTTGGGAAACGGCAGCCGATACCTCAGAAAGTGAAACGGCGTGATAGAAAGAACAGGAGGGTCGATGACTTGGACACGTCAATGACTCTAGCGTGTGATGAATGGGCTGAGCGTGGAGAGCATATCGTGGACAGTCCTGGAGGTGGCAGTGTGGTGGATGATGGAGCTTATACGGAATGGTATGCTCGGATCAGTATCACCAAATTATACAGAGAAGCGTTTCTTGAGTCCCAAGTCATGAATATGGTAAGAGAAAGGATGAATCTTTGCTTTCAAAACATGCTCTGTTTAAAACCCTCAAAAACCGAATTTGTATTGGTTTTGTGTAGATTGCTTGTATGAGGGAGTTTGAGGAAGCTGCTTCAGGGATTTCGTTGGAGAGATTGTCTCCGGTAGAGAGGGAAGTGATGGAGAGTGTGAAGGAAACGTTCTCTAATAGCTTGACGTTTGGAGGATGGCAAGAGGTGGCTGTTAACAGTGGTTATGGGAAACGCCGGCGTCGGAATGAACAAACTCCGACGACAAATAATGGTGGTGCTGATCTTTCATCTCTATTGCTTCCAAAGGACACATGAAACTTTTTGTTTTCTTTTCTGTTAGTTATGTATATATTAACTCATAGTGAACTTTGTTGGAACTTGGAAAAACACAAATTCTGCTTCTCTCTGCTTCATCTGCATTGGTCAATCTCGGGCTAAACCTTAAAAGTATAACTATTGCTTTTTACAAGAATAATATTTTTCTCGATGACAAACAAAATGTATTTGGGTCTGCAAACTTTTATTGATGAACTATCACACATATGCTCTGCAAAAGACTAATTGTTGAAGTCACACTATGAAATGCATAGTATATATATGTCTGATAGAAGAAGAAGAAGAAAAGGCTTAGAACATGCATGAAATCCAGCAAAAGCATCCCACAGAAGTCTCTTTTATTCTGGAACCGGAACAAGACTTGGAACATACACAATCCAAGAATGTCTATCACCACGTATACGTTGCCTTGTAATCTCACCTAGTTTTTCTATCTCACCCTCATCACCTATTTCGCAGAAATTGGTGCAAACAGCTTCATCATTCCACTCCTCGCACCATGACATGATCTTCTTGGTCTTGAGGATGAAAGTTGTTGAGTCACGGGGATCGAAACAAGAGCCGAGTTTTGGGGGATCAGGGGTTAAACTAAAGTACTTGCTCCACGAGACAGTCCCATCATCAGTCAACTTGCTTGTAACCCACACTTCAATCTTCTTCGCATGTTTCTCTCGATGTAGCAAAGAAAGCCTATCTCCTCCGAAACTTGACAAGGCTACATACAAAAAAAATCATCATTTCCATTCGGAACGCAACATATGGGCTTGAATGTTTCTGTGGAAAAATCAAAACTTTGGATAATGGTTTCCGTTTTGGAGTCAGCAATCTTCGTCTTTCGAGCAATCCAATACATGTTTCCATTCATAGACACACATCTCGACGGTGGAGAGCATTCGAGAGTAGCATTGACACTTCTCCAGACTTTAGACTCAAACTCATATATCTCAACGCCTTTGATGATATCATACCTGGTGCCGAATCCGAGCCTCAAGATCTTGTACTTGTCACGAGATACATTGTCGTATCCAACACCGTAGAAATCATAATATTTGGAAAGACTTGAGAGTTGAATCCATTTGATTCGGCTAAAAACCGGATTCAAAACTGCGAGCTTTGCATGCATCACCTCCTTCAATACCTTTCTCACGACACGTACATAGCAATAATCCGTCGCAGTGAAACGTATTCAGAATATTATAATTGTGTAACTCGTCTGGGGTTTGTCGACATAAGAAAGCTTGGTTCTCAAGATTTGAGAGCTGAAACGATTTATGATGGACTAGCATGAATCGTTCATGGGAGAGATCAAAGTGTTTGTACCTGAATATCTTGTCGTTGAAGAGAGCGTACCATTGTTTGCTTACGGATTTGAATCGGAACAAAGCTTCGATCGGAGTCCTGTATAGTATCTCTTCTACTAACTCAAAAGGCAGTAACGACGGCGAAAGCTGCTTTGGTGAACAAGTCATGGAGACAATCAGAAAACTAGGTCACCAAGAGAAAAGAAAACAAACAAAATACTCCTTTTTGTACCTAATTGACTACTTTCAAAAAAGTCAAAAATTTTAATTGGAAAATTATTATCCTTTAAATAAATAAATAATAATTTCCTTTTAAAAAATTATAAACTAATTTACGTTCTCTACTTGTATAATTGTATTGCTTCATAGTCTTTTGTCTTTTTTTTTTGGACAACAACCCATTCAATGTTTTTTAATCTTTCTCAAGAATCTTTGCCTTAAGATTTCTATAAGCCGTTGGTCTTTGTAATTTTTCAGCCATTGGTCGTTGTATTTATCCAAACTCATAGTCTTTGTGTACTTTTGAGCCTTGTGTTTATCGCAAGGACATACTTCTTGGTTCATAGTTCTTTTGTGAGTCTAATGCATCCAAGAAAGAAAAACTAAGCAGTGAATCTAATAACTTTACTTGACTACTATCTTGTAACACCTTGTGCTCATTTCAGCTAGCTAGCATTTGTAATCGTATAACAGGCATGATCAATTGAAAGAAGTTTTCACAACTCTTTTTTCTAATCAATGTTTTTAGTTATATCATCCACATGGGTCTGACTCAGACGATTGGAGCTCATTCTTTATATTTTAACCCAAAAAAAACACAATAACTTATAACCATATCGATCCAACACTCAAATCTGAAAATTTGATCTTGGGTTCGGTACAGAAAATGAGATGAACCGGTTTATGTTGAATGGCTTAGCCTTAAACTCAAAGATACAAAGAAGAACGTTGGAAGACTCTAGCCAGGCAAGAGGGTTTGCTGTTACAAAAAGTAGAAAGCCAATGAGCATATCTGTACTCTTTTCTACTTCGTCTTCCTCTGCAAGTATTCACTTTTTCTTCTTTGCTCTTGGAAGAAATGAGCTAAGCTATTTTGCAAAAACTTCTTCTTTGTTCTACTAAAGTTAAGACCTTTCATTTTCCAAAACCTCAAACTAAATCAATGGCGTCCAGGAGATTGTCCAAGTATGCTTTTTCGAAGCCCTCTCTCCTCCTCCATTCTCGTGCTATCTCTGGCTCCTCTGCTCACTTCAGCTCGCGTTCCTCTCCCAAGTCGTTTCCTTTCCGGCCAAGTTCCTTCATCGGAGTTTCGGGAAACGGCATAGCTTCGGTCACTCGAGCTGCTACTTACGGCCAGCTGTTACCTTCTTCTTTCCATTTCCCTTCTTCTCGCTGCTTCTCAGATACCGCATTTCAGGTTCGTGGCTAGTAACATTGTGGATTTTCAGTTTATTGGGTCGATTTTGGTCCTTGGAACTTTTATCGTTTAGAGTCTTTATACTGTTCATCAACTCGATTTTTATGGGTTTCTGTTTTGTAAAGGTTGGTCCTTTAGTGAATATTTGTTGATTTTCAAGGGAAAGTTCGAACCTTTCCTCTTGATTCTCACTATCAGTATCTCTTCGATTCAGCTTTCATGGGTTTCGCTTTTGGCAAAAGGTTTGCCTTTTAGGAATAATTTATTGATTTTTAGGGGAAAGTTGTAATCTTTACTCTTTTTTTGCTCATAATCTCTTCCGATCTGTGAGAAACAGTCTTAATTTGTTCTTTCGGTGGACTAATCCAAATGCGTATACGGAGATGGCTTGGGAAGCGATTTTTCAGTGCCTATGAAGCAACAAATTGTTGAATCCGAACACTTTGATGCAAAGCTCTTCTCGAGCAAAAAGAGTTTGAATTTGTCCTTTTCTTTCCCCTTTCTGTAGGATGCAGATATGAAGATTACAAGGATGGTTCGGGAAGGACTTTTCAAAGCCGTAAAAGCAGCTCGTAATTCGGAGCAACAAACTGTCGAATCAGAACACTTGATGAAAGCTCTGTTGGAGCAAAAAGAAGGCCTTGCCAGTCAAATATTTGCAAAAGCTGGAATCAGCAACAGCTCTCTTCTGCAAGCTACGAACGACTTCATATCTTCACAAGCAAAGGTATTGACGCTAACTTTTCTTGTGCATCTGAACATATTTTTTCCTGCTTCCCCCTTATATTTCTCACTAGTCTACTTAATTTCTTGTGCCCTCTAGGATATAGGTGATGACAGCGGTCAGATATCTACGTTTACAAAATGGTTTTGTGCACAACCACAACCTAAGGTGTTGCAGCTAACTTGTAACGTGCATATGTAGCTTCCCCTTATTTTCTCACTAGGCTTAACTTGAATCAACTGAATTTCTTATGAACGGCAGGTTAGTATAGGGTCATCTATCGAAACTGTATTTATGCACGCAGCTTGGTATATGGAAGAGCTTGAAGATGATCATGTGTCGGTGGAACACCTTCTGTTGGCCTTTTATTCGGATGAAAGGTTTGGACAAGATTTGTTCAAGACGCTGAAACTTGATGAGAAAGCCCTCAAGGATGCTATTATAGCTGTTTGTGGTAGTCAACAAGCGACTGGTCAAAGTAAGTATTGTGTTCTTTGCAGCTTTAAATGTACACATTTTGTGGATGATGTTTTTGTCCTGTGGAGAAATTTAAACATTATGCTACTTGAAGGCTTGACTGTTAAAAGAATGATGTTTTCTCAAGCTGACAAAAGATGGTGTCGACGTCTCATTGAATGTTTTGTAACTTCTTGCGTCGTTTAATGTCTGTTTTAATAGCATGTGAAGCTACAAATGTAGAGCCTACAGTAACATATACAGCACTTGGAAAGTATGGAAATGATTTAACCGAGATGGCTAGACAAGGACAGCTCGATCCTGTCATTGGACGGGATGATGAAATTCGGCGTTGCATCCAGATACTATGCAGGAAGACAAAAAGCAATCCTGTTATCGTTGGTGAGCCTGGTGTAGGGAAAACTGCAATTGCATAAGGGTAAGGCTAGGCAATTTTATCCTTTTTTTTTGTAATATCTCTGAAAACTTATGTTTTTACTCTCCTGAGAGATATTTAACTGAGAGTTTTAACCTTTTCAGGTTGGCCCAGCGGATTGTACGAGGGGATGTCCCTGAACCTCTCCTGAATCAAAAGGTTATTTTTAAGATTGCTCCAGTTTTCTGTTAATTGGTTCACCTGTTGTCTTCAAAGGAAGATTTTAACATGTTTGGCTTGGTTGCTTTATAATGTAGTTGATATCTCTCGACATGGGTTCACTGCTTGCTGGTGCCACACATGCAGGACAATTTGAGCGAAGGTTGGAAGCAGTACTGAAGGATGTAACTGATTCAAATGGGAATACAATCTTGTTCATCGATGAAATCCACATTCTTGTTAGTGCAGGTATCCTCTCATCTTATACACAATACTTTTACTTTTAATCATCTTATTCATACATTCATGTATGTGTTCATGAGTCATCATTGGTCTCAGTTGTACTTTTACCTATCAAGTTTTCTTGTCTACCATATCTTCTGCCTTACACTAATGTTTTAGGGTGAAACTAATGAATTGGCTAATGTGTAGGAGGTGTTCCAGGAAGAATGGATGCAAGCGACATGTTGAAACCAATGCTTGGACGAGGTGAACTGCGATGCATTGGTGCAACTACACTGACGGAATACCGCCAATACATAGAGAAGGATCCAGCTCTGGCACGTAGGTTTCAGCAAGTGTTATGTGGCCCGCCATCTGTTGAAGATACCATCTCTATTCTCCGTGGGTTAAGAGAGCGGTACGAGGTACACCATGGTGTTAGAATATCAGATAGTTCCCTTGTTGCAGCAGCGGTTCTTGCAGACCGTTACATCACTGAACGCTTCCTGCCAGACAAAGGTAATAAACTTGCACCGTAGGAAAATAATTATTGTTGGCCTCACGAATAGCATTGTTTTCTAAGATGTAAGTTGTTTGTTTCAGCTATTGATCTTGTTGATGAAGCTGCTGCAAAGCTGAAGATGGAGATCACTTCTAAACCTACAGAACTCGATGAAATAAACAGAGCTTTGATCACACTGGAAATGGAAAGGCTATCTTTGAAAAGGGATAATGATAAAACTTCTAAAGAACGGCTACGAAAGGTTGAAAATGATTTGACCACACTCAAACATAAAGAGAAAGAAGTCACTGAGAAATGGGAGCAAGAGAAGTCTCTCATGAACAAAATAAAGGTAAAATCTTTCTTCCCCACTGCAATCTTTAGATATATATATATATATAGTAACCTTAATATCTCCTAAACAGATTTTATGTTTCACAGATAGATAGAGTGAACCTTGAAATCAATTCTGGTAAACCTGAGATTATGTCCCTCCAACGTCAGTTAGAGAAAGCTGAGAAGAGTCTCATGAATTTCCGAGAGTCTGAACAGTCACTAGTCCGAGAAGAGGTAACTGAGTTTCACATAGCAGAGATAGTAAGCAAGTGGACCGGTATTCCTCTATCGAATCTTCAGCAGTCAGAGAGAGAAAAGCTGGTCATGTTGGAACAAGTGCTCCACAAGAGAGTTGTTGGTCAAGACATGGCTGTAGAAGCAATAGCAGATGCTATCCGTTGTTCAAAGGCTGGTCTTACAGATCCTAACCGTCCTCTAGCTAGTTTTATGTTCATGGGTCCAATAGGTGTTGGTAAAACCGAGCTTGCCAAGGCTCTAGCTGGATACCTATTCAACACTGAAAACGCAATAGTGAGGTTTGATATGAGTGAGTACATGGAAAAATCTCGGTCTTGCGGCTTCTTGGTGCACCTCCTGGCACTATCGGTTACGAAGAAGGTGGACATTAACTGAAGCGGTTCGCAGGAGACCTTACTCAGTGGTTCTGTTTGATGAGATCGAGAAAGCACACCGTGATGTCTTTAATATCTTGTTACAGCTACTAGACGATGGAAGAGTGACTGATTCTCAAGGGAGGACAGCAAGTTTCAGAAACTGCTTTGTGATAATGACTTCTAATATAGGATCTCACTACATACTTGAGACTCTTCGCAACAATGGAGATGGCAAAGAAGCGGTTTACGAGATGATGAAGAGGCAGTTGTGGAGTTAGCAAGAAGAACATTCAATCCAGAGTTCATGAATAGAATTGACGAATACATTGTCTTCCAGCCGTTGGATTTAAAAGCAATATCCAAAATCGTTGAGTTTCAGGTACTTTTGTCAGAATCACTATTCTTGAATCTGTAGATATATTTTTATTTATGTTTGGTTTTGGTTTGGTATAAAAGTATTGTTACCATTTGGTGGTAGATGGGACGAGTGAAGAAGATGTTGGAACAAAAGAAAATGAATCTCGAGTACACAAAAGAAGCGTTGGATCTTCTTGCTCAGCTTGGGTTTGATCCTAACAATGGAGCAAGACCAGTGAAGAGAGTGATCCAGGAGATTGTGAAGAAGGAGATCTCATTGAAGCTTTTGAAGGGAGAATTTGCAGAGGAAGACACTATTCTTCTAGATGTTGACCAGACAAACAACAAACTTGTCATCAAGAAGCTCGAGATTGATAATGCTCAAGTTGAAGAAATGGTAGCTTGATGATGATCATTCAAACAAAACTAGACAATTCGGTTCCATCGTTTAAAAACTCTTTGTTCTATCTATCTTTTGTAGATTCATAACTCCAGTGCTCTGTTTTCTAGAACAGGTCAGAAGTGTATCTTCTATTATAGAGTATTTTGAGTTATGAACTCCAATGAAGATGGCAACTTAACATAGCTTATTATATTAAATTTTAAAACAGAGAGAAACATATTGGCAAATGAAACAGAAGCAGCAAAGGAAATGAACAAGAACACAATTACAAGCAACACAGAGAGTTAAGATAAGTAGGAATGTTCTTAAGACAAGGCAAAAGCAGGGGTGGTCTTAAAGTCAAGTTCCCAGAGATCAAACGTTCCATTAACGAAATCGTAGTGAGCTCCTCTAATGGCGAGCTTGTTCTTCATCACTCTTTCTCTCACGAATGGGTAAGACAAGAGATTCCCCAAGGAAACGTTCACGGCTTCCTGTAAAACACAAGAAAATCTAAAATCTCAGTTTCTTTGCCTTAAAAGTAAGACTAAAAAAAACAGAACAAAGATTGTGTCTGTAGTCTGTACCTTCTCACAGTAGTTGCACTGATCGTCGAAGCTCAGATCACTGAAATCCTCCTTGACCCTGTTCTTGGCCGGTGTACCGATCTGGACCCAGTTTTCAATGAAGACGCTGCCATTTCAAGAAAGTTAGTGAAATCAATCACCAAGAACATGTTTATCATGCTTGCTCATATAATTAGAGGATATTGATTGTAATTAGCATTTTGTGATAAGTTACCTCTTGGGAGCTGAATCATCTTCCATGGACATGAGTCCCTTTATTCCACCACAACGGCTGTGACCAATCACCAGAATGTTCTCCACCTGATTATAATGAGACACATTGCATTAGCTTAGGGTTAAAACTAGGTCACATCAGGTTTTTACTAAGCTTCTTATGCAAGACAAGAGAAATATATCTCTAAGAACTGAGAAGCAAGTGTTTATTACTTACGTTGAGGTGCGTAACTGGATATTCAAGAGCGGCACCAACACCAGAGTGTTGATTCTGCAAGTTTCCAAACAAACAAAAAAAAACTAATGTTATTAGTTTATTTTTATAATAATCATTAATAAACAAACAACTTGTGATCTTTATGTAAGTAATAAAATATAGAGTTGGATTTTTTTTGTCTTCTTTAAGACGAACCTTGTCAAAAGGTGGCACCATGTTGGCAATGTTTCTAACGATAAAAGCTTCCCCAGGTTGGAAATTCAAGATGTGAGATGGGCTCACTCGGGAATCCGAACAAGCAAACACCAGAAACTGCACACACAAAAAATCATATTGGATAAAAGGCTTTTTTTTTTGTTGAAGCAAGACTAAAGGCTTTCTTGCAACTAAAGGCTTCTATGAGTGGTCATGCATGTCTAGATTCGCAGCAGGAAGAATCAATCCCTGGCCTAGACCCATATGATGAATCTCTTTCAAGTGCGTAGTATTCATTTCTTGTTTCTAATTTTACTGGTTCTAGTTTTGTGTGTGTATGTGTACTATATAGCTTGCCCATAAAGTTACCATCATCATTAGTCATTACATTACAATGGACTAGAAAAATTATTCTGTTTGAAAGAAGAATAAAGAGATTGGCAAAATCAAAACCTTGGGGCTCTGGCTCTTGGCAAGTGCACTGTACAAACCAGGTCTCTTCCTGGAATTTAATGAAAAACCAATAAGATAATGAGCAATCTTCAAATTCAAGACTCAAGCTTTTGTTTAACCAAGACGCCGTTTAACTTTTAAAACATCCAAAACTTAAAGAAACCCTTTTTCCCTGTCTTATCCCCCCATCCCACTTTGATTAAAAAAATAAGTACTTAACTTTATAAGCAATGTTATAATACGTTTGCTAGTTATGAGTGTTGGTGGATTTATATATATTAAAAGTATATTGAAATGGACGGATCCATACGTAACAATAGTTTAAAACTTACTGATATTTGCGAGTCTTGAAATGGATAAAACCCGATTTGATTCGTTCTACAGCATCTGATGACTTGTTTGAATCATTTTCCTCTAGCTCATCCGTTAACTTCTTGATTTTTGCGACCGCCAATTCACCGAGATCCAATTTCTTGCTGCACATATTAAACAATATTTAGAAGACATATATACAAAATAATAATTTTAATAATAATATTCAAAGTTGAAAGTACAATGCCAAATGTCGGACTTGATTGGGAGACGAAGAGAGAGTGTCTGTGTGTGTACCTGAGAAGCTCTCCTAGTCTCTTAAGGGCATCTTCGTACGACTCCATCGCCATTTCTATTGCGTTCCAAGAACATAAACGAAAGAAATAATTTAGATAAGAAATTTTTTGAGAACTTGTACAAAAACATGAGTTAATGCGATTGAAATTATCGATCAATGAGTCAACACTATCGAAATCTAACTACGGTTTCATTTAAACGAGTGAAACAGAAACAGAGATCATTATATATATTATTTCTGATTATCTAAATCTAGAACAAACACGAAATGGTGAAATAAGAAAAAAAAAATTGAAGAGATTATGATGATTAGTTTCTAGACGGACCTTGGAGGTGCGTTCGAAAACAATAGATGAGTATGATATTCGAAAAGTGAATACAGTTTTAATTTTTTTTTACTTGATATTGCAAGAAGATGGTCTCTACTCCGATATTTATAGCCAGAGATCAGTGACACTTCATTACGCGGAAATTTTTATATGCTTTAACTTGTCTTTAACGTATGCATTTTTTATTTACCTAAAGTGTTATTTAAACAGAACTTTTGGGGATAGACGCGTGATAAAGTAAAATGGAACGTTAAAAAAATAATACGAAACGTTTTAATTGCATGCAGAAAGAAAGAAACCTCTAAAATAAGAATATTTGGTCTTTGGAAGAAAACAAGAAGATAGACACCAGTATTCATCATTTTCGTTATGTGTCTCCATGTTCTCTATCGCCTATCGGCAATTGTTTTTCTTTCAATTACTTTAAGCTTTCTTGACAATGAATACTAGATAAAGATCGATTTATTTAGGAGTATAGTTAGTATTATGTTAGAAGACAGACTGAGATCTTAGATTGAGTGGTGGAGATGACTAAGAATATGATCCGATTACATAATAGTCTAGAAAAACTTTGTTCAGCTATAAGAATATGAGATCCTTGAATTTTAACCTAAATTTTTGTTTTTTTTGGTAAAATGTGAATTTTAAAAATTTATCATTGCTTTTCTTCGTTCTGACTTTGATTTCTACCGATTTCGCTTGACTCTCTTTTTCTTTGCTATTTCTTTGATTTAGACTCTCGGCTTTGATTTCTAAAGCTTAGTCGTAACTCAACCATTCTCTTTAGAAACCAATATTTTGAAGCTTTTATTCTTGTTTCTTTTTTTCTTTTCCTTCATTTCATGATTTTGTCAAATGCTCATATTTTATTTACATTTTTTCCAAATTTGTCGGTGCGCTTTCTTCCATCATCAGTTGGAATATATGAAACATGCATTTTGCATTGTCATGTACATATAATTTCTCATCAAGGCCTGATTCATAAGCATATGAATCTTCAATAATCCACACTAGAAAACATCAACAGTAATAATATCTCAGTATTAGAAAACTCCATCTTCAGTACTCTTAAGGACTATTATGGTTTAATCACTTTGGGTGAAAGACAACCAGCTCACAAATTATAGAGGACTAGATAAAGTTTTTTTCTTTTTGCTTACAGACAACTAGATAAAGTTGTTTGGTATCATTTGGAGTTTTTGATTAGATATAGTATATATTACTATATTAGCAATTCATTTGGGTTCCCTCCACCAATAACATATTAAAAGTACCAAGTTATAAAGAAACTGCATATGTACATTCAAAAGCTTACCGATCCCATGATAAAATGCACATGCTTGAAGTTCACTAATTATAAAAAATAGCTTGTTTAGTAGCTAAATCTGATAGTTAGTTTTGTACTTTTCATTCGAATAGTTTTTAAGAAGTTGAAAATGACGGGTAAAAAACTTGGCTACGAACCACCGTGTCCTTTGAAGCTCATTTGAAGAACTTGTAAAGATCAAAGGGACTGAGCCTTAATGGATCCATATGGGTTATGATGACATGGCGACATTTTAGTTCATTAGTTAATTAACTACATGATTAATTTTTCTATGCTTGATACAGAGTTCAAATCAAATTATCGTCATTTGATTGAAAGATATAAAAACAACATTATGGGTTTTTAAATATTTGCGGAACATTATTACGTAGCTTTGTTTACGCATAAAAATTATATAGGCAATTTATATAGCATACAAATGGCAGAGGATAACATAGATATCCGAAACAATAAGGTCAAATACGCAAATTACGGTATATAGAATTGTCATAGACTTACATATATGGATTAAAAGTAACCCCTCATGAAAGAAATGAGAAACATTTTACCGGAAACAAAAAAAGAGAAATGAGAAACATGAATCCGAATGAAATTTTAATAGCCAAATAATTCATCCGAACCTTGGAAATGAAAGTGACTAGGAACAAAAAGAATAAGAAAGATAGTACACCATATGAGACATGGTATCATATTGATGACTTACATAGAACGATTTTAATAATATAAAGGTGGCGGCGAAGATTTGTAGTCAACCTTTGGAGAAGGCGAGTAATATGGTAGTGGAGGTGGGGAATTGTAGACATACAATGGTGGAGGATATTTGTAATCAACTAGTGGAGAAGGAGAGTAATATGTTGGTGGAGGTGGAGAACTGTAGACATATGGTGGTGGTGGAGACTTGTATTCAACCTTAGGGGAAGGTGAGTAGTATAGTGGTGGTGGGGAGCTATAGACGTAAGGAGGTGGAGGAGATTTGTAGTCTACCTTAGGAGAAGGCGAGTAGTATGGTGGTGGTGGAGAGCTGTATACATATGGTGGTGGTGGTGATTTGTATGTTGGTTTAGGTGAAGGAGAGTAGTATGGTGGTGGTGGAGAGCTGTAGACATATGGTGGTGGAGGAGACTTGTACTCAACCTTAGGGGAAGGAGAGTAGTATGGTGGTGGTGGGGAACTATAGACGTATGGTGGTGGTGGAGATTTGTATGCCGGTTTAGGGGAAGGCGAGTAGTATGGTGGTGGTGGAGAGCTGTAGACGTATGGAGGTGGTGGAGATTTGAAGTCAACCTTGGGAGAAGGAGAGTAGTATGGTGGTGGTGGGGAACTGTAAACATACAGGGGAGGTGGAGATTTGTATGTGGGCTTGTAGTATGGTGGTGGTGGAGAGCTATAGACGTATGGAGGTGGTGGAGATTTGTATTCAACTTTAGGTGAAGGAGAGTAATATGGTGGTGGTGGGGAGCTGTAAACATATGGTGGAGGTGGAGATTTGTATGTGGGCTTGGGAGAAGGTGAGTAGTATGGTGATGGTGGAGAGCTGTAGACGTAAGGAGGTGGAGGAGATTTGTAGTCTACCTTAGGAGAAGGCGAGAAGTATGGTGGTGGTGGAGAGCTGTATACATATGGTGGTGGTGGTGATTTGTATGTTGGTTTAGGTGAAGGAGAGTAGTATGGTGGTGGTGGAGAGCTGTAGACATATGGTGGTGGGGAGATTTGTAGTCTACCTTAGGAGAAGGCGAATAGTATGGTGGTGGTGGAGAGCTGTACACATATGGTGGTGGTGGTGATTTGTATGTTGGTTTAGGTGAAGGAGAGTAGTATGGTGGTGGTGGAGAGTTGTAAACATATGGTGGTGGAGGAGATTTGTAGTTTACTTTAGGAGAAGGCGAGTAGTATGGTGGTGGTGGAGAGTTGTATATATATGGTGGTGGTGGTGATTTGTATGTTGGTTTAGGTGAAGGAGAGTAGTATGGTGGTGGTGGAGAGCTGTAGACATATGGTGGTGGAGGAGATTTGTAGTCTACCTTAGAAGAAGGCGAATAGTATGGTGGTGGTGGAGAGCTGTATACATATGGTGGTGGTGGTGATGTGTATGTTGGTTTAGGTGAAGGAGAGTAGTATGGTGGTGGTGGAGAGCTGTAGACGTAAGGAGGTGGAGGAGATTTGTATTCTACCTTAGGAGAAGGCGAGTAATATGGTGGTGGTGGAGAGCTGTATACATATGGTGGTGGTGGAGACTTATATGTAGGCTTAGGAGAAGGTGAGTAGTATGGTGGTGGTGGGGAGCTGTAGACATAAGGAGGTGGGGGAGAATTGTAGTCTACCTTAGGTGAAGGGGAGTAGTATGGTGGTGGTGGAGAGTTGTATACATATGGTGGTGGTGGTGATTTGTATGTTTGTTTAGGTGTAGGAGAGTAGTATGGTAGTGGTGGAGAGCTGTAGACATATGGTGGTGGAGGAGACTTGTATTCAACTTTAGGGGAAGGAGAGTAGTATGGTGGTGGTGGGGAACTATAGACGTATGGAGGTGGTGGAGATTTGTATGCGGGTTTAGGGGAAGGCGAGTAGTATGGTGGTGGTTGAGAGCTGTAGACGTATGGAGGTTGTGGAGATTTGTACTCAACCTTGGGAGAAGGAGAGTAGTATGGAGGTGGTGGGGAGCTGTAGACGTATGGAGGTGATGGAGATTTGTATTCAACTTTAGGTGAAGGAGAGTAGTATGGAGGTGGTGGTGGAGAGCTGTAGACGTATGGAGGTGGTGGAGATTTGTATTCAACCTTTGGTGCAGGAGAATACACTAGAGGTGGTGGGGAACTGTATACGTAAGGAGGTGGTGGAGACTTGTATTCAACCCTTGGGGATGGAGAATATGCTGGTGGTGGTGGAGAGCTGTATACGTATGGTGGAGGTGGAGATTTGTATTCAACCTTTGGGGCTGGAGAATACACCGGTGGTGGAGGAGAGTTGTAGACGTATGGAGGTGGTGGAGACTTATATTCAACTGTTGGGGCTGGAGAATACACTGGTGGTGGTGGAGAGCTGTAGACGTATGGAGGTGGTGGAGACTTGTATTCAACCTTTGGGGCTGGAGAATACATGGGTGGTGGTGGAGAACTATAGACGTATGGAGGAGGTGGAGACTTGTATTCAACTTTTGGGGCTGGAGAATACACCAGTGGTGGTGGAGAGCTGTAAACATATGGAGGAGGTGGAGAGTTGTATTCAACCTTTGGGGTTGGAGAATACACCGGTGGTGGTGGAGAGCTGTATATATATGGAGGTGGTGGAGACTTGTATTCAACATTTGGTGCAGGAGAATACACCGGTGGTGGTGGAGAGCTATATGTGTAGGGTTCATAAGAAGCAGCAACCATTGTTGCCATGATAACAAAACCAAAGGCATAAACAAGATGGGTTGAACGCCCCATCCTAGGAGAAGATTTCATTTTTATTTTGATTGCTTCTCCAACGCTTCACTTTGTTGTTTTTGCTTTTTTGTTTTGTTTTATGATTCTACATTACTTGTTCGTGTCTTTATATAGCCTATGGTTTTGCCATATCTTTTCCTTGCATGTCGATTATCGTGGAAGCATGTCTACGATTGTTACTATCGTGAGAGTGAGACGTGCAAGAACGTGCAACATTGTCAACGTCGACCCACTAAACTAATAGATATATAATCAGATTCCGAAGTTATAATTTTGAGAATGATTAAAGCCTAAAAGATAATACTACCAAGAAAAAAAACTAGACTTGGAAGAAAGTAAACCAAGAGGTGAGAAAAGAAACTACGGAGAAAAGGGTTTGCATAAAAATGAAGGAGCTAATTCGCACGTAAATTACTAAATTGCCGTCTGATAATTTCACGTCGAAATAAACTAATATTCTTTGCACGTTGAAAACAAGTAATAAAAATAATAATAATCATCGGTAAATTAAGTGTTTTAAAATAAATCATCGGTGGAGTGATAACGTAAAAAAACAAAAACAACGTGGCCAACTGAGATGAGTCAACTAACAGGAGCCCGTTGGATAATGTGGCAAAATGAAATAAACTTTTTTTTGGTCGTAATGTAAACTTTTTAATTCTAAACACTTTTATGTTGATTTAATCATTTGCATTGCATGTTGTGAAAAAAAAAAGTCTCTGAAATCTGTAAGTTTTTTTAAGACCGGGTCTGGTTGTTTCCCTTTGTCTATGAAACTCCTCTAGTCTTCTGTATTATGCACTTGGCCTTGGCTTCGTAAAGCCCTTTTCACAAGATTACGAAAAACAAAAAACACTTGGCCGCAGTCCGTAGATCTTACATCTGAAAAAAAAATGAATGTTATAATTAGAAACAATATAGTTTACATGTACGTAATCATACACGTTGATTAATAGAAAATTAACAGAAATAAGTTTCTAGCGATATGGAGTATATACAGTATATCACTTAATTGTATGCTTTAGAAAACGTATGGTGTATATATTGGACATTAAAAAAATTTAGATCTTAATCAAATTTATCACAGACTTGTGAATACATATAAATCATATAGTATCATACCGCATAGCTAATTATATAATTCACTAGTATAGTCTCCTATTGGCTACGAACCACCGTGTCCTCTGTTGCTCTTTTCTTTTTTCTTTTTTTTTTTGAACAACTTCCTTGTCCTTTGTAGCTCATTTGAATAGGTTATAATGATCAAAGGGATTGAGCCTAATGGATCATATAGGCTATGAAGACATGACGACATTTTAGTTCAGTAGTTAACTACATGATTAATGTTTCTATGCAAGATCCAGAGTTCAGTATTTGGAAAATGCAAATTTCTGAGGTCCATTTATCTTTAGGTGGAAGTTTCACCGTGAAACCTTTCGATGTTTTGTGCATTCCATATGGGTAATACCTATGAGATATAGGAAATACTACATTATGGGTATACCTATGAGAAATTGCCGATCATTATCAAATTTTAGGTAGCTTTGTTGATCCATAAATTTATATAACCAATTGATATAGCAAACTAATGGCAAAGGATAACATAGATATCCAAACAATAAGGTCAAATTACGATATATATAGAATTTCAGCAGACTTACATATATGGATTAGAAGCAACCCTTACCCAAAGGAAACGAAACAAAAAACATGAATACAAATGAAATTTCAATAGCCAAAGAATTCATCCGAACCTTGGAAATTAAAAGGGCTTGGCACGAGAAAAATAAGAAAGATAGGACATGATATGAGATTCGGTATCTTATTTATAAGTTACATAGAACGGTTTTAATAATATGAGGCTGGTGGAGGAGATTTGTAGTCAACCTTTGGGGAAGGAGAATAAGCTGGTGGTGGAGGTGGAGAACTGTAGACATACGGTGGTGGAGGAGATTTGTACTCAACCTTTGGAGAAGGAGAGTAATACGTTGGTGGAGGTGGAGAGTTGTAAACATATGGAGGTGGTGGAGATTTGTACTCAACCTTTGGGGAAGGAGAGTAATAAGGTGGTGGAGGTGGGGAACTGTAGACATATGGTGGTGGAGGAGATTTGTAGTCAACCTTTGGAGAAGGAGAGTAGTATGGTGGTGGTGGGGAACTGTAGACATACGGTGGTGGAGGAGATTTGTACTCAACCTTTGGAGAAGGAGAGTAGTATGGTGGTGGTGGGGAACTGTAGACATATAGTGGTGGTGGAGATTTGTACTCAACCTTTGGAGAAGGAGAGTAGTATGGTGGTGGTGGGGAACTGTAGACATATGGTGGTGGAGGAGATTTGTACTCAACCTTTGGAGAAGGAGAGTAGTATGGTGGGGGTGGGGAACTGTAGACATATGGTGGTGGTGGAGATTTGTACTCAACCTTTGGAGAAGGAGAGTAGTATGGTGGTGGTGGGGAATTGTAGACATACGGTGGTGGAGGAGATTTGTACTCAACCTTTGGAGAAGGAGAGTAGTATGGTGGTGGTGGGGAACTGTAAACATACGGTGGTGGAGGTGGGGAACTGTATACATATGGTGGAGGTGGGGAATTGTAGACATATGGTGGTGGAGGAGATTTGTATGTGGGCTTAGGTGAAGGCGAATAGTATGGTGGTGGTGGGGAGCTGTACACGTATGGTGGTGGAGGAGATTTGTATGCATACTTAGGAGCAGGTGAGTAGTATGGTGGTGGTGGAGAGTTGTAGACATATGGTGGTGGTGGAGATTTGTATGCAGGTTTAGGAGAAGGCGAGTAATAAGGTGGGGGAGGTGGAGAGTGGTAAACATATGGTGTTGGAGGAGATTTGTACACAATCTTCGGTGAAGGAGAGTAACATGGAGGAGGAGGTGGGCAAACACATACATGTGGGTGTGGTGGGGATTTGTATGTATGTTTAGGTGAAGGAGAGTAATAGGGTGGAGGAGGGGAGCTGTAAACGTATGGTGCTGGTGGAGATTTGTAGTGTACCTTAGGAGAAGGCGAGTAGTATGGTGGTGGTGGAGAGCTGTAGACATATGGTGGTGGTGGAGATTTGTATGTTGGTTTAGGTGAAGGAGAGTAATATGGTGGTGGTGGGGAGCTGTAAACGTATGGTGGTGGTGGAGATTTGTATGCGGGCTTAGGAGAAGGTGAATAATATGGTGGTGGTGGAGAGCTGTAGACGTAAGGAGGTGGAGGAGAATTGTAGTGTACCTTAGGAGAAGGCGAGTAGTATGGTGGTGGTGGAGAGTTGTATACGTATGGTGGTGGTGGAGATTTGTATGTTGGTTTAGGTGAAGGAGAGTAGTATGGTGGTGGTGGAGAGCTGTAGACATATGGTGGTGGTGGAGACTTGTATTCAACTTTAGGTGAAGGAGAGTAGTATGGTGGTGGTGGGGAACTATAGACGTATGGTGGTGGTGGAGATTTGTATGCAGGTTTAGGGGAAGGGGAGTAGTATGGAGGTGGTGGGGAGTTGTAGACGTAAGGAGGTGGTGGAGACTTGTACTCAACCTTAGGGGCTGGAGAATACACTGGTGGTGGTGGAGAGCTGTAGACGTATGGTGGTGGTGGAGACTTGTATTCAACCTTTGGAGCTGGAGAATACACTGGTGGTGGTGGAGAGCTGTAGACGTATGGTGGTGGTGGAGACTTGTATTCAACCTTTGGGGCTGGAGAATACACCGGTGGTGGTGGAGAGCTGTAGACGTATGGTGGTGGTGGAGACTTGTACTCAACCTTTGGGGCTGGAGAATACACCGGTGGTGGTGGAGAGCTGTAGATGTATGGTGGTGGTGGAGACTTGTACTCAACCTTTGGGGCTGGAGAATACACCGGTGGTGGTGGAGAGCTGTAGACGTATGGTGGTGGTGGAGACTTGTACTCAACCTTTGGGGCTGGAGAATACACTGGTGGTGGTGGAGAGCTGTAGACGTATGGTGGTGGTGGAGACTTGTACTCAACCTTTGGGGCGGGAGAATACACCGGTGGTGGTGGAGAGCTGTAGACGTAAGGAGGTGGTGGAGACTTGTACTCAACCTTTGGAGCTGGAGAATACACCGGTGGTGGTGGAGAGCTGTACACGTATGGTGGTGGTGGAGACTTGTACTCAACCTTTGGGGCTGGAGAATACACCGGTGGTGGTGGAGAGCTGTAGACGTAAGGAGGTGGTGGAGACTTGTACTCAACCTTTGGAGCTGGAGAATACACCGGTGGTGGTGGAGAGCTGTAGACGTATGGTGGTGGTGGAGACTTGTATTCAACCTTTGGTGCTGGAGAATACACCGGTGGTGGTGGAGAGCTGTAGACGTATGGTGGTGGTGGAGACTTGTATTCAACCTTTGGTGCTGGAGAATACACTGGTGGTGGTGGAGAGTTGTACACGTAAGGAGGTGGTGGAGACTTGTATTCAACCTTTGGGGCTGGAGAATACACTGGTGGTGGTGGAGAGCTGTAGACGTATGGTGGTGGTGGAGACTTGTATTCAACCTTTGGGGCTGGAGAATACACCGGTGGTGGTGGAGAGCTGTAGACGTATGGTGGTGGTGGAGACTTGTATTCAACCTTTGGTGCTGGAGAATACACTGGTGGTGGTGGAGAGCTGTAGACGTAAGGAGGTGGTGGAGACTTGTATTCAACCTTTGGTGCTGGAGAATACACTGGTGGTGGTGGAGAGCTATAGGTGTAGGGTTCATAAGAAGCAGCGACCATTGTTGCCATGATAGCAAAACCAAGGGCATAAACAAGATGGGTTGAAGGCCCCATCCCGGGAGAAGATTTCATGTTTGTTTTGATTGCTTCTCCAACGCTTCACTGCGTTGGTTTTGTTTTTTGTTTTGTTTTATGATTCTACATTACTTGTGCATGTCTTTATATAGGCCTATGGTTTTGCCATATTTTTTCCTTTCTGTTTCGCTTGCATCTCAATAATCGTGGAAGCATGTCTGTGATTGTTACTAATCGTGAAACGTGCAAGAACGTGCATCAAATGTCAACGACCAACTTGTCGTTTTTATATTCTCAAGTTCGTGAAGAAAGATGCATATCATTGTTCAATTATTTTGTCAACGACTCAATTCATTTGTTTCTAATTCTTCTTCTTCTTCTTTCATATTTTTTTCATTTTTCATATTCTTTCTAAGAGGAGAAACCGGTGGAAACTTTCAAACTTGGAACCAATTTCGGATATTCGAAGCTCGTATTTCTTAATGCCCATTGGTTCTCTATGATTGACACTCACGTTGTCCGGTAACGCTTACGATGAATAGATGAATGTTCCTATAGTTCATTCATATAATAATTTTCTTTAAATTATTGTAATGGCTAATCGAAATGTTACATTTCAAACTTTCTATGCTTTTTATTCATTCAATGTTTCCTCAAAATTACATTTTGATACAATACGTTCAAAGTGAATTAATGATTTCTTCACTTAGGTAGAACCGTAGAAGTAGTTGGTGGAAAATGGTATATGAATGGTTTTGATGTATTAATTCTTTACATGCAACTCTATTTGTCCCAAATGAAGAAGCTAACACACCTTTGAAAATCCCAAATATGTCACTGGAGAAAAGAGACAAAAGCCTAAATATTTCATTGGATGTAAAATTGTAAATGTTGATAAAGACACACACACACCACACTCACTCAATATTTACATGCATATATCTCTATGTCCCTCCCAAAACTTTATACACAAGAAGTTACATTTCTGTTTCTGTAGTAAACCAGGGAGTGACTGTGACTCAAAAGCTCCTGCATAAGTCTATCTAATACTATTCCATCAAATCACAAAGCTGAATCTTCACTTTTTTTCTTTTAGCTACTCTCCAGATTCCAGCTGATTTTTGTAACCTACCAGAGGACCAAAGTTTCCTCCTTTTTCTTCTAATCTAAAAGACTAAATCCAAGGCCACCGTCTTGTCTGCTGATGAACTAAATGGAAAATTCTCTAACTTTGTGTCAAATAACAGGTGAAATCCCAACCAAAGTGCCGCAACATGTAGTAGTTCCGGTTCCTGTGACTGCCAAAGGCAACTCAAGAAGGCCGAGAGAGAGTAGAGAACAAGAACCTCTTTGTGTTTCAGTTCTCATTGTACACATCTTTCTTAAGCTTCTCGTTCTCTGCTTCCTTCTGTGCTCTCTTCTTCTCAAACTCGACTTGCTTGCAGTTTTCCTCATGTGACCGCACAAATATTCTAACAAAGTTGTGCAACGTGGATACAACTGCAGATTCAGAATCAAACACAATGAATTTGTTTCTCATAGGTCAAGCCAAGGACAGAAAGAAAAAGAAACCAAAACTGGTTGTTGAGTTTGCATCGAAATGTTACCTTGCTCAAATGGGACACGAGCTGGATCTTCTCCGAAATATAACGCCAAAGCATCAGCGCTTCCACCCTGAGACATCCATAAGAGAAACATCAGATTAATAGTGACAAGCTTCTTTAACTGTTGAAAGTGAAGTGCTTCAGAAAAGCCATGAAGAAGGGAGTCCTAACGTACCACACTTGAATAAAGAGAAGCCAAGGACCTAACTTCTCCTTCAGCAAAACTTAGAAACTCTTTCAAGTTCTGCATAGACAAGTACAGGGCTAAGCAGATGATAAAAACAAGAGCATTCACTAGCTAAAACAAGCTTCTCAAAGATGTAATTTAGCTTACCATGCGGAAGTGTTTTGATACTGAACCATCAGATTCAGATGCAGTCAGTTCTTGTATTACTTTCTCCAACCCTTTGCTAATTGCTTGCATCTCCTCTGCTAGATATTTAAGTTGAATCTGCCATCAAATAATATTGTCAGAGAGATTATCACTAGAGGATCAAAGGGGTGTTTTTTTAGGAAAGCGAAACTACCTTTGTTGCAGCCTCCAAGCTCACCAGGTCTTTTGGAAAATCAAGTAGCTCTGGAAGTTTTTCGGCGAGCACCTGTATGAGAAACGTTTTTTGAGAGAAGAAACCGTTAGCATTACATACAAATATAAAGACTAATGCATGTCAAGAATATAGTATGCAAATTAAGAACTAAGATTGTAAAACGATTGATCTCTTACCTTGCAGAGATAGTGCATCAGAGTCATCTTACTGTTGCGGGATCTAGTGTCAGTGAGTTTCAGAAGACTATCCAAACGAAATCCAATAGCTGAGCCTGTCAAAAGAGAAGAAATCTATAATAATACTGTCTCTCTTCAAGAAGAACACTATATGGCAATGTAAAGGAAATAGACATATACTCACCCCTTGCAGTTCCGTGGTTCAAGGCATTGCCCAAGGAAAGTATAGTTTGCATGATTCTTTTTAGTTTGACTGAGCCTCTAACCTGGAAAGTATAACAGGCAATAGAGTCAAGAATGGAAAATCACCAACATGAATCTGTGTGGTTTACAACGAAAAATCAACTTGCCTCGTTGGCTGCACGATGTACGATATTCAAACCTCTTCTAAGATCAGTAACCTGAAGAAACCAGGCATGTACAAAATAAGAGTCAGGTTTTAAGAAACTAGAAAGCATTTACAATATACAAACTCCGGCCGATTCTCCTACCTGGGAGTGGAACTGAATCTTGAATGAGAAAACCCTTAGCTTGGTCTCCACTCGAGGTACTTTCAGCAATTCTAGAAAGTACTATCACAAGAAAAGACCAAAAAAAAACATAGCTGTCAGTATCGGAATTGAAAGATGAAAGTGAAGTTTTTATGATGGTATCACTCCCAACATACATTGAAATGCTATTAGTGTATCTACCCAACTTTGCACATCTAAAAGATTGTTCGTTTGTATCTTGTTTTGGTCACTGGTTTGGTTATTTAATTTGCTTAGAATGAATGATGGTTGATCAGTCAAGAAAGACGAAAAGTGGTTGTTCAAATATCAAAGTAGGGCTAACCTGCTCACACCGTCCCAAAGCTTCCTTATCTCCAGTGTAGCCCTACGGAAAGCAAGAAAACAAGGACAGGAGATGTATCATCAGTGCACTCACAAAAAAAGCTATTGTAGTGATACAGAAGCAGAAATGTTTTAGTCAAGAACCAGAAATAAAGATACCTTGACCAATTCTGATTCTTCTTTTGTTGGACAAAATTTGATTAAGTTGTCAACTTGATCAACATCTATCACCGACTCATCCAACGCAAGAACAGAACTCTGCAACCAAGATCATTCAAGTAAGAAATTATGGTTTAAACAGCTCTTGCAAAATGTGGGAATCTTAAATTGTGCACTAAGTGGAGCTTTGAGGTAGAGACCAAGTGAAGAAGTTTCTAAGCAATATCTTGCAAGAAAAATCGTTTCGCTTACCATCAAATCAGGCAAAGGTATTTTGACTTTAGAAAGCATGATCTCACAGTTGTATGCTCGTCTGAGCTCAATCTGCAAAACTAATAGACAAAGTTAGATGACAAAAATAGAGTAACTCTTAGCAGATGTATCAATGGACCTTTATCAATTAACAAGTATGAGAAACAGCAGAATACTCTTTGCAATCAATTACCAGCTGCACTTTCTCAACTTTAGGACGGGCACGTCGACCTGACTTCCCACCTTTGGTTTCATTTTCAGAGCTAAGATTCGTTGCTGAGAAGAGTTTCTCAAGCTCAGAGATGTCGAACTCTGGAGCACTAGAATTGAAAAGAAGATGCGTGAGTTAACATCAGAAAGAAAATCACAAACTTATATAAAGGAAAAACTAAAGTCTATATTCATACGTAGCAGCTTCATCAGGCTTCTGCGCTTCAGCCCATAAACTTCCTTGCACTGCCCTGGTAAGCTTTAACCAATGGTACGGTTTCAAGTTGGCCTTCTTCGTTTGACTCTGGCCTCTAAGATTCATCTGTAAAAGGCCACGCCCTTTTAAACCCAAAGGTGGTCCAGGCACTGGAGGAATATTTCCATTGGAACCTCCGATATGAGCACGAGGTGCAGGGGCTGGCGGAGGAGGAACAGGAGGGGGCTTCACCACAATAGAGTTAGAACGCAAAGGTGGTGGTGGTGGAGGTGGAGGGTTAATTGTGGCTACAGGAAGAGATGACTGTGCAGAACGTTGAGGGTGTGGTGCAGGTGGAGACGGAGGTGGAGGTGGCACTTGTGTTGCTATGGAACGCAGAGAGGATATGGGAGGTGGTGGCGGAGGAGGAGGAGATAAACTGTTAAGTGGCTTCAGCAGTGGCAATGCTGGTGGCGTCACTGCAGCTTCTGATGGAGGAGGACCATTTGAAGGAACATGCGTGAAAGACTTCTGTAGAGAAGCTTTAAGAAGCGATGATGTCAGTGGATTCAATGTTGGTACAAACGAAACTGAAGGTGAGCCTGGTGATGATGAAGTAGCTTCTTCACCTTTACATGTACCATGATCATGTAATATCGAAGTGATCCCAAGGGAAGATGGGGAGCTGTGATATCTAGATACTGAACCCGGTGATCCTTGTGTGGGACTACGTTTTAAAACCGGTGATGTTCCTGGACTCTGGACCACTCGAGGGGAAAATATCTTCGACTGAGCATTTCTTTGGACTGAAACGCGAAGTCCATGCGGTTCATCAACCTTCTTGATGAGTGAATTCGGATCTGCATAAGATCTATGTGTATCTTTCTCTTTCCACATAGGAGAGAATGCGTTAGGACTTACAGCAACGTTTTCCGATATCATCAGCTTGGTTTTCTCCCTAACTTTCTCAAGTGCTGATTCCAATAGGCTACGTGAATCAGGGCTTCGAGGAGAACTTGAATCCAAGCTTTCTTGAAGGATATTTGCTGCTGTTATTTGGTTAAAGACACTCACAGCAACATCAGAATTTGGATCCAACCATTCACCATCACTGAAAATCTCTTGAACCTTAGCAAATGCTTCCATTGGTAGACCATCTTTTTCCTCCATATGCGGCACATCAACATAGACAACACTCTTACCAGCACCCATCTCCGAAAATATAACCTGAACAAAACACACATCATGTTACTCCTTTAATTGAGGAACCAAAAACTCGTATGATTATCAAAGAGAAATAGTCACCTCTGCTCTGAAATCCTTAGGAAACCGATCAGTTGTGTTCCACTGTACATCAACCTCATCACGGTTAAGTATCAGAATGTTTGATCTAAGAAATGCAGTGTTGAACACAACCCGAAACATCATCTCTTCCCTCTCATGATCACTATCCAAGGTAATGCACTCAAGCACAACATCACCGAGAATATGGCAATGGATGTCAATCTTTACCAGCTCACAATCTGCCTGCAACAGTAGATAAAAAAGTTAGGACTATCATAAAGCATAACACTATGATACTAGGGAGAGACTGAATGAACAAAGATCACCTTCTTATAATGCCGAACAGCTTTGCTTCTTTTAGGCATCGAGAAAAGAACTTTCGAAGTCTGATCGGAAGCCATGAAAGGATCTTGACCATATATTCTAAATATTGGTCTGCAACCACCCTCACTATCAAACTCAGGAATCACTCTAAGATTGATACAATCTAACGTAAGGGCCCGTTCAAGCGGTGGCCACTGTGAACCAACATTCCTACTCGATATATACTGAAGAAACCTCAACTGTGAAGGCAACGGATTTAGTGGAGACATAAGCTGTAACAGCTCACGAGGTGCCTGCTTATACATCATCTCTAGTGTCTTCTGTTCTCCACTGAACTGCTTGCGGTATAACAAGAGCGAAGCAAGCATAAAGGCTAAAACTGGCCAGCCGCCTCGCTCACAGTGAGACAACAAGATGTTCTGCTGACCTAACAATAACCAGTTTTCACTTGATTTAAGAAAGTGATGGATTGTCTCCATTGTAAGCAAAGGGCAACCTTCATATTGACGAGGATAGTCCATGATGGTCAAGTCATACTCGGAGAGTACAGTCTCCATCAGGCTTTTGCTTTCTTCTTCCCGGAAATTAAACACCATGAATGATCCATTGGGAAACTGTTCTCGTAGCTGACTCATTATCCGGCCTACATAGACTCTGTACTCTGCCTCTTCCAACATATCCGTGGTTAAGCAGCAATCAAAGACTGGAAATATAAGACATCAAAGATCAGCAAACTTTATAGAGAAATCTTCTGTATCTTTGTCACTAAAAGGTGTATTATTCAAGACTAGGTGATACGAGTTTGAGATGTCATGCAACTTAGTAAACATACATAAGAAACTGTTCCCTAACAAATCCTCAAGAATTTAACTTTACAGAATCCATGAGCTAAATCTCAACCATCAAGAATAAGACATCTTAAGCTATCAAATGTTAGATTAGTTGAACTAATGACAGGCCCAAAGACTCAAACTTTCTGACTTTTATGCCGCAAAGACTCAAACTTTCTAAAAACCCAACATTTTTGTTGAACAAATACTAAAGAAACTGTTTCCTAACAAATCTTCAAGAACTAACTTTACAGAATCCATAAGCTAAATCTCAACCACCATGAAATAAGACATCTTAAGCTATCAAATGTTACATTAGTTCAACCAATGAGCCTAAGAAACCAAAACAGGACCCAAAGACTCAAACTTTCTGATTTTTAAGAGCTAAAGACTCAAACTTTCTAAAAACCCAACACTTAAAACGCAGAGATTGGGAGCTGAAAAGAGCAATTAAAGAAACAAAGAAGCGTACCGTAAACTCTCTCTGAGATCTCTACTAACCCTTCAGGAGGCTTTCTGTGGAAGAACTTTCTAAACAAAGCCATTGAGAGTTTCTCTTTAAATGCTTACCAAAAAAGCAAACCAAAATCCCTAGAAATAATCACCACAGCTACCAAATGCGAACCCACATTGCAGGGAAAGGGGAAAAAGGTGAAGAAATAAACCCAAATCACCAGAGAACAAAACGAAGATAATGTCAGGAAGAAGAAGAGGAAAAGCGTGAGATTATCTGCTTGCTGGGTCTTTAAGGAACAATACGGTGTGTGTTTCTTGTAGTTTGGTGGTTTGTCTTGACATACACACTTTCAATTTCTTCTGTTTTGGATTGGAAAAGTGAGAAAACTTAGCTTTCAATCAAAACAGATGTTGATAGCTTTGCACATGCGAAGAAGAAGAAGAATGATGCAGAGAGAGAGAGGGGGAAAGTTAGGGTATCATTTAGAGATAAGAAACTAGGGTTTTTTTTCCTCTGATTCGAGAGCAAGAAGATGATAGCTATGGCGAATTTGAGACAGAGATTGAGGATGTCCGAATTCGGATATAACATAAGGAGAAAGAAATATCGAAGAGGACCCAAAGGATCTGTTGTTACTTTAGGACTATGAAACATGTCTCCAATATTGTTTTTTTCAGATATTTAAGATATAATTAATTTATCTTCAGGTTATTGCAAATAAATGACTCATTAAAAACTAAATTAGAATAGATAATCTTTGAATAAGTACATATTAGATAGATAATTAGATACTATAAAAAAAAAAAAAAAGTGAGATAAAAGTATCAATTTTTAACATATTAAAGTAAGATCTACAAGACAATGAGAACAATCATGCGATGATGTTTTTGTTGTTAAGATAACAAATACTTAAGGAAAGTCTCTTCCAAACAGAGAACATGTGAGGGTCTGTTAAAAGGACCATTCCAAAGATTTTTCCACACTCAAGTCCTGTCAAAAGTTAACAAGACTTGGTCGAATATTAAAAAGAAGATCCAAGCTTGGATGTTCAGTGACTCTACGAAATAGATCAACCAAACTAGCTGGTTAACTTAAGACGAAGGCCAAAGAAAACATACAACTAAAAATAGGTAGGCCCGAAAGCATTTCAATGGGGTTCAAATACAATCTCAGCCCAATAAAAAACTACCCAAACTTTTACTTTTTAATGTTTTACTTGTCTTAAAAAAGGACAAACTATTTTTGTCAAAATTTTAAAGTCAAAAAACGAGAAACACTCATGGCTTAGCTGACACTGTGACACTGTGTATGTCAGTATCCATTTATTCCAGTGTTTCAAAAAATTTCTCTAACCGCTACATCACCCACAGCTTTTCAACGGCTACAGTAACATTTTACATGTTTTGCCTTTTTAAATAAAACAAAAGTAAATAGATCTAACGGCTAGTTTTCGAAATTTTCATCACTATATAAACATCACAAGAGCTTCTTCCACATTCAACAACATCTCCACCACTATCATAAGTTCATAACACTAAATCCAGCAACTAGAATTTTTAATTTTCTCTTTTTTTAGTAACTTTTTCAAAATACTCTGTTCGATTAGATCTATGGCTTCTTCTTCGCTTCCCATGGCTATCCTCTTCTCCTTCATCTTCTTATCCTCTCTCGCCGCTGCAAATGAGGTCACCGTCGGTGGAAAATCCGGCGACTGGAAGATCCCTCCTTCCTCTTCTTACTCCTTCACCGAATGGGCTCAAAAAGCTCGCTTCAAAGTCGGCGACTTTATAGGTACTCTGTTTTCTCGTAGATACTCTGTTTTCTACTAGATCCTCTGTTTTCTTTCTAGATCCTCTGTTTCTAACACAATCACTTGTTTTTTTCAGTTTTCCGGTACGAAGCTGGTAAAGACTCGGTTTTGCAAGTAGCACAAGAGGCTTACAAGAGCTGCAACACCATGAACCCGTTGGCTAACTACACCGATGGAGAGACCAAGGTGAAACTGGATCGATCCGGTCCATTTTACTTCATTAGTGGAGCCGATGGTCACTGTGAAAAGGGTCAGAAGCTGAGCCTCGTCGTGATTAGTCCTCGTCACGTTGCCTTTTCTCCGGCTCCTTCACCTACTCTGGTTGATTTCGGAGAAGGTCCAGCCTTGGCTCCAGCTCCAACCAGCGGCTCAGCTAGGCTTGGTGGTGGGTTTGCTGTGTTCGGTCTTGTTCTTGGTCTATGGGCTTGGTTCTGATTTTGGAACCATTTGGGTTTTGCTTTTTGGCAATAAGCTTTTTGTTTCAAAAAGCTTCCTTTTTTAAGTTTCCTATTTATGATTACATGTTGTTACTCAGAGATCTTTGTTGTCCTCGTTACTATTTTACAATTAAATTAAATTCTATTATTTATCAAGATTACCAGCAAAATGTTCGTTTTTATTCTCTCTAAACTCTATGTCATAATCATTGAAATGTGAAATTGGGATGAAAGAATAAATAAACACTGTAAAATGAAAGAGAATGTAAAATTGAACACTTGAATGAAAGAAGATTAAACATTTTGTAAATCTCACTGTGTACATCAAATTTGAAAATAACCCTAAAATCCCATAAAATCCACAAGACAACTATACAAAGTCGTTTTTGATTACAGGAACCCGTTGAAACCAGAATCTGTGGCTGTGTGAGTAAAGACAGAGCTGGTAAAAACTGAGGTAAAAACTGAAGTTCCACAAACAAACCTCAGCTTCTTGAATCTAAAGCCATTCAAAAGCATTTACAGATGCTGAACCAAAGTCAATGATCAAGAGACTTTTTCAAATCTTCCTCATGGCTCTTGAATTACATTTATGATTACATGTTGTTACTCAGATATCTTTGTTGTCCTCGTTACTATTTTACAATTAAATTAAATTTATTATTTATCAAAATTACCAGAAAAATGTTCGTTTTTATTTTCTCTAAAATCTACTGTCACAATCATTGAAATGTGAAATCAGGATGAAAGAATAAACACTGTAAAATGAAAGAGACTGTAAAATTGAACACTTGGATGAAAGAAGCATTTTTGTAAATCTCACTGTGTACATCAGAATTTGAAAAAAATCCCATAAAATCACAAGACAACTATACAAAGTCGTTTTTGATTACAGGAACCCGTTGAAACCAGAATCTGTGGCTGTGTGAGTAAAGACAAAGCTGGTAAAACCTGAGGTAAAAACTGAAGTTCCACAAACAAACCTCAGCTTCTTGAATCTAAAGCCATTCAAAAGCATTTACAGATGCTGAACCAAAGTCAATGATCAAGACACTTTTTCAAATCTTCCTCCTGGCTCTTTATAGCACACTTAGCTTGACGAGCTCGGCTCATCTTGGTTTGGTTCTGGCTTGGTTTCTTCTTCTGGTTCGGTCTCGGATGGGTTAGGCTTCTTGAATTGAACCAAGATGATGGTCATATTATCACAACCTTCTCCACTAGCAGTGTCTGGAGCCAAACATCTATCAACAACTTTTTCGCATACGGTCGAAAGTTTTGTTTCCTGGAAAGTAATTTACCAATGTCACAGACACACTCAGGACAAAAAACTGCAATAGTGAGAGGAGTAACAAACAGATTGACTTACAGATTTTAACTGTTCATGGATAAAATCTACCAGTTCCTGGCTTGACATACAATCCCTGAGAAAGATCAAATCACATTTATCATCAAGAAACTGACTCCTATGTATAAAATGAAACAATTAGGGATTTTCTTTACCAGATTCCATCGCAAGCAACAACAACAAACTCATCATCATCACATAGTTCAAGCTGATGAGAAGAAACAACAAGAAGTCAGCTTAAAGAAACCAAAATCAAACGCATAACACTGAAAATGTTAGATTCTTACAGTGTTTATATCTGGATCAGCAGTAACCATTTGCTTTTCAGCTGGTAAAAACTTATTCTGCTTGAACTCCATGTCACCTGTAATGCTTCCAATCAAGATTACATGCATACACCAAATCTCTAAGGAATGAGGTGGAAGAGAAAACAAACTTACCAATGGCTCTTGTCAGATTCAAGCTTCCATTGATTCTCCCAGCGTGAATAAATCCACCAGCTTTCAGTATCCTTTCTTTCTCAACTTCAAGATCAGGCTTGTGATCTTTAGAAAGATTGTAAGCCTGACCTTTCCTCGATATCACACAACGTGAGTCACCGGCATTTGCAACAATTATCTTCTTATCTTTAATAAGAGCTACACATGCTGTACACCCGGAAGTTGGTCCCGGGAAATCAGAATGAGGACCCTGTATAATAACAAAGGCACAGGCTTTAAACCTTAAGAGGTCTCAAACTAAAGAATAGCAAACATCAAAGCATATATGGTTATATGAAAAACTTTACATCCTCAAGAGGCCAGTTATCAGGCTGGTTATTGACGTCACCACCTTTTGGTGACCATATAAATCCTTCAATCATCCCGGTAAACTTATTCATCTTGTCACCAAGAACAGCTAACTCTCGCCATCCTCTCTGTCCTTGCATCATGTCATCCATTCTACGATACTCACAATGAACAGTTATTAAAAGTGGAACCATCTTTTGGAGTATACAAGAAAGCTAAAGAGGAAACAAACCTAAAAAATGATCTTTGAAGAGATGTTTCTACGTCTCCAGCTCCATATGCTTCATTGCTGAGAACCTGCTGGTGTAGATACTTGGCACAGAACTTTGCTACAACTCTACCTACACCATTTGGTAAATGTTACTCTTAAACTTATAGGACTCTAAATTATATTCAACATGTATTCATTATGATTTAGGAGTAGAGGCAGTAGTTTCTTACCTCCATGGCCATCATACACACCGAAGAAGGATGTCTTATCATCGAGATCAAGAATTGCAGCATGCTAGCGAAATTACAATCAAGAAAGATGGGATCAGTAGTGATATAAAGCCAAGATTGCAGCTTTGAATAAGTTTCATATGATCAGTGATTATGTTTGGACTCACCGCATCTTCCATGGTGGCGCGCCAACCTTGCATAGACGATAAACCATATTTCAGCTTCTCATTCTCACCTTCTTCTGATAGCTTATCAGTTTTGGGAGAACTTAAGTATGTACCCATCTCTTACTACTCTCTCTCTGCAAAGAAGCAACATTGAACCAATCAGAATCTTACACATTCCATTCTCTATAATCAATCTCTCATAATATTCAAAATCAAGAAAGAAGCAAGCTTTAACCAATCATAATCCTACACAATTCTATTCTCTACCTGATAAACTTGTACAAGATTCACAATAGAAGTAATCAAAATCTCAAGGGATTCAGATCAAGAAAGAAGCAAACTTTAACCAATCATAATCCTACACAATTCCATTCTCTACCTGATAAACTTGTAAGAGATGATTGAATCAAAAATTTAAGGTACTCAAAATAAAGAAGCTAGCTTTAACCAATCATCATCCTAGACAACCCATTCTCTACCTGGTAAACTTGTAAGAGATTCAAAACAGAGCTAATCAACTAAGAAATACTTATGTCAAAGACTCCAAGACAAAAACAGAGGTTTTGAATCGAATCGACCAAAAAAAGAAACCTAGATGCGGATATTTGACTATTTCAATCAAGGAAGATTCAAGATTATAAAGTTTATGACAAAAGGTAGCAACTTACATCTCTTGGTAGAAATTGACAAAAAAGGAAAGCCCTTTTTGAGATCCTTAAGACCAAAATTTCTGGAGTCAGGAGAAGAAAACTCGATCGGGACGAGAAAAGGGAAAGAGACCAACAACCACTTGAAACTACTTGAGATCAGATTTACAATCCATAAAGGAGAGAAAAAAAAGTGTTTTTTTCGTGTGTGTGTGCGCCGAAAAACAAACGAAAGGTCTCAACTTTTTTTCACCTTTTTCTTTGTTACTTCATTGTAAGTTTGTAACTAAACTTTAAAACTCGAGATGTGTAAATCTTTACAGCTGTTTAAGCTTTCTTTCTCCATCATCACAGCAGCTTCCAGAATGTGTGCATTTATCATAGGAAACAGCCAAAATAGAGAAGATTTGTTAACTAATTTTGGGATTTGCTTGATGTATTTGTCATCTTACTATTCATATAAACTGTTTTAAATATTTTTTTTCTAATATTACTTTCTGTTTCTAAATATACTTTCTTGTATAAACATATTGCATGTAGGTTTGCATATGTAAGGTTTATCTGCAAAGAAAGATTTGATAATATTTTTATGTTATTTGAAATTTGAGAGGATGTATTAGATTAACTATTTATATTAATAATGTATTTAAATATATATATATATATATATATATTAATTATGTATTTTTTCCGCGCTAATTAATTATTATCTGAAAAATTATTAAATAATTTAATATTGGTAATGTATTTCAATCCAATCTGAATTTCAGTTCAAGTTTGTTTACGTATTTCAATCCTTGGTTCAGGTTTTGGTTCCGAAAATATTTTTTGTTTATAGATGGATCATAAACTTCCATACCAATTATAATCCAAAAATACTCAATTGAAAATTCAATTGCCTGGACCTGAATATATCATAGGTATTCATAAATAATCAACAAAATAAATATAAATTATTCCAAAGACTAAATTTATTTTTGTGAATCCAGAAATACTTTGTGTGCTTCTCCATACCTTCCCAAATGCTTTTGATCAAATCCTGATTGGCAAATTAAAAGCTCACAAACTAAATGCTCAATCAATCAAAGCATGACGAGTCATCATTAATGATGTGCGATGGGTCGATATGGATGATAGCTAGGGAAACTAATTAAATTTCGTGGGACAAAGAAGTAATCACTCTGAAAATAAAATGAAACCACTCTTTTTGTCTTCTTCTTCTTCTTCAGCATTTTCTCACTCCTTCCTCTTTAAAAACAAGAGCTATGAACTCTAAAAGGAACTCATTCACTCTCATTATAATTCCATCAATCGTTGTAACCAGCAAAGATAAAGAATGGCAGAGGCCACAACATCAGTAGAGACAGGGAATAAGGAGTCTTCTCCACTAGAAGAGCTTGACATAGATGTTGAGATCAAAGCCCATGCTGATAAGTTCCACCATATGTTCACCGAAAGACCACACCATGTGTCCAAAGCCAGTCCTGGATACGTTCAAGGGTGTGAGCTGCACGACGGAGAGTGGGGAAAAGTTGGCAGTATCATATTTTGGAACTACGTTCACGGTAATGGAAACCTTGCAGGAAGTATATATAATCTTATAATTCAAATAAGTATAATCTTGCAAGAAGTTTAAGTTAAATTCTTCTTACTTTTAGAGAAATTAATACATGAAAAACATCCTTATATACGATTGTGGCTCCAATGATAAGACGTCATTAACAACTATAATACTTGATTTGGATGTATAGATGGAGAGCCAAAAGTAGCCAGGCACAGGATCGAAGCGGTGGATCCTGAGAAGAATCTTATAAAGTTCAGGGTCTTAGAAGGAGATGTCATGAAAGAGTACAAAACCTTCAATTTTACGATCCATGTAACACCTAAGCAAGGAGGACATGGAAGTGTAGTGAAGTGGCATGTTGAGTATGAGAGGATTGACGAGAAGGTAGATCATCCCGAGACTATTCTCCAATACTTTGTTGAATTGTCTAAAGAGGTTGACGAGTACCTCTTGTCGGAGGAATAAGTTTGGTCGGATTACGATCTTCAGTTTGTCTATTTCGTTAATTAGTGTGTGTGATGCATAAGCATATGTGCGTATATCTTTGTATTGTAGTGAGTTCTTGTTACGTATTTAAGTCCTAAGTTGCAAGTTAAGACATTTTAGTAGCCATGAGCTGATCATGAGCCCATGAGCATCTCCTGTGTATGTTGTAGTCAACTCATCTTAATAAAAGCGGTCTATGAAGTTGTAAACCGTTCGAAGGCAAGCACACATAAAGTTACTTTATCTTTTGACATCAAATTATTTTAATCTATGGTATATTGTGGTAAATTTGGCTAATAATTGAATATTATCTTCTGTTTATAGTTAATGTATGCATTGTAGGAGAATCTCTCCCTACCACAAATGGATTTTTGCTCCAAAGATATTTATATAGATAGAAAATAAATAGCTCATGAATGAGTTTTATTGAGCAAATGTAAAAAGAAATGAGAAGAAGAAATGTTCAGTTGTTTCCAAGAGCTAAAATAGATTTTGTTAGATATCACAAAGTTACAAAAACATTGTCGTTACATTCATATGAAATCTAGTTTGTTAGAAACCCTAGATATACAGCTAATGAGCTTTGATTGTAGCTTCTTGGGATATAATGAGAAGTATAAGGGTTACCCTGACGAGTTTATATAAGCCGACATGTGAATTTTGACGAGTCTATGATGCAGCGTGATAATCTTGATTATTTAGATTATTAGTTTATTTATTTATATTTATGTTTTAATACTTAATTATTTAAGAGTTTTCTAGAATATTCTTAGGGTTTTGAGCTTTTATTATAAATAGCCATCTAGACTTCATATTGTATTCAGACTTTGATTAATTAATAAAAGGAGATTTCCTGAAGAGGTTTTGATAAACCACTGTGAAAGCCCTGAGAGGAGGACTCTCAAACCCTAGTTATTTGGTATTCTGCGGAATCAATGGATCTCTAGTTCTATCCCTAGAAGCTTCCACTACATCAGTTGGTATCAGAGACATCACTTTGATTTCTCAATCAAGGTTTGATCCTATTCTTCTATATCATGGTGTTCGAAAGTTTTTCCTATGAAAATTCATTATTCATTGAAGCCGAAGATTTTTATGGAGCCTATAAAAAAATTTTGGTGCTCCAATTTATGATTCATACGGTGAAGATAGTGATGCTCTTGTGTGTCAATCACATCATGTGGATCTGAATGAAGACGTACACATATGCAATATGGTGTGCATCGATTTGGAAGATGGTGTGCTTCTACGAGCGCGTGAAAAGGAGACGGTGGAGAGTTGGTCTTGTGATTCCAAAGAAGTCAAGGAACACGTCATAACAAATATTGGAATATTTGTAAGATGCTATTTTTCTATTGGAGGTTGGAAGACTGAAGGAATAAAGTGTAAAATAATATTCTTTTGTGTAAAAGGTATTATTCGTGGAAGATTAGGAAAAAGGAAAGTAAATTATTGAATGATTTTCCTGGATGGAGTTTTGGAAACGAAGACTACGGATAAGAGTTAAGGACCCGGAGAGAATGATGCTGAGAGATATTAAGAAATATTCTATTTATTTATATTATTATTATGATAATTTTTTATTATTATTTTAGGGTTTTCTAGGGTTTTGAGATTTATTATAAATAAGCCGTTTATGCCTCCCTTTGTATGAAGTTGTTGATTATTAATAAAAGAGCTTTGGCTTTTGAGAGAAGAGTATTCTCTATCCTTGTTTTCGGTAGATCTAGAGAGATCTCAACGAGTTCAAGAAGCAGGTCCCAAGTGAGGATTATATCAAATCCCTTGGTTGAGCTGGCAGGTCCCGATTGATTCCTTTGAATCATAGGTTGAGCTGTGTTTATCTTAGCTTCCGCTACGTCAGTTGGTATCAGAGCCGCGTCTCTTTGATTTCTCAATCAGAGATCGATTCTGGATGTCATGATGAGTGACAACATCTACACTTTCGAGGACGAAAGTCCTTTTGTCGAGAGAGAAGAGGGTCATGAGATCTATCGAGAGATCTATGGCGATCCAATCTATGACACATATGAAGATGATGTTGATGTTATTGACTTCGTTTTCAAAGAAGGATTTGTTTGAGGATCTGATGCGTGCAAAATCCAGGGCGCAGTCAGATTCGTTTAGATTTCGGTTTCGTGCAAAATCCGGTTTGTGCGAAAATCGTGCAGATTCAGATCCGTGCAAGTTTCGGGTCTAATCCGGTTTGTGTGAAAGTTGAGGCCAAGTCAAAGGAAGATGAAGATAATTCTGCCAAAAGCCCATGTGATGAAAACCCTACTGAAGATTCGAGGACGAATCTTTCTTGGCCGGCGAGACCTGATGCAGCGTGATATTTGGCTTGATTATTTAGATTATTAGTTTATTTATTTATATTTATGTTTTAATACTTAATTATTTAAGAGCTTTCTAGAATATTCTTAGGGTTTTGAGCTTTTATTATAAATAGCCATCTAGGCTTCATATTGTACTCAGACTTTGATTAATTAATAAAAGGATATTTCCTGAAGAGGTTTTGATAAACCACTGTGAAGAGTATTCACAACCAAGAGCTTTTGCGAAAGCCCTGAGAGGAGGACTCTCAAACCCTAGTTATCCGATATTCTGTGAAATCAACGGATCTCTAATTTTATCCCTAGAAACTTCTGCTACGTCAGTCTATCTACAATCATTTGCATCCTAAGCCAGAGATAACTCTCGTTTCCGCATGGACAAAGAGTTTCAGGCCACAAGATTGGCTGTCACATCTTATTTGTTTTTGTTATCCAACATTTCTAAGATTGTATTATTAAAATAATCTTAATGGATAGGCATTGCCACCTGTTGTAGAACTATCATTTGATTACAACTTCTGAACATGCTCGAAGCCCAAAGCCAGATAATCAGGATAGGGATCTGCCGATCTGTGAAGGAAATGAACAAAAGTTTGAGGATGAACTAAATTACAAAAACATATTTCATTCTAATCTGTGCCTCAAATCAAATCCGTCCAAAATGCTTTCATAAATGAACCGGGATATTACATTTGTATTTTTTTTTGGTGAATCTGATTGAAATTTGAAAGAGAAATTGTGTAGAGATAGACATCAATATGTCCTTTTAATAAGACCACATTTATTCTTAATTTTCTTATAGCGTTTTTTTTTTAAAATGATAAGCTTAGGTTAGGTGATGATATAAAATTATAAATTGGTCTCGACAGTTCTCAGTTAAGAGTTTACTGTTTATTGAGGAACGTGTCAGTAACACTGGTCGAAAGTAGAAGAAGATAAATTCGGATTCGGCTTCCAAAATTGCTTCCATGGCTTCTTCTTCTTCTTACGCACCATTCTCTGCAATCTTCAATGGTTCCAGACCTAACCCATCTCTAAAGCCCGCGGCTTTTCTCGTCCCTTCCTTGAAATTCTCCACTGGCATATCGAATTTTGCGAATCTGAGTAATGGGTTTTTTCTCAAATCTCCGATTAATCCTGGGTTTCTCTTCAAGTCCCGGAATTTCAATGTTCAAGCTAGAGCTGCTGCAGAGAAGACCGTTCACGATTTCACTGTAAAGGTCTGGTCTTTATCCCCTTACCTAATTGAGCTAGGGCTTTAATTCAATTGGGAATCTTCCAATTGCCATAAAGCTTAAATTTTTCATATCTAGGTTAGTGAAGTCAATTGAATACAGACTTTGGACAATCTGAAATTTGAGTTTTTTCAATTGGAGACAGGACATTGATGGGAACGATGTTTCTTTGAACAAATTCAAGGGGAAAGTTATGTTGATCGTTAATGTCGCTTCAAGATGGTAACTTTTTTTTCTTCATCCTCGTGTTGCAATCGCTGTTCATAGTTCATGTATCGATTTTCTGATGTTGATGGTTTATGGAGTATGTTTTATGGACACACAGTGGTTTAACATCATCAAATTACTCTGAGCTTTCACATTTGTACGAGAAATACAAGAGCCAAGGTTAGATCTTGTTCGCTTCCTCATATATATAGTGAATATATCACATCTATTTGCTGCAACCACATGGTCTCTTGTTTACCAAAATTCTTGTTCTTAGATGTTAAGCGTATTTTCGACATTAAATTCTGACTTAAGTTTCATTACATTTTCTACATTCACACGTCACAAAACGTTTCATGTTGTTGTGATTACAGGATTTGAGATTCTAGCTTTTCCTTGCAATCAGTTTGGTGGCCAAGAGCCCGGTTCAAACACCGAGATCAAACAATTCGCTTGCACTCGATATAAAGCAGAGTTCCCTATCTTTGACAAGGTAAAGCATATATCCAAAACATTCATTCTCTTCTTTCCGGTTTGCAGATTGGAATGAGTTTGAATTTCCCACAGGTTGAGGTGAACGGACCGAGCACCGCTCCGATCTACCAGTTCTTGAAGTCAAACGCAGGAGGATTCTTGGGTGGTCTTGTGAAATGGAACTTTGAGAAGTTCTTGATTGACAAAAAGGGAAAGGTCGTTGAGAGATACCCTCCCACCACTTCCCCTTTCCAAATCGAGGTAACGGTTTATCACAAACCACTCCCGGTTCGGTTTGTTTCCCCGGTTTGTAACCAAAAACAAACTCTGTTTCCTCTGTTTTGCAGAAAGACATCAAGAAGTTGCTTGCTGCTTAACTGCTGGTGAAAATATAACCGGAAATTGAAACTTTTCCGGTTAAGGTTTTGTGTACCTTACATTGTACTATTAATAATGTTCTTGTAATGTAAATTATATGAAAATGTTTTCAAAGTTTCATATATTTATTTTATGTAATTTTACAATAAGACAAGTCACTCGCTCTCGCATCAAAATGCCAAAAATTTGAAATTTTATTACAGCTCATGAATGATTATTATTATTTATTGCGTGATTATTATCATTGTCATTAGTGTTGTTAACATCGTCTTCATCATCATCATCACCTTGCCAAGACCAGACAATGTCTTTAAGAGCTGGCCTGACGTCATCCTCACAAAACAAGTAATACTCCAAAGTGTCGCCGGACGATTTACAGAACTCCACGACGGAGACTTCAGGAGCGACTTCGAAAACTTCCGCCGTCACCGAGAGCCTCCCTTTCCTTCCTTCCGTTCTCTTCTGCAGCTTCATCTTACAGTCTTGCACGTGTTTCACCCTCATGTCCATCTCACGCGCCGCCGTCTCCAGCCTCTCCTTAACCGATATCGCCGGTAACTTCGACGTGAACATCCTTTTCGGTTTCCGTTTGATCTCGAATAAGCTTGAGAGATCGAAACCTGAAGACATTGATGAGATTAGTTGGAAGGCGTTGAAAGATCTCGGAGAAACTCCGTCGTCGTCTTCGTCATCAAGGTTCAGGTGTTTCTTCTTCTTTTTCGTCGGTGGCTCCGGCTCCGGCGGAGATGCGATTGTCTCGTCGATTGAAAACGCTACCGGCGGTTTGAAATTCTTCCGGAACCATGGGATCATTTTGATCTCCGACATTGTAATCCGTTGTTCGGGATCAGCCACAAGCAACATTGAGATCATTTCTTCTGATTCTGGAGAAAACCATGGCGGGAATTCGATTTGAGCTTTGAAGATCTTTCTGTTCATATATTCAAATTCAACGAAAGCTTTAATCAAACCAGAAACAAACCGGAACATTGATCGACTCACAATCCGGTTAAAAAATGGGGAACAAATGAATTAGTACGGTTTGGATTGGTTAACAGAAAACCCGGTTAAAGACTTACGTGTACAATGTCATGACGTTTTCGTCGACAAACGGCAAGAAGCCAGCGAGGAGAGCATACAAAACGACGCCGCACGACCAAATATCAGCCATAGCTCCGTCGTATCCTTTATTCCGGAGAACCTCCGGCGCCACGTAAGCCGGAGTCCCGCACCGAGTATGGAGAAGGTCATCACTGCTGCCACGTCTACCGCCGAGCTGCTCCGGCGTCATCAACGCGGATAATCCAAAATCCGAGACCTTGAGATCGCCGTTTCCGTCAAGCAAGAGATTCTCCGGCTTGATATCGCGGTGGAAAACGCCGCGGCTGTGGCAGAAATCGACGGCGGAGATCAGTTGCTGGAAATACTTCCGCGCGAGATTCTCCGGGAGCTTCCCGTCTTTATCTATCCTCTCGAAAAGCTCTCCGCCGTCGACGTACTCCATGACGACGAAGATCTTTTTCTTCGTGGCCATGACTTCACGGAGCTCCACGACGTTTGGGTGACGGAGGAGACGCATGACGGAGATCTCTCTTTCGATTTGCTCCGTCATGCCTCGACGTCTTGAGACGGGGTCTTTTTTTATCACCTTGATCGCCACGTCATCACCGGTGGCTATCTCTGTTCCGTGATATACCTTGGCGAAGTGACCGGTTCCGAGAAGTTTTCCGATCTCGTATTTGTCAAAGAGGACTTGGCTTGATTCTTCCATTTGTCTTTGAATTTTTGTCTCACAAGTATAATGTGAGGATAAAAATGTGAAAATTTGTAGTTGGTTATATACATAAACAGAGAGATTAAACACTTAACAGATATGAGGAAAAATGATTTGTTTATGAAGTTATTTTACTTTAGTTTAATATATGCGACGACTAAGTGAAGTAGGAAGATATGTTCTGTCTTATCTTATCCAAAATAAAGTGATGTGCATAAGATCTGGCAAAGGCGATTAAACTTTAATCAGTCATCCAGATAAATCCAGTCCATCTTACGAAATTGCATGAAGAAAACAAATGCAAAAGAGTGAATCACCAACTTTGAATTGAGACTGAAAACATTACCTAAAACAAACAAACAAAAATTAGGTAAAACACAAATAGTGGACGACGTGTAGTCACCACCGTTAATGCTACGCATGTTTTGAAGTGGATACGCATTAATTAAAAATAGTAACTTGTCCCGATAAAATTTTCAATGAAATGTCTTTTTTAGGTAAGGCAAGATGTGACCTTTTCTTCTTGTCCCTTACATATTTTTAAACTTTTATTTGACCTTAACTAATATTTTCCTTGACTTTTCATATACGATTGTCCATTTTCTTTTTCTCGATAAATGCTTGGACTCTTTTCTTTTCCTACTTGGGACGATTTTATCGGACTAGTAATATACGTTAGTTAAGTGGTGAATATGGCGACCAAATGTTCCTTTTTTTGTTTGCTGCTAATTATATGGCTTGATGGTTTCTTCTTCATATATAACAAAGTATGACAACAAAACTCATCGTTGTTCAATTGTTTATAGAGAAATTCGAATTATCACTAACTTTTTGTCAACTACCCAATCAGAATATGACCTTTAAATCAGTTATCTAGTTCAGAAGAAAAAAGTTTACAGATCAGTCGTTTTTAACATTCAATCGCCAAACAAAGAAAAACATTGTTTTCTACATAAAGCATGATAGAGAACTCATCCACAAGGTTTGGAAAACAAATTGCGATATCTTATTCATCTCCTAGAAATCTGTCTCAAATTCCATCATACTATTGTTTCCTACATACAAAATATTCGTCATTGCTTAAATTAGTATTTTTTAACTCTTAAGTCATGATAAGATGAGAAGTTTCTTTTCTAACCACGTATTTGCTAGCATCATCTTATCATCTGATTTAAGAGTCTGAAACTTTCCATGAGTTATCCATTTAACACTTTGGCCTTGTTCGTGTTCCGTTTTATTAAATTTTAACTACCTAGCAAAATGTAAAATTACCCTCAAAATTTTAAAGTTTTATAAGTATAACAAAACTAATATATAAAAAAATAAAGTATTTCAAGAAGTTCGTTTTATGTTTTATATACATGTATATTTATTATAGGACTGTCAAGCTAGGTTAATCTCTTGAATACTTATAAATTGATTGAAACAAAAGTTAAGAAATGGTCAAAGAATCTCATATGATTTGATATATCTTTAATATTGTTGAAGAACCCTTTCAGATTTATTTTCATTATATAATGGTTTGTATTATTTCTTTTAAAACTGAAACAATTTGTAAATGATATGTATCAGAAAACAGAACTAAAAAAGTATTTGAAGATTGCAAAATATTTTCTTAAAGCTTTTCCTCTTGTTCTCTCACTTGTGGAATTAACTAGTAATATAAAAAGCTATCTTGTATAACCAATCGCACTTGATTTGATATCAATGTCGACAAGAACCACTCATTCATTTCCATTCATTTCCAATGATATAATTAGATAGAGATGTATGAGTGGAGTTTAGCTTGAGTTTATGAATAGGCTGTATATATAAAAGCATATTTAAACGACCATAACAAGTCCAACAAACTTTGTGATGGATGTCATGATTGGGACTCACGATTAATGCAAACATATATGTTTAGGCAAATTTATACTGTAACAAAATTTCTGCTAAAAAAGTGAGGGTAAAAACTTTGTTCGAAAAGGCATTTCAGGTGGCCGCTTTCGTTACGATAAAACGTTCGAGAACCCTCAACTACCAGGATCATACCATATTATCTTTTGGAAAACTTCATTTTTTGGTAAAATAAAAGATTAAAATTTATTTAGTTAAAGTCATGAATTGATATCCACTTAATAGATCTAAGTTATATGCCTCTAAACACAAAACAAAATTGAAAATCATCAAAAAAACAAACAAAACGGACTTGGCCGGTGTTTTGTCTGTAGGTGACTGAAGTTACTAGTGTCCACGTGTAAGAGTTGGTGGTCTTCTTTGGTGTTTACCTAGTCGAATTTCAAAGTTTCTTTACGTTGAGCCTGTCCTCTTGAATGCATTGTTTCTTCGGATTGGACGTGTTCGGAGTGGTTATTGTCTTTGATCTCGTTTTGGTCATGCGTTCGCGTTTGTTTCTGTCGGTGTTGTTGTCGTTGTTCTGAACTCGCTTTAGAACAGTTTTCAGTTTGGGTAGTGGGTACTCTTCAAGCTCTCTAGAACAGCTATTTTCATATAACAAGTAACTAGTAATTCTGGTATTAATTCTTGTTGCGGTCTTTTTTTCCGTCTTTATTTGTTTTCGCCCTAATTCTTTCTTGCTTAAATGCAGTATCTTGAGAAGATCAAGATTCAAGAGCACATCACGCTTCTTTGCATTTTTTTTTTTTTTTTAATAATCTGAATCCATAACATGAGATTATTTTTCTTTATAAAAAAGAAAGATCTGAGGAGATTCAAGTAACCTTAACTTGAATAGTTTCCTTCTACTTCACTATCACATCACATTGTATGTATAAGGATTTCCCTGATCCAAACCGGACTAAATCGAATTCAAATCGATTTTAACCACTAGTGTGGACCGACACCTCCTAGAGTCACTCACCACCCCTAAACTCGATTATTTGGTTTACAAATGTTATATCAGGGGCTGTGTGTATGGATGTGTGGTATGAAGAAGTCACTGCACACGAAGATTGTCTTTTTGATATCTCTTTTGTAACTAAATCTTTTTAGATTTAAAGTATCGTATTTTGCATTTATATAGTTGAAACCATGATGGCACTCTTGTTACACTCTTGTTAAATTATGGGATTCAGAGATTATATTTGTTTTTTATATTATGATTTTCCCTATTACTTAATATAAGATAACTACTTGAATACTGTTTTAAATATTTGAATATTGTGATACTGAAAATACGATATTATATTATTCCGAAAAATGTAAAATTATGTATATACATACATTAAGGAATGTGTTTCAAAAACAATAACTTAGAAATTGTTTCGTCAAATATGATACAAGGATACTAAAGTTTTGGGATCCTATTAAAATTTATCGTATACTGAGATGTATACTGTCACAGCAAACGGTAAAGTGCTTTCTTGTGCGCCAGTCAATTCAGTCCCTCTCTCCCGGAACTATTTCCTCTTTTAAAAGTTTTGTTGAAAAACTTTCTCAGTTGCTTTGTGCATTATAAGGCATTGCTTAACTAAATTTTGATACACCTAAAACAATTAAGCATGTATAGGCATAAGTGATGATTTGTTGTTGCAAGACAATAGGCATGACGTAACATAATGTCATTTGATAATATTAAATTATGCCAGATTAAAACGAATCACAGTTGGAGTTGACCGAGATTTCTTTTCTAAATTTTATATAAAAAAAAATAGAGATTTCTTTCCGAATTGGAAGATATTTTATTCCTAATGAGTTGATTTGGTATTATCTTTTTCTCTGATTTTTTCTTTTTTGACTTTTTGGCAATTTCGTCCATTTTATGGAAATACAGGAATTATTTGTTTATATATTCATTTCATTTTGTTGACTGAAATTCAAAAAAATCTAAAACACCACCTGCTCCACTTTTCGCTTCCCTCTTAATTCACCCTAAATCCTCTTCTCTATCCACCCTTAAATACCGGAAACACATCTCGAATCTCACAAACAACACTTATCTCTCTAATCCTCTCTCTAATTCGGCCACGTGTTCATCATCATCGAAATGGCTCAGGTTCCATGCGATTCCGAGGGTATGTGCATGCCGTGCAAAGAACCTCCTCCGCCGGAGGAATCTCTCACTTGCGGCACACGTGCACTACGCCTTGGCACGCTTCCTGCCTGTCTTCCCCTCCGGCAACCCTGGCTTCGACTCTGCAGTGGGAGTGTCCCGGCGAGATCGATCCTCATGGCGGCGTTGTTGCCGAATCCGGCAAAATCGCTGTGGAGGAAGATGATGATGTCTTGGCCGCGCTCGGAGAAAACCTGACTTGCATTTTCTGTATGCAATTGCCTGAGAGACCTGTCACGGTTTGTCCTTCTCTCTTATGCTTGTTCATGGAATCTCTTAAGCCGAATTCAATTTCTAGGGGTTTTGTTGATGTTTGGTGAACCTTGTTAAGTATCGAATCTATTTTAATATCTAGGGGTCTTTTGTTGGTTTGATGAATATGTTAGATCGTGAATCTATTTTAGATCTCGCTTTTCTTATTGAATCTTCTTCTTTTTTTCCCCAACGACCACGCTGTGTGAATCTACACATCGAACATGGACTTAATTGTGCTAACCATTTATGAATAATTGTGTCAAATAAGTCAATTTAACCTATGTTTATGGTTGATCATCTTTGTATTCGTTTTTTGGTTGCAATTAGTATCATGATGGCTACTTTATCCTGTCGTTAGGCAACTTAATTTATGCAGATGAGTGTGTACATGAGCTGTCTTTATCGTGCTGTTAGTGGTCTGTTTTTCAAAACCATTAAGTTTTGTTGAGTATTTGATATTGTGAATGGATATCTTTTGTATGTGTATTTTCAGGCACCATGTGGGCACAATTTCTGTCTCAAGTGTTTTGAGAAATGGGCTGTTGGTCAAGGCAAGCGTACTTGTCCCGAATGCGCAGGGAAATTCCTGCACTAATGGTCAGAAATTCTCCAATCAACTCTGCCCTTGTCTCCCTTCTACAACTCGCAAAATGGTTTACTTAAACAAGTGTGTTTACTTAAATGGTTTACTCCCTCAGATCTTCTCTTTTCTTTTGTTTAATTCTTTCTTTATTAATACAGCGATGTTTCTTTCAGAGGTCTTTCAGCTACAATATCCAGGCGAAGAAAAATAAAAAGTATCCTATCAAAGAATTGAAAGAATACTTTTTGTTTTTCTTCGCTTGGATATTGTAGCTCAAACACCTTTGAAGAAAACATTGATGTATAAACAAAGAACAAATTAAACAAAAGAAAATAGAGCATCTGAGGATATACCAAACACACTTGTCTAAATAAACCATTTTGCGAGTTGTAGAAGGAAGTTAAGTAAACTTGTCTCTACGTCTACGTCTTCGTAGAAACACAACTTAACGTTAATTTATCACAACGTTTTCCATTCCTTGACTCTGTTTTCAAGATTGGTTAATTTATGTTTAATTACCTCATTGTTGTTTTCAAGAAGTCTAGATATAAGCTTCAAGTTTCCTTCTCCTTCTGGATCTGGATACAACGTAGTCCAAGTACGAACATTTGATAATTTAGCTCCACTTAAAAAATGCTTAGCATTAAAGCTTGAGCAGAAACAAGAGATGGAGAAGTATATCTCTGCCAAAAGGTAAAAGTTATTATTCTCATAGAGAGGCTATTAGCAATGTAATATTTGGTGGATTTTGTTAGGTTAATTAAAACTTAATCAAATTGTTGCTTGTACTTTGTAGGATGAAAATGATGCGAGCACAAAAGACAGGAAAGTGACTGAGGCAGACATCATCATTTTTTTATCTACGTACTCGCAGGATCAAAATCGTTGTTTAGTTATGTCTTACTTACATAGTAGAATTCCTGAATTGCTAATGAAAAGAAAAGTTTAAATAGCAAAAACATAAATTACAACAACCATTAAATTCCCATGGACATTTTGATGAATATCTTGCTTAAATGTTATGCAGTAACTTGAAAAGATCACCATGAGCATAAAATGAGATTGTTTTCTTTTTTATATACAAAAGACTAGATTTAAACACATTCAAAGTGTAACTTAAATTTTCTTCTTCTTCGCTGTCATTGTACATATAAACTGCGATGGGCTTGTGGATCATGAGAATCATAAAACATGTTTTTGTTTGATTACCTAATCTGTTGCTAAATAAAACATGTTTTTGTGTTATGCGATTAAAATACACTATATATGAAACATATTCGAAACTAAATGAAACAAGTGTGTTTTAATCGCATGAGAAATTGATATTTCATATATATATAGTTCAATAAGTTGTACCATAGGAGGGTTTATGGTTGTGTGATATCTAGATGCATATAAGATTTAAAAATCTTTAAATATAGAATGATGGATTTTGAAATACCAAGGCTTTATTTACCTTGGATTTATTTCTTTGTATTTTTAACTTTAAAACACTTACAAATTCATTAAAATCTAAAGTGGATTTTTAAATCTAATGAATAAATCATTAAATCAATAACACTAGATTTCATTTAGTATTTATAAACTATTGAATGACTAAGGGAAGATTTTGACAAAGATTTAAAAATCATTAATCCAATAAAGGGGATTTTAGTTTTAATTTGTAAATCCATCAAAATGCATGAACCAATAATTAAACCCCCTAAGTTTAAATTAAAATACTCAAGTAAATTTTCAAATAGTTATCAAGCATATATCATCTTTTAAAACATTATTATTTATGGTATACTCATAAATATTATCCTGTCAAATTTAGTACCAGATTTTCTTATTCAAATATAAATAGTTGATACATAGTTATTTAAACTTCATATTGAAATAAAATAATTCCAATAAAATGCCCGTTAAAGTTTAATATATATAGTCAAAATATATGTTAATAATGGAAACTAAAAATAAAAATCTGTATATAACTAGTTTGGTAGGAGTATATATAAATCTACCAAATAACTTCGACTATAGTATCATTTGTATGGATTAATGCAAATTTGGTATAGTATAATTTGATCCATATGCATATATACATCCCATAAGAAATGTGAATATAATTGAGTAAAATACATTAGCAAATATGAAAGATCATTTAGGGGAAATAATGCAAATAGTAAAATAGAAGGAAAAATTCAGATTGTCTAGACAAAGAGTTTCATATAAATGGATCTCTTCATGAAGAACTAGAACATCATCACATAGCTCTCGTTCATCAATAAAGAGAATATATACTATCAAAAATAATGAGTACCACAAAACATATTGTGATGTTTTTCCTTGTAGCAATATTGCTAATTTCATTGTCAAAGGATGACGTTTTGGCTTGGGAACGTATGTTGTTTCTTCCAGAATTTATTTATTTTGTTATGCTTAATCATTTTTATTATTTTAATAACATTAGTTGAACACTGCTTTTGAAAAGCATATAGAACTTTTAATAGCTAATAGTCATGTATGGGTATAGCTAGTATATATATATTTATATACTTATAAATATGAAATTGAAATATTTATATATATTTGTATATGTGCAGAACCACCAGACTGCCTTGGTATTCAATGTGGGCCAACCCCACACGGAAGGTACGGAGCTTATGAATGCCAAAAAGAGTGTCAAGGAAAAGGGTTCTTTAATGGAGCTTGTGTTCGTATTTCTCCTCATAATACTCAATGTTGTTGCAATAAGTAATACAAATTGATGTTCGCTGAATGATATACTATTTGCTAATTTTACTGTTCAACTTTCTTGAATGACGAATCCAATGAAATAAAAATAATTTATCATATTTAAAAGCTAAGGTTCTTTTTTTTTTTTTGAAAGTCAATTAAAAGATAAGTTATAAGTGGATTGAGGTGAAAAAACTGTGCTATCTATTTCATACGTTGTAACTGTTTTAAACTTATTTTAAAGTGAATCAAAGAATATTCATTTTTTCAAGCAATAATTGTTAATTCTTCTAGTTTATAAGTTTTCTTTTAGCTTATAGGTAGTCGTACATCGGTACATGTTACCATTTGACAAGATCAAGTTAAATATTACAAATTGGACACTCTGATTTTTTTAGAGAAAGATAAACGAAAAAAAAAGCTAGGATCCATGTTATGAATGTAATCATCAATGGATAGCATGGTCAAAATCTAGTTACGATTTTCACACACACTGTCCCACTCAAATCGAAATCGATATAGCATGAATGTAGCTAAACAATCAAAGTCCATAAAGAAAATCATGTTCCAATTGTGGTTTATAACCCACCAAATTATGGATGTATTGTGTATACATACAGTCATGCATTGGGTAGAGAAAGCTAACTCAGCTAAGAAGCTGAGTTCCAGAGTCTACACTCTCGCGTCATATGATAAAAATCTATTTTCATCATGCAAAACCCACAGCTCAAGCTTTGTAGTACTTTTGGTGTAAAAAGTAAACGGTTCAAGGAGAATTGCGCCCAGTTTACCTTTGAGATTAATCAAAGCTGTATTCAAAGTAACCATATTGCCCCTAGTCACAATCTTGAAGTCCTCAGACCTAACGTCAAAGCCATATAACTCAATATTCCGAACTGGCGATCCAGTGCGTTTGTACTTAGCTATATAATACAGGATACCATCGATGCATATCCCATCTGGTACAACGTAACTGGGAGTTACGGGACCTTTGATCAGTCTTCTCCATGATGGTTCTTCTTTTCCTAACGTCAACACCTCGTAATAGTTTGTCTATAGGATCATATCCCAAAAATTTCTTGCCCGTAAATGTCGACCTCACTTTGGGAAAAGTTACGTAATACCCTGTGCTAGGGTTAAGAACCATTGGATTGGCATCTCCACTACATAGCAAGCTAGGGACAGGTTGAGAAATATTAAAAGAATAACAACCTCCGGTGTCGAAACTCATGTAACGATCAGCAACTAAAGGATATGGGACCTGGTCTGGGTTTAGAGGCTGCGGTGCCGAAAAGAAGAGCAGCTTACCGTTGAGTTTGAAGGTGAACAAGAGAGAGCGACGAGCCAAAGAAATTTTCAGGTGCAAATCAGTGAAATCTCGACGGCGGAGAATCGAAGACCATTCCTTCGACACGCACCGAAACCTTGCAATAGATTTCGCCGGTAATGTCGAGAAAAATTGAAATTAAGAGATCGCTAGGTAATGTCGAGAGTAGTTGCTTTTTTGGTTTTTCCATTGCGGCTACGGCTACACTAAACCCTAGAAACCCATTAAATTCAAACTATCCAACGAAAAGGAGATTATATAATCAGTTTAAGATAAGACTTGTCATTTAATTTGTCAAGTACAACTGGCCATACAACTTTTTTTTTTTTTATCAAAGTTGTGTTATCTTTATATTACTTTTATAAAACGGAAACACTTTTAACACAACAACACTTTCAAACACTTTTAACTCTTTTGCCAGCAGGATACATGCCAACCAGAAGCCAATAATACTTGCGCTTAATACAATACATGTTACGGACCGGACTCCTGTTTCTGGGCCGATTCTTCTTTTGTGTCTTAAACCGCAAAGGCCCATCGCTTCTTCCCCTTTTGACCTCTTCATTCCCCCCTGTGCAAAGAAGCGTAAGTGTATTGTATTGGAGACTTATGCTGGTTGTTGAAAAGTACGCACCAGGATGATGAGAGCAAAATCTGACAAACATATTATGTATGGTATTGTTGCCAAGCTTTATCAGAAGATCTAGCTATATGTAGATTATGGTTTGTGTGTTTAACGCCGTCAGTTTTAAATGGTAGTGTGCTAAATTTGGAGGTAAAACAAAATTTCTGCATAAATTCATGTATAGTTTACCACAAATTTAGCTGGTTCCGTTAAATTCATGTAATAAAGACCAAATGGTAGTTCTGAGAACTTTGAACTTGGTTTACGGATTTGCAATTGGCATATATTTGTTCTTCCGGTTCCAATGAGGTTGTTTCTAGAAATGGTCTCGAAGTGTATGTTTACTGAATTACTGTTGTAACTTATAAGTAAAAAATCCGTTTGAATTTCTTTTTCCTTTACAATTTACAAACATCGGTATCAACAGCTTAACCAAACTAATAAAAGCCTATACGCACATTTGACCACACAACTCTCACCGGCATCATCATGGTTTCAGTCCAACGACTCATCACTTACCCAGAAACAAAATAAAAGGTGTAACAGTAGATAGGACCAAAAATTAATTACAAGTATTGATATTTTGTCGACAAACAACAATATTTTTCAACAGCATTAACAGTACCAAAAGCGGAAAGACATGACACATCAACATGTGACACCTATACAACAAACTCATACATCATTATAGGCTGTATTAGTTTTCACACAAAATGTGTGTTTTTGAAAAGTAGATGAAAAAACAATGTGTTCTCAAATTAATCCAAGAAACAAACCACCACAAGAATATTCTCACAAGTTTCATGTAAAAATAAATGTTTAACATTAGTACATGGAATCAAATATATTTTTATAAAAAAATGTAAGTACAACTAATTCTATACCAACAAACAATTGTTTTTCTTTTTTTGTTACACTATATAGACTAAAATAAAGCTAATTATGTACCTCATGGAATCAAAATGTACAAGAAAAACATTTAAATAACCCGAAAACCATTCAACGACTCATTCTTATAATGCAAATATCATGACCAAGTACTCTTGCAACAACTTATACACGCAAAATGAGATGATATGATCGGATGATATCACATAGATATGAGTAACTAAGGAGTAAAAAACCTCGAGAGAGACAAAGGGAAAAAAAGAAACGATATAATATATACATGAATCGATAAAATTAAGGACCAGCCTACTAAAAACTAGGTTTTTGTTTTTGTTTTTGTTGCTAAAACTAAAACTAAAGACTAGGTTACCATGCTAATTTCACTTAACCACGCGTTAACTCATAGATTAAGCTTTTCGATACTACCCATACCTTCAACTATTAATGAATGAATAAAGTCTTAATCTCCCACCCCACATGCAAGTAGATCGAAACAAGTCTATTCACAAGAACAAGCCATCGTTTAGATCGTATTTTACCTTCTTTTGAAGATGACCAAGAAATAGAGATTGTGTATGTGAGAGAGAGATCGAGACAAAGAGAACAAGGACAGGCCAAAGAGATTAGCACCGGAATCTGACAGAAAGAGCAGTGAGCACGCAAGAGAAGCAAATGCAGTGAGATCGGCTGGACATAAACATATGCAAATTGCCTTTGTGTGCTCACTCTCTTCTGTCAGTTTCTTTGTGTCTCTTTTGTCCCAACTCCTTCACTCACAATCCATCCAACTTCAGAGATCTACAAGATGAAACAAGAATAAAGAATCATGAGATCAGTCGATACGGACGAGAACAATTTAAGCTCTGGAGATAGATCTGAGTTTTAACTAAAGAAGGCAAGAAATCAGAGAGAGAGAGAGAAAAGAATACAGATATGAAAGAGGAAAGAGATTCTATTTAAGACACCCTTTGGAAAATCAATTCTAGGGCTTTTGTCTAAATCGAGAAAAGACATAACAAAAGAAAAGAAAAGAAAAGAAGAAAGAAACAAAGATCTGATGAGAAGATAAGAGAAACCTTCTCTCTCTCTCTCTCTCTCTCTCATTCAAAGAGTCTTACCTTTCTTTATGGCTTTTGTCTCTTTCTTATCACTCCTACATGCAAAGGGAACACATGTCTGGCGACGCATTGAATTGAACAGAGCATTTTAATTTATAGAGTTTCATCTCATGAGCTAAATATGGCAAAAGATCTTGATTTGAGAGTGAATAGGTCTTTTGATGATCGACGTATATATATAAAGATTGGGAACAGTTTCACCCTTTTTTTTACTCTCTTGCCAGAAAATGGCCTTTAATATGGGTTTGTTTATTTTTTGTTAAAGAAATAATATGGGTTTATCGATTTGCATTAGTTTAAACTTTAAACTTGCTTCTAATTTGATTATTTCTCGTTTACTTTCTTCACTTTCCTTTGTTGGCGGAAGACCAACATCAAAACAAGCCCTAATATATTGCAAAATTATCGAAGAAAAATTAAACAAATACAAGCCCTCTTTTTCTTTTCTTAAATATATTTTCTATCGAATGAAATATTTTTGTGTTGCGCAACACATTTTTTTTCAGAACAACTGATTCTTTTGCTGAATATAAACACGGTTTTTTTTATATGGTTTCGTTTACCATATAAAAAGATTAGGTACATGTTGATTTTTCAAAACTTATAATAAGATTTGTGATAAATTAAAAAGATGATATGGGTTTATATCTTTTTCTTACGTTTTAGTCAATTGTGTTTTTAAAAGCCAAAAAAATCAAGGAAAACTTAAAAATAAACCCCACTTTCATAACTAAAAACTATCATTAATTATTTTTGGGACAGGTGCATATAACATGCCTTTGGACCCGAACCTTGTAGAATGTCCAGACTTAGGTCTAGAGAGTTTCTTAATCGTGAAAAAAGAACTACTATAATTTGCTGTTTAGGCTTTATGATCTTTTTCTGCTTTGGTATATGATTAATAAACCGTTTTTTTTTTGTGTGTTTTTGCTTACTGATCTCTTGTTCTAGTAAAGTTTAAAGAAGAACAACTAACATTTGAATACTTGTTCTTTTAAAGAGAACAAGTTGAAAATTTGTTTCGGTAGAACTCTCTAACAAATAGTATACTTTAGTTTATGTTCACTCTCTAGAATGTGTAAAGATATAGAATATCGAACATTATCTCTAAAACATTGACATTCAGTCACATTTTTCAGAATCGTGATCACATATGAATATGTTCTATCGACTCCATCTAAATCAAAATGATTTGAAAATATGAATAACTTATCTAGATAAAGGGATGGGTGAAGAATAGATTCACTGGAATATGTCTCGAATACACCAAAAATTATTTTAACAATTACAAAGATAAAGTAGTGAAGCTTTATCGAAAGGGAAAAAAAAGAAGGCATTGTATTGGACGGATAAAATTAGAGTGACGTGGTTTCACACTAAACCAGAGAGACACATGAACCATTCTCACCGTCGATTTAAGATATTAATTCCCTGCCGTTGGATCTGTCACTTTTCGAAGAGACATTTCCTTGTTATCTCCATTTTTCTAGTGGCCATGACTAATTTAACTATTTAAGGGTTTGATTGTTTTGTTTTTCTGTTCTCTATGTTGACGTATGTCTGTCTTTACTGTATAATATAGTATGCGTATCCACATAAACCATTAAATTTTATGTTTTCAATAAGTTTTATTTGTAAACAATAAAAGACAATGTTATCGTTAGCTATATACAATTAGCATAAGAACATACAAAACATGATTAACTTACTAAAACTAGCTAGACGATAACATTTTAAGAAAAAATTATTAACTTCAGTTTATTCTACTAATAATTTTTGAATAATTTTGTTATTCTACTATTCATTTGACATACGAATAATACCATTAATATTTTTTAGAAATGAAAATTGTAAGAAAACAAAACAATTTAGTAGTGTCATTTAGTAATTCTGTTAGGGCTTAACTTAACTAACTCACTTAGAAAAACGGGCCAGGCTGCTAACAGGCCAAAAAGCCCATGATTACATCTCTACAAACAAGTAGGATGGTGCATAATACAAAGAAACAAATTAAACAACAATCATCAAGTGAATACAAGAAACATCACAGAGATAATATTTGAGCAAGAAGCTAAAACATCTCCTAGAAACTGCATTAAAAGTCTTGTCTTGTGAGACTAAAACTGAGTGATTTGTTGGATCTTGCGAGCCTGGAGAAATTTGCATCGCCCTTTTCCACTCGATTCGATCTCTTCGCTCCTACTCTCGCTTTTGTTTGTGAACCCAAACCTGCTTAGTTTCGCCTGTCGCTTGCTACTATTTCCAAAACCATTCTCTTCAGTTTCGTCTGATTCCCTGACCAAATGCACAAAACAACAAACTCAACAAGACATTTTTAGCCATTGATTTTGAGAAAATAAATCAATGGAGGCTTGATCATAGCTAATCACAGTAGTAACAAGAAAATAAAAGAAAACTAACCAAGCAACTTCAACCTCGCTCTTCAAATGTGTAGTGCAAGTCCCCCAACTAAACCGGACCAGCGATGGAAATCCAAACACAGAATGTTTGTGTTGCTCTAACCATGCCTTTGTCTCTGGATCTAAATTGCATCACAAACATCTCAGTACAAAACATTCGCTAAAATCATAAACGATTAGAGGGAAAAAGTAGTATCTATATACCTCCAGGATAACCAGAACCAAAGTTTCTGTTTATGTTTTCTCCGGTTTCCTCTACCAACCATCCCCTCAACGCTCTGTCTCTTGTCACCTGAGCGAGCAGGTAATATATATATTTAGTGAATGTTTATAGCTAGTGAAAAGCTTCGAGATAGACAGTGAGAATCATTTACCTTAGCGACAATACTTGCCCCACTAACAACAGGATATAAACTGTCTGCTTTCTTCGAAACGACAAACTTGATCGAAGAAAACCTCTCACACAGTTTTACTCTGTACTTCTCAGGATCTCCCACTGTATCTAGATACACCTGCAAAGGCAATTCAGGTCATCAAAGCCTATAGATAACAACCTTATGATCTCAAAGGACCAAGCGTCTGTTACTACCTCTGTAAGAAGAACTCCCATGTCTAGTACTCTTTTGATGAGCCCCATTGCGGAGTTGTGTGAAATCTCATTTAAATTGATCTTGTTTCTGTTGAAGACAAACCAAAGCTAATATAATATAAGAACCATTTGAGCCTTTTCAATCGGTTAGATTCAAAATATTATACTGTTACTAACTTTGCGAGCATATTAGCTGAGAGTTCCCTGGGACCAATGACATCAACAGCCCATCCAATTGACTTGTCAAGCTTCAAACTTTCATATAACTCTTCTCTCTTCTCTTCTTTTAGAGTCTTTGAATCTGCAGGCATAGAAGGCAAATGGCTTGCGGAGATCAAAAATTAGGCAAGAGACTATAAATATCATCACAAGTTTCATGCTTTGCTTATAAGCTCTCCCAAATTGGAAGCTTGCAGTAACATAAGCTTACACTAATATACAAACACAAATGCATAGCGTTGGAAATTTGATAAAGGGTTTTGGCTACTAGGCTTAGAATCACCTAATGAACTACTAAACATGTCAACATAGATCATCTAAAATTCTGTGTTTTAATTTCCTTGCTTGTAAGACTACTAGTGTTTACACTGGTACAAGAAGAATATATTCAATGCAAATCCTCTCATGGTCACTAGTACAAAAACGTGCTTTAGAGCCAAATTTGATACTCTCAACGCAAAACAACACAAAACAGTTCTTCAATGTAAGAAACACAAAGAAAAAGAGAAACTTTTGAGTTTAACCTGCAAAATGGAGGGAAGCCAGAGAAGTCTGATAGGAAATGGGGCAGTACAAGCATCCATATACCATTGGTCCTGTTTTGTCAACAAAACTGAATCAGATTTTCTTCAAACACATCAAAAGAAAAACGAAGTAGTAGTAGAAGAAGAAGAAAACCTAGAACAGGACCCCTCCCGGCTTCGTCGATTCCCATGACGCAAGGTTGAGATCCCCATTCTGGCGCCAAACATTCCGATTCCATTTCCTTTTAAGACACAAATGTAATGGGTTTTCAGGGTTTTGCCTAGATTCACTCACATTGAGTATTGGGTGGATTTTAAGGACAAAATAAAAAATCGAAACTTTTACATGAAACAATTGAGGAAACTGTAAGGAGACGGGGACTCACCACAAATACAGAGAGCTAAGCAAATCGGAGAAGGCGCCGGATTTCACCGGCGAGCGATTTATCGACGGGAAAAAATATGAGCTTTGACGGTTACTCTTCTCTAATCAGACTGCTTGGCGTTTTTATGGTATAAAGTGTCTGCCGGGAAAAATGAAAACCCCGCCACAAATTTGCTATTTGATATGAAACTATACTAGAGATGTACCACTATATTTCATATAGTGGATTGTTTAACTGATAAAAAAAAAGGTGAAGAGAGAGAAAAGAGTTACATGATGTGAGAGAGAGATGGGTGAGAGAGGTATTATATGTGTAGAGAAGGAGAGTTATGAGTGATTTTCTTTTGTATTGATCTTAATAATTATTACATAGTAGCTCTATTTATAGAGGAAGATGAGATGAGTAAGTCGGCTAAGGAAAACGGTTAAAGGAAAAATATTAAAAATTGATAGGATAATTATCTTTCTAACACTCCCCTTAATTATCCCGTATTATGTACGGTCTCGTTAAAAAACCTATGTCATAGAAAAACCCAATGGGATAAAAACTATGACTTAGGAAAAAGAGTACCGCAGCATAATCTCCCCCTGGAAAAGATAGAATCTTTTCTTTTCACAATTTTGTAGACGACGCATTCCGATACTGTGAACATGCTTCTTGAACACTGTAGTAGGAAGCGCCTTTGTAAAAAGATCGGCTGCATTGTCACTTGAACGAATATACTCGATGTCCACTTCTTGATTTTTCTGGAGTTCTTGAGTGTATGAGAAAAATCTTGGAGGAATATGCTTCGTTCTGTCACTCTTGATATAACCTTCTTTGAGTTGTGTGACACATGCAGAATTGTCTTCAAATATTTTTGTTGGCTCTTTCTCTGTAATATTCCACTTGATTCTTGTATGTGATGAGTCATAGACCGGAGCCACACACTCTCTACATGCTTCATGGAGAGCAATAGTTTCTGCATAATTTGAAGACGTTGCAACCAAAGTTTGCTTTTGCGAACGCCAGGAGACCGCGGTTCCACCAATTGTGAAAACATAACCTGTTTGTGATCTAGCTTTGTGTGGATCTGATAGATATCCTGCATCAGCAAAACCAACTAAAACACATTTTGAGTTTTTAGGATAAAATAATCCTAAATCAATTGATCCTTGAAGATAACGAAAAATATGTTTTATTCCATTCCAATGTCTGCGCGTAGGGGACGAACTATATCTTGCAAGCAGATTAGTAGCGAATGCTATATCTGGTCTAGTGCAATTTGCAAGATACATTAGTCCACCAATAGCGCTCATGTAAGGTACTTCAGGACCTAACACTTCCTCGTTATCCTCACAAGGACGGAATGGATCCTTTTCAACATCAAGAGATCTATTAACCATTGGAGTACTCAAAGGAGTTGCTTTGTCCATATAAAAGCGTTTTAACACTCTTTTAGTGTAATTTGACTGATGCACAAATATACCATCTTGGAAATGCTCTATCTGGAGCCCAAGACAAAACTTTGTCTTTCCAAGATCTTTCATTTCAAACTCTTCTTTCATATGAGTTCTTGCATCATCAATTTCCTTTTGAGTTCCAATCATGTTCAGGTCATCTACATATACAGCAATAATCACAAATCCTGACGAGGATTTCTTAATGAATACGCAAGGGCATATCGCATTGTTGACGTAATCTTTACTCAACAAATATTCACTTAAGCGATTATACCACATGCGTCCGGACTGTTTTAGTCCATAAAGTGATCGCTGTAATCTGACCGAACAGATCTCCTTAGCCTTTGATTTCAAATCCTCAGGCATTTTTAATCCTTCTGGGATTTTCATATATATCTCATTTTCAAGAGATCCATATAGATATGCTGTCACAACATCCATGAGATACATTTCAAGATTTTGAGACGCTGCTAAGCTCATCAAAAATCTGAATGTTATGGCATCCATTACTGGGGAATATGTTTCTTCATAATCAATTCCCGGTCTTTGAGAAAAACCTTGAGCCACAAGTCGGGCTTTATATCTTGTGACCTCATTTTTCTCATTTCTTTTTCTTACAAAAACCCATTTGTGCCCGACGGGTTTTGTATTCTCAGGAGTTGTGACAATAGGTCCAAAAACACTTCTTTTATTGAGGGAGAGTAATTCAGCTTGGATGGCCATTTTCCATTTCTCCCAATCAGGTCTTTTGAGACACTCTGATATTGTTTCTGGATCTGGATCATCACTTTCATGATCAATTTCTTTGTATACAGAAAAAGAGAATATTCCATCATCATCTTCTATTTCATTTCTTGTCCATACTTTTCCATTTTGGGCGAAGTTGATGGAAATCTCAAATTTTTCTGTATCATGTTCGTCTTCTGGACGAATCTCTTTCTCTGGTTCTTCAAAAACCAGTTTGTTTATGTCTTCAGGACATATTTCTTTACTAGGTTCTTCTTGAACCTTTTCTCCCAAATTCTTTTTCTTTCGGGGATTTTTATCTTTAGAGCCCATCGGCCTCCCCCTCTTTAATTGGACTTTGGGTGCATTTGCTATGCTTCCATCATTTTGTTCCTTAGAACATCTATCTTTGATGGAACGTTTGCAGCGGGTATATATGATTTCGTCACTCTTTTTGTATCTGTGAACGAATCTGGTAATTGATTTGCCATATTTTGTAAATGTATAATTTTCTGAACTTCCAATTCGCGTTGTTTTGTCGGGGGATCAAAGTGTAACAAATTCGGTGTACACCATGTGAGGTCTTTTGGAACCTCTTTAATTCCTCCCCCTAACGCTGGAAATTCATCTTCATTAAAATGGCAATCGGCAAAACGTGCCGTAAACATATCACCAGTTTGAGGTTCAAGATACCGAATAATACTCGGTGACGTATACCCAACGTATATTCCCAATCTCCTTTGTGGCCCCATTTTTGTTCTTTGTGGCGGTGCTATCGGAACATAAACCGCACAACCAAAAACACGGAGATGGGATACGTTTGGCTCCTGACCAGATGCTAATTGCAATGGGGAATATATATTATAAGCACTTGGTCGTATTTGGAGCAACGCTGCAGCATGCAAAATAGCATGACCCCATATGAAATTGGGAGTTTTGTTCTCATTATTAACGGTCTTGCAATCAGTTGCAACCGTTTAATCAAAGACTCAGCCATGCCATTTTGTGTATGGACATGTGGAACCGGATGCTCAACATCGATTCCCAATGACATGCAATAGTCATTAAAGGCTGTGAAGTGAATTCACCAGCGTTATCTAATCTCACTTTCTTAATAGTATAATCAGGGAACTGTGCTCTCAACCTGATTATTTGGGCAATGAATCTTGCGAAAGCCGTATTTCGTGTTGTCAAAAGACACACATGTGACCATCTACTTGATGCGTCAATTAATACCATAAAGTATTGAAACGGTCCGCATGGTGGGTGAATAGGCCCACATATATCACCGTGTATTCTCTCTAAGAACACAGGGGATTCATTCCCAACTTTCGCTGGTGATGGCCGAGTTATGAGTTTTCCTTGAGAACATGCATTACATATGAACTCGCCCGTTTCTAAAATTTTCCCGTATTTCAACGGATGGCCATTTGAGTTTTGCACAATTTTTCTCATCATGACTGAACCTGGATGCCCTAGCCTTTCATGCCAGATTTTGAATGTACTAGTAAACTTCGGGTTTACTGTAACATATGATTCAGTCAGAGTAATATTTGTGCAATATAATCCGGAGGACATCATTTTCAATTCTTCCAATATTTGTCCCTCCGATTTGATGCAAAGGATTTCAATGCCATTCTTATTTATAGTCTCTATGTGATACCCATTTTTACGGATATCTTTGAAACTTAATAAGTTTCTGTAAGACTTCGGGGAATATAATGCATCATTTATTTCAAACTTTGTTCCCCTTGGCATTGAAAAATTGGCTCTTCCAGAGCCCAATATTATTTTTGCACCACCAGAAATGGTATTCACGCTTTCAACGGAATCTTTAATTTTGAGACCGGAGAAATATCTTTTATCTTTGAGTATTGTGTGCGTTGTAGCACTGTCTGCAAGACACATATCTCCATCACGAGTCTCAAATTTCGTCATTTCTGGATTTAACAAAGATGCATTAATAAGTATTAAACAATACAAAGCTTATATCACAAGATACAAAATACCACATTAAAAACTATTTTACAACAAAAAGATCAAACTTTTAGGTTATCTTATTCAGGAAGATAACTATGTATATCATGTCCTTTTAGTCGTCTGTTTTTCCGTTGATCTCTTCGGAGTCAACCAGAAAATCTGAAACATCAAGATGAGTATCATCGTTTAGGCCGTGAAAGGAAGGACCGGGTTCATTGGAGATGAAGTTAGTCTCACTTTCTTTCTCCTTTGCTTTTTGTGATTCCCGGTACAGATCGGCTAAGTGTCTGGGTGTACGACAAGTACGCTCCCAGTGATTTTTCATGCCGCATCTGTAGCAAACACTTTCTTTTTGCTTTTTAGAATCTCGGCCGTAATCATTTGCTCGAGATCTTTTATATTCCTTTCATTGTTGGACTCGTCGGGACGGTACTCTTTTCCTTGTCCCCGACCACGTCCACGGCCACGGCCACGACCTCGGTTTCGACCATATCCACGTCCACGTCCTCGTCCATTATTTTGGCTGGACGATGCTACATTCGCTTCTGGGAATGGAGCAGCTCCAGTGGGACGAGTCTGATGGTTCATCATCACAAGCTCGTTATTCTGTTCTGCAACAAGGAGAACATCCATCAATTTTGAATAACGAGTATAGCCATTTGCCCGATATTGTTGTTGCAGGACTATATTTCCAGGGTGAAATGT